AGCTTTGCCCCAAAGTTGCCCCAACTTGGTGCCCTGCCTTTCTGTGCCTCCCGCTCCCGTTTTATGGGCAGCGTTCACAATGAATATTTATGCGTGCAAGCTTTTGCTGGGTGGTGGTGGCAGGGGTCTGAATAGGGTGTGCGTGCCGCTGCAATGGCTGGAGCAGATCCACTGCCAACTGTTAACAGCTGCCGGCAGCAGCGCCAGTTGCCAGAAATAGCGTCACAAGCGTTGTTCTTGGGGCTTGGGCAGGCCATTCAAAGTGTTACCCGGCAGCCAGTAGCTCGCCATGTTTGGATCTAATTTTATTAACACGTTCATCATTCCAGCACACAAATGGCACAAGTGGCGCCTTAAGCGCAAAACAGCAACAACAACAACAATAACAGCCAAAACTCTGACGGCGACGACGGCCCCCTTGTTGTCTGCTGTCTGCACTTGTACGCTCGCAGAATCACACACTCATTCATACACTGAAAGAAAAATATTGTTATTTAGCTGAAGTCTTCCTTAAAGAAACAAGTTTGGCATTTACTTGTCAAACAAAATGTTGCTTCTCACCGATTGAGAATTTTGTAAAAATGAAATAAACTAAATGTAAATTTATCTTAAATTATTCTTTTAAATAGGCTTTTGATTTCCTTACTTTTCTTTCTAATAATGTGGCAGGCCAGCGGCCTCTCCTATATCATAGCACTGTTGGCTCTCATGGCGAGTCTCTTACTACTGTAACGGTAAATACTCTCTCGTATGCAGTGTGAGCCTGCGGGCTGCATGAGAGCTGCCTGCGTGTAGCGGGATTTAGTTTTAAGTCTACGATCAATTGAATAAGACGCCTGTTACAATTCTGTAATACCGTTCGTGTTTTATTTGTGTTCCAGACACTCTTTTACTTCCACAATATTAATATATACATATTTTAATAACGCCTTTTTAAAAAGTAAATCGTGTAATTTCATTTTCCGTTTCTGAACTAACGAGTCGAATTGGAGTACAATCTATATTTCAAATTATTTTTTGCAACATTATATGCTACTCGTATCTGTATTTGAAATCTATTTTCGTATTTTAAAAAGGGCAAAATGTTAACAATTTCAATTTCAATTTTTTTATAATAATTGAAACTGAATACTGTCAAATTTTCCATTCCTAACATAGCTCAGTTTTTTGTTAGAAGTAAATCTCTCAAATCATTTCTTTGTTTAAGAACTATCTGGGCTTTTTCTTTGAGTGTAACACACAAGCACAGACGGCAATCAGTCTACCGCAGCCTTGTTAGTCATTTGGCGCTCGATTTTTGCCTTATCATGGCACAGCCCCATTTTCTCTCTCTCCACATCCCGCTCGAATGTCTGGCACATGCCTTTTGCCGCCTGCTGTTGATTATGCATAATGTGAATTTGGATATTTCGGCAGCCTTTTAATATTACATGTATTTTGTTGCCGCGCAGCGAATTAATAAAAATTATTGCATCTACATATTTGTAATATTGTATGAGGACGGCCTTCCTCTCCCCTTTCCCCTTTAGTCTCTTTTCGCGCGTGCTGCTGTGTTTTATTGTGGCTCTCAAGTGTTCCCTGCGTTTCTCATCAACTTTTATTGCAGCCCTGAGCTCTGAGCCCTGAGCCAGCAGTACTCGTATAAGCAGATGAAAGCGTATTTAAAATATTTTATATAAGTATTTTAGGCTATTTTTAATGCTACAGAAATGCTTGTAGTTCCAAGAATGGGCACAAGTCCCAGAACATGCCTTCCCAAATGAAAGCTCCCCGCGTGGGCGAGTAAGGAAGGGCACAAGTTTTGGGGAAAGCGCTTCAAGTAACACAAATTCACAAATAACACAAATTCTTTAATTTCAAGTGCATTTATCTTGTGTTTGGCATTATGGGAATACCCAAGGGATGTTTGAAAATATTTCATTACCTTACAGGGAGAAAAAATGTAAAATAAAACAACGATGTTGCGATCAAATAACAACTTCTTGGTTGTACCAACAATACGTGATAATAACAATTGTAAATGACTGCTCCACCATATCTGTCTGACGATTTTCGTCGTAGTATCTATCGCTCATCGCCGACGAATCTTGGCTGCCCTCTTTCATCTGCTCTTAAAGCTGTTGTCATTCATTATATTTGCACTAAACTGAACGATTTATTACAAGTGCTTGTCTGGGCCACTCAAGTTCCGAACACACCCGCTCTCTGACCAAGTACCCACTACGTGTGTGTGCTCATGTGTGTGTATGTGTGTACTGTGTGTGTGTGTGTGCTTTGTCTATAGTCTCGCCACACAGATGGGAACGTGGTGTTGTAATTTTTTATCGATTACATTTCACGCCAAAAGCGCAACTGTTGAAGCTGAATCTAAAATTGAAGCTGAGGCTGGGGCTGGGACTGGAGCTCTTTTTTTTTAGCCGGTTGTTGACTCTCGTGATTTATTGCTGCATGCAACAGTCGGCGTCGCGATGTTCAGACTCTCTGTTTGCTGTTGCCGCTACTTTTCCGCATTCTATGTCGCAATTTTTACCAGCATCCTCCACCCCCACGACACGCACACACCCACAAATACACATATATCTTTTATACACTGTACAAACAATATTGCGAAAAATGAAGTTAATTCCCCTTTAAGTATCCAAAGAGATTCCTCATTTCAGACTCATCGTATAGTTACGCTTCTTTTTTGGCTCTCCAGTGGAATTGGCTAGATCTTTAATTTTTTTAAATAGTTTTAATTATTGAATTAATAAACATTGGTAAAGAGCTCAACATAGCAAAAGTTTGAAAACAAATTTTGAAAATTATATTTCCAAATTTTTATCTAGTTAGAATATAAATCTACTTAGAGCCTATTAATTAAATAGGACCGAAAAAAGGGTATTATAACCTTTTTTTTTAGGTCTTTATTATGGTTTTAAAATAAAATGCCCTTTGAAACCCTTTTTTGGCCTCCCAGTAGAATTGGCTGGATCTTCAATTTTACAAAAAGTTTTAATTTATTGAATTAATACACATTTGTAAAGGTCTATACATTTCAACATAGCAGACTCTTGGAAAACAAATTATACATATAATGAACATTATATTTCCAAATTTTCAGTTATCTAGTTAGAATAGAAAGCTGTACATAATGCTGTCTATTAATTAAATAGGAAAGATATATTATACCCTCTTTAAAAACATAGATTTATTTTATTAATTAAAAATAATTTGTGGCTGTATGCAGACATTTTTTAGGTCTTCATGATGGTTTTAAGATAAAATACCCCTGTAAAAGAATTATATGTGCAAAATCTGTAAAACTCAAAACCTCATTGTAAAATAATAATACTTTATTTTTCGGTATGCAGTGGCTTGTTACATGAAATATTTTTCCATCCACCTCATTTGTGTTTCGGGTATTACAGATAAACCATAGAAGTCAAGAATTTCATAATTATATATATATAACGACTTATGTAGTTGCCTTCTGTCCGCGTTAAAGTGAACAAATAATTTACTTTTTTTTTATCCAAGTGCAACACTAGAAAAAAAATGAGTAAGCGATTGTGTAAAGCTAAAGATAATCGAGAGTTTATTAATATAAGTTAATTTAAGAAATGTCACGTGAAACGGAATTGTCGGATGAAGAGTGCGGATACGGGCACTGAGCGATGCTGTTATACATTTTGGACAAATAGCTTCTGCCATAAATAATAGATAATACATACATAATACATAATAAACTTTTCAAAAGGTTCAGATAATTATTCTATGCCATGGAGGCTGCATATGGAAAAAGAGCGCAATGGAAACAGTAGACCATGCTAAAAATAAACAAAAAACAAGAGAGAACGCTACAGTCGAGCAAGCCCGACAGTGTAATACCCTGTACCCAGGTAAACTTCCGTCGCTGAGTTATATGCGCCCATAGCAACAGCAAAAAGAAGAAGAAGAAGAGCGAACAAGTTGCTGCAGTTTGGGGGGGTTGTACTGGCGAGAATTTGTTTTGCTAATAACTTTTCTTAGAATTGACCGAATTGAATAAAATTTCGAACAACAGTAGACAATTATATAAAAATTATGTGTGCAAAGTTTGGTTTACGTAGCATTTGAAATGTGGACGCTATTGACGAAATTCTGTAGCGGGGGAAGGGGGGAAAATTAAAAAAAATAAAATAAACTCGTCCTTACTCGGACCTAGGAGAATCTGGATGCCAACTTTGGTTATTCTAGCTTTTATAGTTTCTGAGATCCTTGCGTTCATCCAGACGGACGGACAGACGGACGGACATGTCTAGATCGATTTCTCTCGTCATGCTGATCAAGAATATATATACTTTATGGGGTCGGAGATGCTTCCTTCTGTATGTTACATACTTTGCACAAACCTAATATACCCTTTTTACCCTACGGGTACAGGGTATAAAAATGATTAATGATTAGATACACATGAATTTTTTCCAGTACAGTTCTGGTTTAGTTGGCGCCTGTCTAGTTAGTTAGAATATAAATCTACTTAGAACCTTGCCTATTAATTAATTCCCTATTACAATATATTTTATAAATTACACAAATTCGTGGCTGGATATAGAGATATTTTAGGTATTCCTGCTGGTTTAAAGATAATATGTGAAATAAATACACACTCATTTCTTCCAGTACAGTTCTCTTTTAGTTGTCGTCTGGGGCTTAAGCCAAGCGACCGATTTTGTAAACGCTCGTCCAATCAATTTAATATTTAATGCAGTTTTGCAGCCACGACTGAATTGCCCGCGTCGCAAGCACACAAAGCAACCCCCACCCCCACCCCACCCCAACCTCACCCCCGGCCCGAAAACCGCCGCTCATTTTGTCACTCTCCATCAACGGTCGGTTGATTGTCACTGTGATATAAAGCAATTAAATTGTCGTTTTTAATCATGAAGTGCACTAATTTATTGTGTTTAATTTCCTTCACATTTCATTCAATTTTTTCTCCTCGTTTTTTCTCGATTTCTTCGCTGTGCCTTTTACAGAGCCAATGCGGGTCACCAACGTTCGAGAAGGAATTGCGCGAACAAATTGAAAAGTAAGTGGCATTTAAGTTAATTATGAATCAAATAGTAATATTCATTATATTTGTGTAATGTGTTTGTGTATGTACGTTTAACAATTTCTCGTAAAGGCAATGGCATGGCACTGCAGCTCATTTATATTTAAGACACACAGCTACACTACTACTCGACAAGATCATAAATAATCCGAAGCACGGGAAAAACAAACAACACATTTTTTCAAAATATTAACCAAAATCTTCTTATGCAAATGATGCTCCTCTGGCTTCTGACTGCGTCAGTGGTTGCTTGCATTGAATGCATTTAAATATTTCCACTGCTGCTCCTCCCGCAGGCTCCTTATGTTTTATGCATTGCGTATTATTTTAAGCCCTCCATCCAAACCGTATTCATTCATGGTAAATAATTCACCAAACCTTATGGCAGTCTGTGTGGCGGCCGAGGCTTTTAATTTGCCTCCTTCGGCGTAAAAATGTCTGTAGTTGCACTTACTCTCCCAAGTATATGTATGTTTGTAGCTCGCCGTGGCACAATTATGCAATTTAAGAATAGTTTTCGCGCTGCTTTTGGCAATTTGTACGTAAATATTTCATACAAATTCGTGACTAGCAACGCCTCCGACTTCCTTCTTGGCCATTACGCACCAACTCCCAATCGACTTCGTAGACGGGCTCGGAGTCAAGATGTAGATGGCGATGGCGATGGCAATGGCGGTAGAACATCAAGTTAACGGCACTGAATGCAATTTTCCAAATTGTTGAGCAGCAAAAAGTGGCAACGAGCATGGCTTGGTTAGCAGCAGCAGCGGCGGCAGGAACACATTTATTTGCAGCCATGGAGAAAAAGAAATGGAACGCCCAGCATAGTGTAGCACGAAACGCACACACACACACACACACACTTACACTCACACCCACACACATGGACAGACCGCGTCTCCATTAGGAACCAGCGCTCTGAAAAAAACCATCAATCACTGCTGTGGCTCGCACCGCTAGGGACAAGACGGTATAGGGCCAATAGTGCGAGTGAAGCCAGAGCTAAAATGTAATTACCGAAGCGCCAATTTGCACATAATTTGGACATATACTTGTAATACTGACATACTCGTACATACAGACAAGGACTTCCAAAATTCCTCTTTTTAAGCTACTTTACAAAAATATGACCAAGAACTTTAAACTACTACTCGTACTATTAGATCACGTTATCAGATCAGTCTAGGTTCTAAAATGCTAAAGGGCATATAGTACTATACTTGCTCTTGATCAATCAGACTAGTCAAGTTCTTAAAGGGTCAGAGAAAGTATAACACTAAGAAAAACGTTAAGTAATGCTCCTCACCCTTGCCTTTCGTAATATTTTACAAAAGTCTTCTGTTTTGTGACTGTTTCAAATCATTTAATCGTTTTTAAATTGACTGCTTTCTCAAACGATTAACTATTAAGTGGCAAGTTTAAGATTCAAATTTCCTTTTATAGGTGTTCTCATAAATACAAAGTCCTGGCTGAGTTGCGAAATCTCTGTAACCATGTCGTTAGCTCTGGTTATTAACTTGTAGCCCTCCCATTCCTGTGTCTGTAGGAAACATCTATATGTTAGAGTGTAATAACATATTATTACACTCTAACATATATAACCGCATTGCCTTAAGCAATACACTATAAACACATTAATATTTTTCCAAGCATTCGGTATTTTTGCGAGTCTTCCGAGAGGAGACATTATTCTGAACAGAACACTCTATTTATATTAAAACCCCAGCAGAACCTTTGATAGCAAAATATTTTCACAAGAGAATCCTAAGAACTTCAATGTCAACCGGGAAACATATTTTACAAACACATAGGTTTCTTAATTTTACTGACCAACTCAAATAAGTTAATTACTAAACTAAAAGATAGCCCAGTGTTTTGGGGAATAAGCGAACTCTGTGAGTGTGAAAGTTTACAGATCGGAATCGTTTTAATTACCACAAGAAACTGTTTGTATTGCCAAAACTATACTGTTTTGCCAATTAATATATACTTTGCTAGTTTATCATTAACTTCAATCTAAGAATATTTCCCACTGAATTAAAATTTGTTGAAATTAAAATTTATTTCCAATATCCCATAGAGAAGATTCAAAATGTAAAACAATCAAAATAAATTCAAACATTAACTTCAATGTAAGAATGTTTCCCACTGAATTAAAATTTGTTGAAATTAAAAATATAAATTCCAATATCCAACAGAGAAGATACAAGAAGTAAAACAATCAAAATAAATGTAAACTTTTGCAATAGTTTTTTCAAACCATCTCAACCATTTCCAAACTCAAACATAAAATATTCGAATGAAGCTTAATATTGCTGTGTGTGTCATTTTTATTGTCTTCATTGATTCTGGCCAGAAAACCATTTTGCTGGAATGGGTTGGGAAGCAGGGCTCAGTAAACATCCAAAGGGGAGATGGAATTTGTTTTCCCCGACAAAGCATGGCACACGTTTTCTCAGCTGAGGTTGGGTGAGGAAGTGAATTCACGGGACGATAACGCAAATGAAAAGTAAAGCAACTTCAAGTAGACCGCTTTTTGCTAAAATTGTAAATCTCTGTCCTGTTGGTAGGATAAGACAGGAACTCATTGTCAGACAGTCGTAATTAAACTTTATGGTAGATAGTACAAGTACATAGTATGTATTTGTATCTTCCAAGGCTTCGCACAATAGACTCTGCTTATTAATTTCAACTTGCAATGTTTACTTAAACTCTTTTCTGTACATACACATGCACACACACACGCACATAATGTTCGGTTTGTGCAACTCATTTTGATTTTGATTTTCATTTATGTATTTGATATTTACTCGTCTTCTTCTTTTGGCTTGCTCCGCGTCCGCTTACAGCATGAATCGCATTATGAAATCCAAAGAACGCAAACAACTGCAGACATGTCGGGATCACAAGGCACTACAGGTATGTAAATAGATTTCCAAGTATATATACTACGTATATATACTTGCGTATATATATTAGGAATTTAAATGATGGGGAGAAAAATATGAGAATGTCTAGCACTCAGCATGCGAAAATCAATTTGCACTGCGTAGGTGGTGCGGTGGCGGTGGCGGTGCGGTGGCGGTGTCGGTGGTTTCAGTGGCGGCAAAGTCTCAACAAAGTCATAAATAAACGCATAAATTCATTTTAAAGAACAATGTTTCCCTTTACTCACATTTCTCGCATACAAATTGTCGCTTATCTTCGTTGGAATTGTTTCTCTTGCACATTTCTTTTTCCCAAAATTGATTGAGCGGCGGCATTAGAGATGCTCCACTGCATGCCGCCATGGTGGTGGTGGTGGTGGTGGTGTCAGTGGCAATGGCAGTGGCAGAGTCAACCACGCCGGGTAACGACGGCATTTTTTCATTGCCACTGAGATTCCAGCACTCTTATAATGGGCCAGAACAGCGGCTGCCTGCAGACACCAACATTTTTGCGCTTCCCTTTTGCATGATTTCCCTATGGCTTGAAGGAAAGGAGTCTCACCACATTGCCAGCCATTTGGTAATCGGATGAAAGTCTTCCTATTTAAAAAAATCTTCAAACAATAAGGAAAATAACCATCAAAATACTTATACTTTATAAAATGTAATCGTAAATTTCTTGCTCTTAATTTAGGAATAAAATTCTAATAAGTTGGACTTGATTTGAAATAAAATTTATGTTTGAAGACTAGATTAGATTAGATTGTTGGTATTAATAGTTGTTTACTGGATCAATACCAAAATCCAAAATCTATAAATAGAATTTATTTTTCAAGATTAGATTAGATTTTTGCTATTAATAGTTGTTTACTGAATCAATACCAAAATCCAAAATCTATAAATAGAATTTATTTTTCAAGATTAGATTAGATTTTTGGTATTAATAGTTGTTTACTGGACCAATCTCGATTGGGCTTGATTTAATAATAGTCAGAAGATTTTCAATTTGAAGCATGTTCGGCTTTGGTCTTATTCCTCAAAATAGCAATATTTAATGCGTTTTTTTTATTGAAAGAAGATAGGTATATCGATTTCAATTATGAAACATAAAAATAAATTTAGCTTCAATGGCTGGAAAATAACAAAATCATTTTCTGGCGGGACAAATAAAATTAATATTGTTCCCATTCTGTTTTTCATGATAATTTATAATTTATAAGAATATATAAACAGAACAAACGACACTGATGTGATCAATAAATATTATAAAATAAAATACAATTATATACATAAATATCATAAATATCTTATATCAAATAAGCTTTTTACACAACAATTCTTGTTTTCTTTTTGGAAGTAACTTTGTTAGTGACTGACGATAAAGAACCAAATTTTTGAATAAAAATCCTTTATTTTTTTCTACGCAACCCTTCCATTGTAGCAGAACAAAAATATATTTTCCAGCTCGCTTCTTACAGGCAAGTAGCCTAAATTCTAGAATTAAAGAGCTGTGGAGTACACCTAATTCTGTTTTTACACGGTAGATTGGTTTCAGGAAAAGGCATGTAAATAAACCTTGTAAAAAAAGGCAATGAACATATGTAAAAATAGGCGATTGGTTCGTTATCTCTAAAACCTATTATAAACAGTGTAAACGCAAGGATTTTTTATTTATTTTATTAAATCACATATAAGTACTATAATGTGAATAACGACCCTTATAAGAATAGTTTCTAGCTGCTTGTGTTTTTATTTATTTTGTGTTATTTTGAAGCGTGCTAAATGTATTTTTATTTTCAAACCGTGTTAAATCAAAATCGTATAAAAACAGAATTAGGTGTACTTTACAAATTATTAGCGCACAAAACTCTAGATTCATCTTTTCATGGCGTCCCTACTTGTAGTTGCAATTAAAGGGCATACAATATTCGGAGGGCGGACACAGACCCTTTCCGATGTTTCTCATTTCGCGTGGAATGATTCTGCAGGGAGGGCGCAGTTGGTGGGCGCAAGGGCGAAGGTTTGCTATGATTTTCAAATTGGATTACCGAAGTTGCTTGTAAAAATTCCATTCAGTACATTTTCTTAGGGAGCATCGGCAACTGAGCGGAGCGGCGACTCTTTAGCTTTATCTGCATAAAGTGAATATAATTTTCTAAAGTCGTTTAATGAGCGCCAAGGTTCCTCGCGTTGACCATACGGTCGCGCATTCATCGAACGTTCCAAATGCCGTCGTCAGCTGCGCATGTGCATTGACCTTCGAGGCAGCTAACAAGTTCGCTTTATTGTTTAGTTTTCCAATCAATTAGATGGGGCATGGGCCGGGGTATGGCACGGTTAATTCATGGGTTTTGTGCAGCGATACACTCAAGCAAATGCAGGCGCTGACAGGGTCTACCTTGAATCGAGGTGGGCGGGGAGCTTGAAGCTCACTTAGCACTTTTCTTTGACACGTTTCGATGGCACTCGAAGAGCCGCTCCACGAATGCCACACACAACTTGATAGATGAGGCAAGCGCAGACGCCGGCGACCCTCGTCAAAGACCCAATGCAGCTGTCAAAGGGTTTGCACTCGTATTGTGGTTGTTGTGGTTGGTGTTGTTGCTGGGGCCCTGTTGCAATCATCTGAAGGTCGTGTTTCTCACAATGAAAACTTGAGAAATGCTTCCAAATGTAACAATTTGTTGAAGTAACTTTTCTAAGTCAGCTGCATACTTCAATCCCCTACATCGGGCAACTTCTTTGAAGAATTTGATTGAAGCTTTTACTTGAAGCAGCAGTAGAAGACGGTTTTCAAAGTCATCCTTTTTCTAAATTGCTTCACAGCCAATTCTACTTTGACTTGGCCAAATAGATAATATTTAATCTAAAGCTGCTTCAAACGATTTTATCAAAACTTTTACTTCCAGCTGCAGTAGAAAGTGCTTTTCAAAGACATCCTTTTTCTAGCTTGTACTCGAAATTAGTTGCATACTCCAATCCCCGGAATCAGGCACCTTCATCTTCGAAGGATTTGATTGAAGCTTTTTACTTTTTACTTCAAGCTTCAGTAGAAGGTGGTTTTCAAAGTCATCCTTTTGCGAACTTGTACTCGAAATTAGCTGCATACTCCAGTCCCTGGCATCAAGCAGCAGCTTCTTCAAAGGATTTTATCAAAACGTTTACTTCCAGCTGCAGTCGAAAGTGCTTTTCAAAGACATGATTTTTCTAAATTGCTCCACAGCTAATTCTTCTTTGACTTGGCCAAATAGATAATATTTAATCTAAATCCAGCTCTCACTTTTGCAGACACGCTTCGCCCGGCAGGAGAGCCTTCTGCATTCCATGCGGCAGGAGAACCGAGCATTGCTGACGCGCATTCGTCAATACGAGCATTGCCTGGACGATGTCATGCGCAAGGTCGTGGATGCCATTGTCGCCGAGGATAATCTGCGGGAGGAGGTGACCATGCTAAAGAGTCGCGTGCGCGATCTGGAGGCCCAAAACGCCGCATTGTCCGCCAGCCCAGTAAAAGGACGTGACGAAGGCTACTGCACCATGAGCAGTGGACAGCCGCAGCCTTCAAATGGACATCTCGAAGATTTGCCCGAGGAGCCTGAGCAGTGGCTACTACCGGCGGAACCGTGCTCGACGGAAATGGAGGACTGGAGCATGTCGCAGGAGGAGCTGGCTGTGATAACCTTCGACGACGAGCGCGAACAACAACACCAACAACAACAACTGCTCCAGCGGGAACAGCGCAAGCGGGAACGGGACTGGCTCTGGCACTCCAACGACTTCATCAATTCGACAACCGTTGAGACTGACTCCGTGGCCGATGGCATAGCTCAGTTATTGCAGCAAAAGGTAAGAACTACATACTCGTATACCCTTCCAAAACCACATTATTAGTCCATTAAGTCAATTGGGTGTTTTTATACCCTGTACCCAAAGGGTACAAGGGTATATTAGTTTTGTGCGAGTGCACATGGAACACACAGAAGGCTTGGTAGACCCCACAAAGTATATATATTCTTGATCAGCATGACAAGCCGAGTCGAAATAGCCATATCCGTCTGTCCGTCTGTCTGTCCGTCTGTCTGTCCGTCTGTCTGTCCATCTGTCTGTCTGTATGAACGCAAGGATCTCCGAAAGTATAAGAGCTAGAATAACCAAACTTGGTATACAGATTCTCCTGAGACCGAGAAAGGACGAGTTTGTTCATTTTTTCTGATCCACCCCCCCCCACTCCCCCTCTATTAACGATTTTCTATAACTCCCGTAATTCTTGGAATTTTGAACTAAAATTTGGTAGTCACATTAGGTTAGTTACTATATAACCGTATACCAAGTCTCATTATGATAGAATGATCGGAAAGAAAGTTATAGCCATATAACCAGGCCCAATGCACACATACATACATATGTACAAGTACACAAACACGCATAAGGCACGATTCTGATGTAAATGTAAATGTATGTATGCATGCATGGAATATTTTATATTTAATTTAGTTAATTAATTAAATTAATTTAGTTAATTAATTAAATTAATTTAGTTAATTAATTAAATTAATTTAGTTAATTAATTAAATTAATTTAGTTAATTAATTAAATTAATTAATTACTTTTTTGTGGGGTGGTACAGGGTATTTAAGAGTTGAGCCTGCTCGACTTTAGCATTCCTTTCTTGTTTTCTCTTGATTTTAAATATAATTTATTCTTGAAATTAGATTTGTGGTATTACTAGTTGTTTGGTTGTTAGTTGATTTATTAATCACTCAATTGGGGTTTTTTTTTTTTCATTTTTAATGTCATCGATCAGTAGATAGGAGAGTTACGGGCTCAAGGTTCCAGGTTCATAATTCAGTTGTAATAGGTAGAAACGAAGGAAGTACCCCTAATTCTGTTTTTACACGATAGATTGGTTCCAGAAGTCCTGTAAAAGACATTGATCATATATTTTTTGAAATCGTGCTAAATGGAACCATATACCAACCATATATAATATTTTTAATTTTCAAACCGTGTTAAATCCAAACCGTGTAAAAATAGAATTAGATGTAAAAACATCGAATAAAAGCTTTAATTATAAGTAGGAAGCATCAAATAACATGAGTCCAAATTTCATGTTTCCCAAACACAAACTAAGCCAAATCTTTATTCTATTTAAACTTTTAGGAATTCTATATTAAAATATACTTGCGGTTTACTTTCCAAAGCCCATTTCTTAAATAAAATAGAACTAATTTTTTTGTCCGTAGCTTAAATCTCAAAATAAATAATTAGTGCTTTCTTGTACTTGTACCTAGTTATCAAAAAAATATGTTTCCCTTAATAGTTGATTATTATTTAATTCAATATTCTATTTTAAAACAGAGAGTAAGGAATAGTTTGACAAAGACTAGTCAGAATGGGGTTATAAATATTTAAAGTTAGAGGTTAAAATACACTTAAAATTTTTCCTAACATCTAGAAAAAGTTTGGCAATTTATGGATGTAACATATATTATTTCACTACTGCATGTCTCTTTCAGATTGTTTACTCCGAGGACGAGGAGGTAGCCTGCACCGACTTCACTAACGACTTTTATAAACTGGTGAATATTCGCACGAATTCATCGCGCAGTCTCTATTCCTACCTGGAGGGCGAAACCGACGACGAAGACGATGAAGACGAGGGTGATGACGAAGATCAGGACTCCAGCATGTCGGAGAGCCAAGTCCGGCTGGGCTCGTGCAACTCGACGGCGTTTGCCGCCGGAAACAAAACGCCTAGTCCCACGCCCAGTGAGGCGGGCCGTGCGCAACTAACCAGCTGCTCTTCCAGTGAAACGGACGAACTTTCCGGCTCACATCCGCCGTTGCATGAGCACGAACATGGGGAGGAGGAAGAGCATGACTATGCAGTCATAGACGAATGTCGTCGCCGGGTCAGCGATATAGAAATCGAAGATGTGCCCCTGATAAATACCAACAACAGCAGCGGCAGCGGGAGCAGCAGTAGCAGCCCCCACAGCAACGATGCCACGCCCCCACAGCCGATCAACGAACAGCAGTGCATAGCGCAGATCATCAAGAGCGAGCTGCGGCGACCGCCCCATGTGCTGGTCAAGTCCAAGTCAGTGCTGGAGGAGCAGGAGCCCAGCTGCATCCTGCGTCAGAATCAGCGACGCGAGCTCGAGTCGAGTGTGGTGCGCAGCGGCAGTATCAGCAGCGCCATAGCGGCACAAATGGGCAAGGAACAGCCACCGGTCCCGCCACCAGCAGTGGTGTCCAAACTGAAGGAGCGCATACTACAGCGACAGACACAACCGGTCAACTCCTGGCGCCGAAGCAACGGCTGGAAACGAGTAACCTCACCGGTGCAGACGGCGCAGGTATCGCAGACGGCCGGGGCCTCATCGCTTGCTTCGCCAAAGAAGGTAAGCTGCAATGGGAATTCATACGATCATGAGTGTAGTATGACTTTGTATTTCAGGACACAAAATCAACTGAGTTGCCAAAGAGTTGTCCGTCGGTAAAGGCACCGCCGACCCGCATTCCTACGTGCATCAGTGCCCTGCAGGCATCCCAGCAGAGACTGCAACTGCAACAGCCGCCGCATCAACAGCAACAACGCAAATCCAAAATTCCACCGCCAGTTCCCGTGCGTCGTTCCTATGCAAGTTAAGGCAATTAGTTATTTGACAGCAGCACTGCAAAATCTCAAAAAGAAACTTGTTCGAAAATACGAAAATATTAATTAAACGTTATGTTATTAGTAGGCGTATGCACATACATACATACATACATACATATATATTTAAAGATTTAAAAAGACTAAATTGTGATATATACTGAAGAGCCGAAAACGAAGAGCAAAGAAATTGTGTAACTGTACTAAATATTTATACACGTAACGAAAACGCAGAGTTATAAGAAACATTTGTAACGATATTTGCAAAAGCTGCCTCTACACAATAATAATAATATAAAATAATTATAAAAATAATAATTATAAAGTGCACACTTAGGCTCGCCGCGCTCTACCAAATTTTGTAGAGCATCGGTGGAAGCATCGCAATGGGTGAGACTTGTTCCAGAAAATGCATTTTCAAATCCATACAGTTCGGCGTTATAACCTCTTTTTTCAAACGTATTCACATACAATAGCCAAACAACATAAAAAATGTCTAATTAGAGAACAACTTCACACTATTAGCTATTGAAAATTAAAGATAACAGAGTAGTCTTCCGCACAAATGGAGTGTAATCTATGTTTGTAGAGAACAATAGTTAATTGATAGAAAACACATTATTTAACGTTAAACAGACAAACAAACTTGAAAAAATACTAAAAAGGGTTAGGCATTCGCATATTTCATAGATGAGAATATATTTAGACGTGTGTAACTATAAATAGCAACTCATACACACAAAACATAAATTATGGTTTCTAACATTAACAATAAATTGTAAATATACAAGGAGAAATGAAATCCATTAAACAAAAACTTGGAACATGATTATGACGAACCTCTTCATCTACAGTAGTTAGCTCTTTAAGCAGTTACGATGTGAATCTTAAGACAACTGACATGCTATCATTATAAAGGCACACACCAAACTCACATCCTAATTATATACATACATAAAGGCATATGTAGAGAACACTACGCCCGGCATGAGAAATAATAAGTAATAAGTAAGCTCGTATGAACATTATAAATGTATTTTCTTAGAGTAGACAGTACAAAAAATTAAAAATAACAAAAACAAAAAACGAAGAAAAAAATAAATTATTAAACGAATATAATTAAAAACCACATTTTTCTAACTTTGTATAAAATGCAATTATTTCAACCGAAAAATCTTATTTGGAAGTTAAAAAATAGACTTTTAAGTTATTTATATACAAAGTTTCTCTATCTCTCTTCTATCTATCGGATCCACACCTACAAGGTTTCAATCCGATATCTTAAAAATATAAAACTATACATGGAAAAGCTACACGAGGCATTAACATTTAAACATTACAAAGAACATTTTAAAGTAAAATACTACTCATATTGGCTCACTATTCAAGTCAGTTGCAACGCATTTGGCTAAAATATGTTTCAGGCGAGTCTGCAATTCCAATGAATTCAGGCGCAAATCCGGCTCGCTGGTCCAGCAGCTTTTATACAGCTCTATATACTCGTTTTCAAAGCGCACGGAACCCGTCGACATTGGGTTATCAAAGAAACGCGTTAACCTGCGCTGCTTACGGCAGCCAGCATTTGAACCTGGTGCTAGTGCCGGCTTGGAAGCACGGTCATTTTTCGATTCAAAGCTTAGATTACGACGCGCCAACACGTCCACCTTTTTATACAGATTGTGGACTGGAACGTCGTCGGACTCACTATCATTTATGTAATTACGCAGTATAACCATAGTGTTGGAATCCCAATCTATCGCACGTCCCGCACAATAGCAACTGGTATGAGGACTGGCATTTATAAAGACGGAGCCCAGCTTTAATGCTTCAAGTTGTGCCTGATCATCTGGTCGAAGATCATGCTTGACCACCTGATAGGCGATGGATTCGTTGCACTGTAATGTGTGGTAAGGCAATCGACGAGATTGCAACTGCCACATGGTGATGCCCAGGGAATAGATGTCCGAGGCGCACGTTAAAGGTGCAGAACGCAAAGCTTCTGGCGACATGTATCGCAATGTGCCCTGGTAACAACAGAATAGGGATTGAGCTGAAGGATTGTAGTTTGCGACCAAAGCTAACCTTCGCACTGCACTGACGTGCACATGTCTTGCCCAGCCTGATAGATGATCCAAAGTCGCAAAGCTTGCATGTGTAGCGGCGTTTGTAGTTTTCGCACCACTGCTCAATATCGTTCGTATTTATTCCCAGAGCAACCAAGATATTTGATGGCTTGACATCAAGGTGCAGCAAATTCTGATGGTGGCAATAGCGCAGTGCGGCTAAAATGTCTAGGGTTATGCTATAAGATGTATTTTATTATCGGGGGAGCATCTTTACGATTCAGTCACTCACAATATCCTGTGCGCCAGGGGAAGTGTGAGGGTGTCCAGCACCCGTTGCAGACACTGTCCTATTGGACGCTCCATAATAATCAACGCAAATTCAGATGTAGATTCTACTTTGATAAGACTTACGATGTTATTGTGCTTCAAGTGCATTACGTGTGTTTCATTGTGCAGACTCTGATTTTGATTCCGCATAATTTTGACGGCAACAGGGCGTTCTTTTCGTTATTGGAGATAGTGAAATGAAAGCAGTATATGAATGTATATATGTATATTCTCACCTCGATAGACTGCCTTAAACACTGTGCCAAAGGCTCCACGTCCCAAAATCTGCCGCCTAGATTCAGATGGAGGTCCTTCCTTGAGCAGCTCATTTCGCTTTGGTGTGGTCAGCACCAGAGCATTTTCCTTGATGGCGGCCTTTAAATATGACCTACGAAAGAGAGTCTACATTCCCATTTACCCGTATATCGGAGTTCAGTTAATGATAATTCTTACATTTTTAGCAAGCGCGCTGTGTAACGGTGCTTGTACATGCCTTCATGGCACATCTGAAAATTTTTCGGAGTTGCCAGATACATTTGTTGGAATATAAGCAGATTTGGCGCGAAAGAAAGAAATTCAAATGCACTACCCAAATATCATTTTCATGTATATTTACACTATTTTGATAATGCACATTTATACTTTAAGTAATTTTTATATAGCATCAATTCTTAAAACCAATGTACAAAATTGCAACTTTTCAAGCTAAAATCCGGAAGCAAGCGCCAATACGAAAAATATACATATGTAGATAACAAGATCTAGACAACTGTTTTCCATGCTTCATTTTATGCTTAACACTAATTAATAAGGTCTACGTAAGTTCGTCGATCTTTCCGTCAACTTTCTAGTCACTTATTTTGCTGTCTATGCAGTTCTTCGGTTTCCACCCGTAATTCCTGCAAGAAATTAATTTAAGGGTTTACAAAAAAGCGTTAAATTTATGAAATTCGATACGTACACGAAAGGCATCCTGTATTTTATCTGTTATGAGTTTTCGAGCCATCGGCTCGGGAACTTGTTGATTCTTAAGGTCCTGCACAAAGTCGGTTAGATCCAACGGCTGCCCAATATTAAGAGTAACTCTTTTTCGCCACTTGAGCACGTAGGGCTCCACATTTGGCAGCACCTCGTCCATACCCTCGTGCCACATTGGCAAAATGATTGGTATTTTGGGCGATTCATAGATTATACGCCCTACACCCCACTTCAGTCGCATTTCCTCCTTCGTCATGTTAACTTTTCCTTCTGGAAAGACGTGCACCCAATGGCCAAGCGCGCATTTCTCAATGCACAAATTAATCGCTTCCTGATAAACACCAATGCCACGAATAACCGGTATGCATTTTCCTGTGCCAAATAGAAAAATACTACATAAAATAAGTAATTGGAATGTGCAACTTACCGTAGATGAAGAACCATGAGTGATATTTGTTGGTAAAGCAAATATCGTGTGCTGCCATAGACCAACGTATACGGAGTGTATTGCAAACATATCGGACCGGAAGCACACCCCATAGACCGGGGTCATCAAAGCACGATTGATGGTTGGAGACAGTCACTAAGGGCACTCCCTTTGGTCGCTTAGATACTAGACCCACAAGTCTTTCTTTGTTATGAACACGCGTTCTGTTCATAAAGACTGCAAAGTAAAGCGAAATACGACTAATGCATGTAATATACTGTAATATAATGAACAAAAAGCAAAAAAAAAAGTATCCCCCCTGAACACGTGAGCTATGCAATTTGCATATGAATATCGCGTGATGTCTATGCTTTCATGGCCTACCTTACCAATGCAGAAGCTGAACCTATCAAAACAAAAACCCTCAAAATTTCAAAGTCGTTTAGTTTTCCATATTCTTATAATTACAGGCGTAATTGCGCTAGAAAAAATTGGCAAAAGTTATACATACATAGTATATTCGTACGTACATATGTTTGTGATAAGAGCTAATAGAAATGGAACCACCAATCAAACAATTGAATGCTGAAATTGACACCTCAACCTTAATTGTGAATAAATTAGTTAATATGTAAATAAAATGCATACACTCGTGAAAAGAAAAGTCAAAGGTACAAGTGTTTTCTAATTTCTTTCTCTCTACGTTATTCCTAAACTGTTTAGATGAGTGTATATATGTGTACCAGAGACGTTAGGAAGCTTCCGTGACGAAAATTAAACGACCATGGAAATGTAAATGCAAAAAAATAGAGAAACGATTACATTGAATTTGCAAAATAAAGCAAAGCAAACGCTGACCGACAATTGGCAGAATAGAAGATGATAGATAAAAATGGCAACTAAGGGAATTGCCTTAAGCTCAAACAATAATTTATAAAACCTGCACAAGTTGTTAGCTCATTTATCCAGTTGTACAAGGCGTCGCATCATGTTGAGAAAGGTCATAGACGTGATGGACACAGGGCGTATAATTGTTTCACATTACGTCTACGCCATGTGGACTTACCAAGCACAAATTTACTAAAGAGTCCAACTGCAGTGATGACTATTTGGCTTATAAAATACCAGAGCTTTGAGGGCTGCCGTAGCTTAGGAAATATCCAGTCAATGTTGAATGGCACATCGACACTAGAGGGCATTGTTAACGATGGGTCCTTGCTCAAGTTTTCAGGAGTCTCCTGTTTTTGCTGTTGGTCGCCCTGACTTTGTGAAGTCACTTGCTCGCAGAGCAGTTCCTCCACTTGCTTTTGTTGCTGCTGTTGCTTCTGTGGAGGCGATGACAAGGATCTCTCGTCTGGCAGCGTGCGCGCCTCAGGAGCTTGGACGTAGTGCTGTGGGTGGTAATCGCAAAATGTGAGCACTGTATGAGCGGTACGATTTAAAATTCAATACGTTGACCACCATTATTCTTCAGTGTTACAATTATATCGGCTAAGGGGAACAAAAACTAGTTTTCTAATGTGTAGGTCTTGGGTTTCTGTAACAAATTTACACATATTCAAAATATCGCTTTAAAAATGATTGACAAATATTCAACCTTTTACAGGGGACTTGGGTGGAATTTTTTTTTTTTTTTAATAAATGCAGTGCACATACTGGACCTGCAAGGACAACATGCGCAATACAGGTCCCTGCACGTGCAACGACATACAAACAAAGCGAGAGGTATTAGTAAGAGCGCGAGAGCGCTTACAAAAACTGCATGTTTTAGTGCATTTGATATGCGCAAGAGAGTGAATAGATTTCGAATATTTGCACGCAATAAAAATTATATCAATTACTCACCCTACGCGCCAAACGCATTGCGAGCTACAGAAAACGTATTCAAAATAATGTAATTGGCTTGTCTAAAGTAGTTTTAGTTAATTAGAAACATTTGTTCTTCGTTTTGATATGCTTCTCTCTTTTTGTGTACATTTCATTTATAAACATTTCATTCAGAACCCAGAGAACGTATTTCAGACGGAAGACAAACACAACCAGACGGTGGGAACATTTAAGTGTAACTGATTTCTGTCTTGGAGTACAAGAGCACCGTTATATGCGCACATCTGCAGTCAGGAGAGTAACAGCTGGGATAACACATACAGAGGTTACATGAAATGCTCGCTGTGCAAATTATAAGTAAATTACATTATCAGCTAAAAGAGTGTTAAAGGTTTTAATTTCCGAATCGATACTACTCATTGAGTAATTACATCGAGATAACAATTGTGTACGTTTGACGGTACGTTTGTTCAAATACATAGTGCATTTAAATTTTAAATTTGCCGCCCGTTGACAACCCTGAACTGCATTCAGTTTGTGGATTTCATGTGGGACTGTTGAAATAATCAATTGGGGGCGGGAAATGCAACAAGGCTGTTTGTTATTGATTCCCGAAGTTACGAACTCACCCTTGTCACCACCGCCATCCTGAGCACGTGCCGGCGATATATATGACTATGTAGTTGTTGTCGCATTAGAAAACATCGCGTGACATTCCCGGGCCGCAAGCGGCATAGACCAGTAAGCACAACCATCGACATAATGCACACTTTTAATTTACGTATGTATATGTATGTATTTGATATGCAGCTGAATTTTGAAAAGATTGTAGACCAGGTTTACATAACCATCAATTGACCAATAAGAATGTTACACTGGAATTTTTCACGTTTTCCATACACCGTAGCCGCTGCAGTTTTAGCTCGCGAACGCACCAACAGCTGTACGGAATGAGATTTTGTGCATGCGCACTTTGACAAAAACGCGCATGTCTGGGAAAATTTTTGGCAAAAAGAAAGCAAAGAAAGTGATTTGACCAAAAAAAATTAAAAATTCTAAAAAAAAATCACAAATAAACAAGGCGAAATCAGCTGTGCAGCTGCCGACATTCCCTACAGCTGCCATGTGGCAACGCCAGCGGGCATAACCTCAACATCAACAAAATAACAGCTGTGACAATATAAGCTGAAGGTTTATCATCGAAAATGTCGCGCGCTGCACGTCCCCTGAGCTCAGCTCGCGTTTTTCACAAAATTAAGGAACTCACGACTCTTCAAAGTGATGGCAGCTACGCGACCAACCGCAATCCACGTAATCTAGAGCGCCTTCGGATTGCATACAAGCCGAGAGGTTATCATCTGGAGAAACCCGGTCGATCCTACTGGCATACGTTAGAGATCGGCATGAGTTCACGTTACGTGACCGCAAGTGTAAAGCACTTCGAGAATGGTACTATATTGAGCGCCAGCACATCAGAGTGGGCCATCAAGCAGCAATTGTATAAAACCAACGACACCGCTGCGTATGTAAATCTAGGTCGCGTTTTAGCACAACGTTGCCTGCAGTCGGGCATTACAGAAATGACATGCAATGTTCAGTCTGTGCCCGGCAGTAAATTGGACAAATTAATAAAAACCGTCCAGGAGAACGGTGTATCGTTCGAGGAACCAGAACGTTGGAAGAACCCAGAACCCTGGGATGCCTATCGACACGAAAAGCCCTGGGAAGTGTCAGAGCAGAATGTAGACTTACCACCAACGAAATAGAGGGAAACACATTAGATTTGTTTTTTATGGTGTTTAAAATAAACGTTTATTTTTATGCTAATTAAAACGAATCATTGTTTACGTAAAACTAGCAGCACCTAAACGTTTACTTATTCATATTTGCCTTTGATGTCCTTCCAAAGTTTCTGCAAAGGATAAGAGTATAAGAAATAAGAGTTGTTATTACATAAGTTAGGTTATTAGGCAAAACTTACGCCTTTGTTGATGGATTCGAAGATTACATTCGAGGAAACATCGATGGCGCGTTCGAAGAAGAAAGTCGCTCCGATGATGGCTACAGCGTATGTTGATGTGCGCTTAAAAAGGGTATTATAGATGACCTTCATTTTTGAGGCTTTCAGCAAAAAATTTTCCTGGTACTAGAATTCCTTCTTTGCACGACAAAAGTCAGCTGTATACGTTTCAAGTGTGCACGAATGACGAAAAAATGATATACTAAAGTGTGTACACATACAAATATCTCTATCGTTTTTTATACCCAGACGTTATTCAACACTGACACTTTCTCATCCAGCTTCAAGACACCAACTGAACTTCAGTCTCTTGTTCCGTCGATTTGTGAGATAAAGTTGACGTACTGACGCGTTACAAAAACATCTGTTCTATTTTTCATATTATTTAGTTTTTCCACGTATTACACAATGGTTGATTTGACTGACGCCGGCTCGCCATTCCAACAATCCATTCCTAATCTAGCATTTTATGTGCCGGCTGTTGTTGTTTTTGGACTCGCAGGTGAGTAGGTGTGAATGTTTTCATAACACCCTCAACACAAGAAAAAAATTACTATGGCGCCATTCTATGCACCTATCATACACAAAATCCAGCCAACCACACTAAAATCAAAGCCACACCACAAATTGGGTCAGAATGAAAGAACTCCACTTTCACCATACAAAACAAGATGCCTGCCCTGTGCCACTCCCCCACTTCGCTAAATAGCGGTAGCTTGCCACCTCTCGAGAAGTTGTTAACTTATTTTCTGTTGGCATGCTCTCGTGCAGTACTCTGATTTATTTTTTTGTATTTCTGTTGGTTTTATAAATTTTAAAGAGCCCATATCTGTCCATAAACTAATATAATATATACATACATACATACTTACTGTACATACGTGTGCTTTCGGACCGTTTCTTTTTTTCCTGCATACGTAGTCAACTTTTCGTGTTTAATTTATTAGCAGCAATGAGGCAACAAAACTATTGATAAGTGCAGCTGATAAGAAGCAAAGAAACACAACGATGGTCGCATGTTTGGTGACCTAAAGTATTCTCCTAGATAGTACATCCAGACCAAAGACGCACAGTGGGATTTCCGTTGCAAATATCATAACTTTTGAAGAACAGCAAATATTTAAAAGATCGAAATGTCATTTGGAAACTTAATCTTTAGCTTCAAATTCGTACACACAAGTTATTTCATTTAATTACGTAGTGTGGGTGGGTAGACACACCTTCAAAGTTAGTACTTTAGTGGTCCCGATGAAAAGATTATCTGTCTTTGTTTCGATTCTTACGATTCCTCAGATTCTTCTAAATCAAGCTGAAACGCAACGTAACCCTGTTAGGAAATACTATTTATATTTACAACATACCAATTTTATGCAAAATGGACAATTATTAAGTTAAGTCAAACGCGATGTCGCACAAACATTATACTATAAATATACACATGTATGTACATATGTCCGTATAGCTATACATTTTATTTTCATGCGACCCACACGTTTTTTGCAAACGTGTATTGCGGCCGTTAAAAGGGTTAGTTGGGTCAAAAATAGTAATAATCACCAGTTTGTGTTAACGAAAATATCATAAATATGCAAAATATATAATACCAAATCAAATCAGATAATGTATACTGAAAATATTGCTCGTTTTTAAGGCAGTAAATATATTGCTTACTAAAAAATACTTTTTTAAAAGTTAACTCAAAATATATGATAAATATATGGGTCTAGTGAATTTCAACTAAATTTTAGCTTTTTATACTATGGCCAACTGCCTCTTAGTACCCTTTAGAATTTTACAACAAGATTTCGACAGAAGTCCCACGGTTTGGCGTCTTTCACGGAAACGGTTTTGTGTAGCAAATTATTTAAAATATGTTAATTGTTCAGAAGTCATTCAACTGCATGTTATACCCTCCTAGTAAAGTTACCTTGTTTCCCTTCCACCGGTTGTTGTTTTCTGTTGATAAGCGCAGAATTACGGAATTACGACAATCTAATCACATAGTACCTACGTACATAAGTACATACGATCGCAACTTGAATTGGTTTCCTTCGTCAAGTTATTTGGGACTGTCGCTTAAAGTGCTGACGTTTGCACTGCCACCAGAAAACAGAATCAAAATTCGTCTAAAATACTAAACCAATGATATACGTATATATACATATATATATATTTATATATATGTGTGTATGAAATATAAGAAACTGATTAAAAATAAGTGTGCATTTGTATTCTGGGCGGTCGAGGTGTTCGCGCTTTCATACCTGAAAAGTTCAGTTACTTATAGTAAGTCCGCAGCTCCGGTAGTCGAGAGAAGAGTAAATAAATAAAAATTAATCAATTTAAATCATCAGGAGCGTATGTTGAATAGATTTAATTTTCTCCTTCAGAAAACGAATCGATCAAATGAAAGTATAAAAAAAAATAAATGAAGAATTAAAAACAGCAATAGTGTTTAATTTAATGAGTAAGCTACTCAAAATAATAACTTTTAACACTAAGTTGTTTGCGCTTGCTTTATCAATTTCCACTGTTCATGTTAATATTAATTTGCCACGTTGAATAAAATGATTGTTTTGATTAGTTGTTGCCTACCATTATAATAGTGATTGAGTTAAAAATAATTTTGAAATGCTCTCCAACTCAAATGGTATTTTTGTTTAAAATAATTCTCTGCTTGCAATCAACACAACTTTAACTTGCCATAACTTTCCATTCAGACCTAAACCGTTAAGCACTTTCGGTAAACTACTCACGCGCAGGTAGGCGAGCTGCATCATTGATTTAAAAAAAAAAAATGGCTGAGGATCCCTTAAACCAACAAGCATTTGCCGAGGATGTGGCCGCTGCGGCGGCAGCGGGTGGTGAGAATGGATTTGCAGTGCCCCCGGGTCAAGAATCGGGGGGCGCTGGCTTTCAAATGCCTAGCCCGGAAGATATCTGGAAGTTAGTCGAGCAAATGGAAGACATCTCGGATGCCGAACGCGAAGAGTTGCGTGAAAGCATATTTAATCCTAAAGCACCGACTGCGGAGGATTATATGAGACAGCTTGCTCAACCAGGTCACAGCTCGCGGGAGTATCTCGTCTTCATGGTGATGATAGCGCTTATAGTGCTCGTCTTTGGTAAGCACATTAAAACTGCCCGGCAAATATTGACTTATCAAAAAGTAATATCAAGACAATATTTATCAAGGAAGATCAAAATCCCGCATGCCCACTGAAACACGTCCATGTTTATGCAGAAAATGAAATTATTTAGAAAACCCTTCGCATGATAAAACCAACGGTAGACTCTTATCGGTGCTGTTTGATTTGGCTAATGTTGTTGGTAGGGAGGGATAAGGGGGAATACATACATAACTCCGCCCCCAATCAGTCGGCCTTACATGTAAACATTTGATAGAACGTCGACTTCGTTTTTTAGGCGTTCGATTTTCGATAAGATAAGTCAAAACCACCATAAAAATTAAATAAAAGCGCCAAAACGATCCGCAAAAGCTCTGCCAGAAACGGACGGTGCACGTTTCAGTCCCAAGCTGACGGCCAGTAGTTAGTACTCATCCGTACCGCTTCCAAAATATCAGGCCCGGCCGAGCAGGGGCATTTGTCATCCCACTACTTCTAAAAAATGAGTTCCAGCGATGACGATAATGAATCTATCATTGAGCAACTGCAACAATCCGTGCAGAGCATTGTGGATAAGACCGGACCCAATAGCAAGTTTGCGCAAGATCTGCTTCGCAGGATTAGCGAGCTACAGTCGAAAATGGAATCCCTTACCGATTCTGATCGACACAGATTTATTTCTGAGATGAAGGGCTCTTTTCAGGAGGCCATTGCTCGCATTGACCGACGCCTCACGCAGCACGCAAACTTTGCGCAGACCTATTCTACCTCTATTGTGGCAGCTGTGATATTTATTGTGGTCTCAATATTCGGTTAATTGAACTTTTATTAATCAGCATGTACATTTTGAATGTTCTCTTTAATATAATTCGGTTTTCTATTTTGTCTTTCAGCGCTCTTCGGGTATAAGCTGTACAAATCGCTTACAGAAAAGCAAATCAAGAAGCAGGAAAAACTTAAGAGCAAACAGCAAAAGAAGGCGAAAAAGTCCAACTAAGGCTGCAGCTGCAAGTGGAGAGGCGCTAATTAGCTTGTAAAGATTTCGGTTATTTGCAATAGTTTGGACGTCAAGGACGCACAAGAGATTCTTCCAGTAAATTCAAAAGGCTCCAACCATATACAAAACTGTTAATCAAGATGAAGCCTTTGTAAATTACAAAATTCCATGTTACTTAATTCACATTAATCAATATACAATATATACCAAAATTTTAAATATCGTGAGTTTAAACTGCCTTGGAGACACATTATCATTATAATTTGCCATAAAACCAAAATCGTGACTCAATTTAAAACAGATGACTTGTTGCGTTTGTTGTTGCACCGTGGAAGCGCTTAAAATTTAACTTTTGGCATTAAGCACAAAACAATCTTCATTTTTTTTAGCCCCTGTCCCAATGTCTTCAGTTGCCATGACAAAATATCGTTTTATCGAAGCCCTTTCTGTCAGTTTTCTATATTTAGTAGCCAAATCAGTTTCCTCAAACATTCAGAAGGAATCAGATCGTCGGAAGAAATTGAAATAAAAATGTCAATCGCCAATCGTAAGTAAAAAGGTCCCAACTCACCCATTCACACGGAAATTGATTTGAACGTGGTTTAGGTTTTGGCTTTGATTTCTATCTGCCGGATGGCAGTTTGTGCTCTCCCAAGGATGACTTGTACTTTCGCCGTAGCGCCGAATGGGTGCCCTTGGAGAAAGCCGGGGTCGGACGGTCGTTTGCCAACACAAATGGTGTTATTTATCCTCGCGTGATTGGTATGCTCCCACGCTATGGGGGCCATGTACCTGGTGAGATTTTCGATGTGGGCCGCACCTACGGACGTTCGACAATTGATGCCAAACGCTGGCTGGCCTTGCACCGAGACTAGTCTATAAACATGGTTATAAAATATTTAAATTTCGCGCACTGATTACGCCAGTGTTACCCCATTAATCAAATGGTTGGCCAAGTATCAAACAAGTATTAAAATTTATTGTTATATCTAGTCTAAAAACCAATCGTTGCAATGCACATAATGTAATTAAATATAGTCCGTATTCTTCTTAATTAATGCTAAAAATAAGGTTTAATTCTCGCGCTCCTACAAAAAATAAGACCAGTGTTGCTTTAGACACTACTGCCCCCGACCAGCACGCACGCACAAACTATATTCGCCTATTCATGATTAGAAAGCGCTTAAGTCAACATGAGTTTTTCTCTTAACTTTTATTCGATTCGTAAGTTATTAAATATAAAAAGAAGCAAAGCTTTTATTACAAATTCGGTTCGGTTGCAAAGTGTACAACATGCTGCACCAATTAAACGTATTTGCATTGTGGGTGCCGGTCCAGCTGGATTTTATGCAGCTCAGTATTTGCTAAAACAGCTGAGCGATTGTGCAGTAGACATTGTGGAGAAGCTTCCTGTGCCTTTTGGACTGGTGCGGTAAAAACAAGAAACTTTTGCATTAAGGGTGCACTTGGGACTTTTTAAGTTTTAAGGATGTGCGGGGGTGGCAGCTGTCGCGTTGTTCAGGTTTCCAAGGAACGGTCCGAAGATTGAGCGAAATATTCCATTAAAATAATCTGAAAATAAAAGAATATGTTTACAAAAGCTTGGAAAGAAGATACATGCGGCAATTACTGCCGACTTGGTCCAGACTCCAAATCTGCGGAGTTGCGGTAGCCACTGCCAAAAAAGTCAAGGCTAGCAAACTTGCAAACAGAGGATAACGCCTCCACATCTTTAGCAGCTCATCAGGCAAGTGTCGAAGTCACTGCTACGCCTCAGGTGTTTTATACATACATATACATATAATTAAGTGCAGTTGCATTTACAGTTGCATGCCAAACATCTTGACATGTTTATCAGTCAATACTAATGGATTGCCTCATTATGCAAATTCGGCAATTGCAGCTTTGGTGTTGCACCCGATCACCCAGAGGTCAAAAACGTCATCAACACATTTACAAAAACAGCTGAACATCCGCAATTACGTTTTTTCGGTAACCTCACTCTAGGCACAGATGTGAGCCTAGAGGAGCTCCGCGAGCGCTATCATGCCGTCCTACTCACTTACGGCGCCGATCAAGATCAGGAGTTAAAACTGCCCAATGAGCAAAAGGCACATGTGGTTTCAGCCCGTAAATTTGTTGCCTGGTACAATGGACTTCCAGGGGCCGAGGATCTACAGCCCGATTTGAGTGGCAGAGACGTGTGTATTGTGGGCCAAGGAAATGTGGCCGTTGATGTGGCACGAATGCTGCTAAATCCACTGGATTCTCTAAAGGTAAGATTCATTGTCCTTTAATTCCAAAACTGTATTAAATTCATTGTGCTCCACAGTCAACGGATACCACGGAATATGCTCTGGAGGCTTTATCACGAAGTAAAGTGGAGCGGGTTTACTTGGTTGGCAGACGAGGGCCGCTGCAGGCAGCATTTACAATAAAAGAACTGCGCGAAATGCTTAAATTGCCTAATGTGCAAACGCTTTGGCGTGCTGGAGATTTTAAGGGTAGAGAACAACTTGTATTAAAAATGTACCTTTCAAATGTTTGATTTCCTTTCTATAGGCATAGACGCCGATTTCGCCAAGCTCCAACGCCCACGTAAGCGGTTGACAGAGCTGATGTTGAAAAGTCTTGGCGAACAGAGTACTAAAAGCGCAACAGAAAGCAGAAAACAATTTCTTCCTGTGTTTCTACGCGCACCAAAGTCAATTTTCGATCGAAATATGGAGTTTTCCATCACAGAACTACAGAATAATGTGGCAGTGGCCACAAATGCCACAGAGCAATTACCAGCGGACCTCGTGCTGCGAAGTATTGGCTACAAGTCGAGCTGCGTAGATTCTAGTATTTGCTTTGATGTCCAACGTGGTCAGGTGTTCAATCAGCGAGGCCGCGTTCTTAAGGATGCCAAGTCACAGATTGTGGATTCTGGCCTTTATGTTGCCGGATGGCTGGGCTCTGGGCCCACAGGTGTCATATTGACAACTATGAATGGGGCTTTTACGGTAGCAAAAACGATTTGCGATGATATCTTGAGCCATTCAATTGACACGTCCGCCCCCAGGCCGGGTCTGGATATTAGCGGCAAACGCGTCGTTACGTGGGCAGGTTGGCAGCGTATCGATCAAGCCGAGACCCAAGCCGGCAAGGAGAGCAACAAGCCGCGTGAGAAAATCGTCAGTGTACCGGAAATGTTAAACATTGCGGGCGTGTAAGATTTATGTAGTTTCAATTCTGGGAGTGTTTTCTATACTTGCAATAAGTATGTAAATTTGTATAAATACTTATATGTATAAGAAGCATTGTTGATCATAGTTAATATTTAGTTGCATAAAAATCGGAATTCAATAAAAAAAAATGTATGTAAGCAATCGTGAAAGCTCTTACAATTTTTAAAATCACCCTGTCTGTAGGAACGCAAGGATTTTAGGAAGTATAAACGCTAGAATAACCAAACAACCAAAAAGGACAAAAGTTTGTGTTTTATTTCGATATTATACCTAACATACATATGTACATGTATGTACATACATACTAAAGGAATGCAATGCAAAATAAAACAAACTGGCACAGCGTACACACATAGTCTCTGAGATCCAGGATCCTAGGATTTCGAGCATAATATCAATATTTTGATAGCTGGCAGACGCCAACTTAATAGGTAAGGATGTGTAGGACCGACTCGCGCCCTAACTCTTCGAGTGCTGTCTACTGATGAACGTGTTGTTCTTTAAAAGAGTGAAAACAAATGATGGCGGCTTACTTGGACATAAGGCAGATGACGCAAACATCCTGGCCAAACACTACTGCCTTTATATGAAGCCACAGATATTTTGCAGCAGTATTTGAAGAGCTTCAAAATGTAGGCAAAGCGCTGGAACAGCGCAAGAAGAGCTGTCCTGTTGAATAAATCCGACAGCTACAAGTATCCAGCACGCTAAAACCCCTCGCCCAATAACTGGCTAAAAACGGACTGAAAACGGCAGGACCTACGAGTACACAAAGTTGGTGATGTCCTGACTGAGCAAGCTAATTCTAGCAAGGCGTCTGATGAAATGCTGTATAAAAGGACGATTTGATATGAGAAGGAGGTAACACCCTATCGACCTTGGGACTCATATAAATTATATATAATATGAAATGTAAATAAGACTAAACTCCTAGATTAAGTTGTACTTGTATTTTTCTATAAGTTTAATTTCAGCTATGGTAATTTTGATTTGGTATTTTTGAAAGAGTTTTAAACCAAAAAGGTTGAAATTTTTAAAATTTACCAAGCACTCGGAGACTTTATTTTTGTTTAGACATTACTTCTATTGACTACAAATTTGTTAAGAGTATATTTTTTAAAAATTTCAATTACATTTTAAAAAGAATAATTTATCTTCAAAATTATCTGTACATGTAAAATTCGCAAGTATGAATGATTCCATAACTCCAGAGCCACATTTCTTGCCAGGGTAAGTTGTGGATAAGTAATGGAGCGGGCACGAAATCTTACCCAACATACTTATGTAGCTATACAGGGCATTGCACTCAAAATCGGATGCGTGTGGGGAAAACATTTGGGAAACAGACTCACAAATTGTTGATCGATCCGTGTATCTATCATGCACCAGAGCTCATTGTTTCCCCCATACACGCAAAGCTCGGATCGAAAGACTATCCAACCCAGCCAGAGATAAAACTCCTGAACGACCGGGAGCACTTTGTAGATTCCGTTTACCGGCATCCAATAATTCCCGGATATGCCGGATTTGTTCCTAACTTAAACCGACAGATGGGTAAACGTTATATGGCGGCAGCCGCCGCTGGAGTTGCTCAGCACGAAAGGTTAATGGAGCTCTATCGCTGCGAGAATCGCACTTTGCGTCATCGAGACCTACTTGAGAGTGGTAAAGGTCTCTTCGAGCAAAAACTTCATGAACGACTTGTAAGAAAACACTACTTTTGCATTTTGAAAAAAAAATTAACTCCATCTTTTTGAAGCTCCCAAAAACGTATTATCGTGCACCGCTCGTTCCGGTGGCAGGTCGTTCAAAGGGCATAAAGGAAGAGAAATGCCCTCCAAAGGCAGATAAGCTGCGATACTGTAAGTTTACTACGCCACACTTCTTGGAGGACGATGATGAGGACAAGTACATCATGAACGGTTACGCCGCTCACATCCCCATGGCCGTGGCGCGCTTCGGAGAAAGCAACAAAGTGCTCACCAACCGTGCCCTTAGCAGCTTTTCCGATTACATGTATAAACGCAAGCGGGATAAGTGGTGCTGTGGCCAAGATTTAAGTCGGCAGGGTATAACTTGTCCACCAGTGGGACACTTTGTAATATATCATGATAATATCGGTATGATACCGGCCTATGCGGGTCATGTGCCCGGTGAACTGTATAAGTTTGGACGCACATACGGCAAAACTACGTACGATGCCAAGCGATGGCTGGAAATACACAGAAATCTCAAAGTACTCCCAGAAGTTGCAAATCTTGACTACGAGTATTAAAGCCAACAAAAGAAATACATACTTACATACTTTTATTTTAAAGTATGCAACTGTTATTGGAATAAGACGCACAATTTTGAATCTTTATAATATCGAAGGACGGTCACACTATTTTTTGTGCTCCCTTTTAAGTACTTGAAGCGGCGTTATACAGCACTTGTTCGTCGTGCTTCTGCTTCTACGTCGTTGCAGTTGGTCATTTGCTTAATTCTGTGTTCAATCGTGTACAACTTGTTATCAATGTAGTGCCCAATTAATATTCAGTGCCTAAAGTGCTTTGTGGAATTATAAAACCTTCGGTCTTGGCAGTGAAAAACTAAAAAATTTCCATGAACGCCTTACGAAAAAATCACTTCGGAATTGAACAATTCAAACATATATATAGTGTCGTACTCTTCGCACTGTAACGCTGATACAGAACCGCAGTGCGTGCAAGCGAGCTATATAACAGCACGCAGATAACATACATTTGTGTACCTACCTCTCTTCAAGTGGTGAGTTGAATGCCGATTATTGTACCCTGCACGCAATGCAGGAGTTCGGCATATAAGCGCAGTCGGCGCCGAGTGTTAGATGCATCGAAGATGTATCTGAAATTACAGCAATGGAATGAAAAATAATCAAGTTGATGTGCACCATACGATTTGATGAAGTGGGGAGTTCTTTATTTCCGAAAAACTTGGTGATAGTGGTTAACGACGCTTACAAAGGTGAATGTCGTGTCGTTGCGACCCGGCCGCAATCAGCCGACTTGTTTATTAAAAGCGAACAAACGAATAAAAATAAAAACAAAAAAATATATGTAATTGTAGCAAAATGAGATTTACTGTTGGTGTGTTGAGTATGTTGGGAGAGAAAAGAGAGCAAGAATAGGAATGAATAGAGAATTGTGAAAAACCGCCAAAATATTTTGCATCGATTTTCCGGCCGGAATAACAAACGCGTATTTACGTCTTAACGTTTCCAATTGCAGCGCAATCTTTACCGAAGAGAAATGAGTGAAGTGCAGGACGTTGAAAAGGAGTCAACTGGGACAGATTCGCAGAAAACTGGGAAGGAAAAAGTAGATGGCAGTAAGGATAAAGATAAATCGAAAAAGCTTGAGGATGCACAGGCTCCTACCCATAATAAAGAAGTAAAAGACCGTGCAACACTTAAAAAACTAGAGCCAGAACGCATGGAAATTGAAACGGAGGAGTCAGGCAATGTGCTGGCACAAGAAGAGCAGGGCTCAACAGTAGGTAAACAGACGCACAGTGCCGCCACTGTGGACATCAACACACTGACACCTTCGACACCGTCGCAGACGCCACCACAGCTGTTGGCAGTCGAAACGACGACAACCACGGGAACTCCCAGTGGTGTAGGATCAGGAGCACCCATACCGGAAAACATACTATCGCCACCCAAGTCGGAAACACAAACAGATGAAACAAACACAGCGACATCGACGTCGTGCTCTCCGGCTTCAGATGGGCAGAGGTCCCCGGTAACGCCTGTAACGAATAAGCCGCCTGCTCAGAAGGAGTCGGTGACCCAAAAGCAAGAGCAGGTACCCGCAGCCATAAACGGCACTATACCAAAGTCGGGTAAACCACTAGTGACAGCACTCAACCAGAAAATGGGCAAGGCATTTGCATCTACATCTCCGCGAGCATCGCGTACTCGCAAACCTAAAGCCTTGCCCATGTACGAAAGTGAGATCAGTGACAACAAAGTGGGAATAAAGCTGTGCATAAAGAAATCTGATACTATTAGCCCGGCAGAGCCAGCGGTTGCAGCGCCGCCGGCGGCGGTTATCGCGCCACCACACCGGCCACCGGCCACTTCAAAAGCAGCTAGGAAGCGAGTACGCAAACCCAAGAAACAGGATAGCGACGAGAGTGAGTATGAGCCACGAAAAAAGAAAGGCGGTGGAGGCGGTAACAACAATGGTGATCGTCAGAAGAAGGCCTCTATTAGTGGCACTCAGCAAGCGGAGATGTCGCGGGAACCGGTGGAGCAAACCGTCTGGGGCCAGAAATTACCTGAAGAAGTTCTATTTCGTGTATGTGCCTAAATACCTGAAATCCTGTGAATTTTAAATTTCATATAAGCTTTGTATTTGCAGATTTTCGAACTTGTTGTCGATAAGGAGGGCTGCTTGCCCACATTATTCCGATTAGGGCGTGTTTGTTCGCTCTGGAGACAGGTTTCTCTTAGGCCTACTTTGTGGCGCACAATGGATCTGACTACCTGGATTAAGGAAAAATATCGCACAGAGCTTAAACTGAAGTGGTTTGTGGATAATCGTTGCAGTGCCTGCACTGAATTGAATATTGGTAAGTATTCTTATTCGCTTAGCCTCTAGCGGGAATTTGGAATACAATAATAATTGTTGTTTATGCAGCCAATTGGAAAATAACTGACATCAATTGTTTCTTGGCAAAATTGTCCAATGGTTGCCCCAATCTAGTAGGCATTACGCTATCCGGCTGGAAAGGTTTCACTTCGGACCATCTAACTTTTTTAGTGGATAATATGCAAAAGCTAGAACGACTGGATCTGAGTTCAATCAACGTAAGTTTTCGCAAAGATTGTAATCAAAATAAACATATCATTTATAAAAAACAAGTGGAAAACCTAAACACCTAAACCGACAAACACGTACTGCGTACACATATAATGTATATGTACAATTTGGTGTCTCTATCTCTTATAGTGTGTGAGATCCAGGTTCATAAGGACGAACAGACATGCAGGGCTAGATCATGCTGCCTGTTCCATTTTTCACTTCCCGCAAACTTACTATAAGTGCAATACTATAGAACTATAATAGTACATAATTATACACCGGAATTCGGATGATTAGTCTATGAATATATATGTATACAAACTCTTTATTTCTTTTTCCGTAGGTGGAAATGAATGCTAGCAAGAGCGCTGTTGGTGTCAATTCCCTGTGCAATGCTCTTCAGACAATGGGAAGTCGGTTGACCCATCTTCACTTAGCGCATAATCGATTGGCAGGCATACCACAAATTGTTAGCATACTTTCAGTAAGTCAACGGTGCCAATATACACAAATACAAAAATTATGTACTAATGACCAACGCCCTTTTTAGACACACTGTCCAAATCTGGCGCTTTTGGATCTCTCAAACGTTACCACACAGGCCACATCCCATGGCGTGCTGCACATTGAGAAGCTGCAAAATGGCTGCCAAAAGCTTAAGGTGCTGCGTGTCACCAACTCACACATAACGCCCAGTACAGCAAGTCTGCAGGAAACCGTAAGTAAACGCATTAGCTGATCACGATATCGGGGTTAACATTATTGAATTTAAATTGTTGGCTGATTCTTACAGATAGACTCACCCGGCTTTCCTAATCTCGAAGAACTCTCTGTGGCAGCTCTGACCGATGAGTCGCGCATTATAGGCGACGACCACTTACAACGCATCCTAAAAAGCAGTTCTAAATTAAAGCTGCTAGATGTGCGCAACTGCACGCGTTTAACGCATGAGTCTCTTATTCGTTTGCCGGCCTGGGACATCAAGCATTTATTCTTGTCGGGTTGCTCGGTGACGCGCGATGTTGGGTAAATGAACGTTGATATGCAGGGAGTAGTACATATATATATATATCCAAATTTCGCTTTCGATTCATATAGATCTGGGCTGGAGCTTATTGCTTCTAAATGGGCACATAGCCTTATTGAGTTAGATCTGGCCTGGGCTAACGTGCAACAAACGATAGACAATGCTTTGCGCGCCTTGGCTGAAAAGGGTAGCGAATCCCCTCTAGCGTGAGTATAACTGTATATTAAAATTTGAATTTTCATAATTGGTAATCAATGTGGTTTTTGCAGTCATCTAAATCTATGTGGATCTTCCGTCTCGGAGGAGGCAGTCAAGGAAATACTCACCAATTGCGTGAATATGAGCTCGATAAATTTGGCATCGTGCCGTGGACTCCCACGCGGGGTTAAGCGTCTAATGCAGGGACCACAGGAGCTACATGAGTTACGTGAAGTGCTAAAGGTGCAATTAAAAGTGCAAAAAGACAGCAGTGGGAGCAATTAATATTATTCGCAACTAATTTTTAGAACTAAACATCTCACTCACAACCAAACAGCCACACATCAAACAGCTACAGCGAAAACAATGTAGACAGGTTTTATTGTTACAGAGCCGCCTTGGTGGCTAATGCTGCTGCTCTTTCAGGCGGCAGTTTAAATGAAATTTAAATTGTTGCATCCTTCTACAAAAAAAAAAACAGATCGTTTTTGTTGTTTGTAGTGTAGAACCTGCAATATTGCAAAATGTATTCACAATCGCTTACATCTTCCAATGATGCGTATTTTGTTTCTAGAACGTATATAAAAATATACAAACATATTTAAATACTTTTAGCAACTTAGTCAACCGTCGCACCAAAAGTGCGACTGCTTCCCTTAACCAAACCCACTAAGCAGCTAATTATTCATATTATCCAGGGCAGCTACGCACGGATTTACGCTCTGCGAACTCGCCCTTTGTGTAAATGCAATATTAATATAAATGACTTTTTTCGAATTTTAACGGAAAACCATTAAATTTTCGCCACATTGACTAAACATTCAAGGACATTTAAACTGATGATTACTTAATTTTTTTTTTCAAATCGCATAAATGGTAGCTAAGTCAAACCGTCGTTTGTAAAGTTTGTATGTATTTGTAAAATTAAGTTAAATTCGTATGGTTTTGTATGGATTTCCAAAATGAAATTATTTACAAAAAAAAAAAAAAAACGTAGTTGTCAATTCGAAGTCGCTAAGACAATTTGTAGAAATTTTAATCGGAATTATATTATTGTAAATATTGGCGCTTAGGAATTTTCCTATTTTGAAATCGATAACGTACGCAATGCAGTTTTCATTGCAGGGTTTTAAATATACATATAGATAATAAATAACTACAATAATAATGAAGGTAATATATAAAGATAATAATAATAAAAGATATTGAATAATACAAGAAAATATATACACATATGTATATAAAACAATTCAATTGTTAAGCATTATTAGCGGTTAAGCGATGGTAATTAAAGGTACATTTAATTTAAAATAAACGAAAAAACTTGATTATCTTAAAACTGGTTCATTTCCGTTATTCAATCTAAAAGTATAATCGTTAACTTCCTCATTGCTCTGTCGTGGTAGGGCCTTTTCCATTGGTGAACATCCTAAGGTTAAAGCCTAAGATCCAATCTTCCTGGTATTTTCCTTTTAACCATAACTGGTTATATACGAACGTTTTAATTCTTATGCCTTTAATGTGCATTTGAATGCTCCTGCAGTGGGTATTTGTTTAATTAATTGAACGGCACAAATTTATTCAAATATGTATGTATTTAAAAGATAATTGGATTACATTATAATTTAAGCAGACTACGAGGGCATGCAAAATGATTAAGGCACCCGAATAACTTTACGGGCTAATGCAAAATGACATTTTGTTTTAGTTCTTCTTCAGCTTGTTGTCCACCTCCTGAATGTAATCTGTGCTCACTTTCACAATAATCGCACCACTCGCCAATCCCGCCACAGTGGCAAGCAGCGAATTGTTCTCCGGCAGCGCCGACTTGATCAGGGCCCAGGCGAGAACAGATCCCATGCTAAAGAGCGTAGAACCAAGGAGTGCATACAGGCCACGTTTGTTGCTCTGAACGTCACTTAAATGTGGTCTTCCATAGATGTAGAACCATGTTCCGACCACTGTGCTGATCAGAAATACATTTGTAAGGTCTTGTTTTCTCGGGAGCAGCTTGGGCACAATGTTTGGATTCATAACGTTTACTGAGAGCGCACCATAGCTGACCAGCCCATGCAAAGGTAAGTAGTAATTAAACACATTATCCTTGGTGAATGGTTTTAGGCCAATCTTATCGCAAATTGTGCAAGCGTCGTTCTTCGAGGTGTTAGCCATTATAAATACAATTTTAACCTTAATGCAAATGAAATAAAAGGCGACGGCGCTGCTTCTTCTTTGTTATGTAAAATAAAGTGTTGCCAAATAGTGTGGGTGTGAAAAATTCTGCCGGCTGCCCTTACATTCTATCTTGTGATTTTCATAAATATCTTTACGTTAGACAGGTAAAACATATATTTCAAAAATATATATTCTTGAAGGTATTTACTGTTATAAAACTAAGTTAATATATTGTAGATATAAACAGTTATAATCAGTGCTGCCAACTTTTTAAAGAAAAAAAAGCTGTTTTTGTCGGGAAGGCGAGTGAAATAAAGCATAAAACTTTTGCAAAATAGCGTAATAAAAAGCTAAATTTATTTTTACAAGAAATGCTTAAAAAAATCCTTGGAAAAAAATCATCTTGGTGAACAGTTTAAATGATATTTACGCATTTCGTCAAAATTCAAAAGCGGTCAATCTGCTCTATTGCTGTATGCTGAGCAAGAAAAAGGCACTGAGCTGCTTCTTTCTTCGGTAGCTTTACAAAACTAATTTTGTTTGTCCCATAGAGAGTCTGTGTTTCTTTGTAAGTGAGCCAAACATCACGACATTTTTCATTGCATTCTTTCGGCATTCCCACCTCTACAAATTAAGCGGATTTTTGAGATAAAGATGGTTTAAACTGGTTAAGTAATGTGTAGTATAACCACAGCAGTCTCTTTGTCAATACGTAGGGTCTACTTTCACAAGCGAGCGCCACTACTGTCATAAAAGAGTGGCATTATATACATAATTAGTAATTGTAAGTCACTTTTTGCATAAAAATAACTCAATAAACTACCATCATTAACCACACATATGTGATATATGATAAATGTTGGCAAAATTACATAAAGCGGAAAAAAAAACTAAATGTATTTTTAAAAAACCAGAGTTCCCGCTTCCCGCAATTTCGAATATTTTCCCGCAATCTCATTTCAAAAACAACCAGATTTGACGGGAAAAAGCCAAATTGGCAACACTGGTTATAATAGCAACAGGGTGGTGAAATCAAAAAGAATTTGCAACAGCAACGGTAGTGTTGTGGAACGGCTACATCACGGCTATTCTGATTGAAACAGGCCATCCACACGCGAATTTGTTGCCTGAATTTGTTCGGCAGCACAGATACATTTGGCGAACATTGCTCGCGAACATTATTTGCTACCAAATTTTGGCTAGTGCGCACGTTAAAGTGGATGCGGACGAAAACACGGTTTTCACCTTGATGGCAATTCAAATATGCGTATAGCAACAATATGATTAAATTTTCCCATGCGCAAATGTTTATTTTTGTAATTTTCAGTGTTATTTTTTCACAAGAAAGGCTCAGTTTAGAAGTATTCAATGAATTGGAGCAATAATTCGTTGCTCATTTGGCACGTGTTTACTCAAAAAATATTCTTTCAAATGATGTTCGTGGCAACAATGCCATCATTTCATGCAAAACATTCCTATTGGAACATTCAAATTTAACCCAAACAACTCCACAACGTTTCGATTCGAAAAGTTTCGGGTGTAACAAAGGTGTTTCCGTTATTTTCGAGGATAAGGCTTTAAATAAATGAATTAATTGGCGTGTCTGGCATGATATTGTGGATCGTTGATTTGAACTTGAGTTTTAATCACGTTGGAACGGTATTTTCGACCCTATAAGCCATGATATGCCGTGGCGTTGCCCATTAAGCCTATGTGAAGTGTAATAATATGCAGTGTTGCCAACTTTTTAGATGGAAAAAAGCTGTTTTTGTCGGGAAGGAGAGTGAAATAAAGCTAAAAATTATTGCAAAAAAGCGTAATAAAAAGCTAAATTTATTTTTACAAGAAATGCTTTAAAAAAACCTTGGAAAATACATTTTTTCATCATCTTGGTGAACATTTCAAAAGCGGTCAATCTGCGCTATTGCTGTATGTTGAGCAAGAAAAAGGTACAGAGCTGCTTCTTTCTTCAGTAGCTTTACAAAACTAATTTTGTTTGACCCATAGAGAGTCTGTGTTTCTTTGTAAGTGAGCCAAACATCACGGCATTTTTTATTGCATTCTTTCGGCATTCCCACCTTTACAAATTAAGCGCATTTTTGAGATAAAAATGGTTTAAATTAGTGATGTCATGTGTAGTATAACCACAGCAGTCTCTTTGTCAATACGTAGGGCCTACTTTCACAAGCGAGTGCCACTACTGTCATGAACGAGCGGCATTATATACATAATTAGTAAATGTAAGTCACTTTTTGCATAAAAATAACTCAATAATCTGCCCTCATTAACCACACATACGAAAATATTGATAAAAAATAATGATAAATCTGCTTCGTTTCCATTTTTTTACATAAATGTTGGCAAAATTACAAAAAGCGGAAAAAAAAACTAAATGTATTTTTAAAAATCCAGAATTCCCGCTTCCCGCAATTTGGAATATTTTCCCGCAATCTCATTTCGAAAACAACCAGATTTGACGGGAAAAAAGCCAAATTGGCAACACTGATAATATGTAATAGTAAAGACTTCGGTAAGCACTGAAAACCGGCATTAAAACCGAGTGGCAACACTTACCGGCCCGAAAGAGTGAGAGCAGGAGAGTAGAAAGCAGAAAAATTCTTACGAAAAATTTGTGGCTGGATATAAACCTTTGAAGTTGTTAATGTACACAGTTCTAAATAATTTTAAATTGAATAAAGTTTAAATTAATGTACGTGTTTAATGTGCATCAATAAACATCAACCGCGTGAAGACACCACGAAGCGTAAAAAGCGCCTTTGCGATTACGGAGACCAGCACTGGCCAAGGAAGACATGTTGACGCACAAAACTTGTCAGGGACGTAAAAAAATGCAGGTAAGACAATCTCACCAAAGGAGTTTCAATAAAAAAGATGATTCAAAATACAAAACCGCTAAGTGCGCCGAAGGGCGGAGCGCCTGCTCGAATTCTCCGAGAAGTGGGTGGTGGAAACGTACATATGTATATATGAGCATATACCGGTGCTTTAATTAAATTACACGACGCAAATAAACGATTTTGCAGGTTTCCTTTGTGATACGGGACGCGGAGGAGAAACAGCATCGAAATGGTGTCAACGCGCTGCAGTTAGACGCAAACAATGGGAAGTTGTACTCGGCAGGGCGTGATGCTATTATACGTGTGTGGAATACGCGCTCGGAGTCCATGTATATACAATCAATGGAGCATCACAACGACTGGGTTAACGACATAGTGCTCTGCTGCAATGGTAGAAACCGTGAGTATCCCAAATTATTAGCTTTTTGTTGAATAAAGCAATCAATCTGCTTATTATCAGTCATTAGTGCCAGCTGTGATACCACCGTAAAAGTTTGGAACGCACATAAGGGCTTCTGTATGTCTACACTACGCACACATCGCGATTATGTGCAGGCGCTAGCTTATGCGAGGGATCGGGAACAAGTTGCCAGCGCTGGTCTGGATAAAGCAATATTTTTGTGGGATGTAAACACACTTACAGCATTAACTGCCAGCAACAACACCGTGACAACCTCTAGTCTTACCGGCTCGAAGGATTCGATATACAGTCTGGCCATGAATCCCTCTGGAACGGTAATTGTAAGCGGCTCTACGGAGAATATATTGCGCATATGGGATCCACGTACTTGTATGCGTAGCATGAAGTTACGCGGACATACGGAGAACGTGCGCTGTCTGGTGGTCTCTCCTGACGGAAGCCAGGTAGTCTCCGGCAGTTCAGATGGTACCATCAAAGTATGGAATCTGGGTCAGCAACGATGCATACAGACTATACATGTACATAAAGAGGGTGTGTGGTCACTACTAATGAGCGAGAACTTCCAGTACATCATTTCGGGAAGTAGGGATCGGAACATCATAGTGACTGAAATGCGAAATCCGAGCAACAAGATGCTGGTGTGTGAGGAGAAAGCGCCGGTATTAAGTTTGGACTACAACATTGACAAAACCGGTGTGTGGGCTACGACATGGAACTCTGATATACGTTGCTGGAAGTTGCCCATGTATGATAGATGTACGCTAAGCTCAGGCGGTATGGATGCACAGTGGACCTTAGGCGGCACGGAGCTGGCGTGCATCAAAGGTGGTGCTGCAATTAAAGAGTGCACAGTGCTGAATGATAAGCGATACATCATAACGAAGGATTCCCAGGACCAAGTTGTGGTCTATGATGTGCTGCGTGTGGTAAAAAAAGAAGAGCTTGGCCAGGTTGATTACGAAGAGGAAGTCAAGAAACGTAACAAACAAGTCTACATTCCAAATTGGTTTACAGTTGATTTAAAAACTGGCGTGAGTATCGAATACATATGATTTCCAAAAATATAAATTTAAAAAATGTTCTCACAGATGCCAACGATAGTTCTGGGCCAGGAGGAAGTCGATTGTTTCTCGGCATGGGTGTCCATAGAGGCAGGCCTCCCAGAGTGTGTTGATCCTACGACAGAAATAAAGATCAACTATGGTAAGCTATTGCTTGAGGCACTGCTGGAATACTGGACGCCACCACACAGCATCCCGCCAAATGAAATGGAGCCGGATCTACGCGGCAACGGATATTTCCAAGTGCCCAAGCACACACCGGTTATATTTAGGTAAATCAATCTAGTTCTATGCATATCATGACCTATGTAAAAGGTTTGTCAATCTTAAAGCGAAGTGGGCGGCCGCACCGTTTGTCGGTTGCTCGTACGCGATGCTGCAGGTGATAGTGAGAGTACCTTGCTGCATGAGACAGCACCACAATGGGTCACAGACGTGGTCATCGAGAAGAATATACCAAAATTCCTAAAAATCCCATTCTTCCTACAACCCCATCCACAGATGGCAAAGCCGGAACGACCTAAAAAGGTATGTGTATAGAATAATGCCCAGAAAATGGCAATTTATATCGATTCCTTTATTGCATTTCTAGGACCGTTTGGTGGCTAATGAGTTTATACAATGCCGAAAGGTGTGCGAGCATGTGCTAGAGAAGGTGCTGAATGCGGAGACAACTCCCAGTGGGGGAAATGCAAACAATTCACTGCAAAACAGTCAAAGCGATGCAAACTCCGAGGGATCGCAGCTACCGGCCGAAGAGCGCATTGAACTTTGGTGCAATGATGTGGTAATGAATATCAACAATTTATTGCAATCAAGATTTTATGTGTTTGGTATGTCCATAGGTTGTTGATCCCAACATGGATTTGCGTACGGTGCGTCACTTTATATGGAAGCAATCGACTGATCTAACGTTTCAATACAAAACGAAGCAAAATTTTAATTATGATGGTAAATAGCAAAATCCTTGCTCAATAACATACTGGCCACAACATACATACGCAACCATTCACATAATGCTGTTGTTTTCACCAAGCCTGTGCAGTTGCCGTCTTTTCAATATTAGTGTTGTACTTATAGGTTCAATCGGTGATAGTTTGGAGCGTGTGACCCGCAAGTATTGAGCATGAGCTGCTCCCAGAGTACTATGACCTATTTTATGGCGTCGCTTTCCACAAATGTGCATGTGATTCCTCGTTTTTGAAAAAAAAACCCCGTCAAAGTTGCGAGAAAGTATTTGTATGTAGTATATGTTTTGTCCTGTGGACTAACCCTTGATATTTATTTTTATTCAAACATTTGTCCCGAAAATGGTCACACTTTTAAAAACAATTTGTTGTTGTTGAGGAATAAAGTTAGTTCAGACTTAGATGAAGCTAGTTTGCAACATAAAACGATGCATAAATATCAACATACACACACACACATACCATTTATAAACAATTTTTTAAAAAGCATGTTGCGATTGGCCCGTACAATACATATATGCCTAAGTAAAATTAGACGCGCCAGCGTTATTCACAGTTGTTTACTTAGATTCACATAAACATATATGTAGTGTATATGTACCTACATCTATATATTATATATAAATATTTATACATATATATATATATATATATATATATATATATACGTATAACTATAAGTATAATGTTACATCGTAAAATTACAGATTAAAAAAAAACAATGCAATTGTAGAAATAATAAATGCTCTACGGAAGCCAATTTGTACATACATACATAAATAGGTAACAGATAAATATAAAACGATCAAAAATTCATTAAATTATTTGGAAATCAAGCTTGGCTTTACTTTCCACAACGGCTACAACATCTATTGATACTTAATTACTACCGATATAAGTTTCATCAGGCGGTTCGGAGCAATCCCGTAACGATCCACAGGTGGTGGCTGTACCTCTCTCGCTTGCATTTCACGGTTTCGACGATCTCCTCACCTCCGCACCATAAACCGCGGCCGTCTGGTGTTCGCCTGGGTGCGATACGTTTCGATGGAGCCCAAGAGGGCGAGCAGTTGCTGCTTCAGCGTCATTGGTATGAAGTAACTCTCAATGGCTTCTCTTGGTGAGTCGCCGCTACGAACAAGCATCTTAACAATCAGCCACAAGCAGTTCTCTTTCAGTGTTCGCAAAGGAAAGTGAATGAGAACTTGGCTTCGTACATCGCACATTTGATCCGGTCGCTGAGGATGCGGAACCCGTATACGCACTGGTGAAAACAAACGCTTGGATCGCACATGCATACTCTCTCCAGTATAGTAGTCGCGGAAAAACCAGCTGTGCGTATTATAGGTGTTAACACGCACTTCCTCATTCGGTTTAAGCGTCAAGTAAATATTGTCGTTTTCACGCTCACATATCCAGTATAGATCCAGTGTTCGATTGGTTGTATTTATAAAAAGCACAAAGACCTCGACTAGTTCTGGCGGCAGTAAAGGGCGCTGCGGTGGTTGCCCATCACGCCAATTGCGGTTGTTGCGTGCAATCTGCAGCGACATCTCAAGCAGCGCGCTTAGCCTATCAGCAATTGCCAGGAAATCAATTGTTGCAAATTGTTTGTTCAAACGCCAAGTAAAAATATGTATTCATTGGCAACTAGAGATGAAAGACATACGATAGTGCCATCGATAATGCTGATAAGGGTACTCCACAAGAGAGTTGGCAGTTTTTTTCCATATGAAAAGTTGGCAGCTCACAAATTGGAACTGATTTAGCCCAGCTGTTTTATCAACAGTAAACAACATGGCATTCTGCATTGCAATTATTGGGAAGGACGTGAGTTTATTATTTATACACCTTCTATCAAATAACACTCTTGTTTTGTCAGAATGCGCCACTGTACTTGGTTACATCGGATGTGGAAAAGGAGTTGGACCTTCAGTACCGAGTTCACGCCGCACTAGATGTCGTGGAAGAGAAGTGTCAGCTCCTGGGCAAAGGCGCTCCGGAGACGAAGGAACTATACCTTGGACTGTTATATTCAACAGAAACACATAAAATGTACACATACGAGATATTTAAAAAGTTAAATTTTATTTTAGAATTATTATAATTGCAGCTATGGCTTCGTTACAAATTCCAAAATTAAATTTATAATAGTAATCGACTCTAGTAACGTTGCGCTACGTGAGAATGAAGTTCGTGCGGTAGGTTTGGCAAATAATTATGTACGTACATACCGTGAATGTAAATCTCCTATTATACAGATGTTCCGAAATCTGCACATATTATGGAATGATGCCGTTTGCAATCCATTTTATATTCCAGGAGAGCAACTGAATTCAAAGTAAGCATTATTCATACTTATAAGTACATACATATGTATATTGACTTCGTAATTTAACTTGAACTCTTACTCTACAGAAAATTTGACCGAGCGGTACAAAAATTAATGAGTGGCAATGTTTAGCCAGATAGTAAATGTCTCTATGCACGTTTTTACTTTGTGTATTAAACTACAGACGATAAATATACTTTGCCCCGTGGGCGGAATAATCATTTTAGTAAATAAATAAATGCATATTATATATACAAATATAATGTTTAAGATCAATATAATAAATAAAAAATTTATAAAAATTTACAGTGCTTGAATAAACAAGGTTATTTGTTCTGATTTGTACACTTTGGGTATTCAAAGTAGCAGTGGTCTGAGGTCAAGTATAGAGGCATGGATTTTGAAAAACTGGCTTCTCTGCTGCATTTCTGCTTGACCCTAAGCATACATATGTTGTGTGGTTAGTGCCCTAAGTATGAAGCGTTTACAACTTGAAACCTGCTTGGTGGCCATATAATAAATGATTATATTATTATAAAAATACATATGTATATGCAAATTGATTTGTCTATAAAAAAAGGTTGGATTAAATATCAATTAATTATTAGTTTATTATTAAAATTCATATGTGGGTATACAATTTGACAGATTTTAGCTGTCTGGACAACCATGAGCTTCCGCTTTAAGCATTGTTATATACGTGCTACAAACAACAAAATACAAATTTCGTGAGCTTTTCGTAAGATTAATTAAAATGAAAATTCATTGAATTCTTTGACGCGGTACCATATATAAGAATTGGAACGTGCTCTTCGGCTATCAGTCGATTTTGTAAGTCTACAAGCGCACAAAATGAAGTCCACAGTGAGTAGTTCAAGATGCCAGTACGCGTCCTTTCAGGATATCCCAGGACTAAAACATTTCCTTTTGTACACAGCTTGTTTTTGCCTGCTGCCTTTTGGCTTTCGCTCACGCCAACGAGAACGCCAATGTACTACGCCATGAGGCTGAGGTCAATGTGAATGACTTCAAGTATGCGTTGGAGCTGGACAACTCCGTGAACATTCAGCAACAGGGTCAACTAAAACCCAGTGAACGCGAGCCCAACGAGCAGTGGGTAGTGGAGGGTCAACATTCGTGGACTTCACCGGAGGGCGAGCCTGTTGCCATCCAATACCTCGCAAACGAAAACGGTTACCAAGTTCTGTCCGCTAACCCACCACTGCCAACCCCACCACCAATTCCTGAGGCCATTCAGCGAGCCTTGGACTACATTGCCGCTCATCCTCCACCAACGGCTACCGCTAGCTTCTAAAACCTAATTTCTTTATCAATAAAATAAAATATTAGAATAAACTACTGTATGTTTACTGAACTTTGACTTTCGATGCACAGCATTAATTTGCAAATTATTGACTTGAACGTATAGAATAAGTTTGTCTAATTAAAGCCCATTCAATTCAGATCCAGTTATAACCAAAATATCGACTGCATTTTCGTTGTCATTAGTGAAATTTATGCCCCATTTGTAGCGAGTGGTTTTACCAGTTGTGAAATGCCAGCACATGACTATAAAAACGCAGTCGAAATTTAACTTTCATTAGTTCTGCTTAGCATTCAGCCAACTTAGCTACATTAAACCACCATGAAATTCGTGGTAAGTGATATGAGGATGCACCCTCAGAATTCAAATAGTGCAGACGACTTATGGACTTACATATACACATATGTGTGTATATTCCTATAGATTGTGCTCGCATGCCTTTTGGCCCTGGCCTATGCCAACGAAGAAGCCGCTGTCATCCGCAGCGATTCTGTTGTGAATCCGGATAGTTTCAAATACGATTTGGAGCTGGACAACCATATCAAGGCTAGCCAGGAAGGCGCTCTCAAGGATAAGGATGAATGGGTTGTCCACGGCTCTTACGAATATATTTCAAAGGAAGGCAAGCCCATTAAGGTTACCTATGTTGCTGACGAGAAAGGCTACCAACCCGTCGTTATCCAGTAAGACGATTCCTTTTGCGAAATCCTTTTAGTTGATTGATGCTTAAATAAACTGCATGGTTGATGAAAATCGAATCTGTTCTCAATGAACACACACTTTAACCTTTCTTTAAGATTTGTTTGCTTAGTTTTAACTTTTCTTTCGTGGCTGGTTTGAATCTGACAGACGGACAGACGGACAGACGGACAGACGGACAGACGGACAGACGGACAGACGGACATGTCTAGATCGATTTCTCTCGTCATGCTGATTCAGAATATATATACTTTATGGGGTCGGAGATGCTTCCTTCCGCATGTTACATACTTTGCACAAACCTAATATACCCTTTTTACCCTACGGGTACAGGGTATAAAAATGATAATATTTGGAAATTAAATTGTGAAATTTGAGAAAAGTTAAATAAAAATGTTGAGGGCGCCCTCCTCTGCGATTCTCATACCAAGTATCAAAGCGCTAACTAATCGAGAATTAATTTGTGAAATTTCTAAAAAATGAAAAAATAAATTTGTGGATTTAAATTGTGAAATTTCTGATTAATCAAAGTATATTTTGTGGCCAACCTCTTCTGCGATTCTCACACCAAGTACATAAAGGTCGGCAATTCGAGAATTAAACTGTGAAATTTGGTAAAAATTAAATTATAAAAAATAAATAGTAGAATACCATGTGACCATAGACGTACTAGTATTTGCATACATATGTATATTGTATGTATGTAAATTTCTAAAAAATAAAAATTATGATATTTTGAAATTAAATTGTGAAATTTCTGATAAATTAAATTAAAATATTGAGCGCGCCAATCGTAGATTGTCATACCAAGTACCTAAGCGTGGGCAAATTAAAGTGTGAAATTTCTGAAAAATAAAAAGAATAATATTTTGAAATTAAATTGTGAAATTTCTAAAAAATTAAATAATAAATTTGTGGATTTAAATTGTGAAATTTCTGATAAATTTAATAAAAATATTGAGCGCGCCAATCGTAGATTCCCATACCAAGTACCTAAGCGCTGGCAATTCGAAAATAAAAGTGTGAAATTTTTGAAAAATAAATAATAATATTGTGAAATTAAATAGTGAAATTTCTAAAAAAGGAAATTAAAATATTGTGGGCGCCCTTCTCTGCGATTCTCATACGAAGTACCTTAGCGGTTGCAAATCGAGAATTATATTGTGAGATTTCTGTAAAATCAATTAATAATATTGTGAAATTAATAGTGAAAGTTCTAAAAAATGAAATAATAAATTTGTGGATTTATGATGAAATTTCTGATTAATTAAATAAAAATACTGTGGGCGTCCTTCTCTGCGGTGAAGTTTCTGAAAAATTAAATAATAATATTGTGAAATTAAATAGTGAAATTTCAGAAAAATTTAATTAAAAGGCGCCCAGCCTTCCTCTGTGATTTTAATACCAAGACCTAAGCGCTAGCAAATAAAAAATTAAATTGTGAAATTTCTAAAAAATTAAATAATAAATTTTTGTATTTAAATTGTGATTTTTCTGATAAATTAAAGTATATTTTGTGGCCGCCCTTCTTTGCGATTTCCTTACCGTTGGGGCTGTGCGTTGATTACACATAGCTTTTCGTGTCCCAATTTTCCCATGGGAAAATCCTATTATACAGGTCCCAGCAAACACCAAGTATTTTTGTATTTCCTCCGAGAGTATACAAACTGAAGTTAATAGGATAAAAAATGTAGATTTTCCCCCCTTTGGAGTTCGAATTTTCCAAAATTTTATTAGTGCTCACTTTCATTGCGAAAGGAAACTTGTGTCCATATTTCAGCTTCCTACCTCTTACCGTTTGGGCTGTGCGTTAATTGCCAATCAGTCAGTCAGGACAAACCGTTTTATGTGTATAGAGATTGATTCGTATGACACGACGTCCATTTGTCGGTTTTTCTGTTTATCTGTATGTACGCGAAGACCTCGGAAAATAAATGTACTAGCTTTCGAGCTTGGTACTACTTGTACAAGTATATCTGAAAAAGAACAAGTTTTGTTTTTTCTATACACACCCCACAATTCGTGATTTTCCAATAACTCCCGTAAATTTTTGTATTTGTATTTGAATTTTGTAATCAGATTTGGCAAACACTTCCTATGAATCCGTATGCCAACTTTCATTACGATATGTTAATTATGCCGAAAATTAAAGCCACACGCATAGGCACGCACAATTATTATACACATACAAGTATGTACAGAGTATATTTCTAAAAGGTAAGCATCTTCCAAAGTTATCTTTTTGTGTCCCATTTACACTCCATTCCCTACAGGTGCTGTATGTTTTTTATGAACAAACAAAATAGTTTTCATTTTCCCTGGATTCTGGTTGTATTGAATTTAGTTCGAATATTAATCGAAAATCGAAAATTCAAGCTGCAACTGTAACTGAAGCCGCTAAACCGATTTCGCTTTACTGTCTTGAGGAAATAGTAAAACAACCCTTTGGCTTTTTAATAGACAATACTCGTATATTTTGAGTATTCGAAATTGTCAGCCAAAAACGAAGGATGAATTTTTGTTGAAAGAATAATCGCATAATGTTTGTCCTGAATTGCTTGTTTCAAAATTTTCAACAACCCAACATGTCAAACGTTTTCGGATGCATTAAATAATTTAATTTAAATTAATTTTTAAAATATTAATTTTTTTCTCTTTTGTGGGAGTGGTGCAGGGTATTTCACCGTCGGGCTTACTAGATTGTTGCATTCTCTCTTGTTTAAATATTCTATTCTCAAAACGCTCTTCTCTCTTTATAGTTAACCATTGTTTTGACTTGGTAGTGAATCTAGATTCCGGTTAAAACCTGTTCAAACGGAACAGGCAGAAGGAGGCGTGGCAGACTCCACAAAATATATATATATCCTTGATCAGGGTAACAACCCGAGTCGATATAGCCATGTCCGTATGTCTGTCTGTCCGTCCGTATGAACGCAAGGAATTCAGAATGTATAAGAGCTACTTGTAGAATAAACAAACTTGGTTTCCAGATTCTCCTAAGCCTGTGAAAGGACGAGCTTGTGTTTTTTTCGCTGATGCCACCCCCCACTCGCCGGCAATTGGTGACTTTCCATAGCTCCCGTAGATGAATCTTGGCACTCGGACACATAATCACTTACAGGAGAAATGTGACGAATTTGATCAATAAATTTCAAGAAATTTGGGCGTTTTGGAAAATCACTAATTGCAGGGGAGGGGGGAAGTTGGGAAATTAGTTGGTGCCCTTATCTCTTATAGTTTCTGAGATCCAGGTGCTTATACGGTTCATGATCGACTAGTCTTGTCATGCTGATCAAGAATACATATATTTAGATACATACTTTGTGGGTCTGCCATGCCTCATTCTGCCTGCTACATTTTTCACTTCCCGCAAACGTATATGCACACTTTATGTACAGAGTATTATTAATTGCACTTGGAGTGCGTGTTTTTAAAATTTTTAATTAGAACTCAGTTTTTATTGTAATGACTTAGATGGCTTTAATTGAAAAGTTATTATCTGCATTACTGCTGGTCCTGGGAGGGATGATCACGAATATAATCCAGCGCTCTTTGGATAGCCTCTGGAATTGGTGGTGGGGTCGGCAGTGGTGGGTTGGCGGACAGAACTTGGTATCCGTTCTCGTTTGCGATGTATTGGATGGAAACAGGCTCGCCCTCTGGCGAAGTCCACGAATGTTGACCCTCCACTACCCACTGCTCGTTGGGCTCGCGTTCACTGGGTTTTAGTTGACCCTGTTGCTGAATGTTCACGGAGTTGTCCAGCTCCAACGCATACTTGAAGTCATTCACATTGACCTCAGCCTCATTGCGTATCACATTGGCGTTCTCGTTGGCACGGACGATGGCCAAAAGGCAGGCGAATGCGATCTATTCGGGTTGGGTGAAGAAGACCCACGTCAGATACAGATATTGTTTTGTAAATCCCAATAGTATGGTGCAGGCGCAGAAACTTACGATAATCTTCATATTGTTGGTTGTTTACTTCTGCTTCGACTCAACGGCAAACTACTACTGTAGTTTGGCAGGCAAACGGCCGTTTTTATACAAAAATTGTTAATTATTTTTGTTCAGCTAAGCTCATCACTCTTTCGCTTGAGCCAAACAAACAGATGGTGATGAAAAATACACATGTCAAAGTGTGCAGACATTAAAAAAATGAGTTATTCCGAAGACGAAAACCATAAAGCAAAACAAAACAAAACAAAACGGCAACCTCATCTCAATTCTCGTTTTGTCATCTTGGGTTTGAATTGATATTTGAACTTCATGCCGCACACGCGAGTATACTACGTGTGTACATACAAATATGTAATTATGTAATTAATTCTGTTGGATTTTTCACTATACTTGTGTACTTCCAAGTTATTTTTGACTCTGTTTCGTATCGGACACCTTAAAGCTGCCGATATTGCAACACATTAGTTAGTATTTGAATTACAAATTACGAAATGTTTCTAGCCTGACAATGATGCAACAGTTTTAAAAAAATTGTATTTTACTTATTTTTTAGAGCGAGTACCCAAAAGGTAAAAGGCTATACAAGTTTTTTTTTTTATATTCATAATATCAACAATAATACTGTCGATTATATTATAAAACTTAATATAACAAATGAAACTAAACAAAATAAAAGATATGAAAGCCTAACACAAAGCTGTACATGACGTCTATTAATGCCTCCGACACGTTGGGGGAATTTTATTTGCCAATTGGCCAGCTATGCCCCGATTCACAGCCATATGTAGTCAGAGACATTAAATACCTAAAAAAAGTAGATAAAGGTGAAAAATTAAAATAATTAGAAAAAGTACGAAGTAGAACGAGAAAGAGAAAATGATAGAAGGAAAGAGAGATAGAGAAACAGAAAAAGAGAAAGGTGGAAAGAGAGACGAAAAGAAAAAGAGGGAAATCTCTAACCCGGTGGGGGAAATTTAAAATGCCAGTCCGGCAAGCTATGCCCCAACTCACAGCAGTAAGTGGTCAGAGACTTCCCCGAAGATAATTATAAAGAATAGTGTTGATAGAACAGAGAGAGAGAGAGTCCTGTCGAAAGTAGTAAATGTGAAAGATCATTATAATGTCTGCACATAACCCGAAAACGATTGTGCAAAGCGTAATCAGTTTTGCATCTTGCCAATATGAACGGCAAATAATTCCTTGTTGGTCTACATCATCTACGTCTAAACTATATGTGGAGGCCAAAATTTTGGGTCACAAATAATTGTAAAAGCCTCAGGCGGAACACTTATTTTAAACGAGGCTATTTCACGGGGCTCATAGGCTGCTATAGATTCACAAGTGGTATCGGAAGATAATCTTGATAAAAAACTTGTCTTCTGGGAGCTATAACAGTAAGAGCCGAGGGCTGAGGTAGAGCAGCAACTGACGCACATTCTGCAGCTCATGATGAGACCGCAGGGGAAGTTGCAGAACATTTTATGGAGGAAGCTTTCTTAGAAGCTTTCGAGGCCACCTCTGTCTTACTTACTGCAGGAGATTCTATCAACGGGGATAAGGTGACCTGAGCAGGAGAAGGCACAGGGGAAATTTCAAACAAATTTCTAGGGGAAGCAGACAACGAGATTGCTGGCGATAGATCAAGCTCTACTGGAGAACTTGGGCGTAATGAGGTTGACGGCGCCGAGCAAGGCGGTACCTCTAGAACTTGAGGCTCTAACCTACGATTGGCCGGAGACACATTAAAAAAATAAAATAAACTCGTCCTTTCTCGGACCTAGGAGAATCTGGATGCCAACTTTGGTTATTCTAGCTTTTGTAGTTTCTGAGATCCTTGCGTTCATCCAGACGGACGGACGGACGGACAGACGGACGGACATGTCTAGATAGATTTCTCTCGTCATGCTGATCAAGAATATATATACTTTATGGGGTCGTAGATGCTTCCTTCTGTATGTTACATACTTTGCACAAACCTAATATACCCTTTTTACCCTACGGGAACATGGTATAAAAATGTATTTCGCACGTCATTATACATATGTATGTACGTGAGAAATTAAATTGGATGTCAATGCATACAGGGCATGACCACCTCAAACCACCACAGCCTTTTTTAGGTGAGTAAACTTTGTCGAGGTCACGCCCACTTAATCCTGCACATTTAAAATTCATAAAATTCTCGCACAACCAACAGTTAACAAACCGAAGTTGATCAGAATCAATTGCATCTTTAACTGTGCAAGACTTGTTGCAGCAAAACATTGTGGGCAGAATAAATACAAGTACATGGATGAATGACCTAAATAACGTAAATAAAGCAAAGATTAAGAAGAGTGCTGTAAGCAACAAGTAAAAAAGCTAAAGTCGGGTGTCCCGACTTTGAAATACTCTGTACATATGTTTACAATAATTATAGAAAATAAAAAAAATTAGGAAATAAAAAAAAAATTTGATCGATTTTACCTTTTTTGGTATTCGAACTAACGTAAAGGGTGTATAATTGCACATTTACATAGCAATTGCGTCTATGTGAGTGTATGTATGTATATGCTCGTATATTCGTGTCTGAGTAAACATGTTAGCAGTCAACCAAACAGCAACACCAACAATAGCCGCGGGTAGCTCTTGAGCAGCAAATATATTTATGACTATAACTTCTTGTTAAATCGGTCTATCATGATGAAACTTGGCGTACGGACACATAATTACTAAGAAGAATTACGGGAGTTAGAGAAAATCGCGATTTGCGGAGGAGAGGGGGGGAGGGAGGCAAATTCCAAAATACACATTTTCTGATGCCACCCCCCACTCGCCGGCAATTGGTGACTTTCCATAGCTCCCGTAGATGAATCTTGGCACTCGGACACATAATCACTTACAGGAGGAATGTGACGAATTTGATCAATAAATTTCAAGAAATTTGGGAGCTATGGAAAATCACTAATTGCGGGGGAGGGGGATGTTGGGAAATTATGAAATACACATTTTTTGCATATTCATGTAAGGCATCTTGGACTTTGGTGTCCTTATCTCTTATAGTTTCTGAGATCCAGGTGCTTATACGGTTCATGGTCGACTAGTCTTGTCATGCTGATCAGGAATACATATATAGTATGTACATATACTTGTATACTTTGTGGCCCCATTCTGCCTGCTACATTTTTCACTTCCCGCAAACGTATATGCACACTTTATGTACAGAGTATTATTACAGTTTTTATTGTAATGACTTAGATGGCTTTAATTGAAAAGTTATTATCTGCATTACTGCTGGTCCTGGGAGGGATGAGCACGAATATATTCCAGCGCCCTTTGGATAGCCTCTGGAATTGGTGGTGGGGTCGGCAGTGGTGGGTTGGCGGACAGAACTTGGTATCCGTTCTCGTTTGCGATGTATTGGATGGAAACAGGCTCGCCCTCCGGCGAAGTCCACGAATGTTGACCCTTCACTACCCATTCCTCACCACTTAGTGCACCCTGTTGCTCAATGTTCACGGAGTTGTCCAGCTGCAACGCATACTTGAAGTCATTCACATTGACCTCGGCTTCATTACGCAGTACACCGGCATCTTCATTGGCACAGGCCAGAGCCAGAAGGCAAGCGAAAGCGATCTGTTGCAGCAAACAGAAGGATGTTAGGTGTTTATATCCAATTTGCGTGCTCTTTTAGATCTACTTACCAGGAATTTCATGTTGCTAATTTTGTTGTGTTGTGTTTAAGATCGTTGTTAAACGTTGAATGCTGCTGTGGACAAATGGCTGGCTTTTTATACAAAATTTGATACATTTTTCGCAAGCGGTTTTGCCAAGCGCCCTCGAATTTTAGTTTAAACGCCTTAGAATGATATGGCGAAGATGATCGAACCACTACTCAAGCAACCAGTTCAAAAACAACATATTTCCATTTTTAAAATTATTCATGTCCATTAGGTATTCGATTCAGTCCGGAGTTAAACTAAGCTCGTTATTAAATTTATGCTCGTTTTTTTCTACTTTTGCTTTCATTGGTATTTAGTTAATGCCATTTTTGATTTCCAAACAATAGCATAAGATGCTTAAGTATGTAGTATGTATGTATGTACTACATAATTACTATAGTATATGTATACTCTTATATGTAAACTCGAATGATGAAAGCGGCGGCTTGATTCTTTTCTCGCCAAAATATAGTCGAACACCAAACACATTAAAATGTATATTAGTGTCGTACACTACAATTTATCACCCATTTTATATTCTCGTCTGCTGTATCAAAAGACTTAATTGAAATTATCACTAAATAAAAATCTAGTTGTGGTCATGGTGTGTGCGGCTACCTGTTCTGGCCAGGGCCACGATACTCATGGCATAGAAATCAATGTTCTTTTAGGAGCTAACTCACATCCATCCATCCCACCCATTCCAGTTTTTCACGTGATGAGCACGTGTTCAGTGACATAACGCCGTATTATCAAGTTCAAAAGTTATTACGTATACAACACGTTTGCAAATTTCGTAACCAGTAACACTAATTCAGGTAGTACATGTATTGTGTGTTTAATTTTTTTTGATAGTCGGAGTAATTAGCCGAGTCATGTTCATTAGCCAATGGGTGCTTGATTACACCCAATAGCGCTTCCGTTACTTGTATACCCTTTGAGGAAGAGCATACAAGAATTCAATGATACATAACCTATCGATCTAGTTATATCTGTCGATACATATAAACCAATTTTGATGATTCTTCAAAATCTACGTATATAGAAAGTGCATTTCTATTTGTAAATGTTATTTATCTTAAATATCTACGAGTATATACTTTATGATGGCAAAACTATTAAAAATTCTGCTTTAAAAAAACCAAGCAATCACATTAACTTTTGAAGAGCAATTAATACCACCAATAAAATTATCTGTTAGAGCATAACATTATCAAGGACCCTGACGGCTCACTGACTAAGAATATCTATAAATTTTCCCCTTATTCCATATTAAAAAGACAAAATTACAACTTGAATTTAATTTGTAAGCGACAAATAAAACTCAGGTTCATTTCATTTCCTTTATTCACAAAAATTGATGTGTATCTATAATTTGTTAATAATAAAGATTGCAGGTTATAAAACCTTAGCAACTTAATTATATATAATTTGTGTTTTTACAGTTTATGAGTGAACGGACAGTTTTTAATATGTTTTATTTTTGAACGAAAATAATAACTATCGGTTGAGTTGTAAATTATAACTGAATATTGATCATTATATTCTAAGCGAACCAATAAAAAATTAAATATAATTATTACTTTGAAATTTGTATAATTAAGTTTATAATGATTACAGGCATATTTTATTTTGTTTATATTTTGGAACACAAGTCGTACAAATATTTTCTGATTTTTTTTAATATCGGAATATAGCATCTTAACAGATAATGTGGAAAATGACTGACCGCGTCAGCTTAGCCATTATAAGTACTTTCTGAGGTTGTTGCATATTTTACTGAAACGGGCAACCCGTCCTGACGGATCTATAGCTTGTCGATCCACTTCGTCACATTAATCAGGAACATATATACTCTGCGACATCTGTTAAGCCTCCTTTTGTGAGTTACATACATTTGCACGTAAGTGGTATTTCGTTTTACCAATCGGGTGCAGGTAGATTTTGCTTTAAATGTTTATTGCACTCCCCGTTAAAAAACGCAAATTTTTGTGCAATTGTTTGATTGTCTGGCCATTGCTTAAGTAATATTTTTGCATGAAACAGACTAATTAAATATAGTAGTTCAATATAGTAATGCCTTATTCGCGCATAGCGCCAATTCCCGGCATCGCTTAGGTAAATATTTCTTTTTATCTGCAATTATAATTATAAATAAATAAATAAATAAATAAATATGAACAACGTACGCTCATCTTCCGCGTGCGCCACTGTATGCCATTTTTCTCTGTCGGGTACTTGTTTCTTTCGCATTATTAATATATTCGTTCCCTCAAACTTAATGCAAATCAACTAAATTCAAAGCAACGGATAACAACATATTAATGAGGCAGAGAGCATAAATAAACTCGTTTCGGGCCAATTTATGCGCAGCCATGCAAATGAAGTCGAAAAACCTCCCAAAAATTCAAGATATACACATATTTATATACAAATCACCGAAAATACATTTTTAAATGCCGACGACGTTGATCTTGTATTTGCGACTGCTGTTTCTATCGTCGCCTTAGGTTATAACGTAAATCAGGCGGCGTTACCTGTGCAGCTGACAATAAATCGCGCTTTGCCGCTCGGCCATAACTGGGTTATTTGCTTTTGTTGACCGACTTTTGTGGCGCGACTAACGGTGCATTGAACTTGAGCGCACTCTGGGCCGAGACGAAGCTAAAAGCGAAAGTGGCCTGATTTTCGATTTCATTACAGTTCATCAGAGCTCGAAATGGCCTTCACTGTTCCTATGAAGATTTGGTTTTCACATTGGCCGAAGCTTGTTAATTATAAGGCATACATATTCATATATTTTGACAATTCAGTGAATTTTAGCGCTTGCTTTTCTTCGGGCAACTGCTTTTATGTTTTCATACGCTTTTGCATGCTCTCTCCTATAACTTAAGGGGTATTATGTTTTTGGTAGTTCAGTTTGGAGCCCAAATATACATCATATATATGTACAATCAAAGTAATCATCCAAGTATATTCTCAAACCAATAAAATGAGACTTGCAGTAGAGCTGCATCGACTTAAGATGTTCCAAATCTAATGCGATATAACTGTTAATGAAGGTCGGACCGCCTATCAATCACTGTTCGAAAGGGTGTTACTTACTAATTTTTTGAATTATTAAAAATTAAATTGATTAAGAGTGGGTTTTGTACATGGAATGTTATTGAATATTGAAGTCGGAGGACATATATGGTATAGGTAGAATTATAAAAATTAAATTCTGAACCACCATTGGCATGAGTTTGAAAACTCGCGATATTATAAAAACTTAATTTTGCGAATGTTAGAGTATACCTTGTACTATATATATTTTGAAAGCACTGTTGTTGTGAACGATCTGCGAAGCTTGTCTTTTTCTCAAAACCAACTTGTCTAGATTTCAAATTAAAAATTCAAATTTTGTACTTTTTGTTTGTGGTCAGCTGTGGACCTATGCTTGTTGTTTTGATATTTGCATAAGGTTATAATTAATTCGTTTTGTTTGTAGCTTCATTATTGCCTCAAATATACATACATGCTTACCCATAAACATAGGTGCGAAATTATGTAATTTAACATTTTAGCACAACAGCTTAAAAAACTGCCTTTTTATCGGAAAAAAGGCACGGTGTACTTCCCACTAGACAGCTGGTTGTTAAATCAGTATGGGTGTTAAGGCATTAACCTTTTGCGAAAGAAACTAGTTGTTAGACCGACATATTGTTCAGTGATGAACCTAAAAAAAAAACAGTTTAGGAAAGCGCAAGAAATAACAAGTAAGTACGGCAAATTTTCAATAAACATGTTAATATTTTTGGTTGAGTTCTAACTAATATGAGCTAAGCTAAACAAATACATATTATCTAGATTTTAGAAAATATTTATTCATTTTAACACCATATTCTATTATGTAATATTTTTCATAAATTTCATCACTTTTCTTAAATTTAGAAAACCGGCCAAAGCATACATTTTTGCTCTTATTGATGGCGATTGATTAAATACATTTTTAAAAATGGTGGTGCAAAATCTTTTGCTGGCTTAAGGAAAAATTGTGTGCGCATTTCCGCCAAAAATCTAAACTATTGTTCTTATACTCATATAAGTATAATTTACAAGTGAGTTTGCTGTTATTGTGTGCTATAATTATTTGGCACCAAGAATACCACGACTAGGATTATTCATGTATTGTTATTCATCTAATCGCGAGGTGTACGTAGTTGTCTCCAACTTTTTAATATAATTTTGTTTTATGTTTATGCTGCATATGCGAAGTGAAACATTTTTTATGTATTTTAATAATAGTTCAAGGCCGAGATGCTCCAGTTATGTTGAATATGTACCCCAAAAGAAATATCGATTAACTCGACAAATAATGGATATTTTTATATTACATTGGACAGTTATGGTCCTTCCCAACGTAAACTTGCCATCAAATGAAAGGAATCGCTTTTGTGAAATGTTATCAATTCCAAAAAACTATTGAGAGACTGAGGAACAAAAATAGTAACAACAACATTAGTGGAGCTTACCACGAAAACTGAAAATAAAATAATCTTCCATTAGAGACATTTTATCAATTGGTGAAGATGATTTTATGGTTAAATTTGTGCCCTGTTTGGTTATGCAGTCGCCACAGCCAAAAGGCAACAATTCATCATAGATACATTTTTTTAATTCGATCACAAAATCACTCAATTTGTAATCTTGCTCTGTGCAGCAAGTTGAGCCATTTAACGTAAACTTAACTCATTGTTTGCTTTGTCGCTCAAATTCCTATTTTTCCTTACGCATTTTTCTTAATTTGCTATAATTTTTGCCCAAGGCTCTGCACTGCTGCAGCGGCCGAATCTTACTTTTACTTGTTAACCAACTGTCAAATCGCATCGTTCGTTGCTCGCTTGTGTGGGTACGGCAAACCCTAGTTTCCGTCTACTAGACCAATTTTTACATTACAAATGCACTTCGGCAATTGTTTAATAAATTGAATTGCATTTCGGCAATTAACATTTACATAAGTTTGTTTTTCGTCTCTTAATAACGAACTTGTACTATTTGAATCGCAACCAAGCACTTATAAATAAATAGCATTTTTAATTCGAACAATTTTGTACCGTTGAATATTAATTCTTGCCTATTATTAGTTATAGAAAAGCCTATAACTACACATGCCCTTTGCTGTTAAAGTTTTTCAAAACAGAATCTAAATCAAGTCATTTCTTGTTATGATTATCTGACCGTTTGGCGAATTGATGGAGACCTTTTTTTATTTTTTATAAATGTAAAACTTTAAATATACTGTTATTATTTACAACAACTTCAACTTATACAAAATGATGCAGACCACTCCGCTGTTTGTTGCTTACATATGAAATAAGTACATAAGCATAGCATACTTTTAGGCAGATCTATCAATTCATTTCAACACTTAAGCCAAATTAATAAAAAATACATATACGAATACATACAAGTACTTCAAATACAATTTAATTTGAATGAATTTAAGCCAATACTTGACGGTTAAGAACAACGTTGGGTATTGGTTCTATTCTTAGTAATTAAATATACAAGTATTAACATGTATTTCAGTTCTCGTCTTTAGGCTAATACTTACAAGTACAATTTGATTATTATCTATTTATTTTCTCGCTAAAAAAAGTATATTTTTTAGTGTAGAGATCAATTGCCACTGCAATTTATGAACATGAAGGAAAATCGAAGAGACTTTAAGAAAAATCATAAAACTATAACTCAAGTAGTGCCTCGCGACCGAATGCAGGAAGTTTTTTTGTCGGACATGTATGATCGCCTTATTGTGTTATATAGCTATCATACGGCCGATTGCTGCAAAAATCATAAGTTTTTGTGACCCATTCTGATGTTTAAAAAAAAATGATTGCACTATATTATGTAGCTAAGGATATTTGATAGTTATGTTTTTCTTAAAAATAGGTAAACTATGCATATAATGTTGCTGCCATATTAATGATTCGTGCCATAAAGTTTCAATTCAAGAGGCCTATAAGTGCTAACAGTTTCTAATAGTCAAAGTTTGTGAATTCGTAGAGTTACGAAGGGTTTATTAATAACACTAACTGGGGAGTGGGAGATCAACCAAGCTCTTACATTTACATGACGAATGATGAACGGGCAGACGGATATGGGTATAGTGGTCTAGCTCATACTGCTATAGGGTATGTAGCATCTATTGATTTTTATTTTATTTTATTTATATATTCATGTCCACAAACATTGACTGTCGACATAGGAAATAGTACATAAAAATTATAAAAAGCATCTTATAAGCTAGAAACGCCTAAGCATATCTAATTAACGCTTCCGACCCTGGGGAATATTATTTGCCCTTCAGCTTAACAGAGAGAAGAAGCTTAGAAATACTTAAAAGATAATTTTAAAAAGAAATTTAGATTTTAATTTTATTTAGAGCCGTAAACCGCACCGAAAACCTACATAAGAAAAAAGTCTACATGTTTTTGTTGTTATACAGATTTACACTAATTATTTTTTATTATTTACTTCACTCATCAGGGGTACAGGGTATACAAATTCTGATCATTTGGGTAACTGATTAAACAATCCACAGACTTGAAGAACAAAAGTCGCATGTTCATGACAAGTGCCTTGCATTGATTGTTGAAGACAGAAGCGAATTGAGACAAAAACTTTTCTCACCCGAAAACACATACAAGTACTTCACAAGGTACAGTATTTTTCTTTATTTCCCATATAGGCGTTGAAGCATGCAAGTTTGTCCGTGTTGTCAGTGCAATGGGATTTCAATTCATAATGCATCATTTATAACTTTGAGCTATGTAAGAGGCTGTGAAGATGTTGATTTTGTGCGCACTTGGTTGGAAATCGCAATTCTGCCATTTGCTCGTGATATGCTACAGATCTGAGACGATACTGTCAGGTTCGGAGAGCGCACAATCGGTGGAGGCGACAGAGACATTTACCAGTACATACTACCTGATATCAATTCACATGATCTCAGCGCTTGGCTTCATCTTTAAGAGCATCTATCAACATCCCCAAGTCCCTCTCATCCCTCGTCTGAGGTCTCAGCTCTTTAGTATAGTACAGGCTTTTTTATTGTCTTCATACACGTACTATAATTTCGAATGTAAATGTTAATTTTTATAGCCTTTGACAGCGATGAGGTTTATATTTAGCATATGCCACTGCAATTATAACGACTGGCAAATTTGCGGCACTTGCAAAGTGAATGCCGATTTTGCCATCAATTGCCGCAATGAAAAATGCGAGCACGCCAAGCGAAGCCAAGCCAAGTCACTCGCCGCTTCTGATGAGAAGCATCGACACATATAAGTGGTCTAGGCTGCGATAGTTGATCGGTTGAGATGTTGAGATGTTGGCGCCCAAGGTTAGTGTCGGCGCCCTCCCTGATTAGCGGTCTCTGCTGTCCATGGCGGCCGTGCCGTGGCTGTGTCTCGCCTTCCACGCGTCTCTGCCAAATGTCATAATAGCATTGAGTTTATAGTCGTTTCTGTGATCGGTCTTGCTTGTTCTGATTTTCTGAGATGCGTAGTGGCTAATTGCATTGAAAGCTCAACATGAAAATATTGACAAAATGTAAACGCAAGCTAATTTCCACTGTCATGTCAAAATGTCAAACTGATGTCATTGCTGTCTATCAAACAAGTTTTCTCTGCCGGTGCCATACCTGCTACAAAATAAATGTCCAAATGCCCAAGAAAGTTGTAGAGTAGTTAAAAAAAAAAAAAACAAAATGCAAACTTTACGCTCGACCCACTAACATTTTTACAAGTACGTGTACAAAAGGGAAGTGGGAGGAAGAAATATTTCCTTAATTTTTCATAAAACATTCAAAATTACTCAGTTGCTGACAAGAATTAATACATTTATGACACACAAACAACACTATTAGTATAATATTTCAGAAACTAATCAATTTATTCTCGTAGCACACACAAAACAAACAGTCGGACAATGTGTCAACGTGACGTCAAAACTTTTGGCATTATCTATTTTGATCATTCTTTTTTTTTTGTTTTGTTTAAGGCTACACGCTCGCAAAACATGACCAACGAACAACCCCAACAAATTTGAATTCATAAATCTAAAATGCACATACCTATGTATATTTCCATACACCCACACACACACAAACGAACTCACACACTCAGAGTCTTAAGTAAACCTAATGGCAAATATAAATCACTTACGAGTATGTTTATACAAAAGTGATCAGATTGCTCATAATATAAAACAATTATACAGAAATTCTGAATTCATTTAGAGATATAGTATACAAACTAGATATATAGTATGATTGCGTACGTAAAGGAAGCGAAGCGCAAAAGACAATAATATTCGAATCGTTTATAAAATGTTTGCTGTCTTGCTTTAAATTTTCCATGGCAATGTGGGCGTTTTGCTTGGGGAGCTTGGAGCTTGGCGACAGTGTGTGGTTTCTAGATGATTGTGTGTGGCGAAGCATATTAATTTATGCTTATATTAATTGACCGTAAAATCAAATCAATTGTAATTTCTGATTGATTTGCACAACTTATTTCTGGACCACCAGCGCAGTGATTTGTGCCAGCAGCAAACGAATATAAACGCGTGCCACATACACTGCAAGAAAGTTTCTCTTTGTTGTTAGTTTAAAAGACACTTTACGACAAATGTTGGTCAATAGTCTCCTCTGTGCCTTGCTATACTTAATATAACTTTGGAGAATATACATATTTCCACGAATGGGTCTTTTTTAAATTTAAAAGCACAAGCACTTAAAGTAAATAATTTCCTGATCGGTGTGCCGCGATTCGTCAATATAGGCGTCCGACAGTCAGCCTCATAAATTATAGGAGAATTTCTAGTCTGGGGATTGTCAAATAAACCTCTAGTTGTTTCAATCTAGTTGTGCACGATTTGTCGCTCCACGAGTTTATTAACGTAAAAATAGTTTCATACTGTGGTATATATATAAATCCATTGCCGAATTTAATTTCTCGCAGTGCCATATAAAAATATTAGATTTTCTTCACGTTAAGCTTAGCAAACCACTACAAAAAATTCGTACCGATCTTGCTGGCTGCGGGTACTCTTGCGGCCGATACAGTAAACGCAGGCAATGCTCAATGGCTTTACAGTGTTTTTCAAAAGTGAAATAAAATTTTTAGAATTTTTCGTGGCCTTATAGTTGTTGCCTGTTTGTTGTGTGTATATTTGGTTTTGGTTTTATTTTCGAAATGCTGCTGAAAGCCATAAATTAGCTTGTTACTTTTGGAATGTAGCGCCTCGGCGACGTAGCATTGGTCCATACGTGCATGTGGGTGTTGATAACGTGAGTGTATGTGTGTTTATGTGTGTGGCTTTGTGTGTGTGTGTGTGTGTTTTTCATGTGTTGTGGCATTCATGTAGCTTATCAAAGAGTAAGGAAGCACTTGGGGGACCTAGTGAATTGGGCAGCGCACTTGGAGGCGGCAGTCGTTGACGGTGGTCTCTCTGGTGAAGAACGAATCGCAGGCGAAGTAAACATGGACGTAATTGTGAGTTAACACTTGCCCAGTGGATGGGTTACCTGTTGCATCGGGAGCGTTAACAATGCGATTTATTGCACATCTTGCAGGACGATGATCTGACACCTGAGCAAATTGCCGTGCTCCAGAAGGCGTTCAACAGCTTTGATCACCAAAAAACTGGCAGCATCCCAACAGAAATGGTCGCAGATATTCTGCGTCTTATGGGCCAGCCCTTCGATAAGAAGATCCTGGAAGAACTTATCGATGAAGTTGATGAGGACAGTAAGTTTTGGAGTCATGCTTAAACACAATTCTTGCAGCTCAAATCATATGAATCCTGTCTGAATGGCATTTTAACTTAATAGAGTCTGGCCGCCTGGAATTCGAGGAATTCGTGCAGCTCGCTGCCAAATTCATTGTGGAGGAGGATGATGAAGCCATGCAGAAGGAGCTGCGTGAAGCATTCCGTTTGTATGATAAACAGGGCAATGGCTACATTCCTACCTCATGCCTGCGTGAAATTTTGCGTGAACTGGACGACCAGCTGACCAATGAGGAATTGGACATAATGATTGAGGAAATCGATTCCGATGGTTCTGGCACCGTTGATTTTGATGGTAAGCATGGGCTACCAAATGGCAATGAAATGAAATAGCTCGATACGTGTATATGCACATGTTCTTATACAAGTACGAGTATATTTATGCTCAGCCCATTGTCTGTGGCTATTTTTAAACGTTAAACGTGCTGCTCTAATTTGTTTTTCGTTGCTTTATTTTTCTAACAGAATTCATGGAAATGATGACTGGTGAATAGACGTTGCGGCAGCACTCTAACAAAACAGCTTAATACCCAACCACATACTTTTTAATAAAGAAAGAGATTCGCTACACACTCAAAAGCAACATTTGAATTATTTAATTAAGTTAAGCTAAGCTGAAACCCATACACTTAGCTGCCTAACTCAAAATGGATGTTCCACTTTCTTAGAATCGCTTCCCGCTTCTCTATAAGCAAAGTAACAGATTATTGTGACGCTCACCAAAGGCATTAAGTAACAGCAGATGTGCTAAAAATAAGCCTGGGTTAGTAGCAATCACCACAAACAGGAACTACGAGCTGTCGGAGCATCCGTTGCATTGAAAGCGCATGCAAGTGTTTGTAGAAAAACCCAACAAACAAGCATGCGGCAAACATTTCAGAGTGTGTGTACGAGAGTGTGGCTGTGACTCATGGGTCGCAGTTAATTAACGTCAGCAGCCATAAATTAAAACTCTAATTGAGCTTTTCGATATCCATACGTATCTTTCTAAATAGTGGGCGTACATTTTCGGGCTTTATGCGACTCATTGGCGCACGTCAGCAAACCCAACGTGGCGTATGATTAATCTGTTCGTACGAGTATATCACGCATACGCACAAGTGCACGCCGAATGTTGGACAAACAGTCATGCCACTGCATATTTGTCAGGCAGCCTCTTAGTTCTATGCATATGTACATAAATATGCGAATATGTATGTGCGAGTGCATTCAAAATTCTTTACCACTTCGCTGGCGTTTTGGTGCGCAGCTGTAAAGTGACGCCAACGTTGGCAATGGCTGGCCATGATTGCCGCAAATCGTGTTGAGTCGAGACGCATAGTTGGCGTCTGGCAAATACTCGCATTGTGTTCGATTTGATTCGCTGACAGAATGGACAGAATGTTAAATCAAATGAAAACGACAGGTAAAATCTATTTATGTTTTAAATGCATTTTATTGAAGTCAACTCAAATGTCTTTTGAGTTTTAAGTTAGGTTGTTCAGTAGTTAGGATAACAAAAAGTTAACCAACTAGTTTATTAATTTGTATGTCCTGTACCCAAAAGGTAATGGGGTAGACTGGGTTAGTGCGAATGTATGTAACACACAGAAGAAGCTGTGGCAGACTCTATCAAGTATATGCACATATCCTTGATCAGTATGATTAGACCATGTACATCTATCAGTCCGTTTGTATGAGGGCACAGGTCTCAAGCAGCATAAGAGCTTTAATACCCAGAAATATAATTAGGTAGTTTTTTTATAAGTCCTGTAGTTATTGGAAAATGTGTACAAAATTTGACATTTCAACTAAAATGTAAATCAACTGAAAATTTAGACTTTTCTCGCTTCAAAACAAAAAAATATATTCCTATATAGGCCGCAAAATATAAGTACTACCCTATCAAATATTCTATTAAAAACATTATATACATATTAACTCATATATTCCAAGGCTTTTGGGACCAACAAGTAAAGCAGGTAACTTTGTTAATAAGCAATTTGGTTTCAATATGTTTATAAATAACACCTTGTTTATTGTTTTATATACCCCGATTGAAATTTTAATATATATTTACCTTTAAAATCTAATCTATCATTCATTATCATGGGTAAAATGAACACCCGGAAGCATTTTGAGTTTCCAAAAATATGAGATTAAATAAAATGTTCGTAAATGGGCTTTTGCTAAGTATTTTAGAATTTTAAAAACCTCTTTCAATTTAGAATTTCGAACTTTAAAAAGTAGTTGCAAGCTTACTCAATATTGGCCCTCTTGTGGACTGAGAAAAGAGTGATATATTTAAGCAAAGCCCAAAAACCCTAAATGCTCTTCATTTAGGAATACATTTTTGTAGGATATTCAGTAATATTTTCATACAAATTTTTACTAGGTATTAAAAAAAAAAAAAGATTTTTTGGAATGAAACTTTCTCAAGTGAGGATTACTATTGGCATTATTTCTGAATGCCTGATTTAGAACGCAAAATTTGTTTTATTTTACTGTATATATATTGTTACTCAACTTTCTTTCTATATGTTGTTACTCAACTTTTTCGCAACTTACAATTTGTACGATTACAAGTATATTTAAAGGATGAGGGGATTTTCATGGAGGGTTAAAAGAGACCGTTAGAGTTAAAAGCTAAATATAACTTTTATGAATAAAATCCTTCTTCTGACTGTTCTTTAATAATGCAAAACGACAAAATTTAACAAAATACTTGTATTCTATTTATTAATAAAATATTTGAGTTTTCTAAAGATGACAATGATGCACTCTCAAGTGGTGACGACATGTTCAAATCGCTCGTCTTAGATGGATTTTGCCTTTCCAAATGCGCAGGCCATATGCTTTGGTATTTTTTTCTAAGGTTGTGGCGGCTTTTTAAATGTCAATGTGCATTTTCCAAACAAGATACATAAACACAGCGCATATACATACACACACACACACACATACATACATACATACATACAGTACCATACTACTCGTATTTGGAAAATGTTTTTTGCTTGAAAGTAAATAGTTAAGCATTTTGCACTTGGCCATAGAAAGGAGACATACCTAATTTTTGTTTAGGTGAACAGTTTCTTGGTACAACTGCCCTTTTTGCTATATTTCGGAGAAGAAGAAGAAATAGGCAGCGCAATTTAATTGCGCAATTTGTCGAGTGCCCGCGGCCACTTGGTGTCGATATTAGTGGTATTTATTACTATTACGATTTTGTTGTTGCCACAACTGGACGCGGACTGAGCTAAAGGTCAAATTTGACAAGGAAATACTAGAGTGGCGGGCAGGGTAGTCGGTGTGGGAAAAGCAGAAATGTTACTCTTTACCTGCATCAAAGCGGACCCCCAGCCACCATGTCTGCATTGGCCACTCAGATAGCTTAGTCTGGGCGTAAATTACTTAATTAGTGTTGATACATTTTTGCAACACACGTCAAATTTATAGACATCCGTCTCACGATGAAGCTGTGAAATCCACAGACGCCTGCATGAATGAATCTTATTGCCGATTGTTCACGTATTGGAAGCACATTAAAATTGTTTTCCAATCATGCAATCGCAAAACTGCAAAGATGAGCCATCCGCTGAGCGTTGAAGCATTGAAGCATTGGAGCGTTCGAAAGAGCTGCAATTTACGAGTGCCGAGGCATGGTAATGCGACTGCACTAACTAAGTACGAGTACTAGAGAGTACGAGACCCCGTAGTAGAAGAGAGCGTATGTTAGTGAGACGCATGGAGCTAGCAATGAACAGGAGAGAGCCCTGATATATCAAACACGGTATGCCATCAAAGTCTGCAACTTTTTTACGCTCACTGCTGAGTACGTCATGAAAACTCTGATCCCCCTATTGAGGTTGTGATAACTTGTTGTCTCTGGAGCAAAATTCTGCTTAGCTAAAAGCGGCCGCCTAATATCTTTTGCTAATTAATAGAATTTTCACAATTACACACTACGCATTCGCCAGATAGTGACATTTTTAAATCCAACTGCGTGCCAATAATAAAAAGTTGCACTGCAATGATTATTGTGACGTCACAAAAGACGAACACCGAATAACCGAGCTGCGCAATCGCAATCGCATGCCGTGTCTGTTCTACCATGGACGAGAGCAGCATCCGCCACCGCCACCGCCACCCTTTGGAGCACGAAAATGTTTGTGTTTTTGAAAAGAAGCGTCGCAACAACAATGCACACAATGGCAATAAATGCCATAAAGTATCAAAATCTCAGCGTGGCAGCCGGTTGCGCTCAGCACAGCGACTTGGCATCATTTTCTTTCATTCCATTCCATTTGATTGCATTTGGCGCCAAACAACCTCGTTGTACAATATTTTTGTATAAAAGCTGGAGAGCTTGAACTGCGGTCGGCACATAGGTTCTGTGACAATAGACGAGACACAACAGGCAGCGCTTGACCCAAAGGATCGCGAAGGATTAATCATTAGTGCCACATGGATTTGTAAAAGCGGCTCGTGTTTGTGTTTGTGTGCGTGTGTGAAAATATTGTACTTTCCTGACTCTTAATCGCATTTCACATCAGACATCAGAAATGAATTATAGTTTGGTGAGTTTACGGGTAAAAATGGAAATTAAATTTAATGATGATTTAAAACAAGTGAATTAGCCAGCCTGTAGGAGAGATACTTTTCACAAAAATTGAAAAACTGTTAAAATAACAAAATATTAACAGAAAAATGAAAAGAAACCAGTGCCATTATTGTGAATATAACTTAATTAATTAGTCTGCTTCCCGTTCTTTAAAATAAAATAATATAAAATATACTAAGTAGTATTTTCAGGACAGGCCCCCCTCCGAAACTGCTAAGCTAGCCAATGCCATTATGTTCCATCCCTTGAAGAGAATAGGGAATATTGGTGGCGCTGCTTAACATTTTTTAATTGGCTGCAAAGTTCAGGTGTGAATTTCGTTATTTCAAAACCAAAACCCAAACAAGCATTACACGCAACAACACATTCTTGCATATGAGAGCAACATCGGCGGCAGAGTTGCCGCAAAGTCCAAAGCATGACTTCAGAAGCGAAAACAACAATGGCAAAAAAATACTGCGGTAGAAGAAGAGCTTACCCAAAACGCATAAATTAAGTCTGGCAGCGTGAGTGAACGAGCTCATTGACGAATAATCTGAACAGCATCTTCGGCCGCAACACGCAAAGTTGCTCAAGAACTCTTCGCTGGATGTCGTGGTGCACGCCCCCAGCGAAATCAGTCAAAGTGCATCATCACCCAATATTTGAAATTATGCAGCGACCCAATTCGGAGCCCACTTTAAATTACTTCAATTTAAAGCACTGTGGCAGTCGACAAGTCGCTGGGTGGCTTGCGAAATATAGTAAACAGCAAGCGCTTAAGCGGCGGCAAGAAGTCACAGCACAGTCAAGCAACAATTGGCAGGTTGCCCCAACAACAACAACCAGCAACTGTTGTTGCAGTTGCTGTCGAACAAGTAATATGGTCACGAACTAAACTGACTGTAGCATCTTTGGCCAGATGCTTTGAACTATTGTTCGAAAACAATCCTAACCAACATCCCAGCCACAACTAAAGCAGACAAACTGCCTCTGGGCGCAGGCGTTGGTCGTCGCTACCACTTACTCGTACCCGCGCATTCCTAGCACACATGCACGAGCTCTGTACATGCCGTGATGACTCAAAGTGGCCGTTAAGGGGCTTTAAATGTCAGAGAATTAATTGAGAATATTGTGTACTGTGCACATTGAGTATACTCGTACTTTATGATACAATAGCCCATCATTTGAAGCTCATAAACAATGGCAACTGGCAAGCTTCTAACTCTTCGATGAAGCTGTTAGGCTTATGGCCAAACGAGTAAACGCTTTAAACTTAAACTTGACACTCAAGTGCTTTATTTGGCTGTCTTCTGCGAGTGGCTTACGCTTACTTAACCTTCTACCTCAGTTGCAAGACATAATCATCGTCGTGTCACTCTTTGAAGATTCACACGCTGCCAGCCAGTCGCCAGACTGCTGCGCGGCAAAGCAAATGTTGCTGCCACAACCAATTCGAACACCCAGGCGTAGCATGTCGCCACCAAATATCAGAGTTCGTTGCAAGCGGCAGTCACCAGCGCTCGTATTGTAAAGATGAAGATACTAGTCTTATTAGAGTGCCTCTTATTATTTGAATAAACGTTGCCCCAACACAAAAACAATAAACCATAATTTAACAGAAAGCAAAAACGTGATCGTAGAGCAAAAATGTTAATACTATACCATGATCGCAGTATATACCTACATACATACATATATACATACTAGTATATATTCACTATTTCATTCATCAACATTGAAATTTGAAAAGCGCGACTGCATCATGATTTATATGATCTACTCGTAGTAAAGCCAGAAAAATAAATTGACACTACACCTAACTAGAAATTGTACTTGATTGTAATTGATTTTATGATTGTTGGCAAACGAACATAAAACACCAACTGTTGTTGTTTCTTACTGCAGGATATTTATTTATTTTTAAATTTAATTTTTGTATAATTTTTGTTGTTGTCACCCGTTTCTCTCTGCTGGTATATTGTTTGTTTTCAAACCAATTCAATGAGTAGGTGTCCCACTTTATAGACTTCTTTGCTCGCACCGCTGAGCACACTGCACACATTAGTAATGCTTCTTGAATAACCTTATATGTTTCAGGTACTACTGTGTGTGAAGATGGCGATGCTGGTTACGCTAACGCAATCAGCACGGCTGGACAACAAATATCTGCCACCGCCGGCTAGTGCGGCGAGCGCCGGTGGAGGCCCTGGACTGCAGGGTCCAGGTGGCAGCGGTGGAGGCGGCGGCGGTGGCGGTGGTGGTGGGTTTGGAGGTGGCAATAATGGTTTGGGAGGATTTTCTGGTGGTGGCGGCCCTAGCAGACCTATTGGGCCACCTGGCGGAGGCTTCGCACCAAGTGGAGGTGCACCTTCGAGACCACCATCCGCACCGGCACAACCTGCTGGTCCAGTAATTCCAATATTGTCGTTTGTGAATGAAAATGACGGTGATGGCAACTACCGCTTTAGCTATGAAACGGGCAATGGTATTAAGGCGCAGGAAGAAGGCACAGTCAAGAACAAAGGCTCTGAAAACGAAATACCATCGGTGATGGGATCGTATTCCTATACTAACCCTGAAGGAGAGTTGGTTGAGATCTCATATACGGCAGATGAAAATGGCTTCCAACCTTCGGGTGACGCGCTGCCTACACCTCCCCCCATACCGGAGGCTATTGCAAAGGCTTTGGCGGCTCAGGGAATTTCGCCGCTTCCGGGTGGTGGATATAGCGGTGGTCCAGGTACTGCACCCGGTGGAGGTAAGATATTAAAGTAACAATTGGTAGCACATAGCTTAACTTATGTTTGCAGGATTTGGTGGAGGTGGGCCTGGATATGGTGCAGGACAAGGAACTGGTTCCGGTAGTGGCGCAGGATATGGTGGCGGTGGTGCATCAGGATTTGGAGGCGGTGGCGGAAGAGGTGGGGGTGCAGGACAAGGTGGAGGTTACGGTGGAAGTGGAGCTTCAGGAGTTGGAGGTGGAGCAGCAGGGTTCGGTGGAGGCGCGGGACGAGGTGGAGGTGCGGGACAAGGAGGTGCTTCAGCTGGAGGCTTTGGAGGTGGTGGAGCTCCAGGATTTGGTGGCGGGGCGGGACAAGGAGGTGGATCTGGTGGTGGTGGAGGATACGGTGGTGGTGGTGCACCAGGATTTGGTGGCGGCGCGGGTCGAGGTGGAGGTGCAGGACAAGGTGGAGGTGCAGGACAAGGTGGAGGTGCCGGACAAGGTGGAGGTTACGGAGGTGGAGGAGCTCCAGGTTTTGGTGGTGGGGCTGGACAAGGCGGAGGCGCTGGTTCCCCTGGATTTGGCGGCGGAGCGGGTCGAGGCGGTGGAGCGGGTCAAGGAGGTGCTTCAGGTGGAGGATATGGTGGCGGTGGAGCTCCAGGATTTGGAGGTGGTGGTGCAGGACGTGGAGGTGGCGGGGGACAAGGTAGTGGTGCACCTGGAGGGTATGGAAGCGGTGGAAGTTCAGGTTTTGGCGCTGGGTCGGGCCGAGGAGGAGGCGCAGGAGGAGGAGGCGGAGGCGGAGGCGCAGGAGGTGGTGGAGGCGCTGGAGCTGGAGGAGGCCACGGAGGCAGTGGTGCACCAGGGTTTGGAGGAGGTGCTCCAGGATTTGGTGGTGGAGCTGGCAGGGGTGGAGGCGGAGGAGCAGCAGGAGGTCGCGGTGGCGGCGGTGCACAAGGTTTTGGAGGTGGTCCTGGAGGTGGTGGACGTGGAGGCGCGCCTGCCGGTGGCGCAGGAGGTCCCGGATCGCAGTACATTCCTCCCCCAGCGGGCGGCAGACGTGGAAACGGTGAATTTGACCCACAAACCGGATACAGCTATTAGGCATTATTAGTGAAGCTTTTTGATACCGAAAAATACTCGTAGATCTGTAATGCATAACGGCATTACTTCATATATTTATTTTATGTATAGCTTGTAATAATGTTCTGAGTCGTTGAAATTAATTGCAGCTATGTATTTTCGAACGAATTAGTTTAAAGGAAATTTCAACAAAAATTGTATAATTCGCAACGGCTAGTGATTGTTTAGTACGGAGTCTAAATTTGTAAACAAAACCTGATGATATGTATATGTGGCCAAATTTTTAGAAATACATTTGCAAATGTGCTTATAAATGCATTAATTACAGTGTTTGCTATTAATTTAAATATTTTACAACGTAGATATAAATAATAGCAGAAATGGATTTTACAATGTCAATCACGATGATACTGCGTTTCGCTTCATATTTCTTAACTTCAGTCCTTTCATCTGTCCACTATATCAATAGATGCCATACATACTATTGGTCGGTGTTATAATAACTTCTTTGTACTTAAACCTATCCCAGTCAAATGTTTGTGGCGATTTCTTATAAACTCTTAATATAAAAAAAAACATCTACTTTTCCAATCGGATTAGCTAGTATATCAAACAGCTGACATAGCCAAATTTGTCTCTGTTCCCGTATATAATTATAACTAAATCGGACCATATCATTTAAATGAAAGCATCTCATACCACATAGACTATATCTATTTTTAAATCACAAATTTATATACGAGTATGTCAGTCTATTTGGATGAAGTCCTGATTTTGGACGGGCTTCCATCAGCCAAGCTATAGATTCTTCTAGTTCCTTGGCAACACACCTCTTTCTTGATTACCCCCAATCGGGGTTTTTGGACTGTAACATTCGCTCTCTTTGTACCTTGGACCTAAAGATTGGAAAGGGCCATCAGTTACATACATACGCGCCAAAGGAACCGCAAAAGACCCCATGTTATAGTTACAAACATATTCCATGAGCATGATGAGACAAATTTTATAGACATGTCTGTCCAACATCTTGTCTGCAGAATCACGCAACAAATTAACCAATTGAATTATAAGGAACTGGAACACTATTTGAGTACACAAATAAGAATGCTGTCTACCTCAGGAGAGTATGGAGCTTTAAAAGATTTGAAAGTAGTACTATTCGATTTTTTTTAGGAAGAAAATAATACCGAATAGACTTTTATGTCTATTGAATAATAAGTAGAAAAGCTAAGGTCGGGTGCTTCGACATTAAAATAATAGAATAATTATAAAAATTTTTAAAATTGAAATAATTGTCGAAATTTTATTAACACAAAAAATTTTTGTGATCGCTTATGCCTCCTTGGGTGTCTGTGTGTGCAGTGCAGAGTTGAGCCAAAGGAGCAACAACAGCTGTGGGCTATAATACAGATATTTAATTCATTGATTGCAACAAAAGAGTTTATAAAGTAGAAGAAAATCCAAATATTGAATGTTAAGTGATAAATCCGTCTGCTGACCCACTGCGCGAGGTGGGTAAATAGTAAATTTCTGCTACCACATGGTAAGATTTTACGACTGAATTATGCCAGCCCTAAAAGTATGCTTTACGAAATTTGACGGTATTTATTTAATTTTTACACAACCAAACCATATAATGATTTGGATGCCGTTTCGAAGTTCTTAAAACACTGCAAATTGAATTATTTTTATTTGACGCCCAACACGTTTAACACAGTATTTTATATTGAACTCGACGGGTATAATCGGTATATTAATTAATATGTATGTAACACGAAGAAGCTAGCATGTCCGACTTCATAAAGTACACACATTTTCTTACCCTGATTAAGTATGACGGGACATAGTCGAACCGTCGGATTTCGGATTTCATCTGCTTTGCGCGCATTATCTCTTCTTTTTTGGTTTTGCTATAGATTGTCGAATAATGTGTGTATGGTTCGGTCTTAAGAGATAATCAGTTGAATCCCTTTTTAATTTCAGATAAAACACACAATTGGATTTTCTTCCGCATGTATTTCATGCCTTTGAACACAACTATAACGACTAACTCGTCAGTAACTAGAAACTCAATTCGTGACAGTACTTGTATTTCTGATGCGAGCTTAAAATTAATTTTCGCTTTCACTTCTTGGATGACTTCTTAAAACGTCTGTATTGGTTGTAAGCGAACGGATCCACTAGCTGATTGGGACGTCCTCGTAACTGTTGTGTTATCAACGCCTGTTGTTGCTCCTTTTGTTGATCGTTTTGCTGTTGCTGTTGTTGCTGCTGCTGCTGTTGTTGTTGCTGCTGTTGCTGTTGTTGTTGTGTTAGGTTTTGTTGTCCTTGCTGTGGCGACAAGTTGCTGCCGAAAGCGCCGATCTGACCAAATTGTCCAAACTGGCCAGCATACTGCGCCGGCAGATTTCCCGAGTTAAGGGTATTAAATGGCTGCTCAGGCTGAAATTGTCCAGAACTTTGTTGTTGGAAGTTACGCTGCTGCTGCTGCTGCTGTTGGGGCGTCAATTGCAGTTGCTGTCCTGGCAATGGCCGATAAGCTGTACTGGGTGGAGGGAATTGTCGGTAGGGTGTCTGATAGGGATTCAAGTTTGGATTCAGCACGCCCTGTTGATAAGGCTGGCTGCCTGAAGGGTACTGTGGCGTCGCTGGAATGTGCGTGCCCTCAGCTCGAAAGCCTGCAAGGGAAGATATGAGTTGGATGAGCAGATCCAGTATAACAAATGCAAACCATTTTCATCGGCAATGTAGCGCACTGTGATGGGCGTGCCCTCGGGCGAGGTGTACGAGTACGAGCCCTGTATGACCTGAGCCTCTACAGCCTCGCCATAGCCTAGATTCTTGACATAGCCCTGTGCCTGTGCCGTTGTGCCATCGGCAGTGGAATACCCATAGGAGAAACTGCCATCGAGGTTGAGCTCATTCTGATAGGCGGTGATGGGCACATAGTTCTGCTGGTTGTACTGATTGTAGCGATAAGGATTCTGCAAGAGAGAGAGAGAGAGAGAGAGAGAGAGAGAGAGAGATCGAGGTCAATAGTACGTAGAATCTGGCTGGCAGCCGGAGACGGTTACCACAGCTCCCAACGGAGAAACCGGTGCAATTTGCGCCGACAGCGGGCTAAGGGGATTCAAGACGTTAGCTTGTGCGGGAAAGAGTCCTTGCTGACGTAGTTGTGGTTGCTGCTGCACCTGTTGCAGTTGCTGGCGCAGCTGAGGCTGCAATTGCTGCTGTTGTTGGCGCCGTTGAAACGGCGTCTGTTGAAAGGGCGTATTGGGAATCTGGCCATTGCAAATACTCAAGAATGTCAGCCAAAGCACGCAAAGATCTATAAACTAAACACACAAACACTTTAGGCAATTGTTCTGTCCGACTCAATTAGGCGGAATCATGTTTACCCGCATCTGCCGCACTCTGCTCATTTATGGGCCGCTAATCTGACGTGCTCATAAATTGTTTTCCGAATGAAAAATACTTGTACTTCTCAAATTTCACGCTCGATAAATTTGATGTTTCACTTTCGCGTCAGATTGTGGGAAGTGCCAGCTAGTTGCCTGCCTGCCTGTCTGCTTTTTGAGATGCCACTAAACACTTGCACTTACGAAAGCCGCACGAAGACTGCAGCTGCAGCGTAGCACGCGAGTTCTATTTATACGGCGTCTAGAATATGCAACAAAAGCGAGGCATTGGGGTTGGGGCCCTAAAGCGCAGCTCAATCATAAGAACTACCGCCCAGTACCAATAGCAGAGGCTGCAGCTTTGCCACTTCCTGTGCTCACTAGCATGGCCGTATCTGTTAGATAAACTACACTGCCCTCGTCGCAGTTGCGATCTTGATTTTGATCTTGTTGGCGGCGCTTGGGCATTGGTCGTTACTTGTCGACTGCTGGCTGATGGCTACTGGCTGCTGGCTGCTGGCACTTGAGCCACTTGCCGACATGTAATTTATTTTCAGCTTACAATTCGTGTTAACAAGTTTGCGGCTGGCAGCTTTATTGGCTTTTTATTGGCCATTGACAGAAGGACAAACAAATTTGTTAGCTGGGCATGTTGCAGATTGTTATCTTCATGGTTGCAATGCTTCTGTTCCGCTTTTCCGCTGTTTTCCCGATGCGCAAATTTATTTATGACACACATCAGACTCCTATGAGTGTATTGGTGTGTATCGTATCTCTTGGATACGCACACCTTGCCGGCTGCTTCATGCAAATAAGCAAGCGTTTTTGCTCCAGCTCTTGTCTTTATTCTATTGAGGTGTTTGTAAGAGTTATGTGTTGATGGCTTTGCTGGTTTTCTGATTTTTGGGGTTGTGCGCCAATTCTCGTTTCATGGGTAGGCTCAGCGTATACGTAATATGATTTTGTTTTGGTCAAGGCTTTATGCAGCGGATTGAGAAGTATTTTTATGACAGCAGGGTAGGTTCATTTATCAAAGGCACCCCTATCTACGGGCTGCCACTCTCAGACGTCTTGTGAGTTTTTTGCTGTGTACCCGTAGATGCAAGGCATTGTTGTTCCATTGTTGTTCGCTATGAGCAACTTAGTCATGCGTCATGTTGCTCATGCTCGATGCTAAGGCGTTGTCTGTGCCCCTTATGTTCGCAATAAGTCATTTTTTATTGCATTGCCTCTATTTTATGCCTGTGTTAATGGTTTTATTCAGATTTGTCATCTGTTGCTCCTATAATTAGTACATAAATACATAACTTTTTAATTTCATCCTCTGCTTGATCTTTAATTGAATTTTTATGTAAATTTAATGATATGACGAGCATTTTTGATTCAAAAATGAGATCATGGATAATGAGGAGTCGTTCAATATGTCAATTACCATAACTGCTAATGTTAGTTCAAATTGTGTTACATTTGAAATCGATGGCGGAAAATATTGAAGCATCATTCAGACATTTTTTATACATCCGCACTTAAGTAGTATAACTTTCAGCCTCTTGGATAGTTTAGTATTTACAAAAAATTTTTTCTAGCTTTTGTACGTGCTGAGACGCTTGCGTTCATCCAGACCGATTGACAGGCGGGCACGGCCATATCGACTCATCTTGTCATGCTGATTTGCTACGCCTACTTCTGTGTGTTACAAATATTCGCACTAAACTAGTTTACCCTTTCACCCTTTGGGTAGAGAATATAAACCGACTTTGGTATTTATTAGTTTTAATAAATATAACTCATTTTATTCCAAAGTTCCATGGAAATAGGTAAACGATTGGGATTCAATTCAATTCGAAGACTTTGGGAGAGGTTGTTAAAATTTCGCTATATTTGATATGAAAGCTAGAACCATTTGGTACAGTCTTCGTTATAATTGCAAGAAGATCGCTTTTCTGGATGAATGAATGAATTTCTCACATCTGCAGACTTACTTTTGTGTTATTTATAAAACGTTTGTCTTTTAATGACACTTTAAATAAGCGATTTTATGGTATATTTTTGAAATTTCTCTTATCTACTGGGTAAATTCAAGAATCTTAATTATGTTGCATAAAATATATACATATACTAGAGAACGGTGCTACCTATATGAAAAACTACTTTTTAGTGCTTCCACAAGAACCAATAATATAAATAATATACGACAACAGCTTGGCCGTTCTGAGCGGCAATTCTTTATTAATGCTATTCGCCTGTGGAATCAACAACCTCAACATTAAAATAAAACAAGTAAAATACTCTGTATATATGTTTACAATAATTATAGAAAATAAAGAAAATTAAGAAAAAAAAAAAATTGATCGATTTTACCTCTCTCGGTATTCGAACTCACGTAAAGGGTTTATAATTGCACATTTACATAGCAATTGCGCCTGTGTGAGTGTATGTATGCCTATGCGCATCTATTCGTGTGTGTGCATTTTCGCAGTCAACCAAACAGCAACATCAACAACAGCCGCGGGCAATAACTTCTTGTTAAATCGGTCTATCATAGTGAAACTTGGCATACGGACACATAATAATTTTAGTTCGAAATTCCAAGAATTACGGGAGTTACGATTTGCGTGGTAGAGGGGGAGGGAGGGAAATTCCAAAATATACATTTTCTGCGTATTCACATAAGGCATCTGGGACTAAAATTTGGTGTTCCTAGGTTTTATAGTCTCCGAGATATAGGCGATTATACGAATGGAAAATCGGGAAAACCCCCATAGGGGGGAAGTGGGGGGAAAATCAAAAAAATAAAACAAATTCGTATAGAATACACACATAACGCATCTTTGTGCAAAATTTGGTGTCTCTATCTCTTATAGTCTCTGAGATCCAGGTGTTCATACGGACGGACAGACAGACAGACAGGGTTAGATCGACTCGTTTCGTCATGCTGATCAAGAATATATATACTTTGTGGGGTCTGTTACATTTTTCAGCTCCCGCAAACCTAATATACTTCTGTACATTTCATGTACAGAGTATAATTAGTAGTGCATCGCAATTCAAGGATAAATTAAATTTGTTCTTAAAAAATAAGTAACCAACAATATAAAATGTTCGTAATAATAAATCATACATTAAATAATCCCTAAATTTAATAAATTAGGTTAAGTAGGTTAATGAAATCGTCTTAAATGTTTCTCCATTAAAATTGTTGGTTTTTGTGACTAGTGCAGTAATTTATAAGAATTTATCTTGTCGCACTAGGAAATAATAATAATAATAAATAAATAAATAAAATAAATAAACGTTTCGTGAATTGTTATATTTAATTCACCAGGCTCAATGGCAACATTATTATTCCATTCCCGAATGAACTAGGACAATAAGTCATTTGGCAATTCCAACTTTAGAGCTTCGATTGATTTCTGAGGATGAGTGTATGAGTATTACTTGTAATTGGCACATGTGTTGCATTAACATAATTAAATGCCATCTTCAATCTCTTTTGTTTGTTCATATTTCCCCTACACTTTTTAAAAGCATCGCAACTTAAATAAATACTCATATAACGAATATGATTTGCATCTAAATATAGAAGATCATATAACCTTTTATGGTTTTTGACCACCAAAAAGTATATAACTATAATGTACAATGCTGTCCAGGTGGTCAGGGGACATCCCCACCCCATTTTGTGCCACCAGACACTAGAGCAACCGTACTTGAATTCCATTGACCTGTATTTATTCCAGTGGCGCGCAGAAATAAAAATAAAACCGGTAAGTATCTTTGCCGGCGATTACATCTTTGCCAGATCCAGATCCAGATTTAAATTCAATTTGTTCTTTGAATTTATCTAACGAGCCTAAAAGTGTGCTACGAAGAACTTTACGCAACTTTTGTTTGTTTTAAAATATTGTGGCATCCTATGGACTTTTAAATACACTTGCAAATAGTGCTAAAAGTATGAAAGTGGACTTCCCACAATAAAAATACACATTAGCGAAAGCAGAAAAACCAAGAGGTTCCGGTTAGAGTTAATTAATAAATTTATGACGTATTTTTATTGTCTTTTTTGTTTATAAATGTAATACTGTAATTATACTGTTATTACTTACAATAACTTAAATTAAACTTATAGAAAAATACAAATACAGCTTAAACTAGGAGTTTAGTCTTATTTAATTATTTATGATTTATATAAATCTATTGGCAAGATCAGCGGGATGTGACCTCTTCAGCCTCCTTCTTACTACTCTTCTTCCTTTTCTTCGCCGTTTCAGCAGGCGCTTTGCTTATACATTCGCAGGCGCTCCATGTATTGAGCAGCCTGCTTATTTAGCACGTCACCAACTTTCTGCACCCCTAGATCCTTTTCTATATACTGCCGTTTTCAATTTTTATTGTCCGCAGTCTCTATGATTGTATTCGATGCGATTATAAATTATGCATTGCAAATTGATAGGGATTGAGCCAATAATTACAACTTTGGCAATTCAAATTAAAATGAATTCAATTTGCAATTTTAATTGTTCGCGAAGCCCCTATGACCAGAACAGTGAAAAATGAAAATCTATTGCAAATTAATGCGAAAAAAATTCAAAAAAAGCAGCACCTAAACAACATATGCCCGCCGGCAACTTTTAGACGAAGATGCGGGTGCGGTTTTAATTAATCGCTCGATTGTACAAATACAGAGTCGCGAAGCGGGTGGCAAGTGCGTCCAACATTGCAACACCCTTTTTGATGGATGACACGACTTGTGATGGAAATGAAATCATGGCTCGGCAAGTGCCCATTTGACATTTCGCACGCCTAGCGCAATGAAATACATAATTCATTTGGATTATGGGTAGATCTGCAATTGCATTTGCATTGCCGATTGAAATTATGGCAGGTAACCGGAGCCGAGAGGCCATCGCCAGCAATATCAGAGCAGTGTTCAATCTGGCCGCACTAATTGATTCAATACGTACATACTTGTATATGCGTACCCAAGCTTCTGTTCCGGTTGCAGAGTGGTTACATGCTTTTTGCCGATTGGAAAAGGTTAATGTGTCGTCTTTAAGTTATGCACGCGTTGGCATTGCTGCTCAACTTTAATGTGTTTTTGCATTAACAAATGTAACAGTTGGCGCATAAACTGCCTGCGAACGACGACAACATTTTTGTAATGTCAGTCAGCAAGCTGCATTCGCGAAATACTTACTTAGTATTGCGAACATGAAACCAGGCATTAGAATCAATTTATTAACACCAGGCACTGGCAACTGGGCGTTACGCCCATGGCACAGCCGCCAAGGTAAATGCCAAAAATCAAGCGATGCGAGCAAGTACAAAATGGGAAGCGCGGCCTGCAATGCTATTGCGAAATTGCTAAAATTATTATTAAATTCTTCGGCCATAAATGTTAGTCGCGTCTCAGTACCCACCCACTGTAACAGACAATTGAAACAACGGTGGCAGCAATGGCAGCATTGGCAGCGACGGCAACGTCGGTGGCAAGTGTAACTGCAACAGCGAGTCTAGCTGCCACGGCAGTGGCAGCTTCAACCGCGACAAGTGGCAAAGTCAAATGGCCGAAATATATGCAAAATGCAGACACAAGAAAACCAGAACAACCGAGAGGGAAAACAAACACCACCAACATGGCAATAGCTTGGAATTTGTTTGCCAGCCAAGTGGAAACTGATAGTTTTGTCAGTCAGTCAGTCGTTGCCATTTTCTGCGCCTTTCATTTGGGCAAGGCCCGGTTTACACGGATCCCGTAATAGGGCCTCTCATGGGATGTGGCAAGAATAGTTTGTCGATGAACGAGCTAATTTCATTATTTGTTATAACCAATTGTGCGCGATTTGACAAATTTGGACATTGCTATTTTGAGAATATTTTTCTCTGTCCCAAACATAAAAGAAAGTTTTGTATTCTGCCAGCACAGAAAGTGAGCAGAGAAACTGAGGAAATACTTCCGCCCTGACCAAAATACAGAGTCTTCTCTACACACTAAAATTGAAAGAGCAAGTGCTTTCCAGAAACGTCTAAATTTATTCATACATTATAGCTGTGACTTATCTCGACTGCAATGAAGTAAAGTTCTACATGCGAAAATGCTATAATTAAATTAACAAAAAGTTAACTTATTTTAATTGTTAATAAAATGAACAAAAAGTTACTCCAACTGTTTAATTTTTATCATTAGCAGATTAATCTTAATAAAAAGGAAATTATTTTTAGGCGTACAAAAATGCTAAAGCAGCTTATTATAAAATTTAAGAACCTTTTGGTGGCATTGGCTTTTAATCTAATCTTAATCTTGCTTGGAAAATAAAGGGTTTTGCAATTGTGAGCAACCGCTGGTCATAATTTCTTCTAATATCCATTCAATGTATTCTCCTTAAGCTCTTTTAGAGCGAAAATAAACAATTCAAGGCAATAGGAAATTTCTTCCGAGTACTGATTACATCGATGGAGTCAGTTTCAGTTGTATCCGAAATTCTGAGCATAGGGCGCCTGATATACTTGTAGTAATATGTTTTGAAAGTGCGAACTTGTATTATAGCATTCCGATTTAGCTAGTTTTAATTGTATTACTGGGGCATATTTCAACAACAAAAGTTAGTTAAAGTAATTCGCATATTTTTCTAATATTTTCAACTTCTATCTTTTATGAACGAGCTTTTCAGCGTGTTTAAAGAGAAAAGGTAGGACATTTTTATTTCGTATTAAAAGAGGTATTATTAATAAATCCACAATTAAGTCTTAGAAATCATTTCTTGCTGACATTTTTCAGGTTTCGCTCATTAATTACGAAATGTTTCTCTTCGCTATTCACAAAAAGGGCACGAACCGAAAGCACTGTCGATTATAATAAAATATAAAAATAAGTATGATTTAAGTATCTGGCACTCGAGTACTCGAAATTAGCTGTCTAAACGCCACTTAACACCCACATCGCGGGAGGAATGTTGTATGTACAAGCTGTTTACTGAACATTTCGACAAATGTTTTATTAACAGTAATTGATGTGGCAAAGGTGCGCCTCGTCCCACGCATGCATAACAGTGCGGGAAGTAAGTATGCGCACGAGCCTGCTGCTACATTGACTTCATTTAATGGGCTGCTGCATTGTAAAGAGCGCCACATGTGGCCACGAGGCAGTTGAAGGGGCAACAGCATAATTAACTCAAGTAGACCATTAGCTAAGGTTACATAATAAAGTTGAATATTTGGTAGAGAGCCGTAAATAGCCGCTCAGTGGCATTTAACTTGCAAATCTGCACAAACCGTTGCCAGTTCAACAAACTTTGCGTTCAAGGGCAGGCCATTTCTCGGCTGGTCTAGCAACTTTCTATTGACCCCAAAGCCGGGTATTGCATAACAGCCGAGACCAAGAACTATGCTTGGCTGAAGAAATGCTGCGCAGTTGGCGAATACTTAATACGGGTATAAAAAGCGCACAGCTCTATTGTTCGGGCGCAGTATTAGCATAAATTTATAAACATAAACAACAACATGCTCAAATTTGTAAGCAACCACAATCCATTCTTCTGAATACGTATATATGTAGTATGTCTGTGCCAACGTGTTAATTTTCAGCTTTTGTGCGTGGCTCTCTGTGGCTTTTGTGCTGGGGCTAGCCTTTCTAGGCAGCCCATAGGAGAGGAGAGGCCGGATCAGGAGCAGTTCGTGCCGATCGTCAAGTCTGTGGGCGAACAGAAAAGCGACGGTTCCTACTTCTTTGCGTACGAGGGCGCCGATGGCAGCTTTCGCGAGGAGGTGGGCATTATTAAAAATGCAGGCACAGAAAATGAGGAGCTGGAAATATCGGGCACCTATCACTACTACGATGCCAATGGTGACAAGGTAGAAGTTAGCTATGTGGCCGATAAGAACGGCTTTGTGCCACAAGGCACAAGCATACCCAAGGAAATATCTGAGGCGGCACGTAGTCCTGTACAAAATACTACCACAAAATAATAATCCAGCACTGTTTGTTGTTTGAGTATGAACAATGAATAAAATAGAGCCTGCTAGACAGCCAAATAGCCCATCATCTCCATCAACTATCAACTATCAATTGCCAATGGCTACGTTTTCAAATGTTACTCAAACAATTATCGGAACAAATGGCCTGTACACCAAAGAGCAGCAGCATAAACAATTCGAACTCGACACCGAATCCGCAGACTTTTTTAAATAAATTCAAATCAAATTCTGGCCAATTTTGCGCGCTGCTCACTCGACAACTCAATGGAAAACTATGCCAATAAGGAGCGCCGCAAATGCTGGCAACGCATAAGCCGCCGGGCTTGGGGTGCGGGACAGAGAGAAGGCAGTGACTGGCAACCGCTAGTACGGGTATCTCCAACACCTAGCACCTTCCACAAATTCTTCTTTCCCCGGGGGAGGATGTTACCCTCTCTGCCAATGACTGCTGCCAATGGATGAGCAGCTCACTAAAAAATATTTAATTTACTGAGCAGCCGCAAAGCGAGATTTTGTAAATTAGTTAAGCTGTCAAAATTATAAATTGTTGCAATTTTTATTGCCATTCTTGTCGCTGCCTAGTCAGTTGCTGTTGTTGAAGCCGCCACGTCAGTTGCCTTTTCTTGTGCTGGCTTCTCAAATGCCTCTGGGCCGGCTTTGCTCCTGATACGGGTTTAGGCCTTTTTGCCCTTTGCCAAATGTCGTCGAGCTGGGGCACAAGGGTTGGCACTTAAGTGATGGCATTAAATTAATTTAAATTAATCGCGACCATTAAATGGACACTTAATAGTTAAAGAGCGCACTCTTTTCGTGTACTGGAAATAGGTATAAAATCTCGACAATTATTAATTCTTACTTAACCCGGATTTTATCAATAAAACAAAATTGGTTCGATTATTCATTGTTATTCATTTTATTCCATTCAGTGTAAGCTATGGAGCTTGGCTTGAATCATATTCCCCCTCGTCTTTCATCTTTAAAACACGTTTTATAGGCCGATTGTAGAATCTCTTTCATAAATAATGCCTTTGGCACGTTTCTTTTGGAAAAGAAAGAGTGCTCGCAGAATACAAAAAAAAAATAATTTGTTTTTAAAGATATTACTATACAAACAAACTTTTCGATAGATTGTTGCAAATGCGACATGTAAGCAACTGACAGATGTAAGCACCCTCAAAAGAAGAAGAATTTTGGCAATATTTCAAGCACGACTTGTCTGAATCCTGCCTACTTTCTGATCCTTCATTGTCCCCAAAAAACTATGAAAGGGTCCACTATAATTGGCAATCTTTCGTAATTTCTGAATATCACTTCTTATTGGAAATTTGATGTTTAAATCGCACACTCTTGAAACATATCTGGCTGATTTGTTGTATTATATTCTAATTGTAATTGATGATCCTTGGCCACTTGAATAGGATACAAAAATATTAAAAATAATAATATTGTTGTGCATAAAAGTATATACCTACAATTGATGAATTCATATTTAATTTTGTTTCTATATTTATATCCAAACACAGTACGATATTTCTCCGCAAATAGTGGTAGTGTCATAATATCATAGTTTTTACAACATGTACATTTTTTTAGCTTTTTTTATGACTTCTCCCAAACAGCTACTCTTGATTATGTACCAATGTTTAAGATTAGCTTATAAAATGAAAAAATTAATATACTTGTATAAAACTACTACTACTATAAGGATCAGGAAATGAATTCAGAGTGTATGTTATGTCTTAAATAAAATACAAATATTTATCAAATATGGAGATGGTACTGAAAAATGAATTGTAACTTTCACCTTTCTTTCTTTCACCTTAAAGATAAAAATAAATAAATATAGGATATTCAGCTCTTTATTCGGCCTCAGGGTGTAATGAGAATACCCATCAAGAGATTTATTAGGAAATGATAATATGGACGATATATTTGCCATTTATTGTGAACAATCGGCCAACTAACAATAAATTGCTATGTAGGTTCTCCAATTCATTCACCATACCTTATTTATTCCCAATTTATTGCTAATTAAATCAATAATTTTAATGTTCATCAAGCACTTACAATAATTAACGCGCAGCATTAAAATTCTAATTTATAACATTTATCACCCAAAGACTCGCCCATAAGCGAAGATGCTTCCACACAGTGGCGTACCGCGAAATGCTTCAAACAATTTGTTATACTTGTATGTATGTAGAAGTATTTAAATAATTTTAAGATTATCTTTATCGTTTTTATTAAAAACGAATGCAGACAGCCAGTAACCTCTGGGATTGTCTAAGATTTAATGATTCTTCAATTCATAAATAGTCTATTGTAGGCCATATGAAGTTTATGGAAATGCCTCTGGCGAATATTTTTGTAAAGACGAGCCACAATTCTTGCTTAATTTCAACTACACCCTTGCAAATATACAAGTATGATGTACTGAATATGAATATATACAAGTACATTCACACTCGAGCATGCTATAGAGATACAAATTAATAAATTGCAGCCACAATAACAGAAAACGCTGACATTTTACACGACAAATGAAAACATTTCTAGGCTTGGTGCGCTTCACTCGTAATGCTGTTCAAGGTGTCGGCAGTGCGATTAATCGAGCGCGGAATTCTACAAAGCACAGCCATGCTCGTACAACCAACCAGGTGTAGAGCAGTAGGTGAAGGCAGGTACTCGTAATTTATACACTTGCAGACAGACTCGGCATGACACTAACGAGGCTGCTAATGCGACAGAGGCGCATCCGTTGATCGGAGCAATTAATTGTGTCCCAGCATCTCCAGTGACTAAGCGCCAAGATGCGCCAAGATGTGGAGGGCAGAGAAATTTGATTCACGAAAGCAGACAGATGCTGGTTGCCGGTCAACTCGTTGACACAATTCGTTTCAACTAGCCGCTCCGCAGCCCGCCGACGACCCTGACATTTAGAGTGAGGTAATTTGATCGGCGTTTGCATTTCGTGCCCGTAGCCATAAAACTGGATGGGAATGGGATGCAAACATGTTTTGCATGTTTAAGCAAACGGTTTAGTGAGATATTTCGGCACACGCCTCGTCGCATTTTCGACGCATTTCGTCGGGTATGCGTATACTATAAAAGGCAGTCGGGCGAACACATCTCATGTTCACACGCGTTCAAACTTTCGCTTTCTACGGTCAAGTTCGCACAAATCGCAGCAAAATGTTCAAATTCGTAAGACACCGATCTGAAGTGTTCCTCCAAGAATTAGTATACAAGTAGAAGTGCCATCACTTCATTTTTACAGATCGCGTTGCTCGCCGCCGCCTGCGCACTCGCCAGCTATGCCAATGCACTGCCCATCGAGGCCGAGCGTGAGGTCGTCTCTATACTAAGGTCGGAGATCAACAAGAACGACGACGGCTCCTACAAGACAACCTACGAGGGCAGCGATGGAACCATGCGCCACGAGGAAGCTGTCGTGGTTGACGCCGGCACCGATGAGCAGGCTCTCGAGGTGAAGGGCTCCTACAAGTACATTAACGACGAAGGCCAGGAGGTCGAGGTATTCTACACCGCGGGCAAAAACGGCTTCGTTCCCTATGGTTCAATAATAAATCCCGAAATTACGGCCGTTGCCGAGGCAGCCAAGGATCTGCCCAAGTACACAGACGACAAGGAGAAAGTGCAGTTGGGTGCATAAGTTCCTTCGCATTAAGCCTATCAACTAGTGATCTTAGCTAGTATCCTAAGTATGTGTATAGTTATGCAATATTAATTCAAGAGCCAGCGTGTAATAAAAGTTTAGAAAACAACATAAAGCCACCTTAATCCAACAGATACTAATAGTTGAGTAAGTCATTACTACGATCTAAGCTCGTCCACCACTCTTTCTTCTTCGGTCGTCATTTCTTATGACTATTGACGTGTTATTTGTAGACAAAAAGAAATTGCCAAGCCAAAAGACCTTGAAAAGCCAACACCAAAACACATTTGCCCACATCTTGGTGTGTCTCAATAGAAATTTGACATGATTAAGCGATGCTTCAGCTATTCGAGACTGTATGTACGTGTACAGTGGACTGCAGATAAGAAAACCCAAAACTCGTTTTGTCTAAGAACTAAATACTTGTGAAATAATCTTTCAAGCAATTGTGTTATTATGGGCTTAAACTGATATTGGTTTTTGAGGCCCCGGAAATTATTAAATTTTACGATAAATATGCGATGTTCGTGGATATGAATATCTCATCCGTTCCCATATTTTTACTCAAAGTTTTTGGTTATTTGCTCAATTTTTATTGCACTCATCAAATTATTTTACTTTCAAATAATTAATTCGTTTGCACACACCAAAAAGTAGATTCTTGGAAAAATTGCATGTAGGGTCTACAAGGATCTGTGTTCTAGTTCTGTGCTGTTTTAAAAAGCCAATAAAACTGAATATTTATCGGTCTGTGTCCACTGTTCAAACTTATTTTCTATTGCTCTGAAATATCACTATCATAAGTCAATTCAGATTCCAAGCATCATTACCATCAATCAATTCGAATCAGAAAATCAATCACAATCAATAAGCCAAGTTATTAATACAAATTAAATTATAAAAAACGAACTCTGTTATACTAAACGAGCTAAGAAGTTATCTTCGTCAGCGCCAAAGTTAAATACTCTTCTCAATGGCTATTATTTATGCAGAGTTTTTTTATCATCCATGTTTGCCATTTGCGATAAGTAGCATACTTAATCCATTTATAAACAAATTAAAACTTTACATAATCATAGTTTTGATATCTTTATAAAAATCGTAGATAAATTCTAAATTCTGCCAAAGAAATCCAGCAAAAATTTTCTTTTTAGCGCACTTTGAAGATGGCTAAGTGACTTCTAACTGCCGAATATGTTATGAAGACGGCCTGTAAAGGGGGCTTAACCGTTTGCTTTGCCCCTTCCTTCGAGAACGTTGATTGATTTCTTCATTGAGAGAATTAGCAATTGATACAGAAATAGACTTGGGAATAACAAAAAGATAAAACTGACTAATGATGCCATGGGTGTTTTAAAAACAAAGTTGTGTGGCTTATGGCTTAAAAAATTCCATTTGCTTTTTTTTCCATGCAAAACATAAATCGGAAACACTAATTATACCCCGTATCTTAGTTTATTTATTTATCTGGGAAGATTCAAGCTGCCGCCTTCAGCGATATTCTGCCTTCAATTCTTCCATTCTCTTGCCAAGCTTCGCTCAGCTGTATTTTTGACATCATTTTTAAGCAGAACTATGTAAAACGCTCAAATTTATATTCAACAACAATTGAGCTTTTGCTGCGTGTTTCGCATAAGAAAATAAAATATACTCGGAAGCTCACAATTTAACGAAACAGCATGATGCACTTGTTGCCGTTCAGATAAAGAATTCTTTATTGACGCTAACAGAAGTTAACAATTTAAATTTCGAACACACGCAGCTTACATTTTAATCATAATACCTAAATCAACTATCCAATAAATTCTCAAGCTCGAAACAATTATTGCTCTGGAATCTCACGTGGACGTGGTCTCAGGAACGACGGGGGCTTGGTGGCTTTCCTCAGCAACGCTCTTGACATCGCTGCTGACCTCAGTTTTCTCCACAACCACCTGGACTGGCACATTTTCCGATTCAGCGCTTTTCTCAGCAATGCTTTTGACATCGCTGCTGACCTCAGTTTTGTCCACAACCACCTGGGCTGGCACATTTTCCGATTCAGCGACTGTGGGCTCCTCAGCCTGGGAGCGTGCCTTGCGTCTGTACTCCTGTTCATCGACTACATTGGGGAGTTCAGCAGCTGCCTTTGCTGCAGCGGAGATTTCGCCGGGAATGTTGGTTCCCACGGGTACAAAACCATTCTTGCCGGCCGTATAGTGCACCTCGATGAGCACTCCATCAGCATCGATGTAACGGTACGATCCGCTAATTTCGAGGGCTTCCTCGTCCGTGCCAACGTTGTTGGCCACACCTGTCTCCTCACGGAAGCTTTTGTCTGCGCCCTCGTAGGAGTAGTGGTATGAGCCGTCGGGCTGCTTATCCACCTCGTATCTCAGCAGCTCTACAATCTGTCTCTCCGTGGTCGCTTTGACGTCCGCTCCAATGCTGGCAGCATAAGTGCCGGTTGCAAAAGCCAATAGACAGATCTGTTGGCAAACGGTAGCTTAGTAACTCTTAGATCAGCATTAATTGATTTAATAACTTACGAATTTGAACATTTTGCGTGCGTTCCCAATGGATGTTGTCAGCTCACTTGGCCACGACACAGTCGTCTGGGCCTTTTATAGTGAAGTTTTGTCTGCGCAGCCACCACAAATTAGCATCACTTGGGTTATTATACGCAGAATATAAAACAAAACCCAAACAAAATGCAGAGAGCAAAGAAATTCTATAGAAACTTATTAAATGCGTTTCTCTAAAATATTCGTACAGCATTTGCATATTTATGATTCAGCGTTTGGAAAAAACTTAGCTGAGATTTATTCGCCATTTATTTACGTTGCTAAAAGGCATAGCAGAACTATTAAAGAGTGTTATTCACATTAAAGTAAGTCTCTTCAGCTCTCAGGTATCGCATATTAAGTTTGTTTGGAAACTGCCAGACTCTATGGATTGTTATGCCATTGATTGTTATACTCTGTGCCCAAAAGATAAAAGGAGTGTATTACATTTTGCGGATATGAATGAACTCGAGACTTATTTAATGTTTCCGTTCACATTTGTGTATATGCATATAGGTAAGATTTTATGGCTTTGGCTTTATCAAGAGTTTTATCAATTTTTTCAATTGTATTCTATCAAATCGAATAAATAACCACTAATTGTTCCTGTATATAATAGTTATTAATCAGTTTCTTGTTATACCCTGTACCCGTAGGGTAAAAAGGGTATATTAGGTTTGTGCAAAGTATGTAACATACAGAAGGAAGCATCTCCGACCCCATAAAGTATATATATTCTTGATCAGCATGACGAGAGAAATCGATCTAGACATGTCCGTCCGTCTGTCCGTCTGTCCGTCCGTCTGGATGAACGCGAGGATCTCAGAAACTATAAAAGCTAGAATAACCAAAGTTGGCATCCAGATTTTCCTAGGTCCGAGTAAGGACGAGTTTATTTTTTTTTTTTTAATTTTCCCCCCCTTCCCCCGCTACAGAATTTCGTCAATAGCGTCCACATTTCAAATGCTACCTAAACCAAACTTTGCACACATAATTTATATATAATTGTCTACTATTCAATTCGGTCAATTCTAAGAAAAGTTATTAGCAAAACAAATTCTCGCCAGTACAACCCCCACAAACTGCAGCAACAAGTTCGCTCTTCTTCTTCCTCTTTTTGCTGCTGCTATGGGCGCATATAACTCAGTGACGGAAGTTTACCTGGGTACAGGGTATTACACTGTCGGGCTTGCTCGACTGTAGCGTTCTCTCTTGTTTACTGAAGTAACTTACTATTTAGTTTGTAAACTAGAAATAAAATGCTCACATCTTACTCAATCGGCCATTTCTATGTGAATACGCGTATATTATTTTCAGCTGCATTAAAATATCACAGCAATGTGGGCCTAACCCAGAATAGATTAGGTTCGGCTAAGATAGGTTGCAATACCAACAAATTAAATCAAAAGCACGATGTCCGTATGTCCGTTCCATGAATTATAATCATACCTCCAACAGTTTGTGAGATATCGAGTTGTAGCTTCTTTTTGAAAGGCGCAGATGACAGCACTTTTATTTCAGATCCATATGTCAAATACATAGCTTTCATATAAACAAGGTGATTTTATGAGCAAAAATAAAGCGTATTTAGCTTCATTGCAGACTAAGACACCTTTTTAGCTCTTTTTTCTTAAATATGTTGATTTATTATTTTATTTATCTACGTCATAAACTCGTTTGCTTCTGTCAAAAACAAAAATTCACACAGCGGTGCTGCTCGAAATCTCTGCGCTTCGTCTGAAATACATATAAGTTCATTTAATCACTTTAATTTGGGAATGCCGAGCCATGAAGAGTCGCAGCAACAAAAACAAATGAATAAACAATATTGGAATGCTAGTGTCATGCAAGCACGACTCTAAAAAACCTGTACTCTCTGCAAACATTATTTAAAAATTGTATTTCAATAAATAACTACAAATAAAAATAAAATACACTCATTTATGGCAAGGAAATTTATATAAATTCAAAATCAAAATCTGTATTTATTCATCACACAAAATCTATTTTATCTCCTTCAAAGTAATCCCCTCCGGATGCAATGCACATATGCCAGAGCTTTTTCCATTCTTTGAAGTAGTCCAAACATGCTTTTCTGGAATAACCTTCAGTGCATTCTTCGAATAGGCTTGACTCTTCACAATAGTGCCAAAACGGTATCCCTGGAGTGGGTTCTTAAATTATTTATTAGCCAGAAGTTCAGGGACGTAAATCAGGCGAATGAGGTGGTTGTGCAACGACATGAGTCTGGTTTTTCGAAAATTGCCACGAAGAACGGGTGCAGGGATGCGATGTTTTTGAATAACGACATTTGACTTCTACGAGGCACAACACTTACCTTAAAATCGTGTTAAATGGTCTATTATGAATGGCAACATCATAAGCAATGTCTCCTGCTATCAATCGACAATTCTGGAGCAATTCTGATTTGCTGTGCTTGGGCGTTTTCCACACTCCTTCAACATTTTATGCCATTCATAAACTTGTTTTTTTGACAAAGCTAGAAGAATCGTTGAATATTCTTAACGTTTCGGCAGAAGAAATTTGATTCCTTATATAAAACCTAACCGAACTTTTTTGTTGAATAATTTCGGACATAACTAAAATCGAAGAAATCTCTATTAGATGTTTACAAAACACAAGCCCTCATACAATATATATTATGAATTTATATGCAATAAAGAAATTGATGCTAAATTTAAAACAGCGCTGCAAACTTAAAAAAGATTCGTCCTCTTTGAAACGTCTTCTCGAATTTGGGGTCATATTTTCAGGTCATATTTGTATCAATATTTATCAGTATATTTTTCAATTGCATAAATTTAACGTCTTGTTTGTGTCCGGGCCCGCATTCTGCAAATTTTTTTGCGCATGCACACAGTACTAGTACTAGTTCGCTTATACTCGTATGTGATAGATATATGTGATGTAGGAATTTTGTACGATAGTATGATTGCAGGTGTATATAGTAGGGAGGAATGTGCGCGTGTATATAAGTACTTTATTTACAGGTTTTGTACAACCTTTCAGAAAGGCATAGAATAACATTATTTAAGACTCAGTTCTCCAATTGAATTTTTAATAAAAGTAGAAAGATTTATTCATCAACTTAAGAGAAGCCATCCGGGTTTTGCGTACAAGAACAGGGATCGGTGAAGTTGCAAACCGAGGTAATGCTGTGATGAGGGGCATTACAAGCTATTTATTCTCATAGCAATAAGAACCTACAGTCAATTCATATAGTTGATTTCTCCAAATGTTTACAAATCTAAGAAATACACTAAGTTCAAATGTATGTACTTAATAGCATACTTTTTATACAACGGACTTATCCCAACAATATTACATGGATGTCAAATTTCTACAAATAATATAGGAGTGGAAGATGTATCCGAAATATATATAAAAGTTTGGTATTTCTAATAATTCATGATATTCTAGTGTCCATATATACTGATCGACGGACATTGCTTTATTGACTCTTTTCGTCCTACTGATCAAAAGTGTATCTTCACTTTGTGGGAAGATGCCACGCATCCTTCCGTGTATTACACACATTCGTACTAAACAAGTACACCCTTTTAGCCCTAAATAATGTGTAATGGTGCATCTTACTACTTGTATCAGATGTGAATGGTTAGAGACAAGAGTCTATTCGCCGGAAAATTAGTAAAAGCTCCGTCTACTGTTGCACCAATAGTTCGAGTGGCTGCCTCATTAATCAGGGCTGAGCGAGCAACTGCAACTCAAACTCACTTTGGACAAAACAAAGCAGCATAAATTAAGCCGCATATTAGCTGCACTTAATATGCGGAGATTGAATCAAAAGACTGAACTGCAATCTGAGTCACAGACCGAGGCATGCAATTCATTCATCAAAAGCAAAGTTGAGATTCAGCTCTGGGCAGGGCACATGGGAAACTCGCAATGATCGGTGTGAATACTAATAAACACATAAGCGAAGACGTTAATATACTAGTATGGGCAATAAACAATAAGGGGTACGAGTGCTTGGGTGCATCATTCGCCAGTAAGTGTACAAGCCCAAAATTGTCAATCATAAAAAAGAGGCAGGCTGGCAATCCGAATTGTATGTCAAATGTGAAAAATGCACTTAAATAAGCTGTGGCAAGAGCGAAAGATGCTTAGGAAGAGACCGCTTCGGCTGCTCTTTTTGTTGCGGCTGCTGTTGTTGTTGTTGCACCAACTGTTGTTGCTGTTTGTGGCAAAAGACGAAGGCCATGGAAACGCGGGCAGTACGCGCGCTCAAACGTTTCAAGCGCGGAATTGGCCAAGTAACACAGAAAACGTACAGAAATGGAAAACAACAATAACAACAACATAAACTAGAAATTACGTTGGCGTTGGGTTTTCTTGTTGTTGGTGGAGGTTACGGTGATTGTGGTGGTGGTGCTAGCGGTGGCGGTGGCGCGTTAATCTCGCGCGATGTTCATCATGCTCGCGATCATCAAGTGCTGTGCTCTTTGTTGTTGTTGCCACTGCAGTTATTGCCGTAATTTTTATGAATTGCAACTGACATTTCCTACACGTTGGCGCTGTGGCATCGAAAGTTTAAAGTTTAAGCCGAAAATTACAATTTTTATGCGCTGGCCAGCCAGTCGTATTAACGCCGGCTCCAGAAAACTGGAACCGCCCGTCAGCCGCCCGTCGCATGGCTTGTGGTTCACCTTTATTTACTGGGAACTGGTGCAAGGAGTGGTGGTGCAACTATGGTCAGCAAACTATTTAGCAGTAGGTGCAACATCATCACAATGCATTGTACTAGTAATGTCTATATCGATACTCCCATAGCAGTTGCAATCGGCAGCGATGTATCTTCCAAAACCAAATGGGCCGCGAATCATTCATCAGACAACTCCGAACACAAACAATGGCGCATCAAAGTTAACGACTTGATGCAGTCCGATCACATATACATATAGCCTTACACAGTGCCGCCCATTTAAATAGGCATAACAGTTATTCTTGAAAAGTAAGGGATCAAAGAACTTTGGGAACTTTACTGAATTTTCAGAGCATGAGCTTAGGAAGTAGTACAAATATTAAAGTACAAGTAAATGTTCAGAAGAACTTCTCTATAACTAATTAACTCTTAAAAGAAGTTTTAAAAGGCACATACGCATATTCTTTCTATTTAAATTTTATAATATAAAGGGCTTTCTGATGCAGACCTTATTGCTGACAATAAACCCAACAACAGCTACTAGAAGCCTCATTGCTGAGAGTATTGCCACCTGTTTGTCTTTAAATAAGTAAACTACTTTTTTATTTATTTTTTTTAAGAGAAAATTGTAGCCACAACCCCAAATACATAGCTAAAGCTGCAATAAAAAACTTGATTGCCTTGAAAGAATATTAGCTTGGTATGATAAGCGGATTTCGTTCGGTTCCATATGCAATCAACTTTAGACTGGAATTCTTGTCATGATCTGTCATAAACTAATCTCAAATATGGATGGTTTGAAAAATTAATATTAATCTGACATACAATATTTCCTAACTTAATAATAAAATTAAAGTTCAGTAAATCGATCAATCAATGCGTCCTGGCATAGCTAATTGGCTTTGATAAATTGCTTGCTTCGGAAATAATAATCTTAATCAAATATTTTGTTTGCAGTCACAAATTGTGTATAGTTAAGGAATATAATCTTATAATCTTTGTATGCTCTGTACCCAAAAGGTTGAACTAAAAAATAATTTGCTGAATGCTATCTTAGACCGGACTGGACTGGACTAATTCCACTTTCTTCCTATACAGCTTATGAAGCCACAATTCGATAAAATCTTGAACGACTTTTGAATGTCCCTTGGATTTCTTCAGTGAAAGGTTCTCAGTTGAGTATCAAGCCTAGTTTAGAAGGCCTTGTTTAAATCAATACACATTTTTGCTTTTGTTTTGCAAAAAGTAATGTGCTCTTCTCCCGCAGCTACAATGCCTGTACCCACTTGACTGAATGACACTGTTAATAAAGTGTTTACCACGCCAAATGTATGACTTCATGGAAAATAGTTCGAACGGCCATTGGCAGTAAACATTTCATTGTTGCTTGAACAGTCGCCTGCGGCTGGTTGCGCTTTTCAAATGTCAATAAAAATGCTAAAGCCTTGCAGCCAAATGTCCAATTCATCAAAATTTATCTGTTTGATGTGTGCGTGTGTGTGGAATTGCAAAATATTTGCAATGAGCTCTGCCTGGTATTAATCTTTTAATTAATATTTGAGTTAACAAATTATTGCACACAGCCCAGCATGGGTCGCCGCAAATTGAATCGCACTATCACAAACACACACACACATACACACACACAAGGAGCAAGAGACGCCAACGTGCTGGCTGCGGCTTCGTCATGGGCTTCCCATTCAAATGAAGTTCGTATTGCTAATTCACATAAATTAATAGCAGACAACGTGGCGTGCAAACACACATACACAAAGCAGACACATACAATAAATGGAAATAAATATAGAGACACACAGACGCAGACCCAGACACACATATGCACAGAACGCGACAGCTTAGTTGGCTTGTACACGCGGCGTATGCGCAACGCCCATTTGCATTTGAAACAAGTTGCGCATACGCCGCATACTACGCCAACGACTGCAACAACAACAACAACATCAACATCAACGGCAGAAACAGCAACTGAAGCTCTTCCGATTCTGTTGCTGTCAAACAGACAAACAAAGTTTGCTGCCGCTTCTCCACAGTGCTGTTGTTGTTGTTGTTGTTGTTGCAACGCTCTTGTGGCGGATGCTGTCGTTCTCGTTCGTCGGCGTCGCTGGCCGCGCAGACGCCACTGTCGCGGGCAGAGCAGTGGCTCACGGTGCATTTTTGGTATAAAAGCGTTCCAGCCAACTGGATGCAAGTCAAAACACTTTTGACGAGCCTTGCAAGCATAGACGTGCGCTGTTGTTCCAACCAATTGTACCAAGTGCCTCTGAACCTCAAACACGCGAAGTGAGTTTTGTTGTTCTTACAAGTGTTGCTGATGCTGCAGTGTGTGTGTGTGTGTGTGTGTGTATATATATATCCTGCGGCAAGGAGCAAACTAAAGAATTTAATACGTAGCTTTTATTGCTGAATTTCGTAGAACTGCACGTTTTGAGTAGTTCTGCACATTTACCAAGTGCTCCTTAGTATCCTCTGTTTACATAAGGACTACGAAGTATTTGTCTGTCTACGCAAGGATTACGGTCAAATATTATTTATTAAATGCTTGCAATAAGTGCGAAAAAGTAAATTTAAATTTCTCAAACTGTTGATAAATACTTTATTTATAGACAATTCCTACCAAATATTTTAAATTCCTGCTTTGTTTCCATTCACTTTTTTGAGGCTAAATGAATTCACCCTCAATTAATTTCTAAGTGGAATCTATTTAAATTTAAAGCAAGCAATCGCTTCCACTTTCTAATTGTTGGGGATCGAAATAAACAGTTTTTTTAAATATATATCTAAAAAAATAGATAGTATTTGTAAACCTGATTTTGAGAAGTTTTGTTATACTGATATGCATTTAAGTTTTAGGACTAATTACTTGCACTTTCTCCAAATGGATGCTAAGGCGTTACAATTTCGATTCTGAAAAGAGACAAAAACTACGACAGCTTAAGGACAACATACGTTCACACGGTTATTATCGATGGCTTATGTTTGAACTTATTCTGCACTCTCATCTTAAAGTCCATTTGTTTCTCAGCATAAATCTCTTGTGCCAACTTTCAAAAGCATAAGCTTCGAAAGCAATCAAAGCAACTGCCAAATACTAATTACATCGAACGAGTTTGACATTAAAAACACTAAAGCGTTGTCGGCAGCGCCAACAAAGTCGATTCTGCTCCCGCAACAACAAATCCAATATTTGTTCGCCTTGCCGCTTTATAAATTATGCATAGCCAAGCCTCAGCTCACATTAAAGCCCACTTGTACAAGCATTTAAGTTATACTTCTACTCACCTATCTGGCCATCCATTTTCCACATCGGTGGCGCCCAACAAAAAGGTCATGCAGACGCTCACCTACGCCGCTGCCACCATCGCGCTCTGCTGTCTGAGCGCAGTGACTGCGCAGCCGCAGCGCGGCCTCCCCCCACCTCGCTCCAGCTCGTTCGACGCGAATGCTGTGATACTAAAGCAGAACTTCGATCTGAATCCGGATGGCTCCTACCAGTACAAGTGAGTGTGCAAATGAGGCGAAATTAGGAAATATTGGGTGATAAAATATTTTTAAAATTCCAATTTCCCGGCAGCTACGAGACTAGCAACGGCATTCGTGCCGATGAAGCCGGCTACTTGAAGAATCCAGGCACACAGGTGGAGGCACAGGTGAGTGAACAGAGTTAGAAATGGTAGCGCTTCTTTGTGCGCCATCATCACATGTTACCCGAATTCTATAGCAGACTTATGGGCGGCCACAAATTAGATCCAAACATCTAAACATTCCCGTAAATACACAGCTTTTTGTTATTGTTGTTGATAAGGAAAGTTTGAAAGATTGCATTATACAGGAGCTTCAAAAAAAAAACCCCCTACCTTTTCGAAGGTTTTACTGCACTTCAAATTGGTTTTAATTAGCACTTGCCTTGCTTACAAAATAATAATGGAAACGTTTGTCCAATCGACCAAAGGAAATCCATCAATGGCGGGTTTTATTGTTTCAGCTACACGTTTAGTATTTTTGAAACATTTTGCAGGACTTTTTTTTTTGATAGACTATCAAGCAGTTCACAGGATCATTTGGCATTACACCCAAAACTATGTGAGATTAAGTTATTGCGAACTGTTACATATATAAAAGGAATATATACATACTTTATATTCTCGATCAATATAATAATACGCGTCGATAAAGCAGTATGAATGCAATGATCTTTTCAAGTAAAATAGCTAGAATAACCAAACTTATTATTCATATTCCTTTCAAAACCGAATCAGAACAAGTGTTCTTTTCCTTTCTACCCTTCCACTCCTCCACTCTTAGCGATTTTTCATATATTCCGTAATCCCAGAATCTGTTTCACCAAATTTGGCAATGACATACCCATACATAATTATTATTTTAGTTAGTTTAATTGAAAGCAAAATAATATTACTAATAGCATGTAAATGCTTGGTCCGCTCGACTCCAGCATTCTGTTTGCGGATTAATCGGAATGTGCGTAAATCTCTGATGGTAGCAGCTTATATCTCCGCTCTATTTATCGTCCTCTATTCATATGCCTATTTTTGAACTATTAATGTGTATATCGGAATTGTGTCCACTTTTCAGGTAATGCAAGGTTCATACTCCTACACCGGACCCGATGGCGTCATCTACACCATCACGTACATCGCCGATGAGAACGGATATCGCGCCGAAGGTGCTCACATACCCACACCCCCTCCAGTGCGCGCGCCCGCTGGAAGATTCTTCAAATAAATGGACCATACACATAATTGCACTGTGACGTTTATGTTTTAGGCTAACTGATTTTTAATTTTATGATAAGGACGAAGTTGGCAATCGTTTCGTGTGCTGCCGAAGGATGGGCAGCAAGGGGAGCAGCAAAAGCAACAGCAACAACAACAACTTGTGGTTGCGGCAATGGGACATGATAGACAGGATCAGCTGTGTCCACTTGATCACACAGATCATTACTATATTTACAAAATGCATTTGCACCTGACAACTATTTTCTTTGCCTTTCCTTTTCGTTTCCCGTCATCAGCCACACACCCCCTGTCCACTGTTTGCAACATTTTCGTGTGTATTTGTGCATTTCTCATTTAAACAAAGCATTAACTCACTTAGTGCGTATTGTACAATAGTTATGTAAAATATGTTTTGTAAATAATATACAATCGTTTGTTAAACATACGACACGCAAGCTCAGCAATAAAATGAATATTGCCCGAAACAAGTTCACCGGACGTTGAAAGTTTAAGAAAAGGATTGTAGCAACGCAATATAGGACATGGCCTTCTGGACAATCTGGAGAATGATAAATTAATGTTGTTGTTGTTACGGGCAAAAAGGAGCTCTGCATGAATTTTAAATTAAAGAAAATTTGCATCTGACTTGTACAGTTTACCGATTACTATATAGCTCGCAGATAGATCTGCATCTTTAACGTCTGCCACCATTTATTATTTTCTCTATTAGAAGAGCAGCCCCATTTATAATCATTTTCATTAAATATAATCATTTTAGTCATGCAGAGCTCAATTCGTAGCTTTACGTTTACGTACCGAAAGAAACGTAGCCATGTTAGCCTCGAAGAAGTATCCGTCAATAACAATACCTCTCTGCGAACGCATCATGGAAATGATCAGCGAACGTCGAATGCTCGGGGATGCTATTGCGTACAGATGCCAGGGACTCTCATAGATGGTCTCGCTAAAGCGTCTGCTCTGCTCCATGATGCACTCGCCGCAGTAGCAATAGATGTATACTTGTACCAGTATAGAGGCTGTAAAGGCGGCAAAGAACAAAAGCTCCGGCTCTGTTAAGTTGGAGGACATTTGAAAGCTTAAGACTCCCAGATGAAGGGAACCCACAAAGAATTGGGTACAGATGAGCGGTCTGAAGCAATCGTTCAATTCACGCGACATATCCAGTGTGGTCTGATATAGACGAATCACATTCCGAAGATCAGCTCGAGATTTATTAGGTGTTTGGTTACCATTCTGCATTTTATGTTGCGCAATTTTGTAAAGCGCGCAGAGATTGTGTGCTAGAGAACAAAAGAGAGTATCCACACAGACCGAAGAGACGACGACGCTCAGGGCGGCACATATATTCCAGAAATAGGACAACAAGTAGTTGTGTATGTAATCGTTGTCCCAAGGATAGCTGAAATTGCAGCTGAAATTCTGTATCTTAAAACATAATCTATAGCTTACACGCTGGGGAAAGGCAGCTCCCGTTTCACATTCTCCGACTGCCAATACGAGCTCAGCATATGTACGATAGGCAGGAGTGTGGCCAGAAAGCCGCCGAGGAGAAAACAGTTTCTATACAATCGGCTAATGAGTTGCTCGCGCCTATTTTCCTGAGCGATGATAGTGGCATAGACGTCTCCTTCATAACACTCTGAAAAATAATGACCAATTAATAGCCGACCAGTCAGCCAATTTTCAATTAGAAATATTTCGCACATTTATGAACTGTTCAGTAAATCTTTGAAGTTATTAATTACAATTATAAGATTAGTATTCCATCTCCCATAGCCTTTTAATTCTAATTTTTTCTCATATTTGTTTATGATGTTGTAATAACTTTTCTTCTTTTTACATTTTCTGATTTTTGGCTTTGTTGGATATATACTTGCAGTATAGAAAAGAAGAAGAAAAGCGATCTTATTCCTGCAGTTTGTAGGCGTAGTACTGGAGTGAAATTGTTTCGCTAGCTTTTTTAAATGAACCGATTTGATGAAATTTGAAACAAAAATAGATAATTGTATATAAATAAATTAAATTATTTTATAAATATAATTATAAATTCTGAAGCGCAGAGAGGGAGGGGGGTGATCAGAAAATAAAATAAGCACGTGTTGCCTTGGGACTAGAAGCGTCTACCTACCAAGTTTGGTGCATCCAGACGGACAAACATGTTTAGATCGATTCGTCTCGTCATGCTTATTAAGAATATATGGCGTACGCAGCTTTTGCTATACAACTTTTTTTTTGCAATTTATTAAGTAATTTGTATATGTACGTACTACGTACATTTAGAAATGTGAAATTCAATTATTAACCTTCTTGGGTTTTTAGAAAACTTATCCAACTTAACAAACTTAACTCTTCTAATTCCGCCTTTTTCAAAATCTTGTAGGTATTTTCTTCCATGATTAGTTTTTCCAATTCAACAAAATCGTTTTGCATAATTATTAATTAATTGTATTTATTTATTGCTTAAAGCATCGCGATGTATTACGTCTTGCCCAGAAACAATACCAGCTATATTCATCATTAGAACCAACAGTCAGGTAAAGTTAAAGCACCGTAATAGCCACTCACAGCGTTTTAAAATGTTGCTTAAATAAATAATGTACGGTGCGTTAGAATAATAATTTATGCATATGATCAACAGAATAACTTCACAAAATTAAGCTCAGTTCCATCTTGAGGCGAAATAGTGAGTCATAATAATGATTCTAAAGATTTAAGGGGGGGAGGGCAATGGTCCATACTTTGCACAATATACAATATACAGCGTATACAAATCCAAATAAAATCTTAAATCTCTCAATTTACTTCTACTCATATATATAAAACAATTTATAATGCTAACGAACTTATTTTATGTCTCCGCTTACCATTCGATAAAATTCGTTTAAATTTTTCAATCAGCATCCCGAATTTTCCGCGCATTCTTATGATTACACCAAATTTGTATAGGGCGAGTATGTCCACAAATAGTGAACACAACATGTCTGTCAGCCTGTCCACATCGTCCATATTCTGTATGCCAAAGACTATGGTGAGCGGCATGAATAAGGCCAGCGCCAACATGCTGCAGACAACTTTGTATGGCTGTTGCCAGCTTTGTTGTGATGCGAAAATATCAAAGCCTAGCAGCTTGAAGTAGAGGCGCTGCAGTTTCAGAAAATTGTCCGTTGGCATGGCTGATCAGCTTGTGGGTCTCTTATTGTGGATTCGTGCATTTATAGACACCTTGCTAACCTGCTTAGCATCAAATGAGTCGGCGCCAAATTATATAGAATTTCACACTCCTTTGTGAATAACAAATGAAAATGACAACGAACGATGATTGATTGTAAAGCCTACACATATCGGCCGATAATAATCAATACCAGCCGACATTGAAAAGCAATTTCCATTGACACCTGCGTAATTGCGGTAGTCTGAGAAAAACATGCTAATGAAAGGACTCAGAATTAGTTTTCACAAAATGCTCTTTATTTACACGCGCACATAAATTACAAACAACTGAAAGGAGGACCTTTACAAATGGACTAGCGTGCAATGGAGGTTCTTGTTGGAGTTTTACCAACCGCCTCCACGGCCCCAACCGCCTCCACGGCCCCAGCCGCCGCCGCCGCGACCCCAGCCTCCTCCACGGCCCCAGCCGCCGCCGCCGCGACCCCAGCCTCCTCCACGGCCCCAGCCGCCTCCGTAGCCACCTCCCCATTGACGTGCCTCCCGAGGTCCTTCATTTGCATGTCCTTGAGTATCGGTGTCAACGTCCAACAATCCGACGAAGTCGTTGTCAACGCTGTCATCCACAGGGGTCGCATAGCTGTAAGCCAGGCAGAGGACGCCGATGATTGCCAAAAGTGTTAAACGCATCTTCGAATTATTGATCTTCTCCTTGTTGTTATTAATAAATTCTGTGAATTGTGCAAAGCTCGGAACTGTTTGTGCAACTGCTGCCGTCTTGTGCACTGCAGCGGCCTTTTATTTGCGATAATTCTCTCCAAATCAAAAATCCCCAGACAAGTTCTCATACGAATTCTAACAGCTTGTTATATTTGCACATTAAACGGCATTGTATAGTATATTATTTTTTGTTGACGTTGTTAGAGTTGTTCGTCTTGGGGAATGTATACCCTGTAATTAAAAGCTTGGAAAAGTGTGGCTTATCCTTTAGGCAGTATTCTTAGCTTAAGGGAAGGCATACGACTAAGATAAATCAAAGTATTTTTATATGGGAGAATTATTATTATTTATTATTTATTTATTATATGCAATTATGTATGTATGTACATATTATATGTATGTAATATCCAACTAAATTATATCTTCCTTTACTCCCAGAAACGCTATAGAGTGTCAGTACCTTACTATATTCGTAATTATACGGTTTTAAGTTTAGCACATACTTAACGTCTCGGCAGAAGAAATATTGTTTTCTTGTTAATTGTTTAATTATTTCAAAAGGTCGCTATTTTGTTATATTGCAGACAGGTTGATTTGATAAAATAATACTTCTTCATCGTACAATTACTTAGCTTTAATAATCGCAAAGAGCATCCCAATGCCTAACACACAGAATTTAATTAAGCTATTATACTACATTTTGATTCAATTTATTGAATTATTACATCTTAATTTACATATGATCATTCAATATTGGCTACTGCTGATATTGCATTTGGGAATTCAATGCTTAAATCTGTCATTCGAAAAAGGCGTTCACCATTCAAAAACAAGTTAGCCGTCGATACGAAAGTGACACTAAGATACTTAAATTGCGTATAAGCAGTTGTTAAAACCGCATTATTTTTAAATCAATATTATTTGTTGTGGCTTTAAGTAGAAACTGAAATTGTGAAGAAAGTAAAACAGAGGAACAACAAAAATGCGCACTCAATATTTATTGACTCTCTGTTTTTAATGATGGTCCCATAAACTAGAAACTGAAAATAAGCTTTTGATCATAAATTTTTTTTCGTTTGTAGCTATCATTAATTGTTTTACTTGTAGTTTTAATGATTGCAATATAATGGGCAACATTCTAAAGGTTGAACGGAAAATAATTATATTTTTCGTTACGAAATAAGAAATAATTTTACTTTAAATTATTTATAAACAGTCCCAGGATTTATACAAGTTGGAAAAAAATTCAGGAATGAATTTCCAATTATGTATGTATATATTAGTATTAATATCAAACTACTTGTACTAGGTGCTTGAGTAAGACATAAAAGTTTGTTTTAATGAATACATTCAGGAGATAATTTTAATTTTTAAGAATAAAGAAACTATTGTAGAAGATATATAATTGCGTAAGTCCGTTTCTTTTTTTTTTTTTTTTTTTTTGTAGACTTTGTTTTTTGGCCACATAATGCACTATTAATATAATTTGTAAATTTACTGCTGATTTGAATTTGACGATTGTTAATATTATAAATACTTCATATACATATATACACATAAGAGCTTCAAAATCATTAAATTGGCTTACTATATCAGAGAATCTAACAGCAAATAATTATTGACAAGTAAATGAGTTAAGAAGTTGCTTACCACTGTGCCTCATAAAGAAGTATCTCTATTGATGTATCTCAGCATTTGAACCCTATTAATTAAATTAGCATAGTAGGGTTAGGGTATTGATTTCGTTGCATTTAATCGTGTAATTTTTGTCATTTAAATTAAATTAAAAATTGTTTATTATTATTGGTGCATTTACTTAGAAAGTTGGCCTGCAAGTTGACAGGTGCCTTTTGGGCTGAATTTAAAACCAGTTGCGATTTGTGTGTTATTGTTATTAAAAACAACAATCCAATTGAATTTGTTGTTTAATGAGGTTTAAATTTGTTGAGAACACTCGGATAAAAATATGTACTTACTTCAAAATAAGTGATAACCAGTTGGCCCTATTTGTTATACATAGTTCCTACAAAGAAACGAACATGCCTTCATATATTCGCCTACAGTAAAAATATATTAATTTAAAAAACCTCTGGGCAAGAAAAAAACTTTGTGGAAAAAGAAAGACTGTAACTCTCCAAGGCTTAATTTACCACAGCTTTAAAATTTTTCAACAATCAAATCCACATTTACTAGTGAAAAACTGAACACAGAGCATCGCCACTTTGATTTGATAATACTATCTGGGGTTATTCGACGTTTAAATAACCAATGGCCTAGTTGAATACATCTAGTTCCTAGAAAACCTTACCACAGGTGGCTTACAACAGGTGGTTGTACAAAACTGAACTTTCCAAAGATTTCAGATCGCTATCCTGTTCCGCACTGTGAGGACACTCTCCAGCGACTACGTAAGTAGTCCCAGTTGCCCAAATACATTTGCCGTTCAACGCAAAAACACAAAAATGCCATTTTGGTAAAAGTAAAGCTAAATTCTTAGACTTCACAGTTACTTCTCAAGTTAATAATTTTGACCGAAGCCAGGCAACCAACGAGTTTCCCAAATCCATTAGGGAATTGCGCAGATTTTTCCGCTTACCGTCTATCTTAAAAGCACAACTTACTTGTAGAACAACTAACGTAAACAATTCGGGACTGGAGAAGTGAACCTCTATGATGTCTGCCGCCCTGTGCGCTTCTTGTGATATTCCGTTACCTTTTCCTACCGATGGCGTCACTGAGGGGAGGAGTAGATGAGGTGACTCAGTCTCAACGGTCCCACAGGCCGGTCTGGCAACACCGCATTTTCGCAAACAGACTCTTGTTTGCAGAATTGTATTTTAACACAAATATTCGCTTTGTAATGTACATGTAGACGATACCAGTTCGTTCTTAAATAAAGTTTATCATTATGTAAATATTAAGTACTCAGTTTCTGCAACAAGTTATGGTCAAATCTGAATCCTAATTCCGATTGCCATATCGACAATTTCAAACGACACCATTTGCTGGTGCTTTCCCCGCTATTGATCTGTTAGTTACGCTGCGACAGAGTTGGAAACTGCAAACATAAATGCATGCCTATCAGGCAGATGTTTGTAAGACTACAAGAGAATTTCGCATATTTGTACTCATAATGGACATTATGGGGACAGTTGGCCTTAAAAGGTTGAAATAAATTTAAATTACAATTATAAATAAATCAGGTAGCACTTTTTGTCTAATACAATCGTTTATTGCAATATTTAAAAAAAAAGCTCTATAAACTAATATCACTGATTGTTCTAAGTCTCAGAGGAATTGATTTTTTCGTTTTTTACAGAAAGCTTTCTATGAAGGAAAACAGGTTCACTTTGTATTTGTTATCCGAAGCGGCTCCTTTAGACGGCTTATGGTTCCGCTCCACATTTCTAGACAAGTCGGGCTCCCGGAATATGCTTTCGACGAGCTTATCCAGATGTATGCGAAAGAATTGATTCTCCAGTATGGGAACTATGAGGTTATACTTGTCGATCAGGCGATTTAGCTTTACCACCTCCTTTTCCAGCTCCTCATTCTGAACGTAGTGTTGCCAAGCCTGCTGTTCCGCCCGCTGTAATGGCCATTCCCCATAGTATATGCGCTCAGAGCGCAATGATTGTTTTAGTTTTGTAATTGCGTCGCGTATGTCCCGACTTAGCGTTATCCATTCGGGCGTGAAGCCGTTATCTATCATAATCTTGTTAAGTTTGTGAGTTGTAAAGTCTAGGTAGGGATTCTGAGACTGTGCAGAAGATAGCGGTTTGCCAGCACCGCTCAAATTATTAAAGTCGCCTTTAGACATGGCTTCCTGAATCAGATCCTCAACTATACGCTCAATACCGTACTTGGTCTTAATCGCGTGCTTGCTGAAGTAGCCGGTCTTTCCAATTCTATGTTCAAGCACACGTTCCTGTGCTTTCATTGCTCGCACCTGTTGGTATTGTTTCTGACGCTGGTAGGGTGTGCCTGTTCCTATGCCTTCGTTGGACAGGTACTGGCGATGCTGCGGAGCCGTATGTTTAATATCAAACTCAATGGGCTCTTCGTCATTTTCGTGAATGTTGCGTCGATTTTTGGCAAACTTCTCCTGCAGCAGCTTGAACGCTTCGTCCACTTCTTTGAAACGCTCGCTTGAGGCTTCCGGGGTACGTGCATCTGGATGCACACGTTTCACCAAATCCAAGTATGCAAGGCGAACTGTATCTTGATCTGCTGATTCGTGAACGCCGAGAATCCGAAAGCAGTGCTGCAATGAGCCAAGTATGTATTTCGCTTGTTGATATCTATCTATCTATTTGTAAAACACTCACCTGATAAACCTCGCTACGTTTCATGTGCAAAGAACGATAAGAACAAGCCCAATGTCTTGCTAAATTTAGCAAGCTGCTACTTGAAAACATTCTGATTTACGTATGTACATCGAAAACAAATTCTACATACAAAATTCAAATTGTCGCTGATGTCGTTTGAGCATTGCTCATGGCGTACTGTGAGTTTTACATAACTATAAATCAGCTGTTTTCTCTTTATGCCCAAAGACTATGTAATTATATACATATGTATAATATTTAGGCTACAAACTAACAAGGAGCAGAGCACTTGTTGCTGGCTCATTAAAAAAATACGCAGTAGGTTTTTGGCAATTTTAAGACTTTTTCGCACCTGAAATTAATACCGCATTTAGCTTTAGTATTTATCGATGCTGCCGTATCGTCTGAAGCCTAATCAGCTGTTCCTTGTTGTCGGCATATATAAATTAACTTATTAATACAACGAAATATGTATATTTGATAATAACATTTTATAATTAAATTTGTCGTGAGAGTTAAATTCTATATTTTATATTATATTATATTTTATATTTGCTTGTCTATGGTATAGCTTGCCGGGCTGGCACTCAAATTTTCCCCACCGGGTTGGTGGTTTCCCTCTTTCTCTATTCGCCTTTCTCTTTTCCACTTTCTACGTCTTCATTTTTCTAATTAGTTTGTGAGGTCTATAATATCTGTCGCCACATATGTATGTACATACAAGGGCGTAGGCAGCCCAAAAAATTGAAATTTTGATTAAATAATGTACAATGCATTTAAAAAATAACTTATGCATATGATCAATGAAAAAACTTCAACAAATCCAATAATGAACGTGTGGTCGGCTATTCTATAAAATTGACCAACAACTTTATTAAAGTTAATAAAAAGTGGTTCTTAATAAACGTATTATTGCTATAAATAATTTGCGTTTTTCACACTTATTAGCGCCAAAGTTGGAGTACTATATGTTCTATCTACATACTTACATACATACATATGTACATACATATGTATATCATGAGAAAAAAGTCATTTGGAATTTTTTTTAACGTTCTTTATTATCATTAAAACGCACAATACAAGTATATCAATCAAGCAATATTAAGTATGAAACTTAGCGGCCCCAGCCCCAAGGACCACCCCAACCACCGCCCCAACGACGACCCCAGCCTCCACCCCAACCTCCGCCCCAACCACCACCCCATCCACGGCCCCAACCCCCGCCATAACCACCGCCATATGGTCCCCAGCCTCCCCATTGGCGAGCTTCACGAGATCCTTCGTTGGCGTGTCCTTGTCGGAATCTACATCAAGCAAACTAACTGGAGTATCGTCCGTGCTCTTATCCACTGCAGCGGCGTAGCTGTAGGCAAGGCAGAGCACGCCAATTAGCGCCCAAAGTGTAAATCGCATTTTAATATTTTTATTTGTTGTCGCTTTTGTTCTGGGTTTGGAATATTCGTACAAAGCTTGAAGTTCTCCACGCAACTGCTGTCGTCTAAGCCAGTGAACGGCCTTTTATTTGGAAAGTTCAGAAAATTTGTCCGCCCATTCAAAAATCACCGAACGAATACGCAAAAGCCTTAAAAAATATAGCAGCTTGCGATATTTACACAATATATGTATGTATATTATTGTTTTGACTGATGTTGTTTTCACCAACCTGGTTTTAGGAGCAATTTGTGTTACCTTATTTATCATTACTCCAAAAGTAATACAATTTATTTATTTGCATACGTCAAATTTGGAATTGAACACATAGAATAAGCCAAAACAAGTTAGCACATGAAAAGGCCGGTCTCGTTCAGATGTAGCATGAGTCAATGAAGATGCAATGAATTTGGACCAGTTTTTACACTTTTTATACCCAGTACCCGTAGGGTATAAAGAGTATATTAGGTTTGGGCAAAGTATGTAACAGGCAGCATAAAGCATCTCCGACCCCATTAGGTATACAATTACATATATTCTGAATCAGCATGACGAAAAAAATTGATCTCCAATTCCCAAAGCTACACTTTTTTTTAATTTTTTGATTTTACCTACCCTCCACAGGCTACATCCAAATCGGTATATTACAAGAAAGGTTATTTGCAAAATAATTTCAGTCTAGTACTACGTCCAAAAGCTGTAGCATCAAGTTCGCTCTTCTTCTACTTTTTGCTTCTACTAGGGGCACATATAACTCAGTGACGGAAGTTTGTCGGGGTACAAGGTATTGCGCTGTCGGGTTTGCTCATCTGTAGAGAGAATTGTTTTTAGAACATTTTTTGATTGAGGACCTAAAATACTGTTAATTCATTTGCTCAGAATGTAAAAATTAACTTAGTGCTGCTGCAATCTTTCATAATTCATCCAAACTGATCAAGGCAGACCACATAGCCATAATGGAAAGTAAAAAGAATACATATTTATGAACAACTTTTCAATTTACATATGATGACATGAATACTTTTTTTGATTGAGAAATTTAATACCCAACCGTACGCAGTTGGCAACTGTTGCCAATGTAAGAGAAAGTCGGAACTTAGTCACTTCTGGCGCTTGTACACCCTCAACCTATCGGTACTATCCAAAAGGAAGCCGAGGAACATTTTCAAGTTCATCCAGGCATCTGGATGGTAACGACATATGCGTAGACACACAGTAAGCCGTGGGCAAACGGGAAGTGGAAAAGTCCAAGAGGATACACAATTAGGGAATTTAAGGCCTAAATAAGACAGGACCGCATCTACCCAACCTAACACCCCTACACCCCTCATTATATTAGCATGAATAAATTGGGAATTTGTGAACAATTATGAAAGAACTGAGAATGATAGAAATATTTATATATTATTTGCAATAGAGGGCTTTGCCCTAAAATCAAAATTGGACATTAGAAACATGTGTTAAATTTGGCACCAAGTTATTATTTGATGAGTAGAAAATCTGAATACGTAACTATTATTATAGAATAAGCCACGATTTTTATAGCAGGCATGCTTTTAAGGCTATGGGCACTTTTCACAAACTCTGGTTAGAATAACCAATCTTAGTATTCAAGGCCCCAGCACGACCATTTTGTGTTTTCTCTGATGCACTCTCCACTCCTTGCTATAAGAAATTTTATATAACTCGCATGTATCTAAATTTTACATCTTGCAAGCGCTTTTGCTTCCTCCTGATAGGTTTCATCATGATCGTTCACTTCTAAAAGAACATATAGTCATAGTCCATTTCCTGATTTGCTTTAAATCCGTACTAGACACATTAATATAGAACAAACCCTATTAAAACCCAAAGTTTAAAATGTATATAAACATATTCAGCATTTTATTGTTTTCTTAAATTCATTTAATTATTTTTTATTAAAAACAAGCTAAGTATCTGTGTCTGCGCGAAATCTACAGACTTCGCGAAATATATAATGCTATAATTTTAATTGTATCCTAACTTTATCTTTGTCTGTATCTGAATCTTTTCATTAATCAAAAAACATGTTTGACATATTTTGCAAATGGTCTTTCGTTCGCGTCACAAGAATGACAAAAACATTCTCAAAATGGAGTTTGGTTCTAAGGTTTTTTATAAAAAAAAGCTATATTTATTTAATTTCATTCGTATATAATCATCTATGTGTCCTTCAAAAACAAACCTCGGCGATTCAAATATTTGGAAATAGTTCGATCTGAAACGGGAATGATATGATACATGTGGTTAACATGTGGGCTGCGACTATTTATTATGGGTGTTACAAGCTTTCACACAAAATTCAACATACCCTTTCATTTTTTAGTGAAGTATATTTAAATTTAAATTAAGTCATAATTTATTTGTTTGCTTAGAAGAGTCGGGCCCGCACGCTTTCGGCCTTATTAATGTCTTAAGCATTGTGAACTGTGGCATAAACAAATAAAGAAATACATAACTGCATGTTTCCCAGTCTGCTTGAAGCCGCTTTAATATTAATATAACTAAACAGGCTTCAATTTTATATAACATTTTTAAATTTTATAAATTTGTGGGTGGCAGGCAGTCTTATTGCTTCGGACAGGAATTGACAACAGGAATTTTGTGAGCTGTAGTTTTACTATAAGCTATCGTTTATAACATCGCCAAATCGTTTTTTATTTATTTAATACTTACTATGTGTATTGAATATCAAGGCTAGTAGTCGACATGCAAGAAAACAAACGCGAACTGATTAACACCTGAGTGCAGCAATTAGGCCCTTGCTTCGAGGTAGTCCCCTCAGCTATGCACCTTCGGTGGAAATGAGTCGAACCTTGCCGGGGCACTAATTTTGTGAATTCATTGTGAAATACAAGTAGCCAGTTTCACAGTGAATTGCAGTGAGTAAATAGAAGAAGGGATTAGGTCAGATTAGGTCAGTAACTCTAAAGAACATACAAGTATAATATTTTACCTGGGGGGTCAAAATATCCTTGGGCTTTAGATAAGCAAAAGCTATAGAAGCATTTTATAAAGAATTTTTTTATTATTAGGCTTCTGCAAACAAAGGCAACAAACGGAAGAATCTCCGACTCCATAAAGTATATACATAGTATAGTATAAATATAGTATAAATATTATTGATCGGTCGTGGCGGTCCGTCTGCGTACACGCCTGTCGGCTGAACCGCCATGGACTAAACTTGGTATGTATGCTCTCCTAGTCCCAGGCAACAGGAACTGATTAAATTCTTATTAAATTGCTAAATTAATGCACTAATATTTTATGCATAGTTTAGAATTATTAAATTCTACAATAACATTTTTTTCGGTTTTATTCGCGCATATTTCACAATCAGTTGAATTTTGTGATGGCCGTTATATACAAGTATTAAACGCGACGACTGTGAATCCCTTCGGTTGACATTTTTTTTACCACCAATGATGATGATAGCCATAGCCCCATGGTCGGTAATAGGCATACGGTCGATAATAGCCAAATGGTCGATAGCCGTATCCGAAGCCTCCCCAAGTGCCTCCCAAGCCGCCACCCCAGCCGCCTCCCCAGCCTCCGCCCCAACCGCCGCCCCACAGCCAACGGGCTTTGCGTGCACTCTCATCCGCATGCTCTGCACCCAGATCGGCCAAGTCCATTAGACTCTGGCTGTCTGTCGTCTCCATGCTTGGCTGCTGCTGGATCTCCTCGCGGTCCATGGTGGCTGGAAGCGACTTCGCCGAGCTGATGAAGGCGCACAAGGCAATTGCAAGAAATGCGCAGATCTGCATGTTAAGGTTGATGTCTTGAAGCTAAACTGTTGATTATTTCACACCCACGTGTGCTTTTATAGACTCCACACAAAAACACACTCTCACATTTTTCAAGTTTCTAATTGGATGCATGTACAAGTGTGTACTCATATGTACATATGTATGTATGTATTTACTCTCAAAAGGGGAATTTGCATTTACCTTTTGCCATTGGTGATAATGAACACATCAGTAGGCTTAGCTCAACTTGGTCCATAAAGCCGCCTTATTTACATCGATTTGCATTAAAAATAAAATAAACAACAATAAACTGTGCACAAACTACACATGATATGACTAATATATATAATACTTATATATATAATATAATAATACTGACGCTTTCTGTCTAGCCGAGCAGACCCAGAAGACCACTCAGCGCCTGTGCATTGCCACCAGCCCCTCCCACGCCAGCGGCCGCCCCACCATTTGCACCCCCATTGGCCAGCAAAGGTCGCAGACTGCTGCCGAGGGCTTGCCCCAGGAGCCCTGCCAGTTGGGCCGCCTGCGCAGTACTGAGCTGGGAGTTTCCGCCCCCAAGTGCCGGTGACTGACCTTGACTAGGAGCTGCAGCAGGGGATGCTCCAGCACTAGCGTAGTTATTGGAGGGACGAGCGTAACCAGCATAACCCCCATAATTGGGTCTATAACCGCCAAAATAGTTGCCTGGATAGTTTACAGGTTGCGGCCGCTGATAGCCAAACCCGTAGAACGGTCTATAGTAGCCACCATAGTTGGTTCCAAAGCCAAGGTAGCCTGGAATACCAAAGCCGGCGTAGCCAGATCCACCATAATAAGGTCTGTTGCCATAGTTTCCGTAGTTTCCATAATTTGGATATCCGCCAACTCCATTATATGAGTCGGACTGAACGCCGTTGCTCACACCGCTTCCCGAGCCATCCACTGGCGCATCAAAGAGCGATCCAGTGCCGAACAGCAATGGCGTCAATAGTCCCAAGGTCCGTCCTTGTGCCTTCCCAGAGCTGCTGTCACTTTTCGATTTGCTTCTCTGACAGGCAGCCCATGAAATGAGCAAAATCAGCACCCAAAAACTTGCCAGAAGATTCATAACGAACTAATCACACACAACTGTTGGTCGCAACTGAAGGCAGTGCAAAAAATTAAAATATGTTTTATATTCAAACTGACAAGCCATGCCCATGCAAAAATATACGAACAGACCCAGTCAAGCCAATCCGCATAGAAGTTCTTCAGAAAATTTCCAAAAATTTTGTCAAACTTGCAGACCTTCAACGTCTTCGCAAATCCCATTAAGTCGCTAAGACCGAAAACTGCTGTGCGGAAACACACATACACTCACGCATTTTCGCCAATGTAGTAACGACCCCGCCACGCTAACGAATATACAGAATACCTTTGCATTGGCGCCACAATCGCCCCCGAGTCGTTCGTTCTGAGATCGCGCCTAAAACGCGCACAAATCGCGCACAGATCGCGCCCCACAACGTCATGGACTGGTTTGCGGACTTTCACGCGTTTCGAGTTGTGCCGCTTTAGTTTTGCAGATGTCTGCGAAGCCGTAGCCACGACATTGACCTTGCTCAACATTTTGCCACAATTAAATCTTGCTATAATATATGCGATAACAACAACAATAAAAAACAAAGAAAACAAGTTGAGTTTCACACCGCAGACTATTTTTGCTTTTTTTTTACTTCCGCCGATTTTTTTTATTTATTTGTGAATGACCATTTATAGTTGCTGGTTTTGTGTTTGCAGTTGTTTTTGTATTGGGGGCGTTGTTGACTGTGTCATCGGGGCTTTGCTAGCTTAAAGGCTAATTTAGTTTGAATATTGCTTACGTTTGCTTTTAATAAAATCTCAATGGCAAAATTTATTAAGAATAAGCAGCAAATTCGAGTTTACGAGGTAGTTGACCCGTGACGATTTACAGATGCGCAGGTTTTGAATTTTGTTTACCGTCTGTTTGACGCCGCAACATTTAGTAAAGAAGATATATAATATATGTGTATATAGAAAATGATAAATTAAAAATGGTTCTTCGTGTTTTTGCACAATGATTTCTTCTATTTTATCGTTTATTATACACGTTTTGTACAGCACAGCTATCAGAATAGAATCGTTGTTTAATATTAATAGCAAACTAGCAGTCCCCTGGTGTGCCGTATACATTATTTGTATTTATTATTATTTTTTTCTTACATGGAAAAAAGGTTGTGTTGTTATCCGAGACGTTGGTACTCGTCCATCGAGCAATGAATGCAATCGGTCTGCTAGAGATTCTGATGCAAGTATTTTCACTATGCCAGGCGTTTTTGCAGGACATGTTCTCGCTGTATGGTACTGCATTAACCAAAATCTCCATGAGCACTGTTGCACTCGTAATTGAATAAATTATTAGAACATGTCACGACAAGACGTTCTAATATTAGTCGAGTGAAAGTTAAGACAAACGAGCACAAGAACATGCGACTTGGGAGACAGCGTCCACGAATTAGAGCAGCATCTGTGGATAGCCGACAAGAAAGAAGAAATTGAAGAAATTGGAGATCGCGAAACTGTCGTGGTCTTCAACACCAAAATATACTTGCTCGTATGCATGAAATTGTATTATTACGTTTACATATTTATTAATTATTTATATACAAAGACTTACGCAGCTTTTAGCAGGTGACTAAAAAATTAAAATTTTGATTAAATAATGCACGATGCGTTTAAATAATAATTCATGTATATGATCAATAAAAAACTTCAAGAAATCCAGCTCAGTTCCATTTTAAGGCAAAATAATGAGCCATAATAATGAATGTGTGGTCGACTTTATATGGAAAAATTGTTTGTAAGGGGACCTTCCTCACAAACTGGCTTACCACGTGCCACCCTGCTCAAAAATTGGAAAACTTATCTAAAATTACAACTCAAATGCATATGTTTTTTATATAAAGTTAGTTTTAAAAGTTTTCTTGTTATTTTACTTTTCACAGTATGTATTATTATTGGCGTATCAATTAATATTGGTCAAAAATATTTCGTTTATTAAAAAAGTTGTCTTATTGTTTTGCATTGCTGTTATGTGAAATATATTTTGATATTAAATTATAGGTAATTAAATTACTTTTTTGAAAAGTCTAAATATGTTTGTGCAATCATGAATTGAAGTCATTGAAAGATAATGGCACTATCTAAAACAAGTAAAAAAGCTAAAGTCGGGTGTCCCGACTTTGAAATACTCTGTACATATGTTTACAATAATTATAGAAAATAAAAAAAAATTAAGAAAATAAAAAAAAAAATTTGATCGATTTTACATCTCTCGGTATTCGAACTCACGTAAAGGGTGTATAATTGCACATTTACATAGCAATTGCGTCTGTGTGAGTGTATGTATGCCTATGCGCATCAATTCGTGTCTGTGTAAGCATTTTCGCAGTCAACCAAACAGCAACATCAACAACAGCCGCGGGCAGCGCTTGAGCAGCGCTGCAGCAGCGCTGCATCAGCAAATATATTTATGGCTATAACTTCTTGTTAAATCGGTCTATCATAATGAAATTTGGCATACGGACACATAATAACTAACTGGGGGTATTTCCAAAATTTTAGTTCGAAATTCCAAGAATTACGGGAGTTACGATTTGCGGGGTAGAGGGGGGAGGGAGGGGAATTCCAAAATATACATTTTCTGCGTATTCACATAAGGCATCTGGGACTAAAATTTGGTGTTCCTAGGTCTTATAGTCTCCGAGATATAGGCGATTATACGAATGGAAAATCGGGAAAACCCCCATAGGGGGGAAGTGGGGGGGAAAATCAAAAAAATAAAACAAACTCGTATAGAATACACACATAACGCATCTTCGTGCAAAATTTGGTGTCTCTATCTCTTATAGTCTCTGAGATCCAGGTGTTCATACGGACGGACAGACGGACAGACAGACAGACAGGGCTAGATCGACTCGTCTCGTCATGCTGATCAAGAATATATATACTTTGTGGGGTCTGCCACGCCTCCTTCTGCCTGTTACATTTTTCAGCTCCCGCAAACCTAATATACTCTTGTACATTTCATGTACAGAGTATAAAAACCTAGCCGTACCAATTAATTGTGGTTAAGTTATCTGCATATATACGGATATGTCTGCACTAATAACAATTTTCTTTCCGACTGCACAGTAACTGTTATTACATCTGTTATTGTAATATATATAATATACTTGTATATATAATAGAAACATTTTAAGGAAATACTTGTACATATAAAGTTTTCAAGAAAAATGGATAGTGAGCTTTTACATTGTATATATAGATATAAGTACGTAACATAACGCTTTTGCAAACTAGAATAGTGCAACACAACTTCTTCAGATACTTGTATATTCTTTTTCATTGTCATCACCGCTCACTTTTAGGACTTGAAACTAACGAAAATTTGTGATTCATTTGTCAAATTGTAGATCATTTAGGAAATTTATATTAATAACAAAAGTTTAATCGTAAATTTACCGCCAACCGTTGTAGAATTGAATGGCTTGAATTGATTATTAAATGGTAGCTTTAAAATCATTAAACACTACGCGTTGATATAGCGTAGCTCCAATTATAGAGGCTTATCCATCGTTGATTTGCACTTAGTGCTTTTGAGCCATAAAGTTTAAAGATCCCCTCTATCGAATGGGTAATTAAAACGCAGTTGCAATCGGTTGACTAACACCAAACCGAGCCGAACCGGTTTGGATTATTAACATGACTTAAGGTCTGTTGTGACAGCGTCTATCATTTGAGTCTCGTATCATTTTTTCTATAAGCAATTCACATCGGTTTTTTTAAACTATTACTACATTGCTATATATGTTACATACGAGTATATGTATTTGTAATGCAGCGCTGTATTGGGACACAATCGACCTTGCAACGGAATACGTATCCAAATAATAGCAGTCCGTCAAACTCGTTTCAAATTATCCCAATTTGGGGTGAGACTTTAAAATAAATTCGCAGATCATTAATAAAGATAATAAATTATTCTCGTCTTGGCAGCTCATTGTGCTATAAAAATTTTTTATAAATTAAATATTTGAATAACTGTAATGTTTTCAATTAAATGATTTTCTAATGAGCTCAGTAGCACCAAAAATCTATAGCGAAAATTGTTTATGTGTAATTAAACCAAACGAAATATTAATTAAAATTAAATATATTTTCTTTTTTTTATAAAATGTAAGCAGAAACACTATTCACCGTTCTATAGAGTGTATGCATTTTAGATATGATTTATTGTATTTTAACATTTTTTGACAAAACGTACAAAACTTCCCATTAGGCTTACATATGATACACGTTTTGGAAATTTTCCAGAGCTTGTTCATTTAACAACAAATTTAAAGCTACTTAATTGAATTATACCAACGATGTTGAACTCCCTGTTAATCCTGGCGCTGATTTTTTGTTAATGAGACAGAAACAAATAATGAGAAAACAAATAAACGTCACTGAAATGTTTTAATTCATAAATTAAGGGAAGTTTATTTATTTTATTTTATTTTAAAAAATACATGGTGAAAAATCGATTTATCTTAAACTTCTGGTAAACAAGCAATATTTTAACATAATTTTTGTTATTATTAGTAAAATCTGCCAGATATTTTAGTAGCATTGCTATCCTAATAAATCTAATTGGTAAAAGTATTGATGGTCGCAAAATCACATTTAAAAGTAATTCGATTATGGTTAATAAAACAAATCTAGTAACAAGCACTTAATATATGCCTCTCTTTATTTATTAATAATGTGGAAGTGAATAATGTATCGAAAACAAAAACAAAAACTTGTCCTTTCACAGACTAAGGAGACCTACAGAGTTTGATTATTTTATTGTATTTTAGCTTTTAGTCTTCCAGAGATCCATACAGACGTAGAAATGGTGATGGACTTGTCTCGTTGTACTGATCAAAATAATAATAATAAGATGTACCCATTGAGTACAGTGTATAACAAGTAAAAAAGCTAAAGTCGGGTGTCCCGACTTTGAAATACTCTGTACATATGTTTAAAATAATTATAGAAGATAAAAAAATTAAGAAAATTTAAAAAATGTGGATTTATTTGACCTCTCGCGGTAAAGGGTGTATAATTGCACTTATACTTATACAAAGCAATTGCGTCTATCATAGTGAAACTTGGCATACGGACACATAATTTGAAATTTGAATTCCAAGAATTACGGGTGGTGGAATTAGTGGTCCTATAGTCTCCGATATATAGGCGATTATACGAATGGAAAATGGGTGAAACCCCCATAGCGGGGAAGTGGGGAAAATCCAAAAAATAAAACAAACTCGTATAGAATACACACATAAGGCATCTTTGTGCAAAATTTGGTGTCTCTATCTCTTATAGTCTCTAAGATCCAGGTGTCCATGCGGACGGACAGACAGGGCTAGATCGACTCGTCTTGTCACGCTGATCAAGAATATATATACTTTGTGGGGTCTGCCACACCTCCTTCTGCCTGTTACTTTTTTAAGCTCCCGCAAACCTAATATACTATACTCTTGTACTTGTACTTTTGTACAGAGTATAAAAATATTTTTCCGGTTCAATGTACACGCAAGTTCGCACGATTTTTCAGTTGATTCTGCATCCCTGATTACTCATACCTTAATGACTTAACCAATTTCAGCCTGTTTACTGCCTAACACAATACCTATTTACGCCTCTTCATAACAAATCAGCACAAAAGCGCCATCACTTAGAGCTTGGAGGGTTCATTGAGCAGAACTTTGCAATTTTTGAATTGCGTGCTACTACCTCCTATAGACGGCCAAAATGGTATGCAAATTAATGATGCCCAAAAGCACATCAAAATGTGAACCCCCGACGCAACAAAGCTGGGTGGCGAAGAGGCTCGTGTTGAGAAAGTATGAGATGTTATTATTTGCTTTGTTTACCTTGGTGCATAAGTACTACATACATATACTCGTATGTTTAAGATATACAAGTAATCTTGTTGAGTCTGTTTTTGGTCAGACGTTAAATTGACTAATGAGTATGGAGCGATCTCCATTGGCGGGGTGGGGCGGTGCGGCACGGCAGGACTGGCCAACAAGTTGTCTGGCTAGCTTTTGAGGGGACCTGGTATTTCCGTCGATACTTACTTTGTTCTCTATGATGAAATTAGTCAAAGCTTTTGTAAATTATAAGCATTAAACAATGAATTATTAGCCAAAAAAGTTTAATGAATATATTTGGCTCTTTATAGCGGATCTAATGGTGCGACGTACCCGAAAACTGGTCACAGGATAGCCACACAGCGTCTATTGTTGAGTTTTTTGTGGATGTTCTACAATTAATTCAACTATAAATTGAAAGCGCTTTTAAGAATCTTCAACCAGTAGCAGCCAAAGTCTTCAGCATGAAACAACTCATAGTGGCGTCTCTTCTCATTAGTTTGGTCATGGTCTATGGCCATCCGCTGGAGCAACAGCGTGTGACGTTGGAGGACGTCGACAGTGGTCTGAATTCAGGCGATGATGGCGCCGGGACACGTGCAGCACGCGGCTTTGGTGGTGGAGGTTTCTGTTGTGGAGGAGGATACGGTGGAAGAGGATTCGGTGGAGGTGGATTCGGTGGAGGAGGATTCGGTGGTTTTGGCGGCAGGCGTGGCGGTTACGGCGGTGGTTACGGTGGCGGCTACCCAGGAGGCTTTGGAGGTGGCTATCCAGGAGGCTTTGGAGGTGGCTCCCCATCATTTGGAGGCGGGTACAGTAGTGCATCGGCCTCCGCATCAGCATCAGCGGGTGGATTTGGCTACGGAAAATAGATTCGAAGAAAATAAATGAAAGTAAAAACGAAAAAAAAAAACATTTCTTTGGGGCAGACTGGCGCACATGCTAATAATAATATTCCACGCCAATCATATCAATTAATGGAACTGGTGCTCAAACAACAAAATTAGGAGTAGAGGCATCTGGCCCACGAAGACGTTCTTATACTTGTATAGTATTGGCAAACATTCTTATCAAAGATTAGCCCAACGCTAATCAAGTTAAATAAATAGCAAGGTGGCTGTGCACGATTTCGATTAATTAGGGCTGTTCAGCGTTGAAAAACAGCAATAATAATATGAAAACAAATTGAATGGAATCTCTAGAACCCAAAATATTCCGCTTGTAATTCGCACCAAATAATGCCAAAAATAGGGAGACAACAAAGTTTTAGAAACACTGAGTCGTATTAATAATGCTACTAATTTGGAGATCAGGGTGACAAGCCGAGCCGATATAGCCATGTCCATTTGTCCGTCTGTCCGCCCGTCTGTATGAGCGCAAGGATTGCAGAAGGTACAAGAGCTAGAATGACCAAACTTGGTGTCCAGGTTCCCCTGAGCCCTAGACAGGTCAAGTTTTTTTTTTTATTCTGATTCACCGCTTTCATCTTTGTGCTACATACATACACGCGTATAAACACGCAGAGACACGATTCTGATGTAAATGTATGTGGTAGAAACTGTACATGAACATGTCTCCACTTTTGTATATACTTGTATGTATTGAATAATTTGTATTTAATTTAATTAAATAATTTAATTAATATAATTTTATAATTACTTTTTTTTGGTTTTTTCCTTTTTGGTGGGAGGTACAGGGTATTTAAGAGTTGAGCTCGCTCTACTTGAGCATTCCTTTCTTGTTTTTTTCTGAATGTTGTCAACGGGAGCAGTTAAGCCAAAATCAGCTTTTACAGCATCATGCGTGTCTGGTGTCCTTAGGTTATATCTCTACAGGACAATTGTCTAAATAATTAATTTATTGATTTGGCTAGGAACCCCTTTTAGTCCAATGTGGTAAAGCTGATATTCATCGGCACTATGCTGACACGGCTGAAATTGGTATTAGTACAATAAGTACTTTAATTTTCATCAACTTCGCAAAGGTAGTGTTTTCTCTGGTTTATACTTGTATTTTCAAAGATACATATTTGATGATGGATTTCATTTACTAGTGATTCAATGCATTTCGCAGAAAATAGCTTTACAAGTGATTCATTTTTCTAGAAATTTCAGGCAATTATTTCATTTCATATACCATTTTGTTTACATCTACAAGTATATATAAAAGCACAAACAACAATACAAAATTTTATATTAAAGTATATGGAGGTAACATTTTAATGGGCAAAGGCTATCAAAAAAAATATAACAATAGGACCGGTTTCATTGTGGAAGTGGCTCAGTGATAGATTCATAAATTTACCCATTTACTCATTTTTTCATTTTTTGTGCACATATTGGCACTAATTGCAAATCATCAGCAGTCATCAGTTCCAGCCTCTTTGATCTTGTGACGTCAGTGCCCATGGAGATATGCAAGGTACTCGAATGCATGCTTTTGAGCAAAAACAATATACGAGCAGTACTAGTTGTTGGAATGTCTAGCACATCTGACTCGACATGTCTGACATCTCAATAATTCTATAAAACTTGGCCGCATCGTAAAAAGCAGAAACAACAGCAATAACTACAACATTTCGGTCAAGCAGAAAAAACAATGCAACCTCTAGATTAGTCACAAATTTTCCAGGAAAGTTTTAAAGTGACTTCGCATTTTCATGACGACTCATAGATGTGAAATGCAAAATATTGCGAAATACTCGTGTCAGCGAACTAAACAAAGTGAAGTCGTTGTCTGCGCACAAACTTACCTAAAATTAGCATGGATTCTCAATGCAAACGAAAAACAAGCCCCCATTCAATATCGTATACTTGTATGTATTTTGTATTTGTATTTTTTAAATCGTAGAGTTCATTTTAAGGTGAGTTCAGTAGCTATAATGAACCATTTAAGCTAAGCTTGATCAATGCCAACCATGTGAGCTGCTTTGCCAATTTTAGCACTTTGGCACGCTTGTGAAATAGTTCCGATCAGCTGCTCCAGTGAAGTGGAGCAATGTCAATTGTCATCTCGGCTTCACAATGACAGCAGTTACTTGTGGCTTGCCTTGGTTAATAAACTTTGGACGGGAGCCAAAGTTGGAGCTGTGATTCATTGGATGCGTGCCACAGCACCTACCACAACAGAAAACCACAAATTAAACATTCACAAATCCCTCCCCCTATCAGTCATTAGCGGCATAGGCCATTGACGTCAGAGTAAAAATTATGCCAAAAACAAAAATACGAAATTCAAAATAATACTCAAAAAACAAAGATCGACTGCTACGACCCAACAGATAACGATTGACGGAAATATTGCGCGTTTGGGCGCTAATCAAACTGAAATATGTACGGCAAATTGAATTAGTGTCTCACTACTCCTGTTGTTGTTGTTGTTGTTGTTGCTGTTGCTATTATTATCATCAGCAGTGTGCCTGTCGTAACAATTAACGTACAGTGTGAAATTTTTTGTGGTCCAGACAGCATATAAAACCAATGACAGTTCCAAGCAGAGACACAGAACTTAAAGAAGCTTCAAAGACAACGCATCTACACCACAACTACAAGGACTTTAAATAATCGCAAAAACGAGCCATATCTTGAATTTTAATTGTTTCAACGCCAAAATACACAAATACACAAACCAAAAACCAAAATGCAGTACACAATCGCCATCGCCATTGCCTTGACCGCGTTCACTCTCTGCCATGCCGCCCCCGCGCCTACTCCGCCGATGAACCAGGGATTTGCATTCGTATCTGACAAAGACATCACTGGTCAGCAACTACGCCAGAAACGTGCCAGTCAGGAGTACTACCAAGGCGACTATTTCATTTGCTATCCCAGCAGTGCAGTCTATGGCAACAACAACAGCGGTGGCCAACACCGGCGCTCCGGCGAGTTTCCGCAAGTACGTCGCTCCGGCGTAATCAGTACCCTCGAGGAGAGAATAGCACGCGCAGATAGGGAACGAGCGGCTTATACTGACAGCTATGGAAAATAGACACCCTATTAGAGACATATTTTGTATATATTAGAAGATATATATGTGTACACACACATACACACAAAGACAGGTGTAGCTTTAAGAATTGTACCAAAAACATTTATGTATATTTATTAAATATTTTAGAGAAAAAAAACAAACATATTTTTGATTTTTTAAAATACTCGTACATGAGCAAATATCACCATAAGCCGCAGTCCATGTAGTGGCGAAATCACCAGCACACTACACTAATAAGTATTACAGCTTTCGGCTGCACCGATCGAAATGATCGATACGTCAATCGAATTGTCTCTTTATAGAGGTGTTAAATAAGTTTAGCATGATCGCAATTTGAGTGCCTTTTCTGTAATTTTATTTTAGGGAGGGTTCTTTGTAGCTGACATTTAAATATCCACTGCTGATTTCACTGCAAAATCGAACCATCCGTCTAAGGTGTAACTGAAATTATGTAATTTTTGATATTTTCAATGGAACATTAAATTATATATAGTGATATATTACTAATCAAATTTTTTGTAGTAATAAACAAAAAAACGTTGTTAGTTCTAAAACTGATTTTTCAACAGATCATTCCAATATATTTTGTATGATTAAGTACACCGATTTTAATCAAAGTTTTTATAGCACTTACGCCTATTTCTAATTGTACACGGTAGATTCGTTCCTAAAAAACCGTGTAAAAAACGACGATCAATTTCCTATGCAAAATGAATCGTGATAAATGGAATAAAATCGTGTAACCATATATAAAATTTTTAATTTTCAAACCGTGTTAATTGAAAGCCATGTAAAAAAGACCGTGTAAAAACGGAATTAGGTGTACATGAAATTGAAATATTGTTAGCATTAATAGCCTTCGGTGCTGCAGTTGGGGGAATACTACTGAAGTAAAAGTATTTCGCAAACAACTTTTAAAAAACACCCTTTTTACCCATCAGGTACTTGAATAAAAACACAAAATTACCAAATATACATACATATATGATTATCATATCCTTTACTTTTCACAAAGGCACAAATGACTGTTTAACTATACCCATTTCCTCAAGATGCTATAAATACTTATAATAATTGCAAAGCACGCTTGGAAACTAGCTTTATTTACATTGAAAATAAATTTGTAGATTTGTAAACATTTAATATACACGAGTATACTATTAAAATGTTTGTGATTGTATTAGCATCGCTTATATTGTTATGAAATAATAATTTGGCACTGAAATGGTCGGTATTCCGCCCCATACATTATTATTCATTACCCAGGAATTATTTGTCGGTAACGAACAAAATGTTTTTCATTGATGAAAGCAAAATTGACTACATATTTTTTGGAAAAAGTGGGCGATAACACGCCTTTTCATATAGGAAAAAAATCAAAATTGGTCATTAACATCAGTTATTTGACGCACACGTGTGAATTTTGACATCTACATATGTATTATCGCAACTTTTTAATTAAAACAAGAGAGAACGCTACAGTCGGGCAAGCCCGACAGTGTAATACCCTGTACCCAGGTAAACTTCCGTCACTGAGTTATATTCGCCCATAGCAGCAGCAAAAAGAGGAAGAAGAAGAGCGAACTTGTTGCTGCAGTTTGGGGGGGTTGTACTGACGAGAATTTGTTTAGCTAATAACTTTTCTTAGAATTGACCGAATTGAATAAAATGTTGAACAACAGTAGAAAATTATATATATATTAAGTTTGGTTTAGGTAGCATTTGAAATGTGGACGCTATTGACGAAATTCTGTAGCGGGGGAAGGGGGGAAAATTCCAAAAAATAAAATAAACTCGTCCTTTCTCGGACCTAGGAGAATCTGGATGCCAACTTTGGTTATTCTAGCTTGTATAGTTTCTGAGATCCTTGCGTTCATCCAGACGGACGGACGGACGGACATGTCTAGATCGATTTCTCTCGTCATGCTGATTCAGAATATATATACTTTATGGGGTCGAAGATGCTTCCTTCTGCATGTTACATACTTTGCACAAACCTAATATACCCTTTTTACCCTACGGGTACAGGGTATAACGAGTGTAGTTTTGTGTGTGTGTGTATGTAGGACCGATCAGGAAAACGTAACTGGCTATTTTTAGCATTAAGCAAAAGTCAAATAATGTGTAAAATATCTTATTTTAGCGACAGGGCAACGCAATCCGAAATACTATTCACGTATATATATTCATTAGTTTTTTATACCCTGTACCCGTAGGGTAAAAAGGGTATATTAGGTTTGTGCAAAGTATGTAACATACAGAAGGAAGCATCTCCGACCCCATAAAGTGTATATATTCTTGATCAGCATGACCAGAGAAATCGATCTAGACATGTCCGTCCGTCTGTCCGTCCGTCTGTCCGTCTGGATGAACGCGAGGATCTCAGAAACTTTAAAAGCTAGAATAACCAAAGTTGGCATCCAGATTCTCCTAGGTCCGAGTAAGGACGAGTTTATTTTATTTTTTGGAATTTTCCCCCGCTACAGAATTTCGTCAATAGCGGCCACATTTCAAATGCTACCTAAACCAAAGTTTGCACACATAATTTATATATAATTGTCTACTGTTGCATAAAATTTTATTCAATTCGGTCAATTCTAAGAAAGGTTATTAGCAAAACAAATTCTCGCCAGTACAACCTTCCCAAACTGCAGCAACAAGTTCGCTCTTCTTCTTCCTCTTTTTGCTGCTGCTATGGACGAATATAACTCAGTGACGGAAGTTTACATGGGTACAGGGTATTACACTGTCGGGCTTGCTCGACTGTAGCGTTCTCAACAATTTCACAATTTCACTTTCCATTGCAAATTACAAAATATTTGTTAAAATTACGTACGCTCGTTGATATTTCTATATGTACTATTAGCATCGGCATGATTAATCGTTTCTTTATGCAATCAATTAGCATGCATTTCAACAAAAAAAGCGTGTCAATAATGATTGTACAAATTGTATCTGTATCAGGTAATGACGTCAACGACTTTAGTTAGTTTATTACATGAAAGGAAATTTTTATTACAACGTTGCAAATATTTGTCAAAGTTCCCTTTTATTTTACTTTACTCTAAATCGATTTTGTCTTTTCAACAATTACCGACATCTAACATTTAAGTCGAATTTAATTGAAGTTGATGACGTTGAAAGAACAAATAAAAATTCAGAATGGGGCAACAATGGTCATTTTTTGTTGACTTCCCGTCTCTGATAGCTATGCAATGAACTTAAGGCTTTGCGGTTAACTCAATCAATAAACTCAAAAGAGTAAACAAATGAGAAACATCAGAGCCGCTAGGACTGAAGCTTAGGGGAATGACATGCAATGTTCTCTTGAGAAATTGTTCCCATCTATCCCATAGCGTCAAACTCATAAACCGAATTAAAAAGAAAAAAACAAAAACAGTATAATTAATTGTATAATTACTTTTCTATACGAGTGGAACAACAATGAATGTGATTTTGGCAACGCTAGTGCCTATAAAAAGGCCCGGCATTGCTTCAAATGGGCACAGTAGGAACTTTGCATTCTAAGTACAAGTACTCACTACCTTAAAATCGACTCCAAAGATGCGTATACTCACCTGTGGCTTCCTCATTATTGCCGCGTGCATTCTCCTGGCCTACGCAGCTAACGCTGAAGAAGCAGAGAATGGCCAGGCAGAGGCCCTATTGGCGGCTGATGCAGCATCTTCACAGCACGAGAATGTTGGAGAACGCGAGGCTCGTGGTTTTGGCTATGGCGGTTATGGCGGCTATGGACGAGGATTTGGTGGCTATGGACGTGGATTTGGCGGCTACGGACGTGGATTTGGTGGCTACGGACGCGGATTTGGTGGATATGGCCGTGGCTATGGCCGCTATGGTTATGGTCGCTAGAAGCTTCAAATCTTTTAATTTCCAGATCAATGTCTTAAGCTCTGAAGCCAGCAAATAATAAAGAATTCACGAATAATATAAAACAATCTAGAAATCCTATTTTTTTAGGTAAAAAATAAAGCCAATCAGTTGGTACACATTGCCTATGTACAGGGAATATAAGTTATTCTAGCAATTGACTCGAAACGATTACGTGCCCATCCGGAATATTACCAAGCATCCATTAAAAACACCGATATCATTATAATAAATACCGCATTAAGCTGTATGAGAAATTACGAACAATGGTTTGTGATCCAAAAGAAAATGACATAAAATATTGACCTACAGGACCTTGCATCGAGTATTATTACACATAAGAACAACCAAAAATATAAAATTAGCTGATTTACTTTATATATTTCGACACTTGTATATAGACTGACAAGATAGAATTGCGACCAGAAAAAAGGATGTCTAATAAACCAAAATAACAAACCAAAATTCACTGGAGAATTATAGTTACATCTAGACAATTCCCTGTGAAAAAAATGTCCTTCTTCAACATGAAATTAAATAGATAAAGGCCTACTGCCTAGTTACGAATAATAGTTAAAGAATAAATAACAGCAACCAAAGGAAGAAATTACAGGCAAACAAAAAGCCGCACCAACAGCTCATTATCCGAAAACTTTCTCCCCGCTTTGTGTCAACAGAAGTAAGCAAGCACTACATTATTTTTTAGCATTACCCCACACACATAATTATTCACACATTACTACACACAGATACCTGTGTCCACCCCTTCAGATACTTAACAAAGTAATAATAATTCATGCATAGCTGCATGGATTCGTGTCTTATATTAACGACCTTTTCTAAATATAAATTAATTTAATTTACTTAATAAAATAAAATATATACATAAGTATATAAGTAAGCAAAAGTGGCAAGTATTAACGGCAAGTAGCAATGCTTAATAATACAAGTATATAAACAAAATTAACACACTCAATTTTGAGCAAGTACGCCCTAACAACGAGCGCATTGAGTACGTAGAGCAGGCAATAAACCTGGGAATAACTATCAATCAATCATTATCTTGGTGCGACCATGTCAATAAGCAAGTTGGAAAACTATATAGCGCACTAAGGCGTCTGCCTTCGACGCATAATTTTGTTCCTGTAAAACTAAAGCTCCTTATAGCCAAGACATGCCTGAAACCCTTGCTATTTTATGGAATAGAAATTTTCGGAAATTGCGATGCTGTAAGCCAAAACAAAATAAAAGTAGCTTTTAATAGCATAGCACAGTATATTTTCAACATTCAAAGAAGAGATTCAATAACGACGTACGCCAACAAAATATACAATCTGTCCTTGACGCATGAATTAAACTTAGAACCCTAATCTTCTTCTTATTACACTTAAGGAACCGAATTATTTACACGACAAAATTGCTTTCACCACATCAAGAAGAACGACTAACATAGTTTGTACAAAATTTAAATTAGCAAGCTCGGAAATGCGTTTCTTTAACTTCGCTGTTCGTCTTAGTTCAGTAGGCCAAATAGATTGAGTATAAAACTAATCAAACAATCCTAAAAAATATATACAATTATAAAGAATAATAAAAATGTTCAATGTTACAACTAAAATTAATAATATGAAAATAACTTAACAATAAACTTGATATAATTAAAACTGTAAGGACTAGTGTAATAATTTAAAAGTAGCCTGATACTTGTAACGCTAGGATAAGGTAAATAAATAAATAAATAAAATAAATAATACGCAAAATATACTGCATACTCGTATACTTTGTGGGGTGTCCCAGTTCTCCTTCATCATACTTGTACAAGCACACTAAACTAGAATACCCTTCTACGCTTTTGGGTACAGGGTACACAAGTTGTGATTGTAGACAAATGGGAAGAGTGGAGCGATGCAATAATTCCCTGCATGTCAGTCCTGTGCCATAAATGGTGGTATGCAAAGGTGTTGCATACTTTTAGGCAACGAGTTGTAAAAGTTCGTTGCCTAAGTCATTCGTATGTACACTCAGCTACGAGTACTCTTCGCTAAAATCGCACATTGACTTAACAACAGACATCAAACAATAGCCACTTTTCAGTCACAGCCTACTCACCACATGTGCTTCACAATTTTCTGCTTGGCCAATTTTCGATGCCTTTTTTGACCGCGCCCCGAGATATTTCACACCTTATTTGCTCTTAGCATTAGGCTTGAGGTGCAAATTGCTTATAAAGAGATTACAAAACGCAGACAATGTGCGTTTTTTTGCCTCATTTTCAACTTTTGCTACCATAAAAATATAAAAATTCACTTTAAAAAGTTTTACGAGTTCACGCTCACTCTTGGAGTAAAAAGAAAACCAAAATCATGCAACATGGCCAGTGAGCAATTGCAAAAGAAAGTTGCGCTAGCGCCCCATAAAAGGCGACCCCGGCAAGCCGGAAGCAAACAGTCGTCCAACGGAACCGTTACGAAAATGAAGTCATCTGCCGTGTATGTGAGCAATGTAGGCGTGCTTTTGCTGCTGCTGGTCAGCGGCCAAGCTCAGCCTGTCCAGGAGCGTGAGAGTCGGCAAATGAAGAGCGGCGCTCCCACGGAAGCCGATCTCAAAATGATGGCAGCTAACTCGGCCAATGGCACACCCCCTGCTCCAATGCAGCCTGGCATGCCTGTACAGTTGGGAATGCCTATGGCGATGGCAGGTCTGCAGATGCCAATCAATCAGCTCGCTTTAAATGCAGCCAGCATGCAGCTGGCGCGCTATCCCAGCTACCCAGGAATTTTCTATGGATCTGGACTGGCACCTGGTGCCACATCGCTGCCCAATGTACAGCTACAGGGACCGCTGCCTGGTTTGCAGGGAAACTTAGCCGCCGCTTACCCGACCAACTTTGATGCTGGAACTTTGCCTGGAAGTTTCTCAGGAGCTCCTGGAGCTTTCGGCTTTGGTTATCCCGGCAATACAGCTGGCTTCATGTTTGGCAACGTGTACCCCAGTGCCCAGCTGCAGCCGAATGGCTTCGCATCGCAAACTCCCCAAACAGTGGACAACTACTCTGCTTTAAACAACATTATCAACATGGCCAATGCCCAGGGACTAGCCGGCGGCTCAGTGCCCACAGGAATATATCAACAGCCAGGATCTGTTGGCCAAATGCCACAACAACTGACGCCATATCCTTTTGGAGTCGGTATCCTGGACCGCATGAGCATGAATGCAAATGGCTATGCTCCCAGCTTCTAAGGTGGCTATAAAATAGCTTACATTTTATTTATTCAGCGTTTATTTATATTATTTATTTAGCAAAATACAGAAGCATTTAAATAACAAATCATGGTTGTCTCTTCCCGCCCGCCGTTGCCCAATGGGCATGTTGCAGGCGCTGCAATTGAAGCCGCTGGTGTTGCTGTTGCAACTGTTGCTGCTGGAATTGTTGCTGCTGCAGTTGTTGCTGCTGCAATTGATGCTGCTGCAGTCTGTTGTGTTTGTCATTCGCGGGCAAGTTTGGGCCCAGAGGTGTGCGTTTCTTGGGCACAGTGTAGGCACCCTTTCCAACCAGACGGGTGGGAAGTGGTCCCAACCGCATATTGTAGCCATTGGGCAGTCGAAGCTGTTGTCCAGCGTAATGTTGTCTTGGTCCAGTTGCTTGACTGACCACTGCAATCACTAGCAACAACAATGCCAGCAGCCTTAACAGCAAAGACTTTGCGCTCATCTTCGCTAGAACTTTGAATACGCACTATAAGCCAACGTCGTGGCCATTCTGGCTTTTATACTCACACCACATTGTCGGCCAGACCCAGACGGCCAAAAATTGTCCGTTGGTCTGTCTCGTGCCACTTTTCTCTTTGGATGCGTTGCAGATGCTTGCGGAGCTGTGTCGATTGCCTGTCTCCCGCATAGCGCCGTTATCTAAGCACTCTTCACACTTTTTTTTCAGAAAGTGGGCAAAGCCGGACTTAGACTTAGAATTGCTGCAGCTGCCGTGGCTACAACCTCTGTCACCTCTTTGGCTGCTGCCGCTGCTGAGGTTGCACTGACGCGCTGCTCGCACTGGCCCTCCAGGTCTGGCTGCTGTTAAACTGGTTTCTTGGTGTCTTCGTGGCTTACATTTCACAATTGTTTATGGCATGCATTCGGGTCCCCATCTGATTGGTTATTTAGGGGCCTTTTTTGCATGCGTGAAAATTGTCTAGCTGCTGGTGTCAAGTACAAAGCTCAGGCTTTACACTCATGCTGTTTTATGGTAATGGCAATGAAAGTGCAGCAAAGTGTTTGGAGTCAGCTTCAACGGCACTATTTACACTTTAAACAAATTCAAATGTGTGCTACATTGGCCAGCAATATTGAATATCCCCGGGAAATATAACGGGAAATAGATAGATTCTCTTTTAAAAACTAAAACATTTTATGTTTTTATAGCCAATGGGGTAAAGGCGAATACTAGTTTTGTACGCATGTACGTAGAAGAAGGCGTGACAGACCCGCCAAAGTTATATTCTCGATCAGGATGACAAGACTAGTTGATATAGCGATGTCTGCTTTTCCGTCCGCCTGACCATCTGTATAAGAGCTAGCATAACCGATCTTGGTATCCAGATCTGCTGAGCCCGAGAAATTACATGTTTCGTTTCTGATTTAGTCCCTCACTCTCATAACTCCCGTTGCAATTTTTAACTAAAGTTTGGCAATTGCATCCTGTTTGTGCTGATATGTCCTCATGTTAAGTTTCATATTGTTAGGTGGAATGGAAAGGAAGTTGTAGTCATAAGTGTAATCTCTACAACAGCTTTGCCCGCACCGAAAATGAAATGGCTCCTAACCAGCAAAAAACTATCACTGAGAAACAAAGTCACTTTTTATAAGTCCTGAATCGCTCTCTCTTGGCGATATGGCTTGCAAGTTTATGGAATCGCTGCTAAAGCACACCTGCAGAAAATCCGGATCCTGCAAGCGAAAACCCTTCGCCTACTAACAGATGAAAATGGCACATATAGAAAAGGATCTAGGGATGCAGAAAGTTGGTGCGTGCTAAATAAGCAGGCTGTTCAATACATGGAGCATCTGCGAATCCATGCAAATGTATTAGCAAGGCGCCTGCTGAAACGGCGAAGAAAAGGAAGAAGATAAGTAAGAAGGAGGCTGAAGAGGTCACACCCAGCTTATCTTGCCACTAGAATTATATAAAGTATAAATAATTAAATAAGACTAAACTCCTAGTTTAAGCTGAATTTGTATTTTTCTATAAGCTTGATTTACAACCCTTTTCGAGTATTATGCTCTAATTATAATTCTTTACTTTTTAATCTCAAGTGAGCTCTCTCTCCCCTCACTAAAAGCTTCTATTTTCAGCTACCTCCGGCAGAATCACTGATCACCACTGCTGTGAGTAGGGGCATAGCTTGCCGGACTGGCTAATAAATTGTCCCCCAACGGGTCAGTGATTCTTCACCTTTAGCTTTTAATTATATTTTATCTCTTATTATTTAAGTTTTTTTTTCTTTTATCTTCTATTGCTATTTTTTCATCTCCATTCCTTTTTTTGTTAGGTCTAATAACTTATCTGACTACCCTCTGCTGTGAATCGGGGCATAGCTGGCAGTTTGGCAAATAAAATTTCCCCACCGTGTCGGATTCGATATTAGATATTTGTGTCATTTTTATAGGCTTTTTATTCCTATAGCTTTATTCTAGTTTAAGTTCTCTTTTGTATTGATTTCTTGTTTTCTTTTTCTTTTACATCGACTGCATTGTTTGTCGATGAAATAAATAAATAAATATATACTAATATAAATAAATATATACTAAGTAGTTGTAAATAATAACAGAACAATTACAGTTCTATATTTATAAAAAAAAAGTATGGTTATATTTATTTTTTATATATTTTTATATTTCAACAAATAATTTGAAAAAATAGTTTTAAACAATTTTTTTTGTGTGGGAGTGGGTACAGGGTATTTAAGAGTTGAGCAGGCTCGACTCTGGCATTGCTTTCTTGGTTTTTATTCCACCAGCTATAGGAAAAAAATCTCGATAGATGTACTTAACAGAAAAACTCCAGTTGTATAAGCTGAAAGTGTTCATCTGTGTAAACATTCGTTAGCCAAGTTATCCGTTCACCGTGCAATTAATTGCTGTTGAACATGCCATGAACACGAGCTTTAATTTTGTCAGACCCATTAAGTAATGACTCAAATGCGAGAAAACCACACCAGGCAATTAGTCAAGAAGACAGCATTAAAATGAAATTAAGAGTGTACCTAGATAAGCGTTCAGTGCAAGACACATAAAGATAAAAGTGAGAGCAAAGGAAATGCTGGACAACCCGTTGCGCTTTTTATTCTGTGCACTCACTTCTTTAAGAAGAATCGAATATCATAATTTATAACACTTTGTTGCGATTTGCACACTAAATAACTAAAAGTAGGTCCCAGTGCGGCAAACAATAGCGTTTGGCAACAACAGAAACAGAGTTAAGGCCGTGTTCAGTCTGGAACGACATTTCTACCTGCAATTTAGGGATACAGTGCGAAACAGTGCTAGGCTGGGATGGCAGGTAGGCCATGGAAAATCTCACAATGAAACCGAAGGGTATGATATAAATCAACAAACCCAACATTTGACTTGAAAAAAGTTGCATGGCCTATTTACAGGATATGATGGCAGAGCCCGTCAACTCTCAAACGCAATCTTAGCAATGCAGCAAAATTAAATAACACACACAAACACAGTCGAGTCCAGGTTACTGCATATAAGAGAGCAGGCAGCAACCTGAAGGAAATCAGTCTTTAACTGGCAGGCAACCTATAAACATGAGCTCCTGGAAAATTACCTCTTTGCCAACAACTAAATACTTCTTCCTGGGTTTTCTGCTGCTGCTGATAAGTGTTGGACAGGAAATTAATGGAATGCCCTGGTGGAGCCCTCACGATGCCAGCTACGATGCGAGCTTGGACCCACTCGTCTGGTCACGTGCCTTTGTGCAGGACTCAGTACGCCACCCGCGAACGAATCCGATTAGAAAGACTCATTTCAACGCGCCTCATATATCCTACATTAATGAAGGCAGACGTCGTCGCAAATCCCAAACAACAACAGCTTGGTGGTACCATCTCCCCCAGCAGCCACAGCAGCCGTCGAGCAAACCCGTCGAGCACTTCTTCGACGACTCCAACTATAACCGTTACATGCGACGTCGGCACAGAGCAATGGAGAGGGGGCAGCGATACGGACTCGTGTAGCCAGCGACGCGTCTAGAATTAAGTGCTAAGCGAATAGACGATAATAGTCACAAATTAGCGATACACGTCGCACGTAAAGACTAACAAAATGATTACTAATTTTAGAAATCAAGTTATGAGAACACAGTTACTAAATATACATATCATAAACATGTGTGAGCCTCGGCCGCTTTTCTGCTTTTACCGGCAAGCGTCAGTGAAATCCTGACGTGTTTTAATTAACGACTCAAAAACAACAATTGATCTCAGGTTGTGCGTGTTTTTTTCCGACGTCGTTACAAATAGGACTAAGCATGCGTTTGTTTTGAAATTGTCTTAAATTAGAATGCAATACTATTATTAATAATGCAAATAAACAAAGCGGGAAAATATCAGCTATAAAATATATAATTGACCCATTTAGGCCTTATTCTTTGCTACCATATGTGAAGCCAGGAAAAAAAATCACCTATCGGTAGACCTATTGCTTTAGGGTAATCCTTTCCAGCAAGATTTATATGCAAGGAAGACAATTGGAAGAAGAAATCATAGCAGAGTGCGTCAGATCGCATTTTAAAAGTAATTAATAATAATGGTGGGCATATTCCTGATTATATTTAACGCTAAAAACAAAAAGGGAAACAGAATAGAAATCTCATCAGATCACTTATTTCGATTGAAAACTAATTTATTTATTTTTTTAAGTATTTGATATTTTCCTTAGATTTTTATAAACTAAATTTGAACTGTCATTTTTTAAGTTTAAACAAAAATTAGAATCACTTAAAAATATCAAAGATTTTTGTTTTAATCAAGGGAAAATATGTTTATAGGAGTCCCCCTCTCAGAACTTATCTTGCAGAAATATGAAGTCTATTTATAAATTTCTAATCGATATCTTTGAAATGACTCACTTCTTCGGCATTATCAACTAAGTTCTTCATGATGCCATTTTCTCATCATTATCAGCAACAAAATGGGAAATTCTTAGGAAAAAGTTTTCTTTTATTGAGAATATTTGAGAAAGAATAGAAAAAAAATAAAATAGATTTCCACAATAACAATACGTGACGATTTATAATAATGTATTAGTAATATAATCGCTTTGAAGAGCGTAAACTATACAAATTGATATTGACAGCAGCAGGGCTGTCCTTTTTGGTTAAAAGTCTTGAGTTACACACAGCTTTACTCAAACACGAAAATTGTAAAGCAGGGCCATGACGGCTTAAGGCCAACACAATTAATTTTCAAGTACAAAATGCTAACAAGTTCCTACAACAAGTGAGCAGCTAACACATCAGCAAACATGATGTAACATGCAGCTAAAGAAATAGGCAAACGCCGACCAAGAAGCAGCTCAGCAACTCAGCACCGCATGGTTGTGGGAAATGTTTGCATACCAATCAACAGACACACTACGAGTATTTTTGCCAAACCCAACATTTTGACAATTTTGATGAATGAAAGTAAATTTTGGGCTAGAAAAATGGTGCGTATTGTGTATATTTGCAATTAGCACCTGGGCGCAGACTCTACAAGAAGTAATCGAGGCGCCGCTGTGCCAAAAATGTGCCTCATGAGTGGTGTGGTGTACTCGTATAAAAAGCATGGCTTCACAATAATGACCATTAAGTACCGAGGCGGTCAAGCAAGAGCAACAAACGTCCAAAATGAACCACTCCACACTCTATTCCCTGATCATTGCCGTTTGTATCTGCACCTCGTGGGCCCTGCCTGTGACGCTGAACGAGCAGCCCGTCGAAGCCATCGCCGATACACCACTCACCCTGCTGGATGTGGAGCAGAGCGCGCAGACCCACAATGCCGATGAGCCGGAAGGCGAGCGTGTGGCCCGAGGACTAGGCGGATTGGGCGGACTAGGAGGGAAATTCGGTGGTTTTGGTGGATTGGGACATGGATTTGGTGGCGGCCTTGGCGGACTGGGCCATGGATTTGGCGGAGGATTTGGCGGACACGGCTTCGGTGGTGGCTTAGGCGGATTTAAAGGCCTCTTTAATAAACATTTTTAGTGAATTTAGAATTTTAGTGACAAAATGTATGTTGTAAGCCAAATAAATGTAATTTTTTATTCAGTATTATTTAAAATGTATCCTCCTGAAATATGGGGTTTAGTGCGCCATAGAACTGCAGTGGTGCCTCCGTGGTGCTAATTGTCATTATTTTAATCCTAGTCTGCGGCTGTTGTGGCAGTAGATGAAAACGTTTCAGGGTCTGACGTGTGCGCAGCCGCAGCTGAGCACGGAAGCTCTGCCATAATTCCAGTGGTCCATGGCCTGTAAATTGGCAAAGATATCTAGAATTAAATGTATACACATCTAATGGAAGTGGACCGCATGCTTCTAACTAGAAACAAATAACGAATTATTGATACACAATATATTTGTCAGCTTTTATTTAAAACCCGATTTTCGTGCAAATAGAAATTTGTTTATCTTTTGGTCACTGAATAGTAATGCTGCACCCATTTAACAACGATTAGGCATTTATTATGATTCTTCTTATTAATAATTAGCAAATCAATTAAAGATTCCATTTTGGCCTTTCATTTCAACTCATCCGATTAAATACCTGAGGCTCCGACTTAAATACAGTCGGCTCTTGTTAATAAGTTATTCCAAGTTATCACGAGTTCCCTACAAAACATCTTTATATTTCGAACTACATCAATACATTTTTGTGCACTGGGTAACTCGAACTAAAAAATCAGAGCTATATAACAAGAGAACGCGTTAATTCGAGCTCATCGGCGTCCAACACTCGACAATTCAAAGTTGCATAGAGAAAGAGGCGGTAAGATTGTATGTAAGTACATTTTGCGACAAGTTCAAACTTGTATAGACTTACACTTCTTACCGCCAAGCAGACCCAAAAATCGACTTCTGCGCATCTAACGGTCACCGCTTAAGATCAGCCCGGTAACTGTACACGAGCCTTTGTTTTTGTTATGATTAGATTGGCTATTTGACACACACTTCACACGAACTGGTTTGTTTAGTTATCATTCAGTTACTGTTACTCTTTTGACATTGTTATAGAATAGCAGTTAATAAATAATTATTGATCAACACTTAATAATTCGAAGTTTTATTTATTTTCTCTCACAAATTTCGAACCATTTGATAACGAGAGTCGACTGTACTTTGTTTTCATATTTTTCTAGTAAATATAATTAGAAAAAAATACCTTTAGTTATGGTCGGTGGCGCTACCTGCGCATCGTATTCGCGTTCGTTTAGAAGTGAAGCCGCCGAGACAAGCAGCAGCGGAAACACGAAACTAGCCAGAGCCAGAGTCAGTCGCATTTTGGACTCTACCAAATGGCTTACCTAGCACTTATAGTATGTCTTAGAGCTTCGGTTTCTTTGATAAACTTTCTCGCACCATAAACAAGCCTAGGAATTGATTGCCCTCATAAAGAAGACGCCGTTACATGAATAACATAAACATTTTTATTAAAGCAATTCCAATAACGTAAAATCATGTGGGAATCAATAATTATCACAATATCTAGGGAGATGTAATCCCATAAACTTCACAATCCTGCTCTCTTAGCCATAGAAGCCACCGCCAAAGCCCCCTCCCCTATAGCGATTCACCACACGCGTGCGAGTGACGACTCGGGTGCGTTGGAAACCGCCGCCAAAGCCACCTCCAAAGCCACCTCCAAAACCACCGCCATAGCCGCCGTATCCAAATGGCGGCGGTGGAGGGCCGAAGAACGGAGGTGGTGGTCCAAAGTACTGGCGTGCTTTACGCTCATTCCCTTCCGCCTGCTGCTCACCCTCCTTCAGAGCAACCTCTAGTGGGGCCGGAGCCAACTCCTGCTCCGCATCTATAGCACCACACTGGGTGGTGCACAGGGCAGCGCTTAGGCACAGAAACACCAAAGCAGACACGAACCTCATCGCGCACTTGGCAAGAATCAAATTTTGTTAGAAACTGAAACTCATTTGTGGGGTTCGCTTTTATTTATAGCCACAAATATTCACTACTCCTCTGGCTTTTGCCACTATTAATGAGGTTCAATAGCATTATGTCATTGAAGTATGTATTGTATTCATATACTTTACTCGCATATACTACATACATATGTGTTCTGCGATAGAAGCACAAATAATTAGAAAAAAACCCCAAAAAAAACGACATCAAGATGAAGTTGTTTTCAAAATTGGCTCGATCCAAGCGTTGTTCGAAACAAAACGCGGAAACGGGTATTGGCCATTACAGTGGACCCAAAAGACCTGTTTTGATATTGATGCCACACTTGGCCCTGCAAAAACTTTAAGATATAAATAGTTTGTTTACAGACATAAATAAAGTTCTGAAAGATGAAAGAGTTGGTATACTTTACGCGCCAACTCAAAGCTTCTTGATATTCGATTTGTGGTGTTATTAGTAAGATTTGTAGGCTTAGCCAATACCGATCGGGCTTGATCTCAAGGGGACTTTGTACTTAGTATTTCAAGTGAATGTCAAGATAATATACATATTTGTAATTCGAACCTTCTTGAAATTATATTTGTGGTAAGATTTGTAGGCACTCTCTAATGGACTTCGTATTAAGTATTTCAAGTTAAACTCAAGATAATATATTTTTAATTCTTAAAACTAAAGAGCTGAAATATCTGTTTTAAAATATGGTCAAAAAACATATCATAAAAATAAAATTATAATACTAATTTCTGAGAGTATTTATAATACATATTAATACTTTATTTAGATGAATAGTCAATGTAGATAAATCATTTGTATTTCGGAATATAACTTAAACTTGATTTTAAAAAATATGTAATATATTTATTTCATCGGAAAGTTCTGTTAGTTCATAATATTTTTGAAACCAAGCTCAATTTAAATGTAGACCATCCTCGACTTAATGACGCGGCTGCTCAATCATATTTAACACTCAAAATTCCACCGTAGATCTCGACAAGCTCTTGGGCTTATGACGCGGTCCGGACACACTCGGACATACAGAAGTGGTCGCTCACACTCGTTCCACACTTCACTTAATGGCTCGGCTGGGTTGTGTTTGCGTCTTTTCGAATTTGTGATAAAACTGAATAAATATGTAAGCTGAAACTCAAATGCAAACAAACCAAATAAACAGTCTCGACCACAACAACAAAATACTGCAACGTCATCAAATTTGTTTATTTATTTCAACTTTGAACACAAACAAACTCTTAAAGCACTTAAGCGGTTTGAGTTAAACAATTCTTCTCAGTTTTAATGATGCCTGCGAGTCTCAATTAGCCGAAAAAACCACCGCCGATGCCAAAGCCTTTTGCTTGGAACTTAGCAAATCCAATGCCGCCCCCAAGCAAAGAGCCGCCGCCAAAGCCACCGAAACCGCCAAAGCCACCACTCTTCAGGCCATAGCCATTATAACCGTATCCGCCGGCGTAGGTGGGAACCGTTTGTACCGTAGATATTGTCGTTAGCACCGGCACACTTGTTATAACTGGAACACTGGAGACGACAGGGACAGAATGTATGGCTGGCGCACTAACAATGCCGCCACCCACTATGCCACCGCCTACGATTCCACCCCCTCCGAATCCGCCAATGTGTCGAGCCCTGCGCACTATTTCGCCACCTTTTCCACTGGCAATCACCGGAGTAGCCCTTGCCACGTGCTCGCCAAGCGCCAAAATCAAAGCAAATAAGACATAAACCGTGGGTTGATGCATAGCGATACGATAACTATTCGGTTACTGGATACTGTCGTGGTCGCTGTGCCGCGCTCGTTTGTTTGACTAGCTCTGGTAATGGGTCTTATTTATGCAAATTAATTAGTATCCATCGTGCTGGGCTTCTATTTGCATTTCCAATTCACACGTCTCACCGATTCATGGCTTGAAAGGCGCCAGAAAGATCCCAAAGCATTGCATGACCACTCTTCAAGTACAGCCAGACAATGGGCATACACTGGCAGAAATAATTTAATCAACTAAATCATTTCCTTCAGGTCCGATAATATCTGATGAATAGTCATTACCTGACCCCAGTTTTTGATATAATTAATATTTATACTAACATTGCACTGCATTCAAAAATACAGAGAGATCAAAAAATGTTTGGTCACATGTCTTAATACCATATTAAAAATATTCCATATAATAATATAATAGTCCGAGTTATTTTTGCCTGTGCTTAAACGTATGGAGCATAAACTTAAACAATTTATTTTTTGAACAATTGGATCCTCAAGTTGGAGAAAATTGAGGTACCCTTCAAAAATGAACTGGAAAGTGCTGTCTAAAAACTCGGGCACGGGCGAACAAGAAGAATCATGGAAAACAGAACATGTACATGGATTAAAAGATGAAATTGATTATTTAGAGAAAAAAACCATAAAATTCATGAAAAAGTATACAGGATCCGAACATACATCCGAATATACATACATATGTACATATTTTTTTGGATTTATTTATTATATTTTTTATTTATATTAATAAATCATCACATGATGTAATGAGGCTGGGAACACAGATTTAAAAAAAAAAATAATAATAATAGTACGTTATTATTTCAACTTAAAAGAAAGAAAAGAAGAAAAAGCGTCTTAAACATTAAGGTAATTTTATTTTCCATACGGCCATGATTTATAGCCAAATTTGGCCAGAGACGCTGTAGACCTTACAAACTTATGTAGAGGAAAAAACTGATTTTTTTTTAAACTAATTAGATTAGAAGCAAAAGTAAAGAAACAAAACCAACTCACAGCCGTAGGTGAGATTTGTTTTGTTTTGTTTGTCTCCTTTGATCTCATTTTTTACAAAATTCATTTAATAAGAGGCCGAGGAACAAACATCCAAAAAACCCACCAATCTGACTAGTAGTCATTTTTAAAATAAATGTGAACCTACCTACTACTATTTCAAATTACACCTTCATTTCCTGAAAAAGCAACATCAGCACTTAACCGAATATATTTGAAGTGTACTCATATGTATGCTGTATGTGGCACAATTCTAATGGGTTTGCCCGATGCTCGGAATAGTTCACACCTCGTCAGCAACATTATCACAACTGATTGAAGGTCATGGGCGCTGCTGCGATTGTGAAATGCGTGTCCAAATAAAGCATGGATGGGGGAATTTCGACGCCTTTGCGTGCCTCATGTCGCACGTCATATGTGCCATAAAACCAAGAGATGCCTGCGCAGGCGCTTCAAAGTGTACTCGTCGGCGGTTCAGTAAAAATGAAACGTCTTCTGCAATTGTTAGCCGGCCTGTGCTGTGTGTTTACAATTAGTGCGCACCCTCTGGTAGCTGGCGCTGGAGGAGGAGCTGATCTGTTTGATGGTGGCGGCGGAGGGTTTAGCAGCCTGCAGCAAGTGCCTGTGGTAGGAAACGTGGCGAGTGTGCAACAAGTGCCTGTGCTGCTTCAACAACAACAGCAGCAACCCATTGCTGGCTTGGGTGGCGCAGGGGGTCTTGTTGGTGGCATAGGTGGAGCGGCAGGATTCGGTGGTGGTTTCAAGCGTTATCACGAGAGCTATCGAGTGAGAGCGCGCGGCTTTGGCGGTGGTTTTAGCCACGGCCTTGGTGCTCTCGGCGGCGGAGGATTTCGAGCTCGCTATGACAAAAAAGTGGGCGGCGGATTTGCTGGTTTTGGAGCCGCCGGTGGTGCCGGCTTGCTCGGAGGTGCGGGAGTTCTGGGCTAAGCCCAATAGTTTATTGTTAGCCATAACTGTAGCTTAAGAAATTCTGTGCCAAATAAAAACGGTTTCAAACACCCTGTATGCAATGCACATACGTAGTTTAATTCTGCTGACATGCGCATTTTCAACCCCACGGAAACGCTCTCTCTCTCTCCGTCTCTGTCCCTCTCTCTTTCATTCCATCTGCTCTCCACTCTCTGATGGTGGTGACAGCGACACACTGTGCCACCATTTCTGAATGGCAGCCACACTCAGTCAGTCGCTCCTCGCTTTGCTCCACGCGAACAACGCGCCGCCAACTTTGTCGCAATTACAGCATTTAGTGCCGTTATTTCAACGACCTGGCCCAGCAGGGTCGTCGTAGTTGCTTCTGCAATTAGAAGCAGGCCCGAAGGTATTCTAATTACCATCACCTATTGCACATTCCTACCTAACTGCTGGAGCTTCGCAAACGGCAACACCAGCAAGAACAACAATTGGGCAGCTGCAATAAGCCTACGCATGGTGTCTACTAAAAATAGCGAAACATTTCATCTTGTTGTTGCTAAATATATACATATACCTGCCATAGATGAACTATCATTTCTGTCTGAGTGTGCGTGCCTGTGTCTAAGTTAGAAAAGTGTTTAAAAATAAAACAAGCCAGCATAGTAGTGGAAAATTTGCAGCAGAGCGGCTAGAAAAATTGTTATGTTTATTGTTTAATTGTGAACGACCAAAAACTGCAATAACCAACCGCTTCGATCACAAAGAGCTTGTCAGACACTGGGTAAGTTCACGCTCCAGCTGATACCCATTCGTAACGGAGTCCTAATATTGGTGTACAAGTCATTTTGTGCCTTTGGAATTATTTTATTTTCAATAAAAATCGCTACAAAATTTTCTAATGCCTCCGCTCCGATTGCTTCTACTCTCGTCAGGCTCTCATTTGAATAACTCTCCGCCTGCTCTGCGGACAGGGTGACCAGCTAATTTTTATCCATATATATATATATGTTTGTAAAATGTATGTACTATATGTATAATTGTCGCTTATTTGCTTCACAAATTTCACACAATTTTTGCATAAATTTAATGCGGCTTGAGGCGAAAAAAAGAAAAACGAAATCACAGCCCGCAGTTTTTAGCGCAGATTTTTTTAGCCCTATCTTCAGTGGGAAAATATAAACAACCCCTACATGAGCTATCAGCTCTTACTCTCTCCGTTCGCTATCTCTCTCTCTCAGGGAAGGTGAATGTCATTTGAGCGCCTTATCTGTGTCTGAGGAACACGATGTGGCGGACTGTATTTGGCTTTGTTCGCACGTTTTCGCCTGGGCAGGCTTATTGACATGTATCATTATGCCTAATAAGCACCGACTGTGACACAACATGAGCCGCATTAAGCCCTTGTATTTGGCAACATTTGCACAGACACATACACTCACATACAGCACTCATAACAAAGTCAACGCTGTTGGGCAGCACTCCAAAGAATGGCGTGCACAATGAGGCAACGCACTTACTCCCACACAAAGCACGGCTTCTCATGCCTTTCTATGGCTTCGAAACAGAAACATTTTTGCAATGGGCATCTATCCTTTGCCTGTAATCGCAATTAGTGTAATTGGAGCTCTGCACTTAAATAAGACCCTGCGTATACAATAATGATTGACAAGACAACAACACAATTTTTAGATCAGCCCTCTGGTTATTGTAAATTCATAATCCAAATGCATTTTGAGGTCACAGTTCAGTTGTGTTACAGTGAGAAAATAAGTCCAGTGTACAATAATTACAGCTGCACCAATTTGTAGAAGTACGCAATTGCACTTTTCGGTATAACCAACTTTTATTTGTCAGCACATGACATTTACAAATTGCATGTAATATTCCTGATGCTTTTGCCATTAGCATGGTGGAGGTCAGGGGTTTCTTTACTTATACATATGTATGTTCTTAATAAGTTCCAACTTGATCATTTCAAAAAAAGGCCTCTTACAAGTATTGAACATGTTTACTTTTAAACCATCAAAAGAATGCCGTTGGTTTGATAACATTGCATTACAGTTTTTGGGCCATGTTTTTTAAACGAACCAAAATGTTGGTAAACTTTAAAAAACTTTTCATCTGAAGCCTATAGAAAAATAAAAGTATGCTGCGCCAATACCCAACTGGGTTGGCGTATGGTTCAGACCCACACCCTCGCATCGCCTACTTGCTGACGTCGATTGCGTCGTTTCCGCTGCTGACATCGCATGAGAAGTCAGTGGGTGTTAGTTTTCACCCAGATGTATGTTTGCCCATTTTCATTTCATGCGGCTATGTAGTTCAAGGTTGTTCCTTACATAGCGTCATATGTGCAAATATCCTTTGCAAGCTCTATATACTGGACAAATGCGATTTGCGGAAACGTTGGCATGAACATTGTACTATTCGAACAACCTTGTCCTTATGTGTCTATATCCTTTTGCATTGCGTGCCAATCCTTTCAGGCCTCGAAGAGTTCATCAAACACAATGCTAAGGCAAGCCCAGCTGGATTCCAAGTTGAAGGACAACACGGCGGGTCATGCAAATGTCACAGCCCATCAAACCTGGGGCAACAGCTTCGCAACTATTTTTAGAAACGTGGAAAGTTTCATGGCTAACTTTGAAATAATTTGCAGCTGCTGTTGTCACGCTCTTTAGGTGTAAAGGAAACAATGAACTGGGTATTAATGTGTGCTTCACATGCAAATACCCATAAGAAACATTTTTCGCCCACGTGTGTCTGTGACACACAAAGTGTTACTGACCTTTCTGTTAAAATCGTTCGCGTAGCTCTTGGCACCTGTCCAGTGCCATAATTTATGCCCCACTGGCCAGCAACAGGAATTGAGAACAGAATGCAGCTTCGAGCTAGGGTCAGCAGGGCGTATGAGCGATTATTATGTACTATATTTATTCCCCATCTGCTCTAAATGTTCTGAATTTATGAGCCAGCCACAATGGCGACACAACCACAAAGGCTGTCGACCACTGATTGTGGCAATGCAGCTTGCAAAAGTGGTCGTAAATTGTGCTTGCCTCCCCTTGTTCTACTTTCTTGTCATTGCCTTTTCCTTCTTTCTAATTAACTTTCATACTGGCCGCCCGCCAAAGCCCACGCACAGAATTCAGTGGGCAAGTGCTACGTCTAATGGAGACAAATTGGAATTACTAGCTTAGAGTACAGGAACAAAGTAAAAAACACAATATATACTCATTTATACAATTAATGTTATTTATATTAAATACACTAAAGAAATATAAACACGGCTCTAGAGTCTAAACCATAGATGTAGAATACGTACATATGCTGTAAAAGTAATTCAATTTATCTTTGCTCAAGCAGAATGAAAAAGAAAATCGCAGCATTATCACAAACAACAAGGTTCAACTAGAACATAATTAGAAATGAGAACTTTCAGTAAAAGCTTTTGTGAAATAATCTCTCCAATTATCTTGTGAAAAAATGGAAAATTTACGTTATTCTGCATTACTTGGATTCAATAAATTGGCATTCCAGCTAAATTCATAAAGAAAACAATAATCGAAATTCCAACATACATTCTTCTTATCTTCTACATTTGCTCTACATTGAAGGAAAAAAATAACACAATACGTTGGCTTAAAAAAAAAAAAAGGAAACATCTATCGAACTGGAAATAAGGAAATTTCGGTTGCCAGTCCATGAGACAGAATTAGCAAGCAACGAATAAAATACTTCTTTTAATATTTATTTATGGCTAGCTTAAAATTAAAATCATAAAACTAACGAAATCATTATTTTAGCAATGGTTTCCAGAGCCTTCAACTAACTTTTTATGTACATTTTAAAGAATTAAAGTAAAAAGTAGGAATACATATTAGAGAGGGGTTGATTTACTTGAATATTAAGTTCCTTTTGTTCTGTTCTTAAAAAATACTTTAAAGCTTAATAATTAGGAGATGCTGATAAATATTTGCTTCGAACTAAATTGAAATGAACGATTTTTTAATAATGCTTAAACAACTTAGCTATGCATTTAATTCTGCTTGACCATCAAATATTACAACTAACTTCAAAATGTTAAAATGCATTTCCATAGAAATTTATTTTTAGTTTACTTATCAGTACCACTGAGATAAATGTATTCAGCAGGTTTGTTTTAAAAATCCAAACACTCTCGTCTACACACATTTGCATTAATTTGGCACGACACACGAAAATGGCGAAGAGCGAGGGGCCAGAGCGACAGGCGGGCGCCCTCATTGCCTAATGAAGCACAAGAGCCAAAAACAATATTTCCATATACTCGACGTATGGATAATGTTGTTTATGCCGCGTGCGATACGAAACTTTGCCAACTATTCTCTATTGTTGTTTTCCTTGCTTGTGTGCTTGTGTCCTTTGTGGGTGGTTGGCTTGCCACTGACGTCAAACCGGGACTGGACTTGTTATTGCCATTGCTTCTTTCTTTTGGTTCAGTCGTTTGTAACAGCGAAATTAACATTGAGCACGCAGTAAGTTTTCATGGCGCGCTCTTTGTCTTTCTGTTGTTCATAGCCATATTTATTGTTGTTTTCAAGAGTGGAATTCGCAAGGCTTCCAAACAAATCGAGTTAAAGTCAGCAATCGATTTTTAATTTCAAAGGACTTCATGCACATGCAATGGGTTGTTGGCTTATGGAAATTCAATTATCTATTTTTTTTCAGACAAGACTTCAAGGGGTGTTTGTGCTTGTGTCTCTCTGTGTGTAGCATGCCAGCTGCCATTATGGCATCGGACATCAATTGGGATCCAGGTAGATACAATATTATATGCATGCAAACACATAATTATATACTGAAGCCTACAAACGATTTTCAGCGCTGTCCAAGTTGATCACCACGCTCAAAGAATCAGATAATTTATCAAATGATCAGGAAATCGATTTTCTAAAAGCGTTACTAGAGTCGAAGGAGCTCAACGCGCTGGTCAATGTGCACACCAAGGTCGCCAAGGTGGGCCGCGATGAGCGACTGGCACCTGTGCTCTCCACCTCTGCCCAGGTGCTCTATGAGGTGCTGGAGCAGCTGTCACAACGCTGTCATTTAAGCGATGATTGCAAGGAGGCCTTTCATCTGCTGCAGGATGCGCACGTGCAGGTAAGGACCTAACCGCTTCCTGAACTGGACCTTGGTTAATTCTTCTGATTTTTTAGCACGTGCTCTTCGCTCACGATGCCATTGCCCAAAAGGATTTCTACCCGCATTTGCCGGAAGTACCCATTGAAATGGATGAGGATGAGGAGACAATTAAAATTGTGCAACTTGTAAAGAGCAATGAGCCCCTGGTGAGTTTCTCGATACTGTACACCTTTTAAGCTTTGCCTCACGACTCATCGACGTTAGAGCTCATCGACCATTAGCGATCATTATAAAGTTTATGGAGCCTTGTTAATAATCATTTCTTAGCAAAAATTACGTATGCCACACGCTTCCAATTCCTTTGTAATTACAATACTCCTACAGCTTATACAGAAAATGTCTTGAGACAGACTTTGCTCTCTCTCTCCTTCGCTTTCATTCCTTATATTTGAATATCTAAGCTACGCGTACACTTTCTGCTTAAAACAGCACTCGACTTGCTCTTCTGCCTGATCGTTCACTTTTTCTGTCTAACACAAAACTCTTGCCTATTAAGCTATATTTTTATCTACAAGAGTAGTAATCTGCTCCTCTCTGCGCTTTCACATCAATTGAACATTAACAAACCAATGCTATGTTACAAATTTCGCTAACAAATTGTTTTTTGTAAATTCTGCTTTGTATTACAAATCTAAAACAAACATCGTATAAAATCGAATTGATTTTCAAACCCCTCCATAAAAAATATAAATGAAAAATATATTGATTATAAAAAACACAGACAGGAGCACAAAGTGCGGAACCGATTGTTGTAAGTAAACAATGTCCTTACTGTAAAGTGTAACCATAAAATCCAAAGTTTCTTCACAAATATCCCAAGTCCAACACACATACGATAAACAAATAAAAATAACCATACACTGTCAACAACACCAAACAATGTGTACAAAAAGTGAAAATGTTGTTGTCATTCTGTTGTATGCCAAAAACACTACACCCCTCCTACCACACACATGCACACACACACCGACACACACACCTGCAAACATGTACACGCATAGGACACTCACACACGCGCGCACATTCGAGCTTTTGAGGAACAACTGATAGTAAAAGGTTATTGCATACTTTTAGGGTGCCACCATAAAAACCGACGAGGAGACGGGAAAAATAATAATAGCACGAATCATGCATGGTGGTGCAGCCGATCGGTCCGGACTTATTCACGTTGGCGACGAGGTCATCGAGGTCAACAGCATTAATGTAGAAGGCAAAACGCCCGGCGATGTGCTGACCATATTGGTATGTGCAGTTTTGGTTACCATTTGGCAACTAAAAAAGAGGCAACAAATAATTGCAGCAAAACTCAGAGGGCACCATCACCTTCAAGCTAGTGCCTGCTGACACCAAGGGCGCTCAGCGCGAGTCCAAAGTTCGTGTTCGTGCGCATTTTAATTACAATCCTGATGTGGATCCCTACATACCTTGCAAAGAAGCTGGTCTGGCCTTTAAACGTGGCGATATCCTGCACATCGTTGCTCAGGTGAGTAAAGTCGATAAAAACGATCAAAAAAGAAAATTGTTTGGTTTTTAACAGGGAATCACTGCAAGGCTTAAAAATGATTAACATCTCCAATTTTTATACCATGAAATACACCAGTGTTTATGTTAAATGTGTCCAAAAAAGCATTTTAGATTTGTTGTTTAATCAAGAAGTACAATCTTGAGCTTAAGACCAGCAAAAATGAGCAGACAAATCATACTTTGCTTTATAGATTCACACAGCCTATTCATTAAGTCCAACTTGTTTTCCATTATGTGCTAAAAATTAGCACGACACACATAATATCCACTTTCTCTTTTTAGTAAAGAGAATTTTTGTCCAGTTCAGTATACTTTATTCATTTAAGGAATTAAGAGCAACTTTCAGTGTTTGTTGTAGTAGAAAACTAGCTTTTAGTATAGAATAGTTATTATTTTGAATTGAAGCATCATTATATTAATGATTTAAATTCATGTAAAAATTATTTACCCATATAATATTTATATATGCTTATCCATTGAACTAGTTTTTAACACAGACGAACAAAGGAATCAGGCAGGTGGTTAGGTATATATTTGCCTCTGTAACGACTTTTCTAGTCATTTTCATCAACATGAATGTGTTACAAACATGCAAAATCCAAGCATTTGCATAAATTTGTATGTATGTATATGTATGTATATGGCTATCCAAAACAGCTAATTAAACGTATAATTTGCATCTCCAGGTCCATTTTAATTAACCAATTTAAAAGCTCACATTTGCTGTCAGTTAAGAGACCGTGCCAATATTATTCTGATGTTTTTTGAGGAAATCATATTGAGACTAGTTTCGAGTATACTTTTCCCATTACAGGACGATGCTTACTGGTGGCAGGCACGTAAAGAACACGAGCGCTCAGCCCGAGCCGGTCTTATTCCAAGTCGTGCACTGCAGGAACGTCGTATTATACATGAACGCACGCAGCGGGAAGCCAGCGAGTTGGACTCAAAGCGTAAGTGGAGATCATTTATATTCGTACTCATGCATCTGCAATCCCACTCTAAAATTTGCATGCGGCTGTGTCTTTTCCATGATCCCAAAACCGTTGCATCCGATTGGCTACCACATTGTTCATAACGACTCATTCATTGCCACTAACTCCACCCAGCGGGTTCTTGCGCCTCATTGTGCACCACCCCGCCTGGCTCTCCGCGCCTCCACACAAGCAGCAGCAACTCATCCTGTCGCCAGCCCAAGACTAAAAAGATCATGTACGATTTGACAGAGAACGATGACTTCGATCGGGAACTAATTGCCACATATGAGGAGGTGGCTAAGCTTTATCCGCGACCAGGAGTCTACCGACCAGTAGTATTGATAGGTGCACCCGGTGTGGGTCGCAACGAATTGCGGCGTCGTCTGATAGCACGCGATCCAGAGAAGTTTCGCAGTCCGGTCCCATGTAAGTTTCTTTATACTTAGTATAATAGTAGCTCAAAGAAAATTATTTAATATTTTTCATAGATACAACTCGACCTATGCGAACCGGGGAGGTAGCAGGACGCGAGTATATTTTCGTGCCCCGTGACAAGATGGACGCGGACATTGCGGCTGGGAAGTTTGTGGAGCATGGCGAGTATAAGGGACATCTATACGGCACCTCAGCCGAGAGTGTGAAGTCAATAGTCAATGCGGGCTGCGTGTGCGTGATTAGTCCACATTACCAGGCCATCAAGACGCTGCGCACTCCGCAGCTGAAGCCGTTCCTTATTCACATTCAGCCACCGGAGCTGGAGGTGCTGAAAGCAACACGCACGGAAGCCCGCGCCAAATCCACCTTTGATGAGGCAAATGCTCGCAGCTTTACGGACGAGGAGTTCGAGGATATGATCAAGTCGGCGGAGCGTATTGACTTCCTCTATGGCCATTTCTTTGACGTCGAGATCGTAAATGGCGAGCTCGTAAGTGCTTTTGAGCAGCTGGTGCTCAATGTGCAGAGGCTGGAGAACGAGCCCCTCTGGGCGCCCTCCATGTGGGTGCAGTAAGGCTGAGAAGGCAGGCGCGGAGCGCGTGACTAAGCAAAAGACAGAAGCATACTTGGGAGCGGCTGTAATAAGAATATTAACAACACCAAACCACGCATACTGCTAGAAGAAATGCCAAAACGCATATACAAACCTATATACACGTATTTACATACACGTACATAAGTATTTATGTACACACACACACACACACATACATACATGCATACATACATACATACTATACATACATATAAGGAGTATTTTATGCCACCTGTTGAACAAATCGACGCTATGTATTTGTTTTCTGGGCATAGCTAAAAAGAATACCAAACGTTCTTAAACAGCTTAATGAACCTTTACTTGCCAGTGTTAGTCGGCATTTAAAAATTGTTAGCGACCCTATAAAGTGCTGCCTGTACTGACGTTTCACATTTTATCCTTAGCCTGTCCAACTGGACAGCCTGCAGCACAAGAGCTGGTGGAACCATTAGCAGGCTTAGTCCTCTCACGACATGTACCTTTTTGCGTAAAAGTGAAAAAATGAAAACAATACAATAAAGTTGAATTATCTAAATTTAAAGGACAACATTTAAAAATGGAGTTATTATGACAAAGTGTTGTACAAATTTTAATTTATTCAAATGCATTATACATACATAGAAACAAATTATGAAGTCCAAATAATAAGCATAACAAATATATATTTACATTTTATAAACAAACAGAGGAGGAACTTTTCGAGCGACGTACTTGCGATTATACATACTTGTATAGTATGCATATGTAATTATAGAAATGTTGTAATTCTTTGCAGTGTATTTGTTAAAATCAAAATTACCAACTATTTATGTATGAATGTACTTTTGTTCTAAGTTCTTAATCTATGTACAGTACTCAGCTCTGTTTAATGAGTCTCTAAGCCCAGAGCTACAACAACAACAACCGTGAACAACAAACTAATGTTTTCAAAAAAAAAAAAACCAAAGGCATTAACATTAGCAAGGTTCTGACTTCATCATGGAATTAAGTCACCATAAAATAAGCCCAAACTTGTTAGTTATATAAACTCAAGAGGTGTTTCTTTGTTAAAAACAAAAGAGCTCTAAATAAAAACTAATTATTTTAAATTATCTAATATAACATCAGTTGCTTTTCAATTCATCTGCCAGTCATGTCGTAAAAGCTGAGCGGGTCTTTTAGGTCTCCTGTACCCCCATACAGGTTAACAACAATACAAACAGAGCGAATGAAAAGTCACTCATATAGTACAATACACCCATGAATTAACTCAGCGATTTAATTGAGTAATTGATTCAAGGTTGGTGAGAGCTGTTGCCCTAAAAAGAGCGAACAGTCAGCTGTTGTTGTTGTTGCAGCTGCTCCAACGAATCGCTCGCGGTCTACAATCTCTCTGGGGCTATCAAGCGAAAAATTCAAAACACCCTCCGCATTCTGTGGCGTGTGCCAGTCGTGTGTGGTTTATCATTCTAGAAACAACTTGCCCAATTTAAACGGATACTATTAGTAAAATATTTCAAGTGTTCTAAGATCGCGCACCTACTTCGTACAACAATGTCCGCCTTTGAATTACAAAGTCTTGACGAATGCCTTGACAAGTACTTACCACCCGAAGAGCTCAAGGAAGTCAAACGGATTCTTTATGGCGTAGAACAGGAGTAAGGTCATATTATTTGAGTTGTTTTGCAAACGCCTTTAATGCCCAGCTCTTCCAAAGTTATCAGCGCTTTTGTTATATGGCTTTGATAAGCAGGCAAAAAACTACCTACTTTGTATGGCATGATCAGAGTGCAAGTAAAATAAATTAAATCTACGCTTTGCTTATCTAATTGTCATACACAAATATGCGTGTATTTGAGCTGTGGATTAAGTACAAAACTAATCTTCTTAATGTGGCTACAATCTGTACAATCTGGATGTCAAAATTCATAAAAATAACCAACGAAAAAACTACACATTGATGCCGCAAACATATTATTTATAGTGTAATATATGCATAAATATATGTACACATACTATTTGTGAATACATTTAATATATACATATGCATATGTATGTATGTGTGTGGTATTCAAAAAAATCAAAGCATCAAGTACATTTAGCCTGGACAAGAACCAATCACAGTGAATGTAAAACTACAGTCCATGTTCCCAACCACAACCTTTATAAATGATTGTTAGCTTTTTATGTACAACACCAATAATTTAAATTCACTTGTGAATTTCCATTTCATATTTATTTAATTTAAGCGCTCTTAACAAATTAATGTTTGTTTCAAACCAAAATATTGTGGGGGCAAGTACATGCGAAAATATATAAAAATTAATCATTTTATTCTGTCCAGCCGAAAACATTTGTATATAATGAATTAACTCTACGCTAAGTTATGGATTATAGTTAGTAAAGCCTTTTGATATTTGTTTTAACGCTGAAGTAGATTTATGTTGAATACTAACTTTTTGAAATATTTAAAAAAATACAAGTATATATGTATATATATAATATATATATAAAAGGGCAACCTTTTTAAAGAACAATGTTTTCACGCCTAAAAAAAAAAGTCGACCTTACCTTCATTATAATGGAACAAATATTTTGCCTTAAAATGGAACTGAGTTGGATTTGTTTAAGTTTTTTCATTGATCAAACTAAATTATAATTTATATGCATCGTGCATTATTGAATCCCCCCTCTTGGTAAAAACTGAGTACGCCCTTGACGTCTATTATTCTGTCTAGGTGTGTAATTAATCTCGCTATTAATTTCACCTTAAAGTCCTGGAAATACAAAGAGGATCCACTTAATACATACTGTAGTGTCTAACATTCGTTTCTAACCTCTCTCTCATTAAAGCAATAGCTTGGAATTGCCTGCTGGTGCCAAGGCCATAGCCGAAGAGCACGATTTCGAAATTAAAGGGTATCGCTTCACAGCACGTCCCGAGCAGTTGCGGAAGCCCCGCCTGGTGCGTGTGGGCGCCATACAAAACTCCATAGCACTACCTACGACTGCCCCAATTGAGCAGCAACGCGAAGGCATTTGGAACAAAGTAAAGAATATGATAAGGGCAGCAGCTGAGGCAGGGTGCAACATTGTGTGCACCCAGGAGGCATGGAGTAAGTTATTCCACAGCACCGCTCTCATTCCACCTATGACAAGTAACTCCCAATACTTGTATTTTCTCAGCTATGCCCTTCGCGTTTTGCACGCGCGAAAAGTATCCATGGTGTGAATTTGCTGAGGAAGCCGAAACCGGACCCACCACAAAAATGCTGGCTGAGTTGGCAAAGGCCTACAACATGGTTATCATACACTCGATATTGGAGCGGGACGTTCCGCATGGGGACACAATTTGGAACACCGCCGTAGTAATTTCGAACAGCGGACGCTATGTGGGCAAGCATCGTAAAAATCACATACCACGGGTCGGGGACTTCAATGAATCCACTTACTACATGGAAGGCAACACCGGCCATCCAGTGTTTGAGACTGAATTTGGAAAGATTGCCATCAATATTTGCTACGGTCGTCATCATCCGCAGAACTGGATGATGTTTGGACTGAATGGTGCTGAAATTGTCTTTAATCCCTCGGCTACCATAGGTCGGCTTTCGGAGCCGCTTTGGGGCGTTGAGGCACGCAACGCGGCCATTGCAAACAGTTATTTCACGGTGCCCATTAATCGCGTGGGTACGGAGCAATTCGCCAACGAGTTCAGCTCTGGAGATGGCAGCAAGGCGCATCATGATTTCGGACCATTCTACGGGTCCACATATGTTGCCGCACCTGATGGTTCCCGTACGCCGGTAAATATATGCAGTTCTAGTTACAATGATTCATTTATCGTTCGGATACGTCGAGAACGTACAACCTTCACCCTCTTCACTTATTCAAATAAGTCACGTAGGTCGTAGGGGGTTAATTATTTTATACTAAAGTAATATGAAGTCCCTAATCATTAGATAATAGCCACATAAACGACGTATCCAGTTTTATTGTTCCCGGGTACTGCGATATAATGGGACCCGAATAAGTAAATGAAAATGCTTGCCTGTCTACTTTTCAGAGTCTTTCACGCTGCAAAGATGGCCTGCTAGTAACCGAGCTGGATCTAAATCTATGCCGACAGGTTAAGGACTTCTGGGGATTCCGAATGACGCAACGGCTTCCACTCTACGCCGAGTCCCTACAGAAGGCAAGTTCCTTGGACTTTAAGCCGCAGGTCATAAAAGATAATTAGTTGTATTGTATACGATATTTAAATACAAAAACGAAATAAACCAACATCACATTCAGGATATCACTTCCTCGCTACAAGTCCTTTAGGTAATAGCCAGCCAGTCGATGTGCCTCACGTAGGCCGGATTCCACAGCGCCGTGCACCGTAGAGTAGTGGTTGCTGCTCGTCGCTTCTCCGCAAAACAAAAGAACTGGCCTAACTGTCATTGGCTCGATGGTCATCTTGGAGTCGTTCATCGGCTCATAAGCCAACATGTTGACTGGCTGCGCCAGTTCTTCAGCACCGGTATTGAAGGACTTCGTCAGCATGGAAGGATAGGAATATGCACCTAAATGTGCGGGGTTTGTGGTCCACTTGCTAGTCATTACACGCTTTGGCAGAGGTATTTTCATTTTTGGCAAAAAACGTTTCAAAATTGTGATTATACCCTGCGTTAACGTCTTGGAATCTAAAGTCTCTATATACTCAACACACTCTCCGGCACACCAGCCCTGAAGGACGCGCGGCTGATACTTGGTGCAATAAAAGGCATAAATTTCAGTTGTCCACTTCAATTCTTCGTTTTTCGCATCCTCCAAGTCCTTCTCTTGCCAAATCACATTAAATCCAGGCCAGGAAACTGGCCAAAACGCGGCATCAAACTCAATGAATATCTTGCAAATGTGACCAAAGCCGAGAAAGTTAATGGCGCGACGCTTATCAGAAGGCAGGACCGGTACAAACAAGGACGAATTCTTTTTTAGCACGCCCAGTGAAACAGAGATTACCACATGATCGGCCAAATAGCTCTGATCGCCCTCACAATATACCATCACCGAACCGTCCATACGATCCCACTCGATGCGTATCACGCGCTGATTAAAAAGAACGCAGTCCTTTAGATTGCCAAGCTCATTCATTTCATCTCCACCAAGTAGAACGTGCAAAAACTTTTTGAAACTGTAAAGACATCGGTCAGCTTAACTCAGCTAAATGTACCTTCAACCTTTTGCCAAACCCTTTATCTCGCCAATTTAGCATGTTGTCGCCAGGACAGGGCTCATAGCTCTCAAAGCCCGAGCCAGACATTTGGTCAATACCCGACTCTACGGCAGCACCCTCCATTTTACAAAAGGCGCGTAAGAATGAATTGGCCATAGACCTATCCACATCCTGAAACGCGGGCTTTTCCAACTCCTGACCAAACTTTGTCTGAAGGTACTCATTAAATGTGCCGTCATAATCTGCCAGATCTTGATGTCGATTCTCAAATATAGTTGTCACAAGATTTATTAACTTTAGGACAAGCGCACGCGGCACGGGCTCTCCATCGGATCGAATCCAATCGACGCGCGTAAATAGGTCCCCGGAAGAGTCCAAGAGATTCAATTTGTATACCATTTGGAAAACGGCATTTCCACGTTCACCATGGACCCATTGCGCGCCCAGATCTATTGTATTATCACCGAAGTTTATTGTGTAAATACGCCCACCGATACGCCCAGAAGACTCCAATATGTGTACGAACTCAAAGCCATACTTTTTTAGCTCGATCGCACACGCTAGACCCGCAACACCGGCACCTATTATAAGTATGTTGGGCTCGTTTTCCAACGCCGATTTCAGTTGTTTTGGGTCTTTTCTTTGTGAAGCGTGGTATTTGGTCCTCACTTTCGGTTCCTTGTTTTTTTTTTCTGTTGATAAGCACTGCGGAAAAGGTATACTATAGGTTAAATTGTAGAGCGTACGTCATTTGTACCTACAGCGCCCATGGTGATGCTCGTAGATCATTTAGCCATCACTCTGGGCTTCACAGATTTCAATTACGAACAAATTTTGAAAGAACTAGAAAAGCATACGTAAGCTGGAAAGGCGCCGTGGAAAGTTGCTGCGCCGGGTCCATCTACAATTCCCTATCGCGACATACAAGTGTTGAACTTCGATGGTATGACAAGACATTTCTATCATTTTATTAGAATTTGTATTAATCATATCTCGGACAGAACTAGAACTGTACAAGAACTATTTGAATATCATATACAACTATATCATAAAGTGGTCTGATCTGGTCGGATTTTTCGAGAGCTAGAAAGCTTTTTACTTTTTCTAGGTCTAACTACGACTTCATTGGACTTTATTTTGACTCGGAGTCGATGAAGACATTATAGTATTGATATTTATGTAAAACGTAAATCCTTTACGGTTCTTATTTGATAAAGTGTTCTGATCTGATCAGTCCTGATACATTGCCTGTTTCTTTTAAACTTTTCAAGGAGAGACAGAGCAGAGAGGCGGATATCCGATTAAGATTTGTAATGTCGTGCTGGAATTCAAGTAGAATCCCATAATATTCATAGTTTAAGTATCAGTTCTGATTTATTTGAAAGCTTTTTAACACATACATACATATATACATACATACATACATACACACGTACTCGTCCGTTATTAAATAGATAAAATTTAAACGTTAAATATAGTAAATAAATTGTATACATACAAGTATATTCTATGGTCATATGTTTTGAAGTCTATTACGATGAATCGTATAGTCGATTGGCTGATCAGGCTGACAATAGTTTCCACTTAAGCTGTAAGTTTTCCCAACTGCTCTTCACACTCAACAATAACAGAATTAAAATGATCTTTCATATGGTGCTGTTTTCTTGTCCCACAAAATTTGAGCTTTGTTATTACGAACTAGTGAAGACCGATTTAAAAAAAAAAAAAGAAATATATCGGGTATGTATTGCATTGCGTGACTTCAAATGCCTGTCAGGAATTTAAAGTCCACCTAATGTTAAAGTTGCGACTTTTTCACAGCGCGTGGAAGGCCGTAAAAGTCTGCTAACCGTTTAGCTTCCCGCCAACCGGCCTCCACAGCGCCATGCACAGTCGAATAATAGTGCGGACTGGAGGCCTCGCCAGCAAACAGCACAATGGGTTTGTCACAACGGGTCTGAAGCAATGGAAGCTCAGTGGTCTCCTGTGGAGGTGTGACTGTCCTAGGAGTTGGTGTAACCACAGTCAGTGGCTGGGCTAAATCATGTGCCCCGGTGCCCATCTGCTCTGTTTCCATGGAGCGGTAGGAATAGGATCCGCGGAAATTTTCGTTTGAATACCATGCGGAGGTACGAAAACCTATCGGTTCAGGTATTTGCCAGTGCAGAAAGCGACGGAAGAGGTACGTACAACCTGCCAGGACTTCATCCTCTGGCAATGTCTCCATATGTCGGCCATTCGCATTGATTATCCAACCAGCCAGAACATTGGGCTGATAGCTGACACGATAGAAGCCAAACACATCTTCCAACCAGGCGCGCTCTGTATCACGTATGTCCTGCAGGTCCTCTTCTCGCCACAGCATTGTAAAGCCCGTCCAATCTTCGGGCCAGAATGGTTGCGGAAACTCGACAAAAATCTTGTTGACAGTTCCGAAAGCTAAGCCTTCAATGGCACGTTGCTTCTCTACCGGCAGCTTTGGCTCGAATAGGCGCCAGTGCTGCTCCTTAAGCACACCCAAAGAGACGGTGACAACGACATGGTCGGCAAGACAACTATCCCCGTTACTAAACAGCACTTCTACGCGAGAATCGTTGCGATTCCATTGGATTTGTGTAACGCGCCGGCCGAACAGCACACGTTCATCTAGGCTACCCAGCTGAGGGAGTTCTGGGAAGGAAGGCGCACGCAGGAGTACTCTTAACAGTTCTACAAATCCTGTGTCCTTCCAGTTAAGAAGTATGTCGCCCTCGCATTCCCAATACTCCAGATAGCCGCGACCAGACACTTGATCTAAAGTGTCGGACGCCTCGACAGAGTTTTCGAACTTCTGATAGTTCTCAAAGAACTCCTTCGCTATTCTCTCATCGATGTCCGCGTACTCCGGCCTCCGCAACATCTCGTAGAACTTGTTGCTCAAATAGCTGCCAAGTGAACCGCTGCAATTGCGTAGTTCCAGCTGTCTCGTCACAAGACTGTCGTTAACAATGGCCTTTAGTCGGTTGGCCACATGCTCTGGTACCACCTCGCGGTTGGAACGCACACACTGATAGTTTTCATACACGGGTCCTGTGGTCTCAAGCAAATCGTGTTTGCTGGCCAACTCGTAAACAATGTTGTCCTGTTCACCATGGCACCATTGGGCTCCCAGATCGATCACATTATCGCCAAAAGGTATTGTGTGTATTCGACCGCCAATTCGCTGCTCCGCCTCTACGACGAGTACATTTTGAAACCCGTATTCCAGGAGCTTTGTAGCGCATGCAATGCCCGAAGCCCCAGCCCCAATGACAATAATCTTTTGCTGCTGACTACTCATGGCAGTTAGTACAATTTTCTAAAACTGTAAATAATTTAAAATGCATTAGAATTAAATTAATCAATCATAATTGAAGCGATGACCTAAACAGAGCCAGAATCAATGATAGATCAAATTCCCTCGACTTGAGCTGGGAAAAATCATTATGAATAGAATACCCCTTACAGATTTCGTAAGATTTCAGAGGGATATTACTACTACTTTCAATTTTCCAAATTTTGTTAATAAACAATTATGTTATCATTCTTTGCTTACAACTATCTAATTAAGCCAAGGTTACAACAGGTTTCGTTTAGTTTGGCGTGGTTGACTCTATTGCGAATATAGTGAAAAGGTTCTGCTTGATCTGTTCGTGCAACATCCAAATTCTATAGCTTGGGGCGACCAGTTGCATTTTCGAAATCGCTTGTCTGCCCTCCGCAGACCTCACTCCCGAGTAATTCTCGCTATTCGCCTTTGCATTGCAGCCTAGTGGTAAACTGTTTGCTCACGCACCTGTTGTAAGTACGCTTGTGCTATGTACATATATACATACATATGTATGTGTGTGTGTTTGTATATGCATAAGCGAGCGAAAAATCAAATGTAAACAGAACAGAAAGCCGGCTATGGCAAGTGCAGAATGCATAACAAAAGGAGTGAGGGCATGGGCATGTCTTGTGGGTGGAATTGCCGACTGAGCCGAATGCCGACACACCCACTCCCGAAGCATGTGTGTATGTTTGTGTGTGTGTGCTTTAGAACTACCATTGTCGCCGCCTGCAGAGGCGTTACAGAGCGATAATTCCTTCAGTTAATTTGCATAAACACTTAAATATGCCGCTAAGTGTGCTTAGTACGTTACATTACGCATAGAACTACAAGTACTTGTAAATGATATTTTTGCACAGGACATATTGAATCCGACAAATTAAAGGGACGACCGTATTCATTCCAACAACAAATTCATTTATTGATATTGATAATTGATCTATTACTCAAAATAATATTTATCAAATCCAATGAATCCTCTGGAAGAGTAAGAGCTAATTAAATTTGGTATCAGGAAAAGGTAAAGTTTTTTTTTCCCTTCTTTCCCATTAGTGATTTTTCATTGCTCCCCTAATTTTTGGAATTGTTTACACATAAATTTTGCCTCTACCTTATGCTCCGCCCGCAACTGTTGCTTTTGTTGCTGCTTTGATTCAACTCCATACAGACAAAACTACGATGTATTGTTGTGAAACTATGAAAATGCTATTGCTAATAAAACTGGACATCAATACACATATTTATTTTGATCTCTACGGTTCTCTTAATTAGTTTCAAACCTTTCAAACAACCATTTTTTTCATCTCATTCTTCATCTAGCCTATAGAAAAAGCAGAGTAATGTATAACAACGACTAAACACTAAAACGTGAACATTTATTAATAGCTGTAAAACCGGATGAGAAAGGAGCAAAGAACCTGAGTGAACGAATATGCATGTTATGTATGTACATACATATGTATGAGTATTTGAGTTTTAGTGACATGACCAGCTCAGCTGGTTAGGCACGCGGAGGCCAACAGCCAGAGATAAGCAAACAGCCCAAAAAAAAAAAAAAAAACGTGCAAGCAAATTTGAAAAGCTCATACAATGTGCGCGCACATACACATCTAGGGCATTATGTCCATACATATGTATGTAAGTATGCACATACATAGGCACTTCAACGCCTGCACACAAAGTTACTTCCTTTATGTAGAGAGGGGCGAAAAGAAAGCACAACATTGATTTTATATGACGAACACAAGAGTCAAAAAAATTTCAAGGTTCATATGGTTGACAACAAACATGAACATTGTATGTATAAATATCAATTTCTATTAATGGCAAAATTCACAGCACACACAGATGCTAAATATATTAGTCAAACAACCGCACGACAAGTTGCTCAACAATTTTTGGTCGCTCTTTGCTCTGCTTTGGTCAGCGGTCAAATATTTAGAACTCACCGAAAACTATGTAGGAATATGTATGTACATAAATGTTTTAATTTATTTACAAATTAATACATTCCAGTTTTGTTCTACAATTTTTTTAATATTTGCGAGATAAATTAATTTTTACTTAATGTTACAAGATATAAATATTAAGACTGCTGCTGCGACAGCGGCGGCTCAGACGTGGGCAACACACGTACACAAACAAAACTGAAAATCATATGAAAACGTGCTACTCCATAGTATGTTGCGGCAAACGTCGTGCGCATGCTAAAAGCTTTTGCATTTTTGAAAGCTCCAAGCGAGCCACGACAACAACAAACAAACAACTATGTTGAATTGAATGGGAAAAGGGCATAGGAAATGGGAAATGGGACTACCACAGCTTATCGCTGAACACAATTTCTTTGAAAATGCAGTCCTGCTTGGCGCTGCTGACCATTGCCTTTTTGGATTTCATGGCATCCTGCACCTTCTCGCGTACCTCCGCCGCCTTCACATCGTTCCTAATGTAGAACAGGCGCACTAAGTGGTCCTCGCTTAGCGAAGGATAACTGCCCAGCAATGTGTGCAAGTCCAGCACTAACAGTTCAATGTCCGAGATCAACAATGCCGATAGTGTGGATATGAGATCCAGCGGTGAATCGCTGAGTGAAATCTTTGGAGCGATTTTCTCAAAAAACTGCTTGAAGCGCTTTGCTTCAATATTGATTTTGCGTGTGATAGCATCACATTCGTTGCGCGGCTTAGACAATCGCTTCGATAGCAGAGCACGTATGTAGCGCTTAGCAAGCAGCTTCTGCGCCTCATTAATAACCATTTCAAAGTTGGCGGGTCGCAAATGGTTGTAATCTTGAAAGTAGTCGTCCAGTGTGACACAAATCGTGTCCACTGCAATGTTGCTGGCAAGCCATTTAACGGTGAACAAATCGTTAAAGTGACACTCCATATCAAGGAATGCCTCCTCCAAAAGGTAGCAAGCGGCATGGGCGCGAATTCTCTGGAATGTGGAAAGGAGCTTCTCGAAATCCTCATAATGTTCCGTGCGCGACTTTGGCCAATACAATTGCTTCATCTGCTGCGCTAGCTCAACCATTTGCTGGCTATTGTTCACAATCGTAATGATGTAGTGCGTGAAGTATTTGATTTGGTCGCGATTTCGAAAATGATGCTCCTTCAGTTCGATGACGTTCTTTAAATAAGTTTGGCCGAATACTTCAACCTGTCGAATGCTCATGACCAGCGCCTGGAATGTCAGCTCCTGATGTATGGTATTGGTCACCTGCAGGTGCTGATCAATCATCTGGAAAATAATTACAGGCGCCGACGTATGATAATACTGATCGTCCTGATCGGGAAACGTTTCAGAGAACCATTCCTGCTTTTCTGTTTCAGCAGCCTTCGTCATCCATTCCTGATAATTGCGCAGTATATTTTGCAAATACTCGTCTTCCAGAGATTTAAGGTGCTCTAGACGAAGCAGCGGTCCAATTAGCTGCTGCACATCCACATTTAGGTCGGGGTGCGACATTAGTTCTACACCTGGATACGTGTTCATCACCCATGACAATATAGACACATATTCATTACCTTCTAGACCAGATCGCGCTATGTTGTCTAGCTGCAAGTTAAATTTATCAGTGCATTGGTCTTTTCACAACCAAGTAGAACTCTTAGTATTCACTTACATAGCTGGAAAGACCCTCGTGATAAAACCGAACATATTCAGTAAATATATTGTAGTGTGGCGGAAAGCAGGGCACGCATAACGATTTGACCACTCGCAAATCTTCTAGAATGATTTGACGCAATATTTCCAGGTGTCGCACTAACCACATCTTGTTGTCACTCCGCTCCTCTACCTTGGAGCCTTCTATACGCGTCACCACGGCCGCTTGCAAAACGCCCATGATCATTTTTCGCCACTCCTTGGGACGGTTGGGAGGCAAGAAACCGGTCACCTTCTGCTGTTGCAACAGGAACTGGTCGTTTTTTTCCTCTCGTTCTATTATTCGCAATGCCGTTACTATAACAGTGGGGGCCTTGCGCACCGTGTTAATTGTGCGGCTAAGAATTAGACGCAGCTTCTTCTCCAGCGCCTGCGACACAGTTTCCACCTTTTCGAAATGTCGCTTCAAAGTGATCTTGTCGGAGGCGTGCTGCTTGGATTGTTTGTGCAACTCTTTAAGTAAATCGTCGCGGGAGTTCTCCAGATCTGCCAGGCACTGATGGGCGTTCAGCAGCTTGTCTTCATCGATAAGAGCCATTGTCTTTTGAACACTCGCGTCCACATTGAATATGTGCTTAAGATTTTCCATAGCCGTGGCGTACTGAGAGTGCTTTGTGTTCTCCTCGCGTACCACCTCTAATGCATCATAAATCTCTGGGACCCCGCGAAGCAGTCGATCCACCTGCCCCATACGTTGCCGAACTTCGCGTACATCTTGCATGCAGGTTTCCAACTGCTTCAGCCCGACCAGCACGCCATCCAACTGATTTTGCATACCTGTCTTCAGCAACGCTTCTACCGAAGCTTTTTTACGTGCAATTCTATTGCGGTACTGTTCCACCTTCTCCAGCTGACCTGGACGCTGAAGCATGTTTTTGATGTCTTTTAGGGCAGCCTGAAGCGCCTCTTCTTCCAATTGCTGTAGATCCATGAATGTGCCACCAAGCGAAATTATGAATTGTTTTTGTGCGTATCACACGTACGGTGTTGCTTTTATGTTTGCAAGCGTCCAACACTAGCTCAATATCTGTGCTCTACAACGCTTTAAAAACACACATTCAATATAAAAATATTTGCGACCCCGAGGAATTTGTGAAAAACAGTAAAAAATATATCTCTTACAAGTATTAAAAATTCGCTTTGTAAATAATGGAAATAAATAAATTCTAAAATAATTGATATCGATACATTTAAGAAAAACGATAAATAATAAAGATGGGACACTTCGTTTAGAGTGGTCGGAGAGTGAAGAACAATGCTGGAAATAAATGTTTTAAAAATTCCGATGTGAAAAAAACACCCGCTAGCTGTGTAAAATGAAATATGGTAAAACACTCGAAAAATCAAAAGAATTAATTAATAAACATTTTAAATAACGAAAAAGTGCCGTTCAATCAAATTGCTATAATTGACCAAATAAGAATGACAGTAAACAAAAAGGTGGAAGACAGTGTGGAATATAATTGAGTCTGTTAATATAAGTTAACAACAAATAAATTCAACATACAAAAACACTCGGATAAGCAATTCAGTGTCATTCTCCACACACTAATTGCAGTGGCCCAATACTTAAAATTGTTGCAAGCGGCAAAAAAAAAAAACATTGCAATACTAAACCGCCGAAATATGCTGACATAGTCAAGTCCCGTCAGAAGCTTCGTTGCATCGCTGCCAACGTCGCGGAAAATACTCACAGCTGTTTAGGGTTTAACTTAAGAGTGTGAATTTGGTTTTAAAACAACTTGAAATAAAAAATGTCTTAATGCCCATAAATAAAATATATGTTATCAATAATTTAATGTGTTAAAAATTAACTGGCGCCCATCCCCTGGTAGTGGAGGAGAGATCTCCGACATATGTACTAAAAATATTGTATGCATAGTGTTTATGTGAAGAAAATATTGACATTACAGGAAAATCCATTTTTTATAAGAAATAAATATAGAAAAAAAGGAAACCAATATAAAAAAGAAATAATTAAGAATCTAATTAGGTGAATACTGCAACCAAGGTGATTAAATAAAACAGGCTAAAAATGATCAAATACTACGTCAAAACTGCTTGAATGAAGAAAAGTAAAATATTTAAAAGAGAAACTTGTTTAATATTAGATAAAGAAAAGTAAACTATTCAAAGAACAAAATTGGTTAATGATTGCATAAGAAAAGTAAAATATTCAACAACAAAAATCAATTAATACATTAAACACAAATAGTAAAATTATTGTTCAAAAACATTAAAACAAAGAAATTGTTTACCCCCTTTTTACCGTAACTTTGTATACATACATACATATATATATATATATTGCAAAGACAATTAGAATTTAAACAGAACAGAAACATGGACGAACAGATCAGACTGCAAATACAAGATATTATAAATGAAACATTGGCACAACATTTCCCAGCCTTGGCGCAACAGGTCGCAGGTCGGCAACCCAATCAGACAATAGACCCTCAATATTGTGCAAACCAGTCCGATCTGGATAGAATTCCAGACATAGTTAAGTGCCTTCGGGAATTTAGTGGCAACCCCTCTGAGTTTAGCTCCTGGAAGAAAAGTGTAGAAAGGACATTAGAAGCCTACTCATGTCTTGTAGGTACTCCAAAGTACTTTGGAATATTGCACACCATTCGCAATAAAATAGTGGGACAGGCAGACACCGCACTCGAATTGTATAACGTACCATTAAACTGGGAAGCTATATCGAGATGCCTTACACTTCATTTCGCGGACAAAAGAGACTTGTGGACTCTAGAATATCAGATGAACGCCATGGTGCAAAATGGGCACCAAACAGTGGAAGAATTCTATCAGGTCATTTGCAAGCACTTGTCCCTCATACTGAATAAGATCGATTCAATGGGGCTTGGCAGAGAGGCCGAAGTGGTAATGACAAAATCTTATCGAGACAAAGCTTTAGATACTTTTATTTGCGGGCTACGTGGAGATTTATCTCGATTACTCCTTATAAAGGAACCAACAGATCTACCAACTGCTCTTCAATTATGCCTCAAGTTGGAAAACCAGGCTTATCTGACTGAACTCACAACTGGCAGACTACATTACTCGACTTTCAGAAATCCAGAACAATGCAGAATGCCGACATCGGGGTCTCGATCGATGTTGCCACAAAATATTCGGAGGTACCACCCACCTCCACCGAATCCTCCACGGAATCCCCCACAGTACCAAACAAGCAATATGAGACCAAACAAGTTCAGACAGAACTACACATATCCCAGCCAGCACGCCGAAATCGCATTCCAGAGACCATACAGCAAGTATCAACAGGCTCAGAATGAACCAGAACATCCAGAACTAATGGAGAGCATACGATCTAAGGTAGTAAGCTACATGAATCGACCCCAATTTGAACTAGGAAAAAGTCCACCTTTTCCGACAAACCAGAAAAAATACCTAGACCTGCTAATCCAAACCTACCCCAATCTCTTCGCAGACCCGAACGAAAGCCTCACTTGCGCAACAAGAGTGCAAGCAGAAATTAGGACCACGACAGATTCACCGATTTATTCCAAGTTTTATCCTTTCCCAATTTCTCTTAAGGATGAGGTCAATAAGCAAATCAATGAATTATTAGATGACGAAATAATCCGTCCTTCTCGATCGCCATACAACTCACCCGTATGGATTGTCCCCAATAAGGAAGATGCATCTGATGAAAAAAAGTATCGCATGGTCATTGATTATCGAAAACTCAACAAGATCACAATAGCGGATAAATATCCGATTCCAATAATTAACGAAATGCTAGCCCAATTGGGCGAAAATAAACTCTTCTCCGTTCTTGACATTAAAAGTGGATTTCACCAAATCCCACTAAAAGAGTCAGACATAGAAAAAACTGCCTTCACCGTTAACAGCGGAAAATATGAGTTCACTCGACTCCCTTTCGGATTAAAAAACGCGTCCTCAATATTCCAGCGTGCAGTTGATGACATACTTCGTGAACATATTGGTAAAATATGTTACAATTATATCGACAAGATCATCGTCTTTAGCAAAGTTAATGAGTCGCATACAAAAAATCTGAGCACAATTTTCAGAAGTTTGCAACAGGCTAATATGAAGTGTCAGTTGGACAAGTGTGAGTTCTACAAAACTAAAGTCGAATTTCTCGGTTTTGTCATTTCTGAAGAAGGTGTCGAGACAAACCCGAAAAAAGTTCTGGAAATAGCCAACTATCCACTTCCCAAAACTCTAAAAGATCTTAGGGCATTTCTGGGACTGGCAGGGTACTACAGACGATTCATTCAAGATTTCGCTAAGTTGGCAAAGCCACTTACCTCTCTTTTAAGAGGGGAGGACGGACGAGTTTCCAAAAGCCAATCAGAGAAAAAAAATGTTGCTCTGGATCAGGATGCAGTAGCGGCATTCAAAAAAATTAAAAGAGCGCTGATTTCAGACAAGGTCGTTTTAAAATTTCCAGACTTCTCTAAGGAGTTCTACCTAACCACAAGCGCCTCTAATTTTGCTATAGGCGCCGTTTTGTCACAAAACGACCACCCTATAACATTCCTTTCTCGAACTCTTTCTAAGGCGGAAGAAAACTACGCCACCAATGAGAAGGAAATGCTTGTGATAATATGGGCACTAAAATCGCTTACAAATTATTTGTATGGAGAGGAAAAAGTCAAGATATTTACAGACCACCAGCCCTTAACACAGTCACTTAGCAGCTGGAATGGGAATTCCAGAATTAAAAGATGGAAAGCATATCTAGAAGAATTTGACTACGAATTGTTGTACAAACCAGGAAAGGATAACATCGTAGCAGCATAGTGATGTTAGCTTTAGCCACAATTAGATTCCTAATACATACATATTAACGTTTTTAAAAATCAAATATTTCTCCATAAGGCAGACTCCCCCAAGTACGAATTTGAATCAAATAGAGAGGGCACTCGATACACTCACGTTCCACACAGAACAGAACCATTCAATAATTTCTAATGTCAGTAGCATGTAGCCCAAAGAGGAGGTTGTGAATAAAAAACTATCGAAAAAGGAAGCATATGAAATTGATCAAATAAGGAAAACATTTATGAAATTGTCAAAAATTGCAAGAAATAATATTACATTAATATATTCTATAAGAATGAAGTTGCAAATTTTAGAATTAACACCTGTTTGCCTAGGCTCCTGAGAGGAGAAAAATCGCTGTGTGAGTTCAGCAACGGAGAGGCAGAAGAAATCAGCAGTGGACTTCAAATGCTCAAAAAATACTTGGGATCATATCTTTTAAAAAGCTGGAAACTCCAACAATCCAAATCACCTCAGGAGAAACCAACTTTGGAAGCCTTACACATCGACAATACCGAGCGGCTGGATAAACTACTCAATTGGATTTTGGCAATATTCATCCGTATGTTATACCTTTACAGAAGGAAACATCAGCCACAAACGAATGCGCAGCTTCATTTCAACAACATATCATTCTTTTAATAAACAATATGGAAAATAAGAACATCGCTTGGGGACAAGCGCCAATTAAAAGAGGACAACAAATAAATTCAACAAACAAAAACACTCGGATATACGATTCAGCGTCATTCTTAGCACTATATTGGAGTGTCCCAATACTTATAATCATTGCATCAGCGTCTCGTCGGCTTCCGCCACATGCCAGGATCAACATACGCCCAAACGACCAAAAACACATTGCAAAACCAAACCGCCAAAATATGCTGACAAAGTCAAGTCCCAACAGAAGCTTTGCTGCACCGTTTCCAACGTCGTGCTGTGCCACTGCCATCCTCGCTAAAAATATCCACAGCTAGCTTTGGAATAAACTTAAGACTGTAAGTTTAGTCTTAACAATTTGAAATTCGAAAAAGGTCTTAGTTGACCATAAATAAAATATATTTTATCAATAATTTAATGAGTTCAGTATTAACTTTTCAAAGTCGGATTACCCTTTAAGAAGTATCTAGAAGCTGACATAGGCGAACACAAGGACGACATCGGCATGATGGTGCCAGAATGTAACGGTAAAAGTCCAATTAAAGTGTCGTGCGCATGAATGAACCTGGTTTGGCGCTAGTCTGGAAGCAGACAAAGAACACAATGCTATTTTGGATGAATATTCACAAGAAATTTTGTATTTTTCAGCGCCAGGAAGAAGACTGAGAGTGACTGAACTAAAGAACGCATTTGACCAAGCACTTTTTGAAAACCAATTACAGGTTTCGAAAAAAAAAATTCTAAATTATCTGGCATATGGGCATTTCCAGAGAAACGTCCACCATGACCGAAAAATTGAAAGTTAATAAACAGTTTTTCCTTACTTGTAATATTAAAGAGAAATGTTCAAATTTTATTAAATTAAAGAGCTTTGAACTCTTCTTAGTTGCAATGGCGAAATATAGGCTATATATATATACCGAAATTTACGCTTGTGTATTTCAGCTTTGTGTATTATCTGTTTCTTATTTTTACCATTTACGATTCTAAGAGCTATTGTGCAACTGCTTAGAACTTATTTCAAAATGTTTGCTAAAAAAACAAACCTTGAAATAAATGCAGAAGAGCAAACCAATATACTCTGTTTTTTTTATTTTAAATCACCGTTAATGCAGATGAAATTTGCAACTAAAAGTAAAGTTTACTCAAAACGCTATTGGCAACAAATAAAATCAGATTCACTTAAACTGGAGACAAGCCCTGAAAAGGCCAAAAGAGCATCGAAAAGAGCAGAACCACCAAAAGCAAGAACAATTGCTTTTGAAAAAGAATAATAAAAGTTAAAAAAAGTGAGTGCGCCAGTCAATCAGCTCCACAAACAATACAAACATATCTTAGGAAAGGCGTTAAATAAAGTAAAAGCAGCTTTGCTGATAGACCCAGAATAAAGAGAACAGATCGTTGACATCCTTTAAAGAAACTATAGAACACCTTTGCAACTACAGACTGAATCGTCAATACAGGAAAAAAATCAATTTATTAAAGAATTTTACGTGCGAGTCGATATTAGTATCCAAACTGCAGATCGAAAGGATTTTAATATTCGATGGAGAAAAAGTGCTTAACCGTTTTTTTATTTGCTTAAGGTTTCTGAGACGTATGAATTATATAAAAGGGAGAGACATGAGTCAACATTTTATGAATTGAGACCAAAATATGAGCAACTATCCTGTAAACTTAGCATTTATTTTGCAAATCAGTGCAGAATTGATGCAATCATTTTCCCCAAATTTTGAAACTTTTCTTAAATCTGCCTTTTATAAATTTGACAACGAAAAATGTATGAGGAGTAATTGCAGAAATTGTGTAAAGAATGTAAATAAATATTTTGTGCCTTCATCCATAAATGGATGAAACCATTAAGTATACTTATTTATACATACAAAATGCAGTATACAAAATAAAATTAACATAAACAATTTTTATTATAAAAAAAATACCTAGAAGTTTTGTCCGTTGATTCGTCAAGAGACTGCATTTTGATTCTCCGATATCGCTGCATAAATCTTCGGAAAATTGACGACCCAGAACATTTTTAATGATTTTGGGTCATTTTTTGCGGTGCAGCTGTATTCGCTCTGTAGTTCTATCGTCATAATTTTTGGTGCACTAATTTCCCGAATTGATCTATTTGCGCCGATTTTGTATAAAACCGCTCACTACACTTGTGTGCTTTTTTGTTGCACAAGCGCGCAAATTTAGTGATATTGATTTTGCAATAGCAGCAGTAAACCCTATGCTCGTCCGTGTCATCTTGAGAGAATCTAAAACTTGAATTCTTTTCTTTTTGCACTCTTGCTTTAACGTTTTGTACTACTATTGGCGCGCACTTTTGGTATAGAGATGATAGTTTGCCTCAAACTGGTGGGGTATTGGTAAATATCGATAAAAAATCATAATGAACCGGTGACAACATTTAAAAAACGGGAAAAAAGGCAAACACGGACTGCCATATTGCAGCCCTGAGAGTGAAGAACACAAACGGACATACACAAATGTTTTACAGCTTAGATTAATTGTATCCATACTTTATTCCTTTATGTATGAATATAATCACCAAATCAACCGATAGTTCCATTGTCAGTTTTAACTCAAGCTTTACCATATCAAATCACAGTACATATTCACATTAGTTACCGTAATTTTCATATGGTTGCTAATTTATTTATACATTTGTATAAAAACTACATATTTTTGAATGCTATCGATAATTTGTGGCGATACTGAAATCGATACAAGGCCATCGATTATGTTAAAAGCCATATTAGCCGGCTTACATTTCTTGCAAATATCATGAAATAAATTTGGTCTAACGAAGTCAAAATGAAGGCCGAAATTATGATCGTGTAACTTCTCAGCTAAAACCAAGTTGTGAGCTTAAGGAATGTACATATGTATGTATGTACATATATATATTTGTAGTTTTAATTTTAGTTTATTCATTTGCATTGAATTGGCAAGCACGTTAACATGCAGATGCAGGCCTTGAACGCTGTTTTCGAAAAACAAAGCGGATCTATTGTTTTTGATGGGAAATATACGAATGAGTATGAGGCCATAAAATTGCTACACACACTTCATAATCGGCCAACCCATGAGCGTATAATCAGAGAGTTTCTGACAGCATTGGAACAGCTCCATCATGTAGAATCAACAGGTGTTGCATCACAAAGACTCCGCGAGGAAGGCAACCAAAAGTACAAATCCTCTAGTGGCGACAAGGAGCTGTTGCTAAGTGCCTGCCGTCTCTATACAGAAGCAATTTTAACAGCTGAAAACGCCAACAATGAGCTGTGCTTGGCGTATGCAAACCGCGGAATGGCTCTGCAGGATTATGGTTACTACAGACAGGCCTATGACGACTGTGCATGTGCACTGGAATTTGGATATCCAAAGAAGCTGCACCACAAATTAATAATGCGACAAGCATATTGTGCTTGGAAGCTGGGAAACTTGGAGCTATTGGAGGAGCACATTCACAGCTTACGCGGTATGCAGCTGAATGAGAGTTTTCAGCGCCAATTGCTTGAACTGCAGGAAAATGTTCAGCATCTAACCCAACATAAAGGAGCCATAGAGGAGCAGCCAGTGTCTGCCGGTGAAAGCAGTGTGCATCAGATGTAAGTAGTTCAACAGCTATCCTTACAGATCCTGAACCAACCAAATACTTACAGCGTCAATGAGGCAAGCAGTCGAGGCCGCTACATGATTGCCAAGGAGCGGATACCACAAGGTTCCATCATTTTTACCGAGAGTGCCGAGTGCTTTGTGCCTCTCGAAAAGCATCTCATTTGTCAGCAATGCGCCGCTACCCAACTGATACCCATTCCATGTCCAAATTGTCATAAGCGTGTCGTTTACTGCTCTCGTCAGTGTAGAGAACGGCACAAAAGCATTCACAAATATGAATGTGCTGCCTATAAAAGAGACCTGCTCCACATGCTGGGTATTTCGCACCTGGCACTACGTCTAGTCCTGACATATCTACCGCTTTTAACGCCACAGCTGCAGAAGCAACGCAATGCAAGCGAACTATGGCATACATTCATCTCGCTTGCCAATGATGACAATGATGATGATATTACGGCACCACAATATCTGAAAACCTTGCGAATGATAACACATCTAGATAAGGTGTCTGAAACGGAACTGACGTACCATATGCTCTGTGCCAATTTGTTGCGGGCTTATCTGTTCGAATGTACCGATTTCTTTGACCAGTTTGCAGACACTTCGGCGCCTAGTGAGGACTGGCAATTATTTATTGCCGCATGTATCCTGCGCAGTTCTGGGCAGCTAATGGTGAATGGTCATGTAGGGGATGCCATTATGCCGATCACTCTGGGGCTTAAGGAGTTCACTCTTTTACAGCCGAAGCTGTGGGATCGTCCGCATCATCTGCAGCTCGGTTCTTTACACAAATTTAGTGCATTTCAGCTTGTAACCGCTATGAATTTACCGCATCTGAGCTTATGCAACCATTCCTGCATTCCCTCAATCCGCACAAAATTCGAAGGTCGTTCGGTTGTTAACTATGCCTTGCGTGACATTGAAGCAAATGAAGAGATTTTTAACTGTTACACTGGGGATTGTAAAACAACCACCTTTAAGGAACGTCGCAAACAACTTAAGAACACTTTTAAATTTCATTGCTGCTGCGTAAATTGCCGGCGCCAACATCCCGATGAGGAATATGTAAATAGCGAAGTTTTAAATTTTGCTGCGTTACAACGCTTAATTTTTCCAGTTTATGTTTGAAACCTACCGCTGCGAAAATCCGAATTGCCGTCAGACTTTTGTGCCTGCAGAAAAAAGTCGTAATTGGTGGAAACAATTGGATGGTGATGTGCTCATTTGTGATGTCTGTAAAGAAGCGCAAAATGTATACTGGTATGAAGATTTTCTTGTCCTATTTGAATACTACCCAAACCCGAAATATCGCCGGGAACTGTTCAAAGAATTCGAGAGAATGAGCAACCATATATTGAATTATCATGTGATAAAACTATATTGGGCGAATGAAATCGTGAATAAGGCATTTAATGCACTGAAAGGTATGCATTTATATATGTATATATACATATATATACATACATAATAAATTTATTATATCGCTTACATTTTCACAGAGGGGTGTCCGCTTGACGATGTGGATTATGAGGAAATAGTTTGTATTATTCGATGGCAATTGGATGGCATAACTATGCGCTATGGTCCAAACTCAATCGAATATATAACCAAGCTTACCTACCTCTGGGATCTGATCGCTTTGGGCAAGTACAAATGCTGCACAAAGAAGATGCAGACCATGCTTGACACACTGAAGTTTATGGCAAGCGAGCCAAAGAACATTTTTCTTAACTACTACCATGACTTTATTGAGCAACATTGCACAAGTGATTAACGTCTAACAAAAACAACAGCAACAACTACATTATAAATTCTCTAGTTAAGCATTAACTTTAAACTGGCACTTTTTGTTCTAAAACTACAGAAATGGTACGATATTATACTTTGTCAGCCCCTGTGTATGCATGTATATGTTGCCTATATAAAATGTGAGGCATATTCGTGTGGCATTACACCTCGTCGGGGGTAAAATGTATGCGATGTTGAAAATTTCAACAAATTCGTTATATCGCTGGTATAGATGTCGGCAAAGCGAAACAGACGCCTAGAGAAGTACGTCGGATTATGGTACGTACGAAAAACGCTCCCGAACTGCTCATTGAATACGTTCTTTGTCTTGTTGCTGTAATATTGAAATTGTTATGGTTGGGGAAGTCTCATTTATTCACTGTGCATACCGCAATTGATCGCGTTCCTCCATCCAATCACGCAGACATTGCTGAGCCGCTTCGCTTTCATTATCCTGCGTGTCCTCTATAAGCTGTGTGAGCATTTGTAACCAGTTGGCACTCTTCTTAAAATCTACACGATTAAGTGTTTTGATTTCATGCTGTAGAAAAATAAAAATATGTAATACACGATTTAGTGTTTTGATTTCATGCTGTAGAAAAATAAAAATATGTAATAGGACTTAGTGTTCTTTGTGAACCATTGCCTAGCTTACCGCCAACTCACTAATAATAGCACCAGTACGCCACCCATGCTTTAATGTTACATCGGCCAAATCGCTATAGGGATGATCACCAAAATAAAGGACTGAATGACCTCGCCAACCCTTCAGTTCTTGCAATTGACGCACGGAACCCTTTATTAATAATTCACTACAGTTAGACACATCAAAGTGATTTGGATTTGTTTATTGATCTTAGCTCACCTCATAGTAGATTTTACCCTTCTCTAATTTAAACACGCGATCCCACAAATGTGAATGAGTTTTCGCATCGTAAAGGCGTATGGGCCGAGATTCATCTGTAAAAAATTTTGGCTTCCGTGCCTGCACTATCACCACATCAAAGAATTCACGCCACTGAGCGCCCACCAGCCAGGTCATACCACAGTTACTACGAAATTAATTAATAGAAAACTTTTTCTTGAAAGTTTTTTACGCTACTCACACGAAAGAAAACGGACTGTTGGTCACCAAAAACAATTTCTTTCCAGAGTTTTGCAACTTCTCAAAATATTGGACAAGCTTCGGATTTTTTTCGATATACTTTTCCGTATCCTTCATTACTGTTGCGTGCATGACGGGATGGCACGATCCCATGGCCGTTTTTATGTCATGAAACACTATCTCCGGATTATAATCAATCCGATTTCCCTCAAAGTACTCAATTACATTGCACAGAAGACACATCTCAGGTACAGAGAACAGATCAGCCAATTGCACCATTTTCGAATTAGTATTATGCTGTAAAAATGGAAAGCTATTAGTATGTTTAAAATAAAATTAATGGAAATGTTCATAGGTACCCACCCTATAGGTGTTGTTTGGACCTTCGACGTATGCTATGGGCAACAAGCGATTATGGTAGAGTTTTAACACCTCTTCCTCAGGGACTTTTGTGCGACCGCGGTACACAGATCCCAATTGCAACTGCAAGAATGAGTCCAATTTAACCAGCAGACCTTTCTCAACGTCATAGTGTAGTCCACGCACCGCAAACGTAGGATCGTAGTCTAGCTCCAGAATTTCATCAGGATACTTGAAACGCTTGACGAGCATCTCGCTAGCCAAATTGTACAGCAAGGATTCCAGTATTGGCTTATAGCAAGCCAGTGTATAGTCATAGTCGAACCCATAAACCTGCACTTCACTCAAATCAAGCTCATTGCACGCAAAAACCGCATCTGGGTGGACATCGACGGGTAGCTTTTTAGCTGCAAATTAACAACATTCACAAATGTACGTAAATATACATACATATAAAGCGGCAATTTAAATCAATTTAACACGGCTAATAATAGAATGCATAACCTATGCCTCTAAAAATTGTAAGGCTTACATTGAAATTTCTTTTTTGTTGCTTCGTAGAGCGCTTGGAAATCACTCACAGTTTTTAGTGTCGTTGGATTGTTAAGAAAGTCGCGCTTTGTCGTTGTTGACGCTGTGCTCAAGCAACGTGTTCTTGTTTTTTCTTTGTCCTTCGGCCATTCGCTTTCGATGACGCCCCATATGGCACCCACTCCGCCCTGGGAATGCATAAAACTGCGCAAAATAACATTATGCTTTAAAATTGCGCGAAAGCTAATGCGATGCGCTACTGAACACATTAAATTTGTTTATTAATTGATCTTAATTATTAAGTATGTAGAGTTGGGCGCTCTCATACGAGCTAAACTAGTGGGTGGCCTATGGGCTGACGATATGTATGGTGTGTATGAAGGACGTGCAGTCTGTTAGATGGCTCGAAATTCAGCTGATTACATGACAGCGCTTACCAGCACTAGCGCATTTACATTTAAAATCACTTTTGCTTTATTTACACATCCAGTAAAAGAATTTTATATGTATTCGTACTACATGGTTAATGCAATTTGTTGCTTTTATTTAATCAGCTGATCACACTAAATAAATCTGAGGAAAATACGGGCACTTAAATGCTAATAATAAACAAAATCAGATCAGGGGATTTTAAAGCTTGTTTCTGTAAATTGATAGAATGACTTGTATGTTTGCAGGAAGTAAAGCGTGCAATTACTTTTTTACTTCTTCAATTGCATTTAAAGAACATATAGTTTATCTTGGGATTGCGGTATAGCTTTTATTTTAGGAATACCCTGGTAAATTAGATTATACCTTAGTACGCTTTATACAATACACTTTCATCTGTTGCGATTCCACTACATGAAACATCGATATAATTATATATCGATATAATATGAACATCCCTGGTGCGAGACCGAGACAGACACGAATAAAAATTAAACGAGGCGAACATATTAGCTCAAAATTAAACGTTCACACCAAATCATTTTCGGCATTTTGTGGCTAAATCTTTGAGTTATTAAATTTCCAGTGATTCTCCTAACATCTAACTGCGACAATATTTCAATAACGTGTGCTGCAAAAGGGCAAATAAATTTCTTTCTGCGAATGTGTGTCTGTGTGTGTGCCCGTGCGTAAGTGCGATTTCATATTCATTCCATTACGTGTGCTGGCAAGATTTCGGCTGAACAAAGACTTAACCAATTGGGCAGCGGACACAAACAGGCGTATATCATTTGGCAGCCGTGGCAGGCGAGACAGATGCATTTTGCAATGTGAGCTGTTGTTGGCCCCCGCCACTGGGGCCACCAGCCAATGTCTTGAAATAATAACAAAAACGTAAACATTTAACGATATCGTTAAGTCATTGGTGAAAATAGGCCTTGTGGCCCTGAGTGCTTTTAAATACTAAGTAGTGATTATTGCGCCGCAGAAAGAAAGAGGTCTTAACTAAGGAGAAGAAGCAGCAGCAGCAGCAACAAATACGTCAATACACCAATACAACTGCCTTGAACGTGTAGATATATGTATAAACATTGCTGACCAGCTAAGCAATTCGGTCATCATACAGCAGCTGCTGGTGGAAAAACAAAAAACGGACATCTCGAGAGACGCACCAATTAGCAATTGATACGTAGAATTATGAACGTAGAGCATCAATTGAAAGCTCCGCTACCGCAGATTTGTAATTTGGTCAAACACGTGAACAAACGAAATTTCAACGAAACCAGCGAACAAATCAAGCAGGTGCGTAAGCAATAATTGTTAACCTTTGAAATATATAATGAAATTTTTGCGAATAACAACGAAAACAATAAAGGCAACGATGACACCGTTCCAAGTGTTGATAAATTTTGCACAATCAATCCGCCAGTGCTGCCATTTAGTAGTAATTTTGCTAGCCTGCATGCAGTAGTGTCATTTCGCTCACTCGTGCATTTCTCCGACGCCATTACAGTTTTGTGTAAAGGCAGAAAAATTTTCTGCACGGCGTTGTGAGAGTTTCTGTAAAAAATACCTTTTTGTTAAGTTAAAAGTTATTTGCAATGTATAAAATTAGGTTAATTGTAAACTTAAAACAATGCACGATGACGTGGTGCGCACACTAGTGTAAAGTTTTTAGTGAAACTGTGCGAAATTAAGTACAAACTATTCCGCAGCAACCGCTGCTGCCGTCAGCTTGTACATATTCACTTTGTGACCCGTGCGGATTTTCCCATTTATGTGTGTGCAATACTTATAACTTTGCTAACATATATTAAAGTGTACCATCTGTGAATCTTTAAACAACCAATAAAAGGTAAAATGAAATACATATTGCATATTGATATGTATGTAATAGCTGTAATTACCTTTTGTCCCCAATTTGCTCAGTTTGCGACTCAACGCCAACACACATTTCCAAACATCCACTTACCCGTCCAAAGTTTTCATATCCCCAACTTGAGCTAGTCTCTGTGTGTGTAATTTTTTCTCGTTTCGCATTTTTGTTATGGAGCAGCTGCGCTGCGCTTGTGTCTGCGGCTACAGCTGTTGTCGTCTCGCTTCTGCGTACATTTCGTTAAGTTTTGCTGGAACCTATGGTGGATGTTGTTTTTATTTCGCCGGGCAAGCTGCAGAAGAGACGAAAGGAAGATAATCAGCAAATCATACAAAAATTTGAAAAATTACTTTAGCAAGTCGAGTTTTAATTTTCGAACCGAATGAGTTGTCAAACTATCTATGTATATTAAATCTCAATTAAAAAATGCGCTTTTTTTTAATACGACACACAATTTTGTACATAGACACATTTACCAAAAGACAACCCTGTGCGTTTGACTTGTCAAAATTCCGAAGTGTGCGATGAAAATCAAATAAAAAACGCCTAGAACAATTGCTTCTATCTAATATTGCATGTTATTTGTTAAGCACCCAGTAACCTTCCATGTGCCCCCGCTCGCAAAATGCTGCTGCGGCATGCCAAAATGGCGAGGTAAACATGTCGTGTTTGCAGCTCTTGGAAGTGCTTCATTTAGAGGTGCATTTACCAATAGCTCAGAGGTTTTATTTTTCTTCATTTTGTCTTGCAGTTTATCCAAGATAACGGACTCGAAGCGGATCGTACCAGTCTCCGTTATCTGTTCACGGTACTCAACTTCAACGACCCGGCCCCAAACGTTACGGCCCAACTGCAGGCAAAGCTTTTGGGCGCTCATCTGCAGCGGCAGCTGCATTGTTCCTCATTTATCTCTAATATATGTTTTGCCTTTGACCAGCATTTTGCTAAACACAAAGTAAGTACGGAGCTCCTACGCAACTACGGTACCATTCAATTAATAATGCTTGTTCGTCGATAGGGTCTCAAGCCCCCTGCAATTGTTGAACTCATTGCCCAAGTATCCAAGTTAACAGGCATTAATAAGCTCTGCGAGTGCGTCTTCGCCCTAGCGGTGACACATTCGTCTTACCCTGAGCTGCGTAATTGTGCACATGAGAATCTACATCGCATTCTGCCTGAACTCTTAGACTCTTATCTGTGTAACAAGAACGCTTCAGCTTCCTCAGTCAGCGGCTTGCATGAGATTTCGTCTGAACTGTTGCAGTTCTTGTTATCATCTTTGAGTGAATACGTTTCGCCACAGCTGGAAGCACAGTTTTTGGTCAAGCTACGTGAGGAGTTTCCACGGTCAGCGGTGCCGTTGGTCCTAGCTCCGTTCCTCTATCGTGCCCCCATAACCGGCACGACGACGCACGGCGCGAATAGTAACGAAACTGATGCAGAAGAAACGACGGCATCACCGAGCACCAACAATTGCAATTCCTCCGATGCGGGGAGTTTAAATTTAAACGAGGTTGGCATTGAAGACATCTATGACCATTTATGCGAGATAATATTTACAAACCAGGTCAGTTGCATACACTTTTTTTCTCTGAATCCTTAAATATAATATTGCGTTATTCATTTCAGGGTAAAAATAATATTATGGACACATCTTGGATTAATTTAATCCTTGAAATCGGTTATGAATTTACATCGAGCGTTGAAGAGTGCAAAAATCATCTCCGTTGTGGTGGCTCCCGTGAACTACAGGCAAAAGATGTCGCAAAAATTGTTGGACTTATGTGCCGACGTCACTCGTCGCTGCTCGACTGCAATGTAAACCTACCGACCCCAGCAAATTTCTGGCCGGGACAAGGGCAAGCATCACAATCTCAACAGAATACTACCAACAACAATGATGGCAGCGAGCCGACCGGTGATAAAAAGGACAAAAAGGAGACCACAGATGCCACGCAAACATGGAAACCTGATGTTTTTGTGCAAGCGCTCAAAGAGTTGGTGCCACAACTCAACTGGAAAGATGTGTGCATGGGTAAGTGACAGTAATGTTAACATACGTTCTGGACATACCGTGATCTAATGATTTATGAATACAGAGCTCGACCATCCCGAGTTCGTGCTCAAGGATCGAATCGGACTGGATCTGCTGCTGACGATCTTCCGCCTCGCCACACAGTCGAATATTTTTCCACATCCAGAATGCATTTACCGTCACTGGCAAAACACAGAGGGACAATTGTCGCTCATCACAACGATGCTGAATAATCCTGACTTGTTCTCTTTCGCCGACTTTGTCTTTAGCTCACCGGCCCTGGAAGTGTTGAAAACGGCACCTGATGCAGACAATAAAGAAATATCAGCATGGAAGTCCCTACATCTTGTGGAAGTGCTTTTGCACATTGCAGACAAGGGCTATTACACACAGGTTCATGAGCTCTTCAAATTTCCAGCACAAAACTGTCCGGATGTTCTATTCCTTGCCTTATTGCATATAAATCCGCCGCTGACGCCATTGCGCCAAGATCTGTTCAATCAACTGATACCGACATTTTTGAGCAATCATCCCAACTCCAATGCCATACTGGCCAGTGCTTGGAGCTCAACAAACTTCCAGCTACGCCCCCACATTATGAATGCCATGTCAGAATGGTACCTACGAGGCAGTGATTTCGACCAGGTGAAACTATCGCGCATTCTAGACTTGGCTCAAGACCTAAAAGCACTGTCGTCACTACTGAACGCCCGATCCTTCCTCTTTATCATCGATCTCGCCTGCCTAGCATCGCGACGAGAATATTTAAAATTAGAAAAATGGCTTAGCGACAAGATCAGAGACCATGGCGAGCCCTTTATGCAGGCAATGATTAAGGTGCTGCAACGTCGCTGCCCACAAGTAACTAATACTAAGGTGCCGGAGGACCAACTACCATCTAAGCAGGCTCAGCTTTTGCCCGAGACTGTCACAACCATGATTAACTGTTTGCAAGCGTGCATCAATAATTGCATTCAGCCCGACACCGCAGAGATAATTATGCAAATGGCAGCCAACGTTGCAATTATGGCGAACAAGGCGCGTGCCCAGCAACAGGCTGGTCCGCAGGGCCTTGTGCCGCCGCCACCACCGAGCATTTTACGCGGTCACCACGGAATGGATTTGCCCGGACTTGTACCCGGATCGGTGCCACCGCCTCCACAACAGCCTTTTTCAGGCAATCTGAACGCACAACAAATGTTTGGACCCGGCATGGATCCATTGGCTAATCTCTCAAACAATCTGGCCGGTCTCAACATTGGCGGACCAAATGGAGCTTTCAATTTTGGCAATATGCTGAGTGAGTATATCTTTGTTTGTGTGTCCTATTTTGTCTATAATCATATGTTTTGTGTTGTATATAATCGCATGAATGGCTACAGACAACTTGGTTTCTACTCCAGCCTCTCCGTCGCGCCTTATGAATCCAGGCGCCAATCCGTATCCGCTCAATCCCATGCAAATGCCGGCGCCTCCACCGAATGTTGGTAATTTGGGTCGCATGCTGCCAACTGGACCGCAGCCAACACCCACACCACCCAATCCCAACAATCCCGTTATGGCAGATTTGCAGATACCCGTTTCGAAGGAGGTGGAGGATGAGGCCAACTCTTACTTTCAGCGTATCTACAACCAACAACCGAATCCGGCCCTTTCTATCGACGAAGTTTTGGATATATTGCAACGATTCAAAGAGTCCAGCAATCGACGGGAAAATGAGGTCTTCCTCTGCATGCTGCGGAATCTTTTCGAAGAGTATCGCTTTTTCTCACGCTATCCTGATAAGGAGCTGCAGATAACGGCCCAACTGTTTGGCGGCATCATCGAGCGCAATCTTGTGCCAACTTTTGTGGCATTGGGACTTTCGCTGCGCTGCGTTTTAGATGCATTGCGAAAGCCCGAGGGCTCCAAGCTTTATTATTTTGGTGTGACTGCACTCGATCGATTCAAAACGCGCCTTCACACCTACAACAAGTACTGTGAGCACATTCGCTCTATACCACACTTCTCAGATTTTCCACCACATCTGATCCAGTACGTGGATTATGGCATGCATGGACAGGAGCCGCCGTCGCAAAAGTTGATCGGGCTGAGTAACACAATTCCCACGGCCATAGCACCGGGATCAGTGGAACCCCTATATCGCGCCAACTCTGTGCCGAGTGAGTGCTATATTAATTTATTAATTTCATTTTACTGAAATTTATGTCTTAGGTAACATGCCGGCAGCTCCGCCAACACAGAAGCCGCCCATGATTGTGACACATGCAACTCGAATGAAATCTATTGCAAATGCCACTAATATCGACACTCTGCTTGTGGCCAATCAAGAGGAAAAGATCACTGTTCCTCCAGAGCCCGTGCAGGACAAAACTGCCTTTATTTTCAATAATCTAAGCCAGCTGAACATACCGCAGAAATGCGAGGAAATCAAGGAGATCATGACCAAAGAATATTGGCCCTGGTTGGCACAGTATCTCGTACTCAAGCGAGCATCTATGGAATTCAATTTTCACACGTTGTATTACAATTTCCTAGATGCGCTCAAAAACGGCGAAATCAATCGCTTCGTGACGAAGGAGACATTGCGCAATATAAAAGTGTTGCTACGCTCAGATAAGGGCGTAATCAACTTCTCCGACCGCAGTCTGCTCAAAAACCTGGGCCACTGGCTGGGAATGATGACTCTGGGTCGCAATCGCCCCATTCTGCAGCTTGATCTCGACTTAAAGTCGCTGCTCGCAGAAGCCTATCACAAGGGCCAGCAGGAGCTGCTATTTGTCGTCCCCTTTGTCGCCAAGATTCTGGAATCATCGGCAAAATCGCGCATCTTCAAATCGCCGAATCCTTGGACAATGGGCATCATGTATGTACTTGGCGAGCTGCATCAAGAACCGGATCTGAAATTAAACCTGAAGTTTGAAATCGAAGTGCTGTGTAAAACTTTAAACCTAGAGTTGGCAAAGCTAAGACCTGTTATTTATCTGAAAGATCCATCACGGGCGATGCAAATTGACCAGCAAATGTCGCAACCGAAGCCAAGGCCACCAGAGCCGCCAGTCCAACCACCGCCAAGTCAACCGGTGGCTCCACCGACCGAAGTCGATCCACAGGCGATGATGATGAGTACCTCCAACTCAAATAATGCACCCAGTTCGGTATCCTCACCTAATCTGCCCACAGATCCGGGACAAGTGGTGCTGCCTCCGCCAGAGCCGCGGTACTCATACCTGGAGGTGAACGTGACTAATTTCCAGCTTATTTCCCAGCAATTAGTACTGCCCTCGAACATACCATTTCTACATGCCAATCCTGGCATCAAACTCATTGTTGTCAATGCTATCGAGCGCACAATCACTGACTGGTTGCAGCCCGTCGTGGATCGAAGCATTCGCATAGCGTGCGCCACCACAGAACAGATAATACGCAAAGACTTTGCCCTGGATGGTGACGAGAATCGCATGCGAACCGCTGCCCATCAAATGGTGCGAAATCTGGCTGCCGGTATGGCAATGATAACAGGCAAGGACGAAATTGCTCGTACCATTAGTCAAAACCTACACAAGGCGTTTATGGCTGCATTGGCGGGTGTACCCAGCATGTCCGAAATCCAATCTGCCTCCGTACAATTGGCCAATGAAAATGTGGAACTCGTCTGCGCCTTTGTGCAAAAGATTTCGGCAGAGAAATCGGCATTGGAAATCGATCGACGTCTATCTACCGATTTTGAGACGCGCAAAATTGCGCGTGAGGAGGGTAGTCGTTTTGTTGATGCGAATATATTAAGCTATCAACAGGATCGTCTGCCCGAGCCAGTACGTCTAAAGGTAGGACCGGCGCCCGCCACTTTATATGCCGTCTATTCGGAGTTTGCGCGCAGCATTCCAGGCTTCCAGCAAATGAGCGATCGCGACATTGCGATGTTTGTGCCCAAGCCACAAGATTTGCCACCACCCAATGTTTTTGCCAATGATGAATCGAGTATGGTATATGCTGAAGTGGCCAGCAAGATGGAGGCATTCATGAACTCAGCAATTGGTTTGCCCGCGCTACAATTGCAGGCGAGCAAGATGCACATACTGCTTAATGCGCTAATGGCCACTAGACGCCTAAGAGACCAAGATTCAGCTTTCAATCTGTTACAGCGTGCCGTCGAGGGCCTGACAGAGGGTTTGATCAGTGTGCAGGAACACATGGAACAGATCAAACTCTATCGTGACATTCATCTGCGCATTCTCAGTCTATTGCACAACAGCTTTGGTGCGCCAAATACGGAGCGTGCGGTGACCAAGTGCTTCTTCGATCAGCGCGAAGATGTGCGCTACAATGTAGAAGCAGCGCGCGCCCTCATCACAGCGCATTTCGTCAATCTCGGTCAATTCGATTGCATGTTGCGCGACTGCATAGATAATGGAAACAACTTTGTAGCCATCTCCTTTGCCATTGCACTTCTAGAGCGCTTGATTGTAGAAGACCGAACGATCAATGTCGTCTCAGACAATGAATTCATGGCGACAGTCGAGGTTCTGGGTCGTCTCCCACAACATCGTCACAGGTATCCAGAGTGCATTGTCAATGCCATAGAAACGCTCTGGTCTGGCAATTTAAATCCCGTCGACTATGGCCCGTTCAACACTGGAGATCGTTACGTACCCGGCGCTTTGCACTACATTCACTCCGGCATGCATCATGTACGGGTAAGTGTCCGAATCGAGTGTAAAATGTCTAAACGTTTAACCGATACCATCTGATATTGATATTATTGGTGCATGTTCACCAGAGCTGTTCAATCAGTGATCATACGAAGTGTGGAAGGTCTAGCTAGTTCCATTCCGTAAAATTTAAAAGTACACACAAACTCAGGTTGCCCACTACAGGCTGCTCTACCCACTTCAAATGTTTCTCATGAGTTTTTGTTAACGTTTTGCTTGTGGATATAAACATATCTAATGAGCTATTCAATGAGTCAACTCAAGTAGATTTTGCTATACAACTATTTTATGTATTGTGAGAGTTGGTTTGTTTGTTACAGACGTTTTATATCGATTGCCTTTCTTTTCGTATTGTTTTAAACAAAATCCAAATTTCTATAATTGCAGTCATGCGACACTGATGACCCGCCCGGGCTGCAAGAGAAAACCGAATTCCTGCTCAAGGACTGGGTTGCCCTCTTCTCGCAACAAAATCAACAGACGACCAGGGACGCTCGTAACTTTGGCTCCTTCGTACAGAAGATGAACACCTATGGAATCCTGAAGACGGACGATCTCATCACGCGCTTCTTTCGCCAGGCCACGCATATCTGCACCGATGTGGTCTATCGCATGTTTTCTGAACCGGGTTTGCCTGTCAATCAGGCTAAAAATAAGATATTCCAATGGGTTGATGCCTTTGTACATTTGATCGCCATGCTGGTTCGACACTCGGGCGAGGTTGGCAATCCCACAACTAAAATCAATTTACTTAACAAGGTGTTGGGTATTGTGCTTGGGACACTATTGAAGGATCAGGATCTGCGCGGCGTCGGATTCCAGCAGGTGGGCTATCATCGATTTTTCATGATGCTCTTTATGGAACTGTGCTCGGCCGATCCCATACTTGAATCACTGATGCAGAGCATCGTATCGGCCTTTGCTCACAGCTACCATCAGCTCAACCCAAGCGTGGCGCCCGGCTTCTGCTTTGCTTGGCTAGAGCTAATTTCACACCGCGTGTTTCTCGGCCGCATCCTTGTCCAGATACCTGGCCAGAAAGGCTGGCCACTATACGCACAGCTGCTGCAGGATCTGTTTAAATATCTGGCACCCTTCCTGCGCAACACTGAACTGGGCAAGCCTGTCCAGATGCTATACAAGGGTACGCTGCGTGTACTACTCGTGCTGCTCCACGACTTCCCCGAGTTCCTGTGCGACTACCACTTTGGATTCTGTGACACGATACCGCCGAACTGTGTCCAGATGCGGAACATCATCTTATCGGCCTTTCCACGCAACATGCGTCTTCCTGACCCGTTCACGCCCAACCTGAAGGTGGATATGCTCTCGGACAGCAGCAATGCGCCAAAGGTGTGCAGCAACTACATAGGAAACATACAACCACCAAGCTTCAAGAAGGATCTTGACTCGTACTTGAAGGCTCGTTCGCCTGTGACATTCTTATCTGAGCTGCGTGGTCACTTGCAGGTTACCAGCGAGCCAGGTACGCGCTACAACATGGCGCTAATGAATGCCCTGGTCATGTACGTTGGCACTCAAGCAATTGCACTAATCAGGTATTTTTTAGAAGCATTAAGCCGACAACAAAAATTTGTTATTAATTTCTGGTTTCTTTCGCAGGAACAAAAACTTTGTACCCAACACATCGAATATTGCGCACAGCGCGCATATGGATATTTTCCAGAATTTGGCTGTGGACTTGGATACAGAGGGGCGCTACCTGTTCCTGAATGCAATTGCTAATCAATTGCGTTACCCGAACAGTCATACGCACTACTTCAGTTGCGCTGTTTTGCACCTCTTCGCCGAGGCCAATTCTGAGGCAATCCAAGAGCAAATAACACGCGTTCTCCTGGAGCGTCTCATTGTAAATCGTCCACATCCCTGGGGTCTGTTGATCACTTTTATTGAGCTGATCAAGAACCCCATATACAAGTTCTGGGATCACGAATTCGTGCATTGTGCACCTGAGATTACCAAGTGAGTGGAGCGTAGTCTTTGCCTATATTTTTTATACTATTAGCTTCGTAGTAGAGTAAAAGTGTAGTGCGTTAACACGGTTGCCACTTTTTATTTGCCATAATCATTCCAGTGTTTTTTATTTGTATTACTATTATTAACTTTAGGAAATATAAGAAATCCTAACCACAAAGGCTAAAAATGGCGACAAAATAACGAATTGCATGTTTCCTAAACAAATTGTATTTTGGTTAAAACGATGTGTGCGCTTAAATTTTGTAATCCACTTCTAATTAAAATAGGTTGAGGGTGACAACCGTGTTTTCTAGAGTAGTTTTGCTTTAACCCCTCCTTATCTTAATCACAGCTTAACACTGCATGCGTCATTTACAATTTTCCCCGTCTTGCTTTCAGATATTTTGGTGAATGTCTGATTATAGTTAAGCGGTTTGAGCGTTTGAACTTCATGCAGTGTGCAACGTAGCAAGAGTTTTATGATCAAAATGATTGCAATTGTTCCGAACACAAACCATATAATATTGGCTTTAAGCATGATTTTTACTATTTGTTACTTTTATACAACGCACCTTGTTTTAGGATAACACAAATGAAAAATCATTAAACAGAAAACAGAAAATGTGTGAGCAAATAGACGAATACCTTTTAAGAAAGTAATTTAATTGCATTTAATTTAATATAATTTTTTAATGGTCAACGCAAAACGAGGTCTATCCATTCACTATATTTATTTCTTTACAAAATGCTCTTTAATACTTTTAGGCTGTTCGAGTCCGTGGCGCGCTCCTGTCTGGCCAAATCGAATGTTACACAGCAGCTGAACATGTCCGGTGATGGCGAGAGCTCGGATGTCAGCATCAACTGAGAAAACGCTACTGTCAGACGCTTTTGCATGGAAGTTTGTGCGCTGAAACGCAGGCACCAGCACCAAAGGCAGCAAAAGCAACCCTAAATTCAATTATGCTAACGGATTTTGTTTAGTTTTTATAGTGAATCGTTTTAAGGAAAGAGTGGAAATAAGTAGCGAGGCCAGACAACACTGGAGATAAACATAAATACGATGAATTATTCGATATTTAATAGAATGCGAAAAGATAACATTTTAAATGCCGCAAGCAAATGTTGAAAATTTTAATTCAATACTTGTATTATAATTGATATAAAAAGCTAGCCCGAAGTGTATGTAAACTAAAAAATCAAAACGAAAAAAAAAACCTTTTAAAAAAATCGAAAAAATGGAAACAAAAAAAATTGCAAAATGTACACGAAAATGCAAAAAACTAACAATGCGATGTAAATAGTTGTTGTTGCTACATAAACAAACAATAACAACAACAAAATGAACACGTAGCAACAACGGCAAGATCATTTAAATTTATATAACTATTCATATACAATGTAACTACTTATATTCTCATCCAATATTTATGAATACGAATCAAATTTATTTGTACAATTCATTTCTCAAGTCAAATTCGAGTTGTCAAAGTAGCTTACTTAATGAATATTTGCTACAGATTTTTCGTTAGATATTTGTATTAATTAATTTTAAAATGTACACTCAAAAACAACTTGAAGAAGTCAACTTTCACCTGCGCATGCTGTTTTGTTAATTTTTCCTTTTAAAGACTTCGAACTACAAGCCTGCGCCGAAACAGATTTTTTCTTCTTTAATTGAATTTTATATATTTATATATTTCTACAATATTAAAATACAGTGTGTATATCAATATTAAAGCAGGAAAATAAAATAATTTTAATGTTCAGCCTATGTTTACGATATTTTAGAGTACACTACTAAATGTTATTAGCAATCTGTTCAAATTAACAATGAATCAATGAATCCTGCTAATCAATCCCCTTTCACTGCAAACACAAACACACGCCGAACGACATTAGCTTACATTATTATTATTAAAGAAACTTATGCATAAATTCATTGTATTTACGCACGTAACTTTGTATTTGAAATTAAACTGAAACTGAATTGAAATCGAAACCAAGTATGTTCAAAAATCAGAGTCATCATGTGCAGTAACAGTGTGGAAAGGGCATGAATGCGGTGTTATCTGTTACAACACACTTAAAACAAACTCATTTATATAGACAAATCGAACAGCATACGCAACAAATGTCAAGTACATTAACAACCACGATATCTAACAGATGTTAACATTGAATAGCGTAGAAACTCCAACATAATAGCTCGTAATCGTTACCGACGGTTCTTATGTAAAAATGCGTTCAAACACAATGATTATTATACATAGAAGTCTATATATGTATGAAAGCTGCAACAAAACGAAGAAAACTTTACAAATAATCCAATACAATTGATATAAGTTACGTTATTGAATAAGAGAAACAAAATATATATATGTATAAATGGCAAAAATTTTAAAAACATGCCCGTCTTCTTCCTTTCTGGGGTGGAGTGCTAACTCTTATTTATAAGCATAAGCATTTTAATTTTTCCAATGGTTTTATTGTAAACCTTCATACCTAGTCTAATGAAAATGTACCTGTATGGTTAGGAGGTACATATGTTCATCCAACGATTCCGATTCAGGAGAAGGTTAACATGAACAAACAATAATAATAATTATTTATAAGGAGCAAAATGAATTTTAAATCAGGAAAAAATGCCATCCCCACATGGGAATAAACAGTGTGTACAGGAGAGGCTTTTTTAATTAATTGTGCTGTGGTTTTCCAACTCATCGCCATTCGCATTGTAAATTAAAGCAGTTATCAAGCAGTGCATGGCAAGCGATATACTGTCAAGGAGGCTATGTAATACAATTTATAATTTCAATTGATCATAGCTTCTATGTACCTACTATTTAAAAGTTTGGCCCTAATTTTCTTAGCTTTATTGTTGGTGAAGATGTCCCATTGAAATTGTACAGAGCCACGGATCTATTAGCCGATATCCAAGAAACTATGCCGTATAGCATAATTGCAACGTTTTCTACGGATTTAAGCGTTCAACCCCGAAAATGCTGGTCAGTATTCAGCATCAGCAGAAAGTACATTGCAAATAAATATGTACAGAACAATGTACATAAATTGACAAAAGTTGAAGAAAATAAATGAAACAAAGTTCAGTTACCGGAGATAAATTTCATAAAATGACATACATACATATGTATGTATGTATGTATTTCTTTGTCAGACTAGTCTTGTATGTACATACATATGTATGTACAAAAATATGTACATATATACATACATAATTTGTACGTTTTCAATTTAATTCAAATATGTAGGTTCAAGGGTATAGACATATGTACATACTTACATAAAAATGCGTAGGCAGCTTTTACCAAAGGGGGGAGCCAATAAATTAAAATTTTGATTAAATAATGCTCGATGCACTTAAAAAATAACTTATGCATATGATCAATGAAAAAACTTCAACAAATCCAACTCAGATCCATTTTAAGGCGAAATAGTGCGTCATAATAAGGAACGTGTGGTCAACATTATATGGCAAAAATTTTTGTCTGGGAGGCAACGGACCCTCCCCCCCTGCCAACGCCCTTGCTTACATACACATACATTTGTACATATGTAGGTATGTAGCTTCGGCGAAGACTAACATAACTCCTTAGTAAGATATTTTACAAATCTTGATAATTTACAGTAATACTCCTTGTTTTTGCATCAAAAATATATGTACATATACATATGTATATATTTATGACAGAACTCTGAGTTGGTTATAATTGAATGCAAAATTGAAAATATACATACATATGTATTTATGTACATACCCACATACATGACATACATACATGTGTCACATGTATGTATCTACATACATATGTAGCTTCAAATTTGTTTACGATACGTGAATGTGTATGCATGTATGTACATACATATATACATGTTTGTAGCTCCAATTGCTTATAGCAACTTAATCAGTTTTTCTATATTATAGGCCGTGTCAGCCAGACTACAGTGTGGGCGTGCAGGTGCCATATTATATGTGTGTGTATGTGCATATATATGTACATTCATATGTATGTATGTATATGTGTAAATTTACTTGCTTTGGGGGAAACGAAAGCTTATTTGATTGAAAAAGGGCTTTTGAACAATAGTCACATATGTATATACATATGTATGTACATATGTAAGTACCTACACATGAACATATGTATGCATTTATCTACATGTGTAAAAAGTATGTATGTATGTACATATACATACATATCTGCTGACACGATTCCAGTAAATGGCGACACGTATTAATTGAAATGCTACAGTCATCGCTGCTGCTTTTGCAGTTACTTGTTTGTTTTTTTTGTTGCTAATGCACATGAATTTGTCATAAGCAGAAATAAAAACTGGTATTTATTGTATGTAGATGTAAATGTGTATGTATGTATGCATGTACGTACATATATGAACATGTATGTATACATACAAATGTACATCTGTATGTGGTGTGCGCGCTCGGCAACAAAGGCAAACAGGGACGGGCAAACAACATAACAAAATGTGGCACACTTACGTTTTGCGCCAACACTAACGCCGACGTCGGCGTCGCAGTTGCTTCAAAAAATTCCCCTGACATGCACATAATGTGCTGGGAGTTGAGTCTATATACATATATATGTATATGTATTCTGAAAATGAGCTTTCCATATAGCGTTTGAACGTTCTTAGAAATGCGCGCGTGTGTGACAAAATGAGAGAAAGAGAGCGAGAGAAGGCGAGTTTCGTTAAAAAGCTCCCAAGCAGCAGAACAAAAACGGCCCCCAACACTGTCACGTGCTCGAATGTGTATGTATCTGTAGCTGTCGCTCAGCATATGTGGCGCTGTTGCTACGTTTTGTAGCTTTAAAGCTTTTTGTGGTATACGACGTCAAGTTTTCGCTGGCTGAGTCAGCATCATTAGTTGAACACATTTTCGTTTCTTTTTTTTTTTACCCTGTTGTTGCTATGTTTTTATCTCACAGACACATTGAAACATTGCCCAACACAATGGTTTCTGTTGATTGTTGCACATACACATGTGCGGTGGCATACATACATACATACATTGTTCAAAATAATAAATTTCTACTTACATAGATATATGTATGTATGTACATAAGTATGTATTTCTTAAGTAAATGTACATATGTAAGTATGTATGTATGTGCAAGTGTCTTTCGTTGGAGCCTATTTTTTTCTTTCGATTTGAAATTTTGTAAATCAAATCCACGAAGCAGTGCCAGAATTTCCTGGTATGCCAGATAAAAATATGGAACAGTGCGATATATGTACATATGTAGATATGAATGTATGTATGTACATATGTATGTATATAGTAATCATTTATTGAGCTCACATCTGTTTTCTCGTTTGTTAAAATTCTCATACTCGTACTACTTGCATACTCGTACATACATACATATGTACATATGTATGTACATCAAAATCAATTTCTTTTTCCGCTCTGTTGTTCTCTCTCGTTCTCTCTTTCTATTTGTCGTCCAATGCACACTTTCGCGCTTTGGCATCGCTGAGGCTGACCCAGTTTTCTAGGCTGGTTTGTAAGCTGCCCAGTCGGTTGGCTTTCACAGTTGTCGAAACACACAACTTTCTTGCCCGAACCAGACCCCAGACCTCTATGATTACGCCATTCGCTACAAGTAAAGGCTGGATTCAAAATGTTACTGCTCCGGAAAGCCACACACATGCACACAAGTATACAGATACATACATACATATATTTTTATTCATGCATATGAACATATACTATGCATATGTATGTTTAGTTATGTATGTATGAGTGATCATCAGTTGGAAAATTGAAAAATAATTTCATAAAATAGAACTGGCAGCGGAAATTATAAAAGAACACCCTCCTCTTACCGAAAATTTAAAACATGTACGTAAGTTAAATCGGAAATAAATTGCCAGCGAGTACTCACACGTACATATATGTTTGGTTATATGTATGTATGTATGTGCAGCTAAAGGAACAGTGGGCTGAAGACAAATGCATTCAAATGATAGCCCGAAAAGGTCTTATTCATGTTGTAAATCTATGAATTATATATTCATTCATCGTATGTTTAAACGAGATCCAGAGGCTCAAAGTTTTTGTTTCTCATTTGAGGGCTTACGATTGGGTGCAAAAAAACAAACATTACTTAATTTGTTTTGAACAATTAGTAACGGTAATTAGAGCTCCCGCAACAAACACCAGGAAGGTCTAAAATTTTTACTCGCATTTAGAACTGTAGCTTTATTTTTACCAACCGTTGCTCTGATTGCTCTCTGACATTCAATAATAAATGTCCACATATGAATAAAACAAGTCCATGTGCCGCGCTTTGTGTCCCCAGCTGGTACGAAAGATTTCATTCAGCTAGTCTTTTGCACCTACATATATCAAGGGGACTAATCCTTTTAAGAAAGCTAACCGACAGGCCATTAAATTGCTCTTCGATTTGTGTGGACTAGCATGTTTGATTTGGCCCATCTATCAGTTCATACGGTTCAGTTGTGGATTCCAATATTTCATTTTTCTCGTCTTTCTTTTCTTCTTTTTCAATTTGTCACCTTGCAATGCAATTTCAGCAAATTATAAGCATAACTGAATCTGTGAGCACATACTTGTATTACGTATACGTGGGGGTGGCTCTTTGCTCATTCTTTGACACAGGAGAATATTCATTAGGTGGCGAGAGGCGTGGCGGAGCTGGAACTTTTCTTTTATAGAGCTACGTATCAGTCACTCTGACCGCTGAGCTCCTGTGGCACAATCGCGGTTGCATACCACGAACTGGATGCGGTTAGTTTAATTGAAAGTAGCTGGTCAACTTTGTCGGGTTCGCTCCACAAAAGTGTTGCAGTAACTAAAAATGTACATGTCTGCACATTCTACCCGGAGCTCTCCTGACCCAGATGCCAACTGAGGCACAAACGGCATGCACATGCAGATACACTGTGGCACATTGCCCCTGGTGGTTGTAAAACTTTTTGCACGTGTGCTGGTGGAAGTGCTGAAAAGCAAATCCCCTATGGATTTGAATACACAATCTGGCATCATCATCAGTATCTGGCTATAGCAACAGACTACAATATAAATTGGGACAGGGATTAGCCACCACTATTGCAGCAGTTGTTCATGTGAATGCATGTGTATGTGTGTGTTTGGGGTTGTATGTATGTGTACTCGCACCTGTACATATGTGCCGCAGATCGTGCCTGCATATTATGTAATATTGACTATCAATGCAGCCAAGTGCAATATGTAAAACATATGTACCCCAATGGAAATACCACGTGCACAGCCTATACTCTAATGATATAGATGGCGACCCTTACAGCTATCATGTCCTAAATTGGTTTTGAATAGCTTTGAAATAGTGATGATAATATTAAAGATTCACGATTCAACAAATTCGAAAAGAGTGCATACTTTGTGCCCTCCATTTTCAGATCCTTTTGTGATATTTGAAATAATAGCTCATCGTGAAGCTGAGTGATTTTTATTTATTATTGAACAGAGATCATAGGAGAGGAACAAATTCGAAAAGAGTGCATATTTTGCGTGATATTTGAAATCATTTAGTAACTAATCGTGGGTGATTTTTATTTATTATTTAAAAGAGATGATAGGAAAGGTTACGGAATTTCAAAAACAACAACTACCAACCCGAAATAAGTTGTCTAGCAACTCTGAAGATGAGGTCTGTGATCTGGTTATATTGTCTGCCGTGCATTTCTCAGCAACAAACATATAGTATATCCTTAAGTGATATTTGAAATAGTAACTCATTGTGAAACTGAATGATTTGTTTTTATTATTTAAAAGAGATCATAGGAGGGCTTCTGGAACTTCAAATGCAGCAACTACCAACCCGAAACAAGTTGTTTAGCAACACTGAAGATGAGGCCTGGGTTCTTGCGATATAATACAACTTGTATTAATACTTAAATGTCATTGATTTCTGGCAAGCATATAGAAATATATTTGATTTAAAATTGACGTCTCCTTGTTATTGGAACTATAGTTGAAGATACTTAAATCTTCCAATAACACATAGCAGATAAATACCATGCGAACAGTCGAATGTGTTCGACACCGACAGTCATTTTTGGTTGTTCTTTATTGTATAAGGAAAACGGTGTCTGAGATGCCATTTTCCGAATATATTCAAGGCGAATTAGGTAAAAAGCTCCATCGGTGATAATCTTCAATCTATCGATTTAGAATCTTTTAATCTTTTTAATCTTTTAATCCAAGCAGGCACTTCTCCTGCGCACCTATATATAACAACTATAACAACTCCAGAATGAACTTGTCTTATACCCTTGCCTTGTTGCCATCCCATGAGCAATATCAATTAACTCTGGCTCCATGACTCACCGACTGGGGTTGTTGTTGGTCTTTAATTGAATCTGAGCGCCATATGCAACATCATGTTCGTTCATGTACGAGTAGAGTGCCAACCTGATGCAATCTGCCCCACCTGGGCAGGCATTTGACAGCCAGACGCTTGTTATTAAACGCTGAACGGGAAATTGCAGTGAGCCAACACATGGCGATGGGTGCGCTCTGCAAATGTCCATGTCATAGCCAATTGATATTCAATTAGAAAGAATTGCATTCCCAACCAGACATCAGAGTCCATTGATGGGAAGGAGAAGAGAGAAGCACAAAACAATTCAGAGCGACATGAGAATTCATTTACATAGTACGAGTATGTGGCTGCAGTGCATTTTAATTACATTTTGTCAGCGGTGTTCGTGTAAAAGGTTTATGGCTCTATTCCCCCCTTGGGGGTCTTCTACGGCTGCACATTTGCATAGGGTCCGATGTTGGCGGCCCTGGCCATAAGAGCTGGTATGTTGGATTGCTCATAGTTGCCACTAAAATACTGAGCAAAGGGTCCGGAGGCATAGACGGCCACATCGTCGCCACCATGGGTTTCCGAGTCTAACGGGACCATCGCTGAGTGCAGGAAGTTAACGTCCTGGGTCTGTTTATTGTTAAGCAGGTTGCGGCCCTGAGCCTTGCTGTAAGTATTCGAGTATCCAGGACCATTGGCATATGAGAGGATGGTATATGGAAGCCCGTCATCAGCCAACGAATCAACCACACCCGTGATCTCCTCATCTCGATGCTAGAAGATAGGAAGCATACGTTGTGTGCCATACTTTCTGTTATACAGCTTGGCAATAGACTCACCGGATAACCATTGATTGTCATGGTGTGGGCATGATCGGCCGTAACTACCACCAGAGTGTCCTCCAGCGAGGTCATCTCGCGCGCCACCTGCACTGCCTTGGCAAACTCCACAGTATCCTCGAGCGCACGACGAGCATACGTGTCATGGTGGGCCATGTCGATGCGTGCACCCTCCACGAAGAGGAAGAAGCCCTTGTCGTTGCGCTGCAACACCTGTATGGCGGCAGCTGTAAGCTCGCTTAGCGAAGGATCCGCAAGTTCGCGATGCTCTCGCACACGATCCCCATTATATGGCAGATGAGAGGCGCTGAAGAGACCCAGCAAATAGTCCGTATTATCCAAGTCCACCAAACTAAGACCCTTGCGACTCCACACGTAGTGGGCCGATGCGTTGGCCGCCTGCTTGTCGGCAATCCAGTCTTTGATTAGATTGCGGCCATCGTTACGATAGCCCGGGTAGCCTTCCTCGTCGCGCGAAGTCGCGTTGAGAAAATTCTGACGACCACCGCCTAATATGACCTTGAGACCTTTTCCCACGGGCCACTCAACCAGCTGACGTGCAATGTCAATCGTTTGCTCAGGATCACAGCCCGCTGCACTCACCTCGTCATCATTCTCCCAATTGCGATCGGCAGTGTGGGCATAGAGGCCAGCTGGAGAGGCGTGTGTGACGCGGGAGCTGGTCACAAAACCAGCATCCTTGCCCGCGTCCTGTGCCCATTGCGCAATGCTATCCACGTGGTGCTCGTTGGTGTTGGCGCCCTCGCAACTGTAACGAGCTACTTTGGCGTTGATTCCTATGGTGCCGTAGTTGCCCTTCACGCCGCCAAGATACGCCGTGGATGTGCAAGCGGAGTCCGCCACCTGTCTATTCACGCAGTACGTCTTCGAGAGGCCCGTGTAAGGAAACTGCTCGAAGTACACCTGTTCGGAGCTGTCGCCAAGGAAATTGCGAGTAGCCGTTACTGTGTGGACGGACATGCCATCTCCCAGAAACATGATCACATTCTTGGCCGATTTCAGCTCAACCGCATCCGCCGCTGCCACCTTGGCAGCCAAAGTTCTCTGCGCATTGTCATTCCAATAGGCGCCGAGCTCCTCCTCCTCATTCTTGATGGGATGAGCGCGTGTGGCGCGATGTCGTGGGTGATCGCGGTCTGAAATTAGTCGAAAACGTAAAAGAAATATGGAAGGAGGCTCATCTGGCTTGTCAACTGATTGTGTTTTATGGATGCCAGTCGGAATTTATAATACCACGTGCCATGCGATAAGCGCAGGTATTCGTTAACAAACAGCCATTTAAATTGCTTACAAAGTATGAGAAATATATATCATTATTTGAGAGAAACTTCAACTTGATTAAAACTCACAGAATGGACTTGCAGAAAGGTCCTCTCACAATTCAAGTTACTTACAGATTATCCTATATATTAATTGGTTTACTAACCTTGTTCAGCGCTCGAAAGTTTGGACAGCAAAATGCTGGCCAAAAACAATGAGAAAATAAACCTTTTGACCATTGTTGCCCTTCCGAGTCCCCACAGTATTCCGTTTAAGTTTTCAAGTTGCACTGAAACAGCCGATGATGATGTTACGTGAGTCCAGCGCCTAACTGGACCTTATCGGAAGCCATTCGCATTTAGATTCGACAAGAAAGAAATCTAATCTGTATATAATATAACTAGAACTGCGCACTAATCTATATGGTAAATCAGATCGGCCCTGCTCAAAAAGCTGGCGATTATAAATTTGTTCTGCGAAAAGACGAAAGGTACTTGTAAGTTTAGAATCGGGCGTGGATTGCTTTTATCTTCCATTCAAATGCCATAAAATTCAGTATTGTGGAAGTGCTTGTGTAAGATCGCAAAAGAAAACCACATTCTGTTCAATCTTTATTTGAACTGGCTTTCATATTCGTCCTTTAGTTCGTCTTTTAACAATAATGCGAGCCCAGCTGCCCACTGGCTCTTTCAATTAAACAGTCTTTTCTGTTATCACTGCCCGAGTTAGCCCGAGACGAACGAGACAAATGTAGAAAGTGGTCCAATGTGTGCAAGAACCTACTAATCCATTGGCCACGTCCACTCCTATGTGCTCTGTCTTGGGAACACCAGAGGTTTTGGGTCTTAACTTGCATTCCTCTAAATTGGTTTACAGGATTATAAGTAGTCTCGAAAGACACAAAAGTTATACAAAAATATACCAACACGAAAAAGGAATATAAAATAAATAATCAACATCATTGACGCCGATTATATCAATTATTAAGTACAATTTCTGGCCTGGTTATAAGTCACTAATATTTATTGGCTAGATAGACTTAATGGGATGTGAGTGAAATAAAGCAAATTAATTAATTATTAATTTTTTTTTCTCTAACTTAATTGAAGATTAAGACTGAAGATTAAGCTATTTAGTGTATACAAGCCGCCTGTTTTCATCTTGAAGTAACATTTGGCACATGTTTTCTACGAATAATCGATCTATAGTGTCCTTAATAATCTAAATTGCGCTTCAAATCGTTAAATACAAGTTTTTGCCTATGAACATATTTAGCTTTAGTCCTTAGCTCCACAAATACGGCGATACAAAAAATCGTCCTCTAATTGTTAACTACTCCTTTCCACATTCTCCTATATCGTCTGCGAGGATATTGCAAGGATAAGCTGAAGCTTGACTTCACATGCATACATACATAAATGATTTTTATACTTTTGAACAAATATCAATTAAATCGTTGAGGATTCATTTGATTTATTTTTTAACAGCAAAGTACTTGTAGTGTGCTTTTAAATAATAATGTATGGTAATGATGATCAACAAAAAATCCTTCATAAACTAAATTGGGGGCGCTTCTAAGGCGAAAATGTTTAGTTTATTAAGTGTTAAAATTATATATATTTTTATAGCCTGTACCCAAAGGGTGAAAGGCTATACTAGTTTTGTGCGCATGTATGTAACACACAGAAGGAGGCGTGGCAGACCCCACAAAGTATATATATTCTTGATCAGGATGAGAAGCCGAGTCGATATAGCCTTGTCCGTCCGTCCGTCTGTCCGTCTGTCCGTCTGTCTGTCCGTCTGTCCGTATGAACGCAAGGATCTCAGAAAGTATAAGAGCTAGAATAACCAAACTTGGTTTCCATATTCTCCTAAGACCGAGAAAGTACGAGTTTGAGTTTTTTTTCGATGCACCCCCCCACTCCCCCGCAATTCGTGTTTTTTCTTATAACTTCCGTAATTCTTGGAATTTTGAAATCAATTTTGGTAGGTACATCCAGTTAGTACTAATGTGTCCGTGTGCCAAATTTCATCATGATAGGTCAATTCTGAAGAAAGTTATAGCCATAAGTAAAATCGCTGCTCATGCGCTGCCTCTGTCGGCAGCGCTGCCCGCAGCTGTTGTTGTTGTTGCTGCTTTGGTTCAACTTTGTGCTGCATACATACACGCATATAAACACGCATAGGTACGTGATGTAAATGTATGCTGTTAAAACTAAACATAAACATATATTCTAATTTAATTTAATTAATTAATTCATTAATTTTTTTTAATAATTTAATTTTTTTTTAAAATTTTTTTTTTTTTAATTTTTCTTTTTTTGTGGGCAGTACAGGCTATTTTACTGTCGGGCTTGCTCGACTGTAGCGTTCTATCTTGTTTATAATGCATTCAAAATAGGCGCACTAAATCATATAGCTGCTTTATAATCGATGGGGGTAAAAAAGTTTATTTTCTATTATCTTTTTTATGCGGATACTAACTTCTGACTTCTGGAAACGAAAAGCTATAGCCAGCCAGGCAAACAATAGAGTTTGTCATGATTATAACATAATCATAACCAATAATCATTCTCTCTGTTCGATATTTTTGAAAATTAAGATGTGAAACTGGGTGAAAATAATTTGCATATCTGATCATTAGTTAAGTAAAAATCTGAGACAATTTAGCAGTGACATTTTAGATGCTTGAGAACAACTTATCGACTTATCCTCTATAGGTACATAGATTATTGATGGAAGCTTAAAATGTCTCAGAAGCCCCAAATTATAAAAATAAAAAAAAATAAAAATATATGTGTTTTCAATTGCATTACTTTATTAAATAAGATTATCTCGAATTCGAAATTATTTCTCCACTGCTTTGGATGTTTGGGAAACCCACACAACTACTTGTAGTTGTGCAACAAAATTAAAGCCATGCTGAAGCCCAATGTACCTAGCCTGGTGTCAAATTTAATAAAAGTTTATGCCACTTTTGCTTAAAATTTGCAGCTGTCTCCAACTAAACGACAAATTCCTTGGTGTACATTTTACGAAAATGGTTTATGGCTTCGAAGTTTGCTTGCCAGTACTAGAAATTCCACAGCAGCAAATTATTTCTCAATAAATTTTGCTGCACAATTGCTAAAATATTTAAGCATAAAATGAACAAAACGCTTCTGCCTGCCCAAGCCACTCAAGAGCATATGAATTTATTAGCAAGTCGAGTGTATATTTTTGCAAAAAACGACAGCTGTTTTGTTCATTGCTAATAATTCGTTTATTTATGAATTTTCCATTTTTGCACAGAATCTGTGGGATTTAATTTTTCTGCTGCATACTTTCAGGCTACGCACAATAGTCGCATCTTGATTTTAATTATGTACATATATTAAGTGTTTATTAAAGATTTAATGTCTGGTATTAGCGAGCGCCGTAATCTTTATGATCTGTAGTGGAGGAATTTATTTATGACTAGACCAACAATTATGGTCTACGCACCGCGGTTAACAAAATGTAACACAACGGGTGTGAAGAAGGGCACCTGAAGCTTGATTGGCTTTTGGGTTCTCAACAGCAGCAAATAAACGGATCTTCGCGCTTCACGCTAAACTGTTTCCCCCAACTCCAGGATCTACAGGCGATAGAAAATAATAATAATAATAATTAAAAAAGTTTAAGCGATCTGCCCGCCTTAGCAGTAGGGGAAAATCGGAAAGATGATAGAAACCGTATGAAGCATGTACCTCAAAAGATGATAATGATATCCGCAAAACTACACAGCATGTTCGCTAAAATTCATGTCAAGTATCTGTCCGCATTGCTCCAATACTTACCAGCAATATGGCAATAACGCGGGCAGCCAATAATAGACTAGACGAGACATAATGGGCAAATGTCGGTGCTGCTATAATATCTGATAACCTGCGGGTAATATCCATTATCTCATTGTGGCGATCGACAATATTTGCCAAACGTTGACCGCACAATTCCCTATCACAATCAGCAGGATCTGTGCAAGAGGAGAAGAACTGAACTTCGAAGAGATGCTGAAACTGTACATAATCATATGTAAGTCTCTAGGTGTTGATTATTTTTAATTTAACAGACTTTTTTAAGAGTATTTCGATATTTTTTTTGCTTAGTTATAATCTTTTATTCGTGTTAAGTCCTCAATAAACCTTTCAAATAGGTGAATACGAGTATACTATATAAGCTTAAAATATATAATCGTGCTACTGTTTGCCTGGAGAGATCTAAAATCCATGTACGAATGCATTTTCAAATACAAATTTAGTATTTTCGACTCGATTTTAAAAAGTATATTTGTTGCTAATTGTAGTAGTATGTAGAAATATTGTTTTTTATTACAAGTAATGAGTTTGTCGAGTCGGTAAAATATGAACGGATTCCTAAAGACAATTCAATAATAGAAGGCTATAAAAAGACAGTTTAGATCGCTAGCAATTAAAGGAAATTCTGACCAAATAATCATGTATATGTAGTATGTACTTATATGCCTATATCCAATTCTAATTATATGGGAATTACGTTTCATTACAGTCCAAGGCCGTTTTAAAAATTTGAATAGAACTTATGGAAAATAATAGATGCCCAGACACATCCGGAGCTTGCTGTCTCACTTATTCTTTAATTTATGAGGGACCAAGAAAAATAGTTTCTAAATATCCGCATAGATTGCAAATCGAAATTTATATGAGCGAAGTGTTTAATGTTAACCAAGCTTGACTTCCGTTTGTTTTTTTTTTTTCGTCCCTACTTCTCCCCTACGTCCACGCTTTAATTTTTTCCCACAAAGATATTGTAAACACAAACACCCTGCATATATTTGAAGGTTTTTGAGCCCGAGCTCAGTAAAAATGTTTAAGAGTTGTTGAACAAAAGACGAACAAAACAAAACAAAATTTGTAAGACAAACAATTCAAAGTTCCATGCGATTGTTACCTTCCGAGCGAGCCGCCTCAATTAGAATTTCAAATGAAAATCAGCTATAAAAATAGTAGCGCCCGCTTTTGCCAGTATGTATATAGGTCACTATGTTTAGTTGACTTTTGAAAATTCTTTTCACTCATGCCAAATTTTGCATAAACATTAAAGAGCCGCGATCTGTGCGATGTGATATCTTTGAAGCTAAGGAAAGAGTAGTGATTGAAACAGAAAAACTTAATAAGGCTGGTCAGTGAGTCGGAAGCGGATATATGTATGTATATGTTACTGAATTTTGTATGCTGGTCCTGTCTATTTTTATTTGACTTCTAAAATAAATA